TAACCCTAACCCTAACCCTAACCCTAACCCTAACCCTAACCCTAACCCTAACCCTAACCCTAACCCTAACCCTAACCCTAACCCTAACCCTAACCCTAACCCTAATAGCAACGTTAGCACCCCATTATATCACTATCTATCACTTAGATATATACACTAGCTTATCTAGTGTTACCATAATAGAAGTGACACACCAGTAGCCACTAGCCACTGTGAGTGTCCATATTTAAAGGATCACGTTCTAAAGAATATAATCCTGTATCTATTCACAGAACTATTAGCTAATGCCATGGGCATGTTTAAGATAGTGGATAATAAGGTTCAGACTCCAACTTAAGAAGTAACAGTGCTGACAGCCCTTCCCTAAGATCTAACATAGCTATGGCTATAGCTAGAGCCATAAGATAGATTAGGGATATCAGCTGGTTAGGCTAATCTAAGTGATTATAAGTAGTTATTAATCCTAGACAATAATGCTATAGGGGTCTAGTACTGCTCCTTAAGATGCTGTGATATTGCACATACTCAAGTGAGGAGGGTATAGCTATAGATACAGCAAACAATACACTAGACAGTAGATATTGAACAATAGAGAGCTAGATAAATGATCTAAAGATATTGGTCAAGTTCCTTCAGGGAAAATAATGCCTATGATAGGACCATACTTAAAGGGTGAGGCTCGATATAGCTACTCAAGAATATATTAATCTGGTTAGGATCTGATAGATGTGGAGTCCACCACAACAATGGATAGTAGTGGCGCTCTAGGTATGAGTATAATGTTATAGAGCAGAGCAGTCACATGTAGAGTCTTATCTATATAAGAAGGACTCAATAGTACTAGGCGCCAATCTCGTCGATAGGATTGTTTCGCCTCATCTAGGGAGATGGTTCGTGTCAGGAACGGAACGAACTAGGGGCTCAGTGGGTCTCGATGGTGCGGCTTGATTAGATCTGGTGAGCCCCTTTTTGGGGACTAGTATTAAGAAAACAGGGATGAAGTGGGTCAGATTCTGCCCAGTGCGACAGGTTTAGAGTTTCAGGTACTGGAGAGAGGTACACGGGCGAGAAAACGCGACGGATGGTCAGACAGGGTCGTGACTGAGACGGTTTCCGGGCGAATTCCGGCGGAGTTCGCGCGAGAATAAGTGAGTAGGACTGGGCATGGGGGAGTTATATAAGCTTCAGCACGGAAGTCTGGTGAGATCCGGGGATGCTCGGTAAAGATGCTTGTGGTGACCACGCGTGGGAGATTGGAGAGCATCCCGCGTGCTGCCTCACGAACGCCGTCGCGGCCTATCCGTCGAGATAGAAAAGGTGTATTGCCGTGTGGAAAAGCTGTGGTGAGTGACAGAGAACGGGATGTGGTGACGACTGTGGAGAATTCGGAGTCGGCAAAGTGCCGATGCCGGTTTTCCGGCAATCTCCAAACATCACTTCCACTCCTCCACGGGGGACGCAACCACATACGATGCCGCATTGTGCCGGCCCGTGCATTGCGATGCCAGCATACTTCTACACTCTAGCTTCGTGGCAGCTGGCAGTTCTCAGCGACAACTTGCCGTCATTCCGGTGAAGCAAACACGACAATGGAGCCCCTGGGTGGAAGTCATGCCAACGGCATGCAGCAGCTGAATCCTCCTCCGCCGTCCAACAACACCGTGACGGTGCGCATGGTCGATACAACGTCTGTTATGAAGCTGCATGCTGAGGCGTTTCTCAAGCCAGTCATGCCTGGACACGAGATAATGACCGTGATAGATTTGGCATTTCTTATCGAAAATCCGCGACTTGGCAAGAAAGCAATGTTTGATCTTGGGACGCGCAAAGACTACTGGAACAGTCCGCCATGGACTATTGCCAGGATAGAAGCGGCGATACCAGGCGTAAGGATCGAGAAAGATGTGACCGAAATTCTGCAGGAGAAAGGAATGAAACTCAGCGAAATCAGTAAGTTCAAAAGTCTGCCAATTGCCAAGATGCTAAGGGACCCAAGACGATATCATTTGGTCGCACAGCCATTGGGATCATATCGGTAGTCCATACTTGTTTCCTCCGTCGACGAACCTTTGCTACGGCAAGGGTACAGGGCCATTCCCGGGGTACCCTGCGAACCCGAATTCAGCATTGAATCAGGCGGACTTCGAGGGACGAAAATGTATCGAGATAGATTACGATATGGAGATTGGGCCCTATCCGGCCCACGACTTCTATGGTGGGTTGATTCTCGGAACTGACTCAGTGGCTGACATGAGTAGGTGATGGATCACTACATCTGCTGGATACACCCGGCCACTGGCCCGGACACATGTGCGCCCTTGCCCGGACGACGCCTGACACATTTCTCTTCTTGGGCGGGGATATCTGCCATTTCGCGGGAGATTTTCGACCGAGCGAGCAACTGCCTCTGCCAGACTCAATACCCGAAGAAGCCTTTGGCAATATCGAAGCGGCTGCAGTCAAGCGGGCTCACAAGTACCCAACGCCATGCCCATGTTCTTTCTTTTCAGATCATCACCCTCAGAACTCCGGGTTGGATGGCTCCGATGCGACCACAGACCCGAAGGCACGCCATTTTACAAATTATCGACACACAAACACTCTTCCTATAAAGATCCTCCTCTGGCTGTCATTACGACTCAGAAAATGCAGCAGTACTTTGACTCCGACCCGAACGTGCTTGTTTGTTTAGCTCATGATACCGGATTGCTGGACCATCTCCCCACATTCAATGCAAATCCCGAAAGTGACTTGAACGAGTGGCAAAAGCATGGGATGAAGGAAAAGTGCCACTGGAGTTGGCTGAAAGAGCTGCCTCGGTACGACGAAAAAGGCAAGGTGGTTGGGCCGGGAATGAGGGAAAAACCTCTGGTGGAGGGGCTTTGGAAAGAAGGAAGGATAGTGCAGTCTTTAAGGAGCTGAAGTTGAATGAGTCTAGGATCTGTGACAGTTCTCCCGCCGAAATGCTGAGCGATGGATGTATGCAGGATCAAGCGTTGTCATTAGGCATATGTACCAGTATACATATTTATTCAAAGCCACTCAGTAAACTTCGTACCCTTCTCTTTGATGCCAGCCATCCTGCGGTAGCTGATAACTCAAACTCACATTTCTGTACCGCCCACTCATTGTTGGCGTGCTGCTCGACTTAAGCTGAAAGCCTCCAAGTTTGACCGTAGCATTGCCATCTTCCATATTCCACAGACTGACTCCCAGCCAATTCTCTCCGTTATAGTTCAATATACCTTCAGGGACAGGATACTCGAGCTGAGGTCCGATGTGATTGACATACTTGCCGAACTGGAAGCCGTTCACATAGAGCAAAGACCTGAAAGACTCGGGCACAGAACTCGCGTTGCTCGTGTTGGTAAAGACTATCGCCAGCGGGATGTCGTATTCGGGAACTGGGAGGCTTAGGTTGAAGGTTGTTCGATAAAAGCGCACACCTGGGCCAGCGAACCCTTCGTAAGGGGTAGATGTGTCTTTGAAGGCACTATCGGGTGCCAACGGAAGATGGTAGCCCTGTCGTTCGAAGAACATGCCGCCCTCGTTTAATGGGCCGCGCGTAAGATCCAGATAGTCCTCACCCCCAAGGTTGCCTGTCAGTTTCCAAGTGAGCGGCAACACCCCGTCGGACGTAGTGAGGTTGTAATCTATTACACCCCTTGGAGTCTGCATGGTGTTGTCTCCTACATCGTAGTTCTCTTGGAGACCCATGTGATCAATCAGGCGGTCAAGACGTATGGTGCGCCAGCGGTGAGGTTCGTGAGTTGCATCGAGTGAAGATTCGAGTCGTTGGTCGAGATTCCCGGAAATTGATATATGTTTGTGCTATTGAGCCACAAACTGTAGCCGTAGGCCTGGCCTCCCTGGGTGAGCAGAGATAGATTGAGCTCGCTGCCAGATGACGGGGCTGTGAAGTGGCCGCGGTAGATCAGAGAACCGCAGTGGAATCCATATTGTCCAGCGAAGAGGACTTCGGAAGTATTTGGTTGGAATTGGCTGACCGTGGTTGAATCGTCCGCAACAGGCCACTTGGTATCATCGTAGGAAGATGACAGCTCGGGGAGAGAGTCAAGTGATTGCCACGCAGATTGATTCAGATCCGGAAGGTTCAGGGTCGGTGCGGTGTACTCGATTGTTGCTGGAGATGCGCCCATATTCATACCATTGAAGTACAGATCGTTGTACGGCGGCGAGCCTTGAATTGAGATGGTCGTGGTCTCGTTTATGTCGCCTGTTAAATACAAGTCCCCATTGATGATCTGGGCCGTTCGCATGAGATTACCGCCCTTGACGATGACAGACGTCTTATTGGATGATGTAAAGTTCGAGAGTGGTGCATCCGCTGGCAGTTCAAGAGTCCACCAATTATACGCTTCGTTACGCCATAACAGGTAGACCGTAAGACTGCCACATTTCACGATCTTCTCTTCAGGTGTCACGCTCCACTGAACGATTTGCTGGCCGGCTGTCGAGTTTATGGCGACCAAGCTTGACTTTCCCGACTCCAGGCTGCAGTTGCCGGAGGACAATGCAAATTCGTGAACCTCGTCCGCATCGCCGTAGAGTACGAGAACTGTGCCGTTGTCGAAGCGTTCCCAGGTGAAGACTTCGGCCGTAGAGTACTCTAGCAGCATCTGACCGACCGGATATCCGACCACGTGCACCTTTGAGTCTCTACCGTCCAGGATCAAGTGGTCGGAGATGCTGCTCAGCTGCGGGATGGTGACATTGCCAGACGAGGCAGGTAGTGTGAGGGTATAAGAAGTAGTGTCGTTCGATTGGTATTGAGAGTGTCGAACAATGTAGAGGCCGAAGTTGCTGTCGTTTCCGATCAACGCGGTGACGGTCAAATCTGGCGTACTCACGTAGCTGGTGTTCGTGTAAAGCATGACTTCCGCCGTCGCGAAACCAGGCGTGACTTTGATGAAGTTCGCCAGCAATTTCGCCTCGGAATACTTGGTACGGGTGACGGCACGGTCTTCGCGAATGACGGCGCCATAATCGTATGATGAATACCCCTGCGGATGGCCGAGATTGCCCCAATTAGATCCTCCGTATGTCATGTAGATATTGAAGAAGGTGACCTGGAAACTCCAGTTGTTCTTGTAGAACACACGCTCGAATTGCGCGTTAGTCAAAGCCGCGCAGTTATCGAAGCCATACCCGCCCTTAATCTCGTCAGTGGTGATGTGGACCGGAGTGAGAGCCGGAACCTACCCATGGGTCGAACGAACCGCCTTGAAACTCGACGATGGAGTTGGGAGTGCTTGGACTCTGATTCCGATGAAGCATGGTCCAGTCTGTTGGAAGGTTTCCGGGCTTCCAGTAGTAAGGTTGCTGACAGTCAAAACCCTGAGGATAGCTGCAACTTTCAGTAAGCAAGACCAGATAGTGCAAACGAATCCCTTACCCGTCATAGCCGTAGATGTCCACATGGACAGTGTAATTCGGATTTCCAGGAGCGAACAGACCTTTCGGACTTGCATCGTTGCTGATCAAGGGAATCACGATACCAGCATTGCGCAGTTGATCGATGACTTCTCCAAAGTAGACATCGTTTGGGAATATGGCATTTGACGTGTAGGCACTGTACTCGTTCTCTGGCTGAGCAAGGATAATCGGCCCGCCGTTGGTGATTTGTCCTTTCGCGATTGTTTCGCCAACTGATTGTGCGTACAAAGTTGTTGCGTTGATGTAATTAGTGTTATTGGTTCGGAATTGGTACGGTGCATCGACGCGGTCTAGCCAGCCCGGGAATCCGCCACCAGAGACTTCGGCGTTAATATATGGGCCAGGTCTTGCCAGGAGGTAGATACCGGCCTCAGAAGCTGCCTCAAAGAATGGCTCCAGGGCGAAGATGCCAGAGGCTCGATAAGTGCCTTGTTGCCCTTCGAGCAGTGCCCAGTTGATGTAGAAGGATACCCCGTTGTAGCCGAGTGCTTTGATCTTCTGGAAGATGTCCAGCCAGAGATCTGGTACAGGCAGGCGGAATGGATGAAATTCGCCGGAATAAATTACGACCCGTTCGCCGCGCACGAAAATCGATTTCTCGTCCCAGGTGACCTGCGGCGGTTAGAATAATTCGGGCGCATCGGTGCACTGACAATATCTTGTAAGCCATCAGACTCTCGCGTGATGAGGTACCCTGCTGGCGTCTGGGAGTGAATTGGAACAGCGACGGCTGCGGCGGAACTTATCAATGCCGCTGCAGCGACGAGAACGCTGCGAACATGCATGGTGTTGCGCAAGGAGCGCTGGAAGACGGAGAGCTTGCCACGGGATATATCTGTTGTCTGCGGTCTAACGTTACATGAGAGAGGCGGAGGATCGTCATACAGCACCTAGACCACCGGGAGTTACCTCCATTTCGTGCCAGATCGCCCGGCAGACAGGTGTAGGTGTGAGAATCTGCGTTTGCCCCGGTATCCCCAGGCTATCAAAGCTTTTCAAGCTTCTTGAGCTTATCGAGCTCGCCTAGTCTATTTGTGGGTAGAATGTGATGATCCGTCGTACACCGCGCGTCCGAAGGCAGTCGAGCGGAAGTGGTGCTGCGCATGTTGAGCTAGGATTTGTTCTTGACAATGATGAGCGTTCTTACTCTCCGGGACGTAGATAAGGTAGTAATTTGTGCAGCGAACTTAGACTGAGCCGCATGGTCTACCGACTGTACCTCTAAGCCTCGCATATTTGAAGTTTTGTGACATTAGGTCACGTCTTGATTTGCGGGGTCACGGTGGTGGGAGCTTCAGCTGTCGTCATATTCGCGAGGGCATCCGCTCCCGTCGGGGGCTTGAGGCAGTCTCAGGCGGGGTCTTGTAGTTTGTACAGAAGAGACGCTCCGGCGCTCGACCAAGATCACTCAGATGTGGTTGACGATATAGCTTCACACGACTGTTGCCCAGCGTCATTAGCATCCGTCAAGGATTGCAGGTGAGTTGGAGACGTAAGAGGCTGGGCGCAGCCGGATGCGAACCGCATCGTTGCCGTAGGCGCAGGTGACGTCACGCGTCTCTGAAATTCTAGAAATCAAAATTACGACGAGGAGCTTGAGTCCTCTCTAACACGGCGGCCAACATGATCACACACACAACGTGTCGGAATTTAGCCATGGCGGCGCCTGGAACGTCGAGATCATGAAATTAGACTCAGCACAATTGAAGTACAGCTCGTTTCCCATGGCGCTGCGCAGGCGACTGGGGACTCAATGCGGACTGTTTCGGCCTGCTGAGTATTTTGCTGCGAACATCATGGTCCAGCGCTTGATTTTATGCACACGGCCTTGATGTGAGCCTGGTATCACTGACAAATAGACCAGTCGACGACTCCACGCTTCGCGACCGACGTGACACTGAGCGCGTAAACTTTGCCCCCAATCCGAGCAGTCACAAAGTCCACCGAACAAGTCAACACTCCGCTGAAAGAGGGCAAAGATGCAGGCTTCGGGTGCTATAGTGATCAAGAAGACACGAGGTTGAAAAGCTGAGGAGTTAGCTTCGCACAATCACAAGCTGGCGTCGGCGGAAGGATTTCGAACCGATACACAGCAATATCGGAATAGCTTGAAGGGCAATCAGAGTTGGACTAAACGGCGGAAAGAGATGTTCCAGGATTGGGATAATGACAAAAATGAGACGTTGATGTGGCAATGATGCAAACTTGCACCGGAGGGCAGCGCATTCGTTTGAGGAGAGGCTTTGCAACATAGTTCAGCACACAATTAAAGTCGGCGTGAGAGTGAATAGGGCACACTGGTATGGTGTCTGCAGTCTGTAGACAGTTTATCGGGTCCTATTAGATAGTGCTCTGCTTATGTCGTACCTGCGATTTTTGCTCCGATAACTTGAAAGAAACTCTGCTTTGTGTATGACTTCCGAATTTTGGGAGATTGTCCATTCAGCTTCAACTGAACATCCTCCCAGATCTCCGAAAGGGAGGGACGATCCTTGGCGCCGCCCAGATTCATCTAACATGGAACTCATCAGCTTAAGTTTTGTATTGTCAAGACTCGCACCTACCAAAGCAGGCTCAATAGCCCACTGATACACAACTGTCCCGTTCTTCTGAATGACGAACACTGCCGGCTGAGCCATGCCGTGCGGATAGCCCTTCTTGTCCGAGATAGCAGGAGTGAAGCGATGCCTTTTCTTAAACTCTGCAGCAATCGTGTTCTCAGGATCTGCTATCATCTCACCGGTGAATCCAGTTTGAGATCGCATTGCTTCCAGGTGGGATGGATGCTCGGACGTGATCGTTACGGCTACTCCATGGGCGGCTTGGATGGCTTCCTTGATGTTTTGGAAGTCTTTCAGGTAAGCATTGCAGAATGGACACCAATGGCCACGGTAGAAGACAACAAACAGGAACTCCGAAGAAGACTGCAAGGACTCTATAGTGCTGAACGGGTTCGACATCTTGTTGTGACGACCTGATGTGGGGTTGCGAAAGCACTCTTTCGTTGCAATGAAGGAGCACTTGAACAAGGAGCATGGGCACGATGGACAGAATGGCTCGAGCCGCTTCCAGGTAATACTTATAAGCAATATGGTCACCGAGGTGAGTCGAAACCTGTCTCGTGCCACGCATGTAGATGTCGAGTTTCTGTGCGTTAGAGATCTATTGAATTAGCAGGACAAAACTGGAAGAAGATCGCACGGACGGGCTGGCGAAGCCCCGGTCGCCGCTTAGGCCTGTAGCAGCGTCCATTATAGGCCGAGAATGTGGAGTTCAGAGACACTTAGATGCTCGTGGGTAGCCCATGCGCGGACTGACAACGCGTAGCTTATTTACGCTAATACGGTTATCGCCATTTATAATCACTCTATCATGCCGTCTTGCCGGCTTACTTGATCTTATCACGCTGGAGTCTTCTGCGGATATGTGTGCACCTGTAGTCAAGATGTTGATTGCTTAAACAAGTTGCACGTTGTGGCTTGCGTTGCGGAACTATCAATTTCGTAATCCTGCATCTACTTAGTCGTGATAGTAATATGAGGATAGTGTGCGGTAGTGAGGCAAGCATGGCGTGCAGTAGGGGTGACGCCGAACGCCACCCTGTGCGGCACTCACGGCATGTCGATAGGCCACTATTTGGCAGCATTGTTCCAGAGGACCAACAGGCACGTTCGGACAAGTTCCGTTATCCACGAGTCATCGCTCATAAGACGGGCAAGAGCCTCATAGCGGCCTCGAAGGCTTCGTCTATAGTTTTTGATCTTCAAGCGATACCAATGTCCGACTGGGAAGAACATGGATCGTGCTTATAACGGTCTTGCTTACTACTTAGACCTGGCTCCCAATGTCGGGTAAAGGTGCTTCGTTGACGAAGTCGGTGTCAGTCAGTGGGCTTCAGCGCATGCGGCAGAGAGTTGTACGCCCCATTTGATCGCTCTGTCGCCTTCTTGCTTGCCTGGAAACCTGCGCCTAGAGTAGAAATTGCCGTGCAGACTTGAAGAATGCGACGAAGTAATGACAGACGATCCTACCTGCAGCGGCCGACCAAGATCCCGACTTATCCTGTCATCTTCGGCGTCGGGAGGTCCAACATCGCTAAGAAATCGATGCTCAAGGTAGGCCCGGAAAAGAGCATGGAGCTCAGCTGGATAGTCGCGCGCATTCCTGAATATGGATTTTCGCGAGCTTCGAGTGACGACTCGATCCTACTGTTCGCCGTACGTCATTGGCAGCGAACGCATCGACAATGGCGACGGCTGCGATGACAGCGGCTCTAATGTTGGCCTCTACTGTGCTGATCGACTCGCTCTTCAGAAAGTCCTTCACAGCTCTCCGTTTGCAACGTATGTCACGTGCCGAAGATTCTCGTCGTCGAGCTTGGCAATCCCACTCCAATCAACATTCCTGTTCTTGATTATCACTACTTGTTTATCAGAGCAGTGTGCCGAACTCGACTCGGCGCTCTTCTAGATGATACAGCCCTAGGAAGAGGATCGTGGATCGTTCTCGCGTCGATGGCTGCCGCCGACGAGTATCTGATTGCGTTACCGCTGTTGACGGGCATGCATCTTTCGAAGGCAGTGGCGCACCGCCTGTTCGTCGCTGGTCGCCTGCTTAATCCGGCGCTGGCGTCTATTTGGTTGCTATTTCGTCAACAAAGATTCATTCACATCACAGACGGAAGTTTGGTGGCCGGGTATGGTGTAACGACACCCTCAACATCGATGTGATGAGGACTCCACTGCAAGATAGCACAGTCGCGGCAGTCTCTCTGTCGGCGCAGGGAACGTTCTGCGCACATTCTTCTGCGGCATGAATGGCTTTGCGAGTGGGAGCACAAATTTGAAAGCCGGCGTCGGGCCTCATCGCTGGAGAGCGGAATTACCTGTTGTCTCGAGCATGGATTTCATGGAGAATTAGCTGGACATCATCTGCGCGCTCTAGACTCCCTCACAATGAAGAATATATATTCGAAGAAGAACAGAATCGATGACTCTCAAGTTTCGCTTCACCGCCGCCGCCAGACCCGGCAAGCCAATGTGCCTCACAGAATCCATTACCTCTGGGCACGTTGTGAAAGGCGATCGTTGGGCTCGCCGCTGTCGCTGTGGTGGATGAGCTCCGGCTCCGGGTGACACTCGAATGTTGAAAAGTGCGTCATCGATGACCACAAAATAGAGCTCAGTAGCGCCGTCTTCGAGCTCGGGCTTCGCTCGATGTCTTAATACAAGTGGGTCTCATGAGGAACTATCTGGCACGTGCTGAGATGCGCGATGATGAGTTGCTCGGTTTCAGCAAGCAGCGATTAAGACTCAGCACGACCTGCAAGCTTGAAGGAAAATATTGGACGCTCGTTTGCATAAAGGTTGAGCAATCCGAGCTCAAGAAGCTTGGAATGTCTTAACAGCGACAAGCACTCAACTTTACGTTCCAGGGGAGAAATGGAGTTTCTAATTGCCGCCTTGGTTCTGACCAAGGTCTGCCAAGCCGCCCCGCAGCAGAGCGCCGCGTCCTTCGCAGGCAAAGCTACCTCTAATGTATTTCCTCCTGCCAGCAGTACGTCAATAATGCGGCTTTTGTCATGATGCTAACTCTTCAGCCAATGTCAACACGGTGCTCTTCCCCCCTGAATCAGTAGTTGGCTTTCCGGGACCAACACAAACCGGTATCGAGCCCGCTGCCGCTCAGACCGCGCCATTGTACCCTTACAATACCGGGCCGGCCGCTTCGTTCCCTCTCGTACAGCCGCAGCCCTACGGCGCGAACGGGTCCAGCTCCAATATCTCGAAGTACTGGGGTAATTTGACCCCATGGTACTCGGTCCCTTCGGCAGATTTTGGTCTGCCTGACGCAAGCCCGCTCATACCGCAAGGGTGCACTATTAATCAGGTCCACCTATTGTACCGACATGGTGCTCGTTACCCAACATCTGGAGCTGCTCCGGCGACTTTCGCGGGCAAAGTCGTCAATGCAACGAAAAATGGCGGCTTCTCAGTGTCTGGCGATCTTTCCTTTCTTGCGAATTGGACATACGGCCTTGGTGCAGAGCTTTTGACGCCCTTCGGTCGTTCGCAGAATTTCGAACTCGGAGTGTCATATCGTCAGCTCTACGGCGAACTATTGAACAACTTTACAGCGCAGGATGCGCTTCCTGTGTTCCGTACTGAATCCCAAGACCGCATGGTAAAGACGGCACTCAACTTTGCTGCGGGCTTCTTCGGTGTTCCCGAGTATCAAAAGCAGGTGAACATTGAAATTCTTGTCGAGAGCCCCGGGGTCAACAACTCCGGCGCACCGTATGAGATCTGCAACAACTCCAACATCGCAACCCGCGGCAGTATTGGAAGTGCCGTTGCCAGCAAGTTTGCCGTCAACGCTTTCAATTCTACTCTGAGTCGGCTGAACTCGCTGGTCTCCGGCAATCTAACCTTCACTCCCACCGACGCGATTGCCATGCTACAACTCTGCGCATATGAGACGGACGCTTTGGGCTATTCGGCTTTCTGTGGCCTTTTCACTCAACAAGACTTCGCCAACCTCGAATACTACTTTGATCTCGTACGTACTGTCCACCACGGTGGTGTCTCGGCTAACTGTATAGTCCTTCTACTACAATAACGGTCCTGGTTCGCCAGTCTCGGCAGCACAGGGCAAGGGTTTCTTGCAAGAATACGTTGCGAGACTGACCCATTCATTCCCAAGCGCGACATCTGCCCTTAATGAGACGTACGACAACTCTACGACGTATTTTCCGCTAAACCAGTCAATATATGCCGATGCCACACACGAGGTTGTCGTTCTTGACACGCTCACCGCCTTCAACCTCTCAGCATTATGGAACGGTCCGCCTCTTAGCCCGAACGGAAACACACACCAGAACAATTTTGTCGCAAGCAAACTTGTCCCTTTCGCCACTCATTTCACCAGTCAGATCCTTGAATGTCCAGCCATGCAGCCTTCCAAGCAGGTGCGATTTATTGTGTAAGTCTTTCTGACGTCCTCTATGACATTGCTAACGTATCCAGCAACGATGGAGTCGTCCCGCTCTACGGATCGTACCCGGGTTGCCCTCAGAACGCGAATGGCCTATGCGATATGGATACTGTTATTAACGTCTTGCAGCAGCGCATCGCTGAGATCGATTTTAACTATTCGTGCTACGGCAACTACACTGCGTCTGCTGGGATGAACTACAACGGTCTCCCGCCTATCCAATAGACTTCTATGCACATAGATCAGAAACTCTCATGGACCTCACAACGTCCAGATCAGGGTTTATTAGCGACTCTAACAATCTGAGTTCCTACTTTTGACGTTGAACGCCTATACAATTTTCTAGTGTGTATTACAGTAGGAGTTCGTGCATACCTGAGAAGCAGCATGTATCGCGTCGCGTTGCCTCCGAAAGATCAGATACCGTATGATCGACTATGGATTGCGTGTTTCATGCGAACAGAGGACGATGTCAGCTTGAACGTTTCTCGTAGACCGTTCATCGAGGCCGCAGGTACTCAATCCGGCCTTGGGCCGATCACATCAGGCATTACGGCCGGGAACTGGTGTCCAGAAAGTGTCGAGAACAACACCTAAAGCACTTTGCGAGCACTCAACGCACCGCTCGTTGTCATCGGCATTGGGATCAGGAAGTATCATTGACTGAAAAGGCCTTGAATCTGGCCCCGTTGCTCTTCAGGGCTGCACAAGCTTACAAGAGTCACTATACAGTAAAGTCGCAATCGGTCCATCTTTGCAGAGATCCACACGTGACGTGCGCAAATGGCTGCTTTTGCAGGTAAGTGTTCGCCTCAATAGAAAACTTTGAGATCGTAGCCATGGACATGTCGCTGAGCGTCGGCGTCTATACCGCTTGCGACTCTTCCTGGCTGAGTGACGCAGGTGGAGCTCTAGATCGCGCTCAAATGCTGGTGAAACCCTGTTCCTTAGGATGCAATTTCTCGGTGCAGTAAGCATATCCTCACCAGAATCTTGAACCAGGACCGCTTACAATCCATTCCACGCTAGGTCCATTGTTTCCTGAAGTAGAGAATGACCCTACAACTGGGAAAGTGACACCGACCCCAACAGCAAGACCCCAACTCATAGTTTTGCTACTAGTTGAGTTTGCGGGCCATTATTATTGATAAATCCCCACCAACGATCCCATATACCTTTGCTTACCAGCGTGGTCGTGTCCATTTGGGTTTTCTCCTGCAAGTGCTCGAGTACAGCCTGCTCCGCCTCGCCCTCGGGGTCGAAATACAGGATGCTTGGCGTGCTGACAGGGTTACACCATAGCTGCCATGCACGATACCACGTGGGAAGTGCCTTGCTGGGTCGAACGACGTCGTGGGAAAGTGCTTCAATCTCTGGCAGCGAAGCCTTGGCTCTCCTCTCCGCATCCTCGCCAGCCGCCATATTGAAAACTCCAGTGACGAACGAGGCCTGTTGTTTGGTCCATACTCTTGGCATCCGTTTCTTCTCATAGAGCTCGATCGCTTCCGGAAGTGTCACAGAATTACGAATGACTTCTCCAACAAGAGATCCGAGGAACGCACCGTCTTCCATGGCTGTGGCTGCTCCTTGAGCCTTGGAGAAAGTTAGATCAGCGTCGAGCCCAGAAACAATGAGCTCACTTACCATGTGATTTTGCATACAGTGAGCAGCATCTCCCAACAGTACAGCCGTCTTGTGCTCGTTGGACCACGTCTTCATAGGCGGCAGTACCAGTAGGGGCCAGATTTGCGTGCTCTTGAGAAGATTGAGGATCTTACGCAAGAACGGACACCAGTCCTTGAACAATTGCCGGAATTCGTCGACGTCCACTTCCTCAGCCTGCGTGACGACTCGGTCCATCTGAAACATACACACAACATTCAATTCTCTGCCGGCGGAAAGCGGATATAACAGGGCGTAGCCATGAGGTCCGACGAATGCATCAGCCGAGTTTCTTAACCGCTGCCTGGCTTCTGGCACCTCTCGATAGACCTCTTCGTAAGAAAGAATACCGCGGAAGGCGGCTACGGTGGATGCTCCTGTTGGTACAGCTTTAGGAAACAACGACCTCCTTACCATGGAGCGCATGCCGTCTGCTCCAACGAGCAGATCAAAGGAATACTCATTTCCACGAACGGTTTTGACCCTGGCTCCTTGCTTATTGTGCTCGAAAGATTCAACTCGTGAGTCGACGAGAAGTTTGACGCCGGTTCGACGAGCACATTCAGTCAGTCCAGCATGTAAGTGATCTCTTCGAACGACCCTATGTTTGTTGTCAGTGCTGCGCTCTCATCCCAAGTCACCAAAGCAACAATTCTGCTTGCCTGCTCTTTCTGGTCTTCTTCTGACTTACCAATGTGGAAAGCCCGACAATTTCCTGGCAACCTTTGGATCGAAGGTGGAGATCAATCGGTCTTCCAAATCCCACGTATCGATCGCGTCCATCGTGATCAGGTTGTCGCCGATGATTTCATCAACGTCCCAGCGGATGAGGAGTCTAGAAACGTTCGAGTTCATCTGAATGCCAGCACCGATCTCCCCAAGCTCCCGCGCAGCTTCAAGCAGTGTCACGCGTGCACCTGCTCGGGCGCATGCAATAGCGCACGCGAGCCCACCCATGCCGCCACCAATCACTCCAACATGGAAGGGCTGTGGGTGATCCATGATCCAGGACAGGTGCCACCGAAGACCGCAAGCTGAGAGTGAAGACTTCGGCTGCTTCAGATCTGTTGCAGTGATTCGACACTGCACTCTTCACAAAGTCGATGTCGAATCTCGTTCACGATCGTTCCCTATAGACAGACATTTTCCGGCCAGAAGGACAAAATCTTTCACCAATGCCGCTTTTGCGAAATCCATGACGACCGCAGAGGTCTCTGCATTGATCCTGAACTCCAAATTCATGCCGTGCGATCCTTGAATGGAACCGAGGTCAGTCCGGAAAATATAATGTCGAATCAGCTCTGCGGGCTTGTCAGGCGTCGCGGCACGCAACTCGTGGGGTGACAATTCAGTCTCCGCCTGCTCCGCATAGCCGATGCAGAATGCGGGGTTAGTGCGGGAGGTAGCGAAAGCAAGTGACGAAGCAGTGGGCGGAGAGCGGGTGTTTCGCACGCGGTCGTGAGGAACCAATCCAAGCACAGGATGTAAAAAAATTCCAGCAATACGCTTGGTGCGGAACGAGACTCGGAGTGTTTGGAGGGCGAAGGGAAGAGCGCATGAGGATCTTTTTGGACACGCTGGTATCAAAGAAAGCGATTGGAGACGAGGATCCACGATTCGAACAGATGTTGAGCCCGATATATCGGCGCAACTGAGCTCGATAAGTTGCATAGACTGAAGAGTGCGCCGACGAATGGTTGTGGAAAGAGTACCGGTGCATAAAGGGATTTTCGGACCGCGTTGACGCGTGCCTGCTGAGCTTGCACGCTGACGCTGACGTCACTCATTGGATCTGCTCGAAGCTTCATGTCCTCGTCCTTCGCGTGTGCAGGAATAAGTCTCGTCCAGGCTCTTCAGTGTATAGACGGTCGACGAATCACGCAGAAAGACGTGTAGCAGCTCCAGACCCGCGCTTGTAGCGGGCACAGCGCCGACAGCCGATCGATTGCCTCCTCTTGTCATTTATATTCGCTGCTGGCAAGTTTTCTCCAATGTAGATTGCGCTTCACAGATCTTGTCTCCCCTGCGCTGGAAGACAACGCCACTGCGCATGCTTTGGTCACGGTCTTGTAAGTCTCTGGAGTGCTCATCGTCACGCGTCCAGCCCCGGCTGTACACAGCGACCATTTGTCAAGTGCCAGCTCCACCGCGTCCTCCGTCCCTTACCTGCTCTGGCTCGGAACTCCTCGTCCTGCCGGACTCTGTGCCTCCAGCTCGTCAATTCCGACGACTGCCGGCGTGACATACCGCACGAGACTGAAAGAGGCTCGGCGGTCCGGCCAGCAACTTCGCAAGCCGAGGGACGAGTCAGACATCCCACTTTAAGACATAAATACTCGCCGCAGCCCCATCCAGACAATCCTTCCAAGCACGTCTGACAGTCTCTCTACGCGCCGGTAGCACTCGTCGTGGACCTGCTCTATACACTCTACGACTCCGCCATCAGCAAGAACACAAGCTCCACCTCCGCCACCACCGGAGCCGGACTACGCTCGAAAGCGCGACGTGATGCTCGAATAATATACCTCAAGGCTGGGCTTCAGCCTGTGTGCCATGTCGACGCAAGAGCGTGCCTGTCAGCCGATAGCCCAAGACCGAACTCGCAGCCAGGCGCAAATCGCACACAAAGAGAAGGGCGCTAGCGCCTCAGTAAGACCATCTGAGGAGACGCTGAATGCCTACAATGAAGCTCGAGGGGATGATGTTCGAAGACCACCCAAGTTCCTTGCTGGAGGACGGAACACAACACGAGACCCAGCACTAACATTCGGACACATGTCTGCCGAAGGGGGCCCCAGCGTCTCGGTCACTTAGGCTGATACCCGAGTCAATCGCTGTGTCTTCGCCATGAGCATGGAATCAGAAATGATATGTTGCCAGAGTCTACCGCTGAAGACCCGGCTGGATAGCGATATCCTACCGAGAACGAAGTCGACATGAAAAGCTGCCGCTTCAGCTGACCCTCGACATGATAACGAGGCGACACCTTCGAGACAACAACCACAGCACCTGCCATCAAACCTCGAAGCCTCCCTCGCCGCGCAATGCCGCTCTGACACACAGCCGAGTTCCTTCTACCACAGCCCATCCGTTTGTTGCGTCTCGACTTCTGGTGCCGGAGAACGGCTTGTAGACGCGCTCCTGCCTTGCCTCTTTCAATGACCGCTCCTTCGATCGTCTGCTCTCGACGTCAGGACTTCCAGTATTCTTCATCCCTCCACGGCCCGAACACACGTAAATGGCCGGTCTTCATCACCTAGCATACGGCAGGGCGACACATTCTCGCTCTCGACTCTACAGCTCCGACTCGGCCTCGTCTCAGCCTCGGTGCGGCGGAATCAGGGTCCCCGCTCGCGGATCCCGCCAATCCAAGACTTCAAGAACGCCTACGTCCATCAGTTGAACTCCTCATCGACCACAACATGAAGCATAAGCTCAGTTGAGCTGAAGCGCTACCCACCGATGTCCTCCACGCGTGGCTGTACTGCAACTACCGAGTTACCCTCACCGAGGACCCCCTCTTTACCAGACCTTCACGATCGTCCTTGGTTGTTGCCTTCCGTGCCTCAGTCTTCAGACTCACTATCTTCTAGAAACACAGCGGCCGACGTCAATGACGGCTCTGCTCCAGGCGACCTTTAATCAACAGCAACAGAGATCCATTGCCACCCCAAGCTCGCACATTCCCGACAACACCCTCGCGTCATCGCTACACGCAGCAGCTGGTAAATCCCCTCATCCCACAAGCTACAATGCTTCTATCCTTAGTCCGGCACAGCTAGCACGACTGCCACCGTAGGACACAGACGCAGCCAACAGCTCGCTTTCACACGTTCTCGCCATTTCTCCCAGTTCGCATCCGCTAACGCTAACCCGCTACGATTTCTTCTTCTACACTGCCCGGACTATTCCGCCTTCTTCGCGCCAAGCCCCCTCGGTCTCCCTCCTCCCTGTCTTCGCAGTCAATTTTGCTCTGGACACAACATATGTACTCCGGCCCGCCCCTCGCTCAGCATCAGCCCCACTCCTCCGCGATCAACTTCAACAGCAGATACTCCTCCGCGATCAACGTCAACAGCAGATCCGCCATAATTTACCGCCGTAAGACGCGAACTCGATCGCCACCCACGCTACATCACAGCACCCGGTGCTCCACCCCCCATCCTCCCGCAACCTCTCACGAAGCACCCGCACTTTTGGCCCTATGGAAAGTGTATTCTCTAATCCTCTCTAGCAAACCTGATCCGAGCAGAACCCCGAGCACCCTGATAGCACCTAGCAGAAGCAAGCAATAATTCAATCCAATCCTGCGCAATACTTGCGCCATTGGCAGCCGCCGCGCCTGGATGTGTTCAACAATACGGATGGGAGGATTGCGCCTCCACTGCCACAAGAACACAACATGACTTGCATGTTCGGGCAAGGTCTTTCCGTGACAGAGACATGGCGCACACCAAAAAAGCACATCTGGCCACGACAGCTGCTGCTTGCTGGTCGTGCTCGCCGCCACTGTCACTGCCCAAGGTACAGCTGCGCTCATCCCATCTTGTGCCGTTGCGATTGCATTTCGTGCTGTCTGTCTCTATTCCCTTGGGCTAGACTGCGCCTTTGTCTCCAATCTCGCACTGACGCACACGGAGGCGTATTTCCATTTGCTTCCTCCAAAGTCCGACTGATCGGCTCGTTCTCCGGTCGGGCATCGACTCCCCATAATCGTGCATCTCTATCGATCTCGTGGACCGAACCATTGGTCGTCTGGAGCTGCAATCAGGCGGAAGTGCACCAATCCTCACTATAACAAATCTGGTTCTGATACTATATATAACCATCAGGCCAAGTGGTCTAATGGGTGATAGGCTATTGCTTATCTACTAGGCTGTCTAGCTCAGTAGGGGATAAAGCGGGCTACAAGGTTATACCAGCCCAACCTGATGAGCATGGGGCTACGAGGCTTGATAGCCTAACCTGGCCTATATCTATTGGGACAGTGTTACTCGCTGGACCACCTAGTCAGTTACGCAGCCTAAGAAGAAATCTCCGAGAGTCGCCCGTGCATCCCAAGTCGATTCACTTCGTTCCGTCCCGACGCTAGGGTTGGAAGGACCTAACCAGAATCCATGTACTTTAAGACTTTCACTCTTGAGCCTGCCCAGCATCAGTACCAGACTAGCGTACGTAGAATCTGTTCCTCTATTCACAGCATCAGTAGGCCAGAAGGGTGGTGAGCGCCGTAAACTAATCGCGAAGATGCCCCAAGCTATCTGCCTCAAGCGCGTATAGCACGAGCAACGTCATATGTGTTCTTGTGAGCAACGAGGTAATCTTTCAGGGCGTATATTGCGCGTGGTGAAATTGGCGAGAGCTGACAAACGACAATGGTTATCGCGGCCTATCTTTCGGGGAATGACTCAGACCTTGTCGAATTTGCCGAAGTAAAAAGTCACGTGATACCGACTCTCCGCCTTTCTTGACCATCGAAATTAAGGGATGGTTGTTCGAGGCATCTATCTATACCTATCTGACCTTTGCGCCGCAGTCGACGTATACTATCAACGCTGGACGCTGTATGATTACACTGCATGTTCACCGCCGAATCTCATTAGAGCGCAACAGATCATGGCAGAAGCACGAACGCGAGAAAACCTCGAGTATCCAAAAACCAATCTGACGTGGCAGATAATACACAATGCGAAGAAGGGTGGCTACGCTGTCGGTGGATTCTGCGTGTACGTAAGATGACTTGATGCAACTGCGGGCGACCACGCAGCGACACCTTTCAATCATTAACATCATCTTAGCTATAATGCAGAGGGAGTTCTTGCTGTGATTAGAGCTGCGGAAAGGTGCCATTCACCTGCTATCATACAGCTGTTCCCGTGGTCTATACATTTTCATGGTCGCCACTTTGTGCAATATGTTGCCAATATGGCTCATGCTGCTAGTGTTCCCGTTGCAGTTCATCTCGACCATTGCATAGAACCAAGCGACGCAGATTTGGCACTCGAATGTGCATTTGACTCGATCATGGTGGACGGATCACTATTTGACGAGGAGCAAAATATATCTTATGTCAAATCAGTTGTTGAGAGGGCAAAGGCGCGGAATATCACCATTGAAGCAGAACTTGGACGTATGCAGGGCAACGAGGTCGGATTGAGCGCGACTGATTTAAACGCGGTATGGACGGATCCGGATCGCGCAGCGCGGTTCGTGCAAGAGTCGGGTGTACACTTCCTTGCTCCAAGCTTCGGGAATGTTCATGGGCCATACCCAGCAGGAGGTGCTGAAAAGGCCTGGCAGATTGAGAGGTGAGACATACCCCTGGTTGTGCTTTAAACACCTATATATGGCTGATATCAATTGACACCTTGCTTTATCATTACGCAGGTTGCAAAGGATATACAAAGCACTGGGTGATACTACGCCTCTCGTGTTACATGGTACCCATCCGCTTTCGGACGACATGGTTCGCATGGCCATGGCCAACGGAATGGTCAAGATCAATGAGAACAGGACGATTCGGTACGGCTATCACGAGTTTATAGAAGCCGAGTGCAAGTCAACGGACTTGATCAGAGTCCAGGAGGGAGCCGTTGAAGCATATTGCAAGGGAGTACAGAGATTTATGGTAGATGTCTTCGGATCGGCAGGCAAAGCGTGACTCTGAAATCCCCTACACCCCTTCAAGCAAAGAAGAACCACAATAGAACATGTTCTATTTCGTAGGATACTTGATCAACATGTATCGAGACAAGATACAATCACGCCCCGATCTGTGGATTGAAATCGCCACGAAGCATCGACCAGCTATGGAAGATCGTGAACGTGACTATTGCTAGCACGGAGGGGGGGGCTTCACACTACAAAAATCACAGGCCTCGTAGCCACAGCCGTGCGATGGACTTGACTGTTGATAGTCTTCCTCATGTCTGTGCTTAGTCTGGATGTTCCCCGCTATCTACGGCTTGGACTGTTGCCAATAAAATAGTGCTATCAGTGCCGAGACCGCAGCGAAAGCTCAATGCAGGCACGAAGAATGTATCAGTTCTCTTACAGTATTCACCTGCAGAGCTGAATCGCCGATACCACAGCTCCACACCGGGATATCATCCCCAGATACGTTGCATAACCGAATCTGTCGTGTGAGTACTTTGAACTGAATTTCATTGGCTCAATCGCTGTATCAGCCGATCATGAACGGGCTGCAGTATTTTGTCTCCGGAGACGGATTTCACAGGACATTCGGGAAAAGGAGCAGGACATCGGCTCGCACGCTCTCGGAAGAGCAATATTGCGAGACTAGCTCGTTCAACTGTTTTGACCTGCTATAGTTGACGTACGGCTGTATACTAGATCTCTGTGAGAAGATGGAAACCTAGATGAGGAATTTGACGAAGCATGTTATCACGACGATTATCGATTAGTATTGATAACAGCTTCCGTCGAGCGGAGACATATCACGAAGTCGACAACAGAAGAGAATCGGACTTACCACGCGTGCGTCTCCGACTCGCTTACACAGCAGCAACCAACCCCGAACCCTGAGCCAACGGCAACAGTGACCCGGTCCATTCTACGAAGTGATCTGGACCGTCTACTTATAGTTCAATATTGGCGATTTCTGATCACAAGCAACTGTAACGGGTGCTTGGATCTCCTCCAGAGCGTTAATCAGTAGCTATCACAGCGTTCTGGTACATATGTATCGAAATGTCACTTGCAGCGCTTGTGGATACAGACCAGTAAGTACCCGAGAGCTGTGCAATGGAACAACGGCGCATCTATAAGACTAATGAGGAATTCTCACCAGATCAGAGTCTCCAGTAACCGTTGAGAGGCTTCGTAGCCTTGCTCGACGTAATGGCTTCACCATTCCACCTCAGCATGAAGCCTCCTGGCTACTGGGACTACGCTCCTCCTACTTCATTGCAACATACGTCAGCTCACTACCAGTATATATCGATCCTAGTCTGGCGCCAGTACCAACGAAGGATCAGATTCGTGTCTACGGGCGACCAGATCCGCAATCAAATGCTTTGAATGCATGGTGTCACACCACAAGCCTACAGGCGAGGGAACCCATGAGCGACTTACTTAAGGATAGGGGCGTGGTGGCGAAGGATACCATAGCAGTCGCAGGTGTGCCGCAGACATTGGGTACTCTACCCCAGTTTATCTCCCGCTCGAAGGAGTACCCTTGTTCCACTATCGACGCTCCTGTTGTGCAACGACTTCTACTGGCAGGAGCAACACTTAAGGGAACCTCTACCTGCGAGAACTATTCCCTTTCGCCAATGTCCTACACTTCTGCTTTCGGCCCTGTTCACAATCCGTGGCAGCATGGCTACAACAGTGGTGGAAGTAGTAGTGGATCCGCAGCACTTGTAGGACTCAGTATGGCTCGACTGTCCGGACAAGAGGGTCTTGAACACTTAGGTCCCGCTGTAGATCTTGCGCTTGGCGGTGATCAGGCAGGCTCGATCCGACTACCTGCTTCATTTTGTGGCATTTATGGTCTAAAACCAAGCTTTGGTCTTATACCGTACACTGGCATCGCTGGTCTCTCTGCGATGATTGATCACGTGGGACCTTTGGCAACGACCATCGAAGACATAGCACTCTTACTAAGTGTGACTGCAGGCTATGACGGTATCGATCCTCGCATGAGTCCAGAAAGCCCTTTAAGAGACAATGTAGTCTCCTATCATGATGAGTTGGTGAAGTTCACCCGCAACTTCTCCCTGGAACAGCACCGTGGTCTTCACAGACCCATCCTTCGCGTTGGACTCATTAGTGAGTCCTTCACAGTATTCGGCATGTCCCAAGAGGTTGCTTCCGTTGTCCACTGTTCAGCAACGAAGTACTTCTCCGCAGTGGGGGCACAAGTGTCCACGATATCGATACCCCTACATCTGGATGGTCCAGCGATATGGACAGCTGCGGTACGAAATCAGATGGCATCCTCAGCATTCGGCGGCCGTGCCGGCGAGATGTTGACACATGACCTTCCACATCTAGCTCCACGATGGCCACTGGGTCAGGAAGTGTACGATCACTTATCCACGCACAACCCTGCAGTCATACTGACAGCCCTTGGCGAATCACTGCTCACAGACTGTGACATGCTACCACTCTCCGCTCAGCGTACAGCCCACAGACAAGCGCTACAGCTTCGAGCCGTATATGACAAAGCATTGGAGGAGGTTGACGTTCTGATCACGCCCACTGGACTTACCGCAGCACCACCACTTCCAAAGCTGGACAATGGTCATGAAGCCTCGAGCTCGATTGAGAATCTGCTCAGACTTTCAGCAGGGTCAACCAACAACACTTCACCCTTCAACATAACTGGGCATCCAGCACTGAACGTGCCATGTGGATGGGCAACAACTCCGGACGGCTTGCACAAACTCCCTGTGGGCATGCAAATCATAGGCAAGCGGTTCGGTGACTTCGAAGTTCTCAAAGCCGCGAAAATTTCGAGTTGGGAGGAGGACAGCTGGGACCTCGGCCTGGATGAAGGAGCTGCTACCAGAGCCTCGGCGAGGAAGCTTCAGACACCAGGCATGGCTCTGCTTAAGAGAAATGAGCATGCGATGTATCTCTTCGAAGTCTCAAGCAGTCTAGCGCTATTCACCCACCGTTGGAGCAACATCAAGGCGCTGAAAGTTTTCTCCGTGGTTCATTTACGATGAAGAAGTCAGTCCCCGAGTCAGATACAATATGTAACAGACTTCCTGTCACGCGCATCGCAGCTGAGGATGTGAAAGTGCCGAGAGTCCGGCTGCTAAGTGCTCCTCAACCGTCGGACGCTGTAAAGGATGCTTGTCACGTGCCCTCGGGACGGCGGATCTATTGTCCAGATGAATTGAAACATTTCCCCATCCCCGACCATCGCCCTGCTCCTGCTCCTGCTCGGCCTAGTCTCGGCGAGACGAATGCCCGCTCTGGATCGAAGTTCTAGATCCGTCATCTTCTCAAACACCGTACATGCACTGAACAACCCGCATGCCAAAAGACTACTAAGACTTCCACCTTGTATTACTGGTCGACGGCAGGGCTCAAGTGCTCATCTTGATCAAGTTTGACGCAAGCATCAAGCTTGGTGTAGTCGTGGGCGTTGAAATACTTTGGCCTTGGCTGAGTTTCAGACAATTCCCCGCACTTGTTTGGCGAACTGCCTACTTGGCGAGCCTGGGCAATAGGTCGTCTCGTTCACAACTTCCATCAGTGGTTTCAATGCTTGCGAGAATACAGCGTCCGACGGTGTGCTACTTTCTAGCTCCACGCCCTTGCTCACGAGCATCAGTCGCACCCAACGAGAAGTGGCATCATGTTCACGACCTGGAATATATATCTACACGAGACGCGACATGCACCATCATAAACGTACATATCATAAACGTACATGAGATATGGAGAAAGCACCGGGACCTCAATCTCACCTACTGATTCCGGAACAAATTTCTGGACGATTTCTGCGCGACGATTGCCTGATCTGGGCAAACTCCAGCCCAAGGAGATTACCTCGTTGCCAACGGGGATGTTTGATTCAAGCCTATCTGCCCACGCCTCAAGCCTCAGGATTGGTGTGTCTCGAGCACGCAGTGCGCGTTCATCGCTCTCACTTCCAGGATTGAGTCCGCGGGTCAATGTCCGATCATCTCGTGGATTACTCTTATCGTCCCCTCGAAAAAGCCGATCAACAGATCCGCATATCGGACAATCACGGGCATTGGCCAGTTACCGGGCAGGTGGGTCCCGATAGCAGAGATCCAGACGTTGGCGAAATCGACTACACAACGAAAGTACCTATCGAATAGCCTATCGGTCGGTTGTGGAGACGCAGCATCCTGGAGCGTTTGTCGCCTTGGGCTATATAATGCTTGAAATAACACCACAGCCAACCATGACAGCCATACTGACCACAAAGGCACCATGGACGACAAATGCAAGGTAGAGACCTCCTTGGGGGCGGATGAAGAGCGATGTGACACGGCACAGGCACAAGTTGAAGACCTGAATGGGCACTTGAAACGTGGTCTCAAGGAACGACATCTGCAGTTCATAGCCATTGGGGGCACCATCGGCACAGGCTTGTTCCTTGGTATTGGCGCTGCTCTTGCGACATCTGGACCTCTCTCCCTACTCCTGGGATACTCCATCAGCAGTGTAGCAATATGGATCATGGTAGGTCGTCATAGTAAACGCTGTCAACAATTCCTGCTGATACATCTCTGCACAGATGCAATGCTTGGGAGAGATGACTACACTGCTACCGCTGCCTGGCATGATCGCACAACTAGGCTCTCGTTTCATTGACCCAGCATTGGGTTTCGCGATAGGATGGAATCAGTTCTACAATTGTGGTATCGCTGTATGCTCCGAACTTTCAGCAATAACGGTTCTCGTCCAATACTGGGTCGATGTCAATGTATGCTTACCCGCCCATTATGAGTAGCAGGCTTGCTGACCAGATTACAGCCAGCGATATGGATCACTGCTATTCTTGTACTTGTGGTCTTCTTCAACATCTTCGCCATCAATATCTACGGCGAGGCAGAGTTCGTTTTTGCCAGTATCAAGATCTTGGCAATTGTTGGTCTGCTGATCCTAGCCGTAGTTATTGATCTGGGGGGCGCTCCCGTACAAGGACGACTGGGCTTTCGATACTGGGTCCATCCAGGCCCGATGAATGCCTACATCGCACAGGGAGCTGCCGGGCGATTCCTGGGACTCTTTGCCACGCTCACCAATGCTGCCTTCGCTTTTGGGGGTATAGAACAGATAGCTGTCGCGGCAGGCGAGACGAAGAACCCGACCCAGAACATTCCCAAGGCGGTTCGCCGAGTCATTTGGCGACTCATTCTCTTCTACGTGGGTGGTGCACTGGCTATTGGAGTGCTTGTGCCTTCCAAGAACCCGGGACTACTGTACGGAAAAGGCGTTGCAAAGTCACCCTACCTGATCGCCATCCAGAATGCCGGCATACCAGTTCTGCCCTCGATACTTAACGCCGTCATCATCAGCTCGGCAGCGTCCTCAGCAAACGCGAACCTCTACGGTGGATCTCGATATCTCTATGCTCTGGCAGTGCAGGGTCAAGCCCCACGAATACTGCGCAGATGCACTGCACGAGGCATACCCATCTACTGCGTAGCTTGCACAAGTGCATTTGGACTGCTCACATACATCACTATCTCTTCGACTGGCTCGACAGTCTTTCACTGGTTCTCGACCCTGAACACAGTCGCGTACCTCAACACATGGCTGGCTATCTGCTACGCATACACACGATTTCGACGTGCACTCCTCCATGCAGGCATAGATCGCAATGGTCTAGCATTCAAAGCCAAGGGCCAGCCGTATCTGGCGTGGGCAGCAGCTGTCTTTTTTGCCATTGTCCTCTTCTTCAACGGCTTTGCCGTCTTTACGCATGGACATTGGGATATCCAGCAGTTTTGCTCGGACTACATTGGCATTCCGTGAGTGTTGTCCCCTTCCACCTCTGTCTTTTTCATGGCCTTGAAGTATAAGGACTGATCCGGCGTTCGCAGTATCTTCATCGGTCTGTATCTCTTTTGGAAGTTCGTCAAGAAGACAAAAGTCGTGCCCATTGAGGAAATAGATCTTTACACGGGAAGAGTGTCTGAGTCCGAGATGGAGCAACGAGTCTACGCTAGGTCTTGTTGGGGTCAATTACAGAAGGGGTGGGACAAGGTTTTGTGACGAGAGGCGCTTCGCAGCTCCCAACAGTCTCATACCGGGGAAGGACAAGACCGGATGAAAACCAGATATTGCTTACAGATTGAGGTGCAAATCTTCCTAGCGGTTCTTCCGGGGCCAAACAGAAGTCTCTAGGGCGCTCTTTGCCTGCGATAATTTGACCTTCTACGCACGAGTGGGGTCCCGGGATCAAAGTCCCAAGGGAACCGAGCCTATTGAAACGCCGTCAACTATGCATGAACTCAGCCGGGCCAGAAGAGTCCGTACCTCAGCGAAGTCAACGAGCGTAGAGCTCTCAAACCCGTCGGCCTAATCTCGCATGATCGCAATTACCATGTACCAGGAAACCGTTGTAGAACCCACAAATTTCGAGTAATCAAGTTTAGACCACGTCGAGGGACGCTCGTAATCCAGAGAATGCTGGTTTCACAGGGACCACAAGATAGGGAAAAGAAGGAAAGCACTTCGAAACGGTTCGACCTCATTCCTGCCTATTGGCAGATACTCAGATACGGGACCTAGAGCTCTCCAGAGTGTTTATGAAGACATGCGCGCGACCTACATCGTATCTCCTAGTGAATGCTTTGTTCCCTTGCCAACCCATGCTGTAGATAAAAGTTCCATCACAACGAAGAGGCCAAAACCTCTCCGGGGCGATGTTTGAAACAAAGCGATACCTATCTTGATCACTACTTAGGTATCGGAGTTCTACACGATCTCCTCTCCAGCAACTGCACTGAAAAATGCATCGCTGAGATAACCACCGCACCAGCTCATCTTTTCATACCCATCTACCTTCCAGGGCGTCCTTGAAACTGCAGGCGTCTGGATTTTGTCAAAGTGGCCCCCTATCCCCTCCTTGCACCACATCTCCGCCGACCGCTCAATCTCCATGTTAACGCCCTGAATCATGTACATGGGCTGCACCTGCCATACCACACCATACTCACGCGCCATTTGTGCTGACGCGTTCTTTCGACGTTCGGTAGTCCAGCCCGCTGATTCTGGAAATGGCCATTCTCCACCCCATGCGAATGCAAACATGCGGTCTGGGAAGTGTTTAAGCATTGATTGGTGATATTCCTTGATATCATGATAGTTGGGACTGTCCATGCGCGTCCAGGAGAGGTCGCTGAGAGGTGCGACCAGTACAGCGCGCTCGACGATCGACCTGACTGTTGGTCGAAACATGTACTGGCCGTTGCGGGAGCGCGGAATGTCCCAATCGAAAGTGATTTCAATGCCTGCAATCTCAATAGCTGCCTGGCGGCGTGCTGTAAGAGAGCTTCCGTAGCCGATGCGAGACTTGTACTTGATGAAATCCTCTTCTAGTAAGCCGCAGCGGGAGAACTGCGATTGCACAGCCTCGTCAAAAGTCATCAGTCCGGCACAGGATATCCATTGCGCACGTGCCTCCAACGCCGATTTGCTGCAATGTATAGCTTCTTCAAGGACTTCTTGAAGTGGTCGAACTAAATTGGTTGCCCCCAACACGTATTCGTGGTCGCGTGGGTCAAGTACCGATGTGATGAAATCTGCGTGATCTGTGTCGCATCGCGCGAATATTAATGTCTCAGCCTGCATGATGTCCAATTGAAGTCGGACCGCTTTCACTCGGTCAACGTATTCTGATGTAGGCACTACAGTTCGCCCTTGTCCGATAGTGAACTTCTTCAGACCGATAGCCAAATCGTCGATGTGAATGCCTGCGGATCCGAACTCAGCGAGAGCTTTGGTGGACTTCATTGTTGCTGTCAAGGAACCAAACCCCATGTCACCATCTGCGATGATGGGCATCAGGTAGTCCCATTTCTCCAGCGCGCCTCGTTCTTCCTGTGAGTGGCTCATCCGGTATTGATGCTGTCTCTGATCATGCCACAGTTCGGCTCGGCAGATCTTGTCGACGACTTTGGGTACCGTATCCCAGGGCTGGGTCGCTCGGCAGGCTCGTTAGCATTTCACTCAGAGACCGAATGCACAGTGATATAACGAAGGACTTACGTAGTCTGCATGATCCATGCCAGGATAATTATTCTCGCTAAAGCCAGATAACCCACCCGAGAGGTAGACTGTACGCATGTGCTTAGCCATCTGGCTGATAGCAACAGGATCAGTAGCGCCGAAGCTCATTTCTGCTGTCCCATGCCGACGATGCTCGAGCAGCATGTGCCATAATTTAAGCGCTGCTGGGTTAGCGACGCAGGAAATACGTTGAGTTCCTCGTAATGCTGCGACCGTCTTTGCACTGTACGGCCGAGAAATGTGCTTCTGACGTGGGCTTGCCCACCAGTCGCTGACTTCGCGAATAGTCTCATCGAATAGGGTCTGTTCTGCTTGTAGGGTTTTCACGGCCCCTGGCTCTGGTACAGAGCATTCGTTAGTATAGGGCGCCATCTCTCAGGAAGAAGAGGCACTGAATTGCTTAAAAAATGATCTGACAGTCACTAGCCGTGCGTGCATGGTTCAAAGTGCTTGCTATATCTAGTGATACATGTGAAGGCGTTCGTGCACCAGACGATGACCTACCTATTGTAGTTAGGGCCTGTTGGGATTGGGACGTGCACTCAAAGCTTTCCAATTTCCGAAGACTAACTAACATGAGGGAAGGTTGTCGGTTTCGATACACCCGAAACGTTTCTTTTGCCGAGGCGACCGGCTTTAGGTCCAACGCCGATACCGGGATGGCTTACGTGATGCTCGAGCTATCTTATCGCACAGCGTACCCTATCAACCGCTGGGACTGGCTCACGCGGGGCTTCGGGGAACTTGCTATCATGACATGCAGGTGAGCCATGCACAGGACTTGCGTCCCGTAGAACACTGACATACACACCTCTGCGTCGTTCGTGTCCCCATGTCTCAGCATTAGATACTGAGCAGAGATATCCTTCACGGTAAACAAGACCTACGAAGCCATGGGCGGCCCGTCAGCCCAGACTGCCGCTGGGAAACACCAGGAAACGCAACACCGAAATATAGAACGCGCTCGCCATCATCGTGGCAGAATGCCAAAAGCATGCGCGCAGTGCCACGATCGAAAGCAAAAGGCAGGTCTCTGCTTGGCCCTCGTGCACCACGAATGCCATTGCTGACGGGCATGCTAGTGTGACGGGATGCAGCCCTGTCGCAATTGCATCCTCCGCCGCATCCCATCATCGTGTCGTCCATTTGCAAGAGCGGATCTTACGCCACGTCAGCTTCCTGCCGAGCACTCAATAGCTCATCAGCGACAGTCAAAGGAGCCTAGTGCGAAGCAGTCGTCGCGAGTGGCTGGCAACTTGGCCAAAGAACCATCCGGCGCCGGCGATGCACTGAGCCACGGCAGAGACAACGACAAACCCCCTCTGGGTCAGCTGTGGAAGTCTCGTGGCGCACCAGCTTTCTTCGGTAGTTCGTATTTCGGACCTCAAGTCGCGGCTGCGTTTTTGGACAGTCCTGCACCTTATATACAGCCGGGTGCGGGTATGTCACAGAGGAGTACGAACGTCCGCCCGTTTCGCAGTGAGGCTGGGCCGTTTTCTCAAATGTGGGATCTACTTGGTCTTCTGCCACGTCAGCGATCGACAGTCGACCGCTTGATAAACTGCTATTTCGTACAGCTGAACGGCGACATTGATGCAGTACACGAAAAGTCCTTCCGTCAACAATACGAGCGCTTTTATTGTCGCGACTTTGGTAAAGATGATGTTACGACGGTTGATATCCGGTGGCTGGCCCTGCTGTTCATCATCCTTGCGTTCGCTTCACAACTAGATTGTCCGCCCGATGCAGGGCCTGAGGTGCAGCGACAATATGAGGAATCATCTATGTCATTCTTTTGGGCATGTCGCAAGGCCATTGTCATAGCCCCATCGTTCTACGGCGAAAGTATTGATTTAGTCAGAGCTGGCATCTTGGTGACGCGGTTCTGCATTTTCACCCAACGCATAACCGAGAGCTGGTTGACTGTCGGTTTCGCATCGAGGTTGGCCATGGCACAAGGATTTCATATTGATGGTGTTCAGTGGAAGTTGTCGCGCCGCGAGACCGAGATTCGACGAAGACTTTGGTGTCAGTTATACCTGCTTGACCGCATGATCTCTCTAGCGCTAGGACGACCGTACGCAATTGTCGATAATTTGTCACTCCCTCAGGAACCCGAGAATGTTTTCTTAGACGAGGCGGGCGACTTGGAGGCAGAGACTATTGAAGCACAACCAATTGAAGATCGTCCAACACCGACCGTACTGGCTATCTACTCTTACCGCCTCGCAAAGGTTATCGGAAAAATTCATGAGCAAACCTTCGGCATGAATAAATGTTCCTATAGAGAGGTTACAACTCTTGAGGCCCAGCTTGTCAGCTGGCGACAGAGTCTACCTCGTTACCTGGCTCTCAAGGACCCGGACAGGTCTCTGGACCGGACTCACAGGTATCTCAAGTGGCATCGCCACTATCTGCACACCGCCTTTCACTTTGCCTGTGTCACACTCCACAGACCATTCGTTTGGCGATTTTCAATAAGCGACCAATATCGCTACAGCCGAGAGATTTGTTATACTGCAGCATGTGCAGACCTCAAGACACGACTCGACCATAACCCTGAGGAAAACGCCGATGAGAACATCTCCTGGGGTCTCGGTGTTCCCCGTTTGTTCAACAGTGCGATCATCTTAGGTATGCTAGCTATCCGGGACCAATCACATGGTAAACAAGACTATCGTGCTCTCAACAACGATTTGCAGTACTTCTGCGAAAAGGAGACTAGCGATATTTGGGTGAATGACTTCCGCTTGGCCGAAGTCAAAGTGATTGAACTTTGCATTGATCGTCTTAAGCGAGGACCGTTATCGAAAGAAGCAACCAGCCTTACGGATTCCCGTGCGCTATCAGCTCCGAAAGGCCAGGGTCAGAGGAGTGCGAATCCCGTCCAGCCCACACAGAGTGCCTCACAAGCAGTTCAAACCCCTGAGTTTGTGGACGGTGAAAGGGGCCTGCAGCGAACGGGCCAGGTACACCTCGAGCAACAAGGTCAGCATCGACTGCTTCCCGTCGCAAGCCAAGAACAACATTCGGAACCGTGGAAAGAGGGAGAAGCTTGGCCGACGCGTGATGCAGACGAAGTTCAGCCATTTTTCCAGCCCATCGGTGACTTTAGTGATTTATTTTCTTTTCCTGGACCAACTGATCTCGACACATGGCAAGGAGTGATTGACTGTATGGATCATCAGCTCTTTGGCGAGCAATTTCAGGGATTCTAGGCCTGGCTCGCAACCCAGTAGTTAGATTCCATTATGTGCTAAGATCTCCACGGCATTAAAGGCAATTCGATGCCCTTGTATGGCTACATCATTGAGGTACTGGCGTCAACAGACGCCCTAGCTTCAACGCACTATGGACATTATCAAGCATGAGTTTCTCCATCCGGTGCTAAGTGTGTGGAAACTCATTAGTTTTTTTGTCGGGCAACGAATTTAGGCATAGGCTTTTGGAACTCACACGCGTATCGATTGTTGCAGTCCCTATATGTGGGAACAGCACCACGTTTTCATTCTGTCTGAGACCCTCATGGACCAATGGCTCGTTTTCGAAGACGTCTAGCCCGGCGCTCCAGACTTTTCCACTTTTCAAGCCCTCGACGAGAGCATCTTCGTTTAGAATCGAGCCTCGAGCTGTATTGACAATAACCACGCCGTCTTTCATCTTCTTGATCTCTTCGTATCCAATGAACCCTGTCGTCTCCGGATAGAGAGGCAAGTGTATAGAGATCGCATCGCTAGCTCGGAACAGCTCCTCTAGGCTGACGAATTTCGGTCTCTGCTCCGGGCTCAAATCCAGTACGTCGATGTCGGAGTTTCGTGCCGGGGATCTGTTATGATACTGCAACCGAAAACCGAATCCAGCTGCGCGTCTCGCCACTGCCAGGCCTATGCCGCCCATACCAAGGATCCCCAAAAGCATGCCCCTACAATCGCGGCCAAGCGGTCTATTGGCATCCCAGAAGCCTTGACGTAATGAGCGTTGCGGAATCCAAGCACGGCGCAATGCCGCCAGAAGCAAGAGCATTGCGGTGTCCGCTGTGGCGTCATTGACGACGGAAGGGGTATTTGAGACTTGAATGCCTTGGTTGAGTTGGGTCATCAGCGCCAGGCTTGTCTAGTCGAAAGTAACGGATGTACTCACCGCGTTCTGTGCATGCCGGAATATCAATCTGATCATAGCCAGCCCCGTTATGACATATGAACGCAACGGAGGCCGGAAGGTGCCTGACCAATTGGGCATCGAAACGGCTGGTCACCTAAATCGCAAGATCAATGTATGCGCCATGGTCAGTACCTGCTGCGATACTTACTTCGATAGAGTCTACGGTCCTTCCTATTACCAAGACATTATCGTAAATCCCAGACCTACAGTCTGTGATGAATTGCTGCCGCGAACCTTTCGTTACATGCTGTCAGGCCGAGACAGTTAGCATTCTACCCACTGCATTCTTTTTGAGCCCACCTGAAAATGTACTGCCCCTGATGTAGCCAAGGTCTGTATGCTCTCTTCAGCGTGATGGATGTGGCCTAGCAACAGCACTGACGGCGACGTAGCATTTTTCGCGGGCGCGATCATCTTTGTTTTTGAACAGGGTGTGAAGTCAAGGCCAGGAAAGTGTCGTCGACCAGAAAGTCCGGAAAACTGACAACACAGAGTCTCAAGGACAGCCCTTTGCTACAGGACCTGCTTCAGATCGACGGCACGCTTACAACGTTGACCGGTCTACCTTAACGTTCGTTGCGGCATTATGCCAAGCCCCCTACAACGCAAGTCCGAGCGGCACTCGCGTCCAGTGCTCTGAAAGAGGACGACCTGTCCAAGGCTTGCTCATTGGCACAACGTATGCGCGATCAGGCCTGAACCCGGACGACGCTTGCGAAGCCGTCCCTTCTCTCGCACGGTCCACTTCCGCACCTGCAAAGTTCCTGAACAAGGGCGATTAAGCCGAAGAGATCGGAAAAAGATTGAGGTGGGGATTTTTGATGTTTCGGAATGAAACTCTGCTGTGGTTGGTCGCTCTAATACGCGCTGAGTAATGATTCCGCGCAAGCAATGAGCAACGTGCTATAACCTTGACACATTGGTTGCCAGGGACTCATCTCTGTTACAGCCTTCTTCGAGGGTTCAACTTGCTTGGAAGCTCACTCTCACTGTCAAGGAAGAATCGACATCCAACAGACTGTACTTGAGAATCAACAAGACTCGCGGAACCACCACCAGACACGACCGACAAAATGCAAGCACTCGCCAAGCCCGAAATTGAATTCACCCACGTGACCAAAAGCAAAGGGGTCTTCGCCTCGACGGTCACAAAAGCCACTCACGCTGACGGCACATTCACTGAGTACCGCACATACCTGCTGTCTCGTGACCCCACCACTGGGGACCAAACGATCCTCAAGGAACATGCTCCTGGTAGCTCGTGGGGAGCAATCCCAGCGACAATTTTGACAAGGATACGGTCTGCTCGCACGAGTTCTGGGAGGAGTGCTATATCATTGAGGGGCGATTCTGGGACGTCGGAAAGAAGCAGTGGATGGAGGCTGGAAGCTATTGTTGCAGGCCACCGGGAATGCTGCATGGGCCATGCAAGGCGGATGAGAAGGTAGGGTGTAGAGAGATCTGTACTGCGAGGTACTTGCAGAAGAAGTTGTGAAGGATGGACACCTGTTTTGATGGGCGATTCCTACGAGTCAGTTGGTCAGTCTCGGTAACTGGCAGAGTCCGACAACACTTGCTGATGTCGGTGAACAGTAATACATTCCGTTCACATTCATCTGCCTCGCCACCTCTCTACCAATGCTTACCTCTGTTGAAACTCATCAACAACATCAATCCAGGCCTTTAGGTCGTTTCAACACGCCTCATTCTCCATACAAATCCTCTCCTGGCCCTCCAGATATCATCCGTCCACCTGTACACATAATCCATCCTCTGCTCAACGCCTTCGCCCCCTTCGCCTCACTCGTATGCGGCGCCACGACAATGCACTCCTCCGGCGAGCGCTTTACCAGCTTGATCGCCTTCTGACAAGCTTCTGGCTGAGGGTTTGTAGAAGCCCACCAACTCGCTTGAGAACAGGACGTCAAAGTGCTGCAACAAGCCGGTAGATCGAGCAATGTCAAGCTTCAGGCGCGTGCTGTCGTTAGCATGCACAATGACTTCCATGTTGTGCTCGGTTTTCAGCTTCTGCAGCGCTAGAGCCGCATCCGGTCACGCGCGATGATGGTACTCGGCGGCAACCAGGCGGCCTTTTGCTTCAGGCGTTTACAAGTGGTGTTTGACGCCTGCTTTACCATCCGATCCGAGGAACGCGGTCAACACACTGTGCTGAGTGATAGTGTCGAAGTCTTTGACTGGCATTCCTGCAGTGATCCTGAAGCGATCCGTTGGGTATGGTATTCAAAACCCTTGACAGCTTTCTTGGACCAAGCTTGATCTTTGCGGTCCTGGAACGGTGGATCGGAGGGCATTGACGATGCTCGAGTGTCAATCTAGGCAGATTCCCATGGAGCAAAACTAAACGGACCTGATTCGCTTCGGCACCGTGGGCGGTCAGGATGCCATCATGCTCATCTGCCACGCTTGATGGCTGCCAGACCAGAAGTTCTGAGCAGTAGATCTTTCTGTGACTCGTCGAATGGTCGGAAGCGGCGATAGTGTTGCTCTCAATCGCCAGCTTTCCTTCAGCTGGACATGAAGCATGCGGAACATGCGCCTCGAGTCAACGCATCTGAAAATGGCGTAAGCATGTTAACAGAGCGTCGATACACGGTCTTCTGCAGAGCGGTGCTCAGCCAAAATTTCCGCAAGCGATTTGTCAGTCGCGGGAGCTGTCAAGTCTGTATTAGAGCCGTACAACACCACTATCCGCAGAGAATTCTCATGTGGTTTGACGCACGAAAACTATTAGATACAGATCGGAAATCAATCGCGTACCATCATTTCCTAGCCTAAGCCGGATTACCGACAGCACCGTTGGAGCGGCTTTGACGGCCCCGGAGAATACTCCGGCGAGGGCTGAAGGGGTGTACCCCATAGCAGATGAATGAAGATCGGCAGCTACCACAGAAGCTAAACGGTCGACCGGCTTAGGCACCGCCTTGGCCCAGGAAGCCGTGATGCGCACCAAAGATCGGAGAATTCAGCCAATAGCGTCATCACTGCATGCTATGGTGAGCCAAGCGCCGTTATCCAGATACCCAACGAGCAACCGCGTTATTATGCATTCGTGTGCGGCTATGCTGCATGTCCCGACATTCGATCGCCTGATTGGCTCTCTACGCCGTACCAGGTGCAGGAGCTAATTTTGTATTCCACGTAAGGTACTCAGTATAATCACCGTCGCAGCCGTCACAACGTGCGCGACAGCATGATATGTGCAACTCGAGCGATAACACCTTCAATCGACTTGTGCACACCTTGACGGGATATATTCATGCCCCACGCATCCTGCTCTCATCAAGAAGAGATGGCCAGATCCTCGGACGCCACAGACAGCGAACTACCCTCGGCACGGTATGATGATCTGGAAGGAAAAGTTGTCCTATGTGAGTGTTCCAAATATTGGCGGTCCTTGAATTCTCCTCCCAGGCTGATCCGTCTTTCTCAAAGTGACTGGGATCGGCCAAACGGGCGACCAGGACATGTGGGGTAATGGTGCTGCCACGGCACGTATTTTAGCCAGGAACGGCGCAAAGATCTATGGATGCGATCTCCACTTTGCAGCTGCTGAGCACACTGCAAACCGTCTCCGTGCAGAAGGGGCTGATGTCACAGTCTCTTCAGCCGATGTGACCTCAAGCGAAAGCGTGAAAGCATTGGTCGACGCCTGTTTGAAGAAATATGGTAGAATTGATGTCCTGGTCAAGTAAGGCCCTCGCTTTTCCAATTCAGCGTACGAAGCGCTGCTGACCGAGGAACTATGCAGTAATGTTGGACGCTCGGAGCCAGGCGGTCCAGCTGAGATGACAGAACGTATCTGGGACGCGCAAACCGACGTCAACCTGAAGTCCGTATACCTGTGCTGCCATGAAGTTCTTCCTGTAATGGAGCAGCAGGGATCTGGAGTAGTCGTCAACATCGCATCAATTGCCGGCCTACGATACATTGGAAAACCCCAGGTAGCGTATTCGGCCACTAAATCAGCCGTGATCCAGTTCACGAGAGCAACAGCAGTGATCTACGCTGCAAGAGGCATACGCATGAATGTGGTTGTCCCGGGTCTCATGAACACGCCCCTCGTCTCTGTGCTTGCAGAAAAGTACGCAAATGGCGATCTCGATGGCTTCAGAACCAAACGCAACAAAGCTGTTCCGATGGGCAGAATGGGTGATTCGTTCGATGTAGCCTTTGCCGTGGCCTTTTTATCTTCGCAACAAAGTCGGTACATAACGGGCCAGAAAATAGTGGTGGATGGGGGCATCACGTCGTCGACTGGGTAGACGGGGATGGTTTAGAAGTTCTTGTTGCCCGCGATGTTCAGCAAGGGCGCGCAAGGCCACTAGAACACCAGCCTAGGGATACAAGTAGTCGGCATTTTCGGCCATCGGATCGGGCAAGTCGCAGACAGAGACAACCGACCACAGGTCGCTGCGGACCCACAGAAGCTCTCCGTGACAGTCCCAGAACTAGGAAGAAATTGGTAATATACACTCTGGTTCGTGACCAGTCGCTGGACGTTATAGGTGAAAGTACCCCAGGAACGTCCAAATACTCCGCGACTTCCATCTTTTGGCCTTCCAATTATTCGCTGGCTTGGGATAGAGGTCAACGACTCCCATCAGACTATTGTCATGGGCGATGACAGGGAAGATGCTGTCATAGGCATCCAGTTCGCCCATCTTCACGATGCTGCGAGTTGCTTCGGCTGCTGATAGATGCCACGCGCCTTCGGCAGTCGTTGGATTGAAGAATGGTTCCGTACTGCTCTTCTTCGGATGAACATTAACGAATACCTCTCCCGGGCATGCAGGTACTGTCCTGAGATGTTGCAAGTTTTGCGACAGCACAGTCGTCTCTGTGACAGGGTTTGGACTGATCTCCTTCGGTATCGGCAAGTACTGAGTAGGCCGAAACTCTCCTGCGTGATGCGCAATGTCGCCTCCCATCAAGACAAAGGTTGGAGGATCCGCCGTCGTCCGCGCAAGTGCCGACATATGCCCTACAGTATGACCAGGCGCGTCCAAGAGGTAGAAACTTCCATCTCCGTAGAAGTCGAACGCTCTGAATCTTCCAATCTCGAGCTCATCTTTGCCGAAGTCAATCACTCGCAATGTCCGTCCTTGCCACAGGCGCTCGTCAACCAGGAAATCTGGCACTGTCGGAAAACAAGGCGTGAAGGCCTCCTTGAAGCCTGGACCGACGATGACATCTGTCTCGGATGGAAACAGACGAGGATTTTCGGTATGATCGAAATGCCAGTGCGACCAAATGATCCCGCCAATCTCCGCCAGATTCTTTCCGTTCCCTTGCAGGATCTCCGACACGTCTTTCTGAACTACAATCGAACATCCTCCGTCCCTAATACTCTTCAGGAAGACATCTGGAGAATTCTTCTCCCAATCCTTGCGAACTCCGAGATCGAAGAGGAGACTATCGTATTTGCTTCCGCTTTTCGGATGCTCTATCAGAAAAGCGAAGTCGCAGCAGTCCATCTCGGTATATCCCGCGATGGTAGGCTCCACGAATCCGGCAGCAGGAAACTTGCACATATGGCTTGTCGTGTCGATAATGTATACCTGCACCGTATTTGTCGATTCGGGGATCTTCAGCGGGGGCGGAGGAGTTGCCATGTTCTCGTTGCAGGATCAAATACAGATGCTTCCGGTCGATGTTCTCTGACACGTCAATAGGGAACGATGAACAGCGTTGATTTCGACTACCGGAGAGGAATTTGAGGGACGTGGGGAGGAGTTGGGGAAATCGTGAAGATAAGATAAGGCAAGCGCGATTCCGGTTGTCAGAACAAGCTTTTGGGTTGTACCTCCAAACATATCTTCTTGATCTCATCAGCACGCGATTCATCAAAGCCTTCGCGATCAATCCCAACTATCTCAGCATGGACGATACGCCGCGAGCTCAGAGATCAACAAGCAACGGGAGTCGGCTACTGCAGCGCACAGAGATCAGTCGCCCGCCAAAGCTGAGACCTTCCCTGGCGGGGCAACGCAAAGCTCACCTCATGCTATCTTGAGGCGGCGTCTCATAAGACCCGTGCTGTAGCACACACGGTTCTTCTGCGGCGCAGGAGCAGGAGCTCATGGCACTTGTGCAGAGACCCAATCGACCTTGCGACGCGTGCCGCAAACGGAAACTAAGATGCTTGCCATTCGAAGCAGAAGCAGATTGCGCATTGTGTCGGTCTTACGGACAGCAATGTTCTTTCGTCGAAGCGCCACCAAAGAAAAGACGCAAGAAGAGTGACGCCCTACCGACTCACGAGGAGACGCATTCGCTAACATCACCGCGACCTGAGCAACCGAGAAGCAGCTCTCACCCAAGCGACCCATCTTTGTTGGACGGCACGCTTGGCCATCAGTCCTTCCGGACCAATACATACGTCGGAGCTACATCTTTTCCAAGCCGGCTCCTCCTCGAGTTGATTCCGGACGATCCTCTTTCCGCCTATCAGCCCGCTATCTCTGGCTCCGAGATTCGCTGTGTCGGAAAACACGGCCACTTCGTTATTACCTCGGACAAACACGACGTCGTTGACGCTCAGCAGTCTCTCCTCGATCAAATCGAGGATGCAATTTCGCCACACGGCCCGCATCTTGTGGAATTGTACTTTCGGGTCGTACACCCTAGCTATCCTGTGCTTCACAAAGACGTGCTTCTTGAGAAGTATAGTCGTTCGTATCGGAAACTCACACCGGCTTGCTTGACCGCTGTCTACATGGTTGCCATGGGGTGGTGGTCTTTCAGCGTTGAGCTGGCGCATGCTCCGAAGCCGGACGTCGGCGCTCTGAATGGACTGGTTCCAGCTCTTATGGCGTTCGACAAGCGTACCAAGGTCTCCGATATCCAGGCTGGTCTACTACTACTTCAGCGCCCCGGGCATGACTCCTGGAGCTGACGTCGCAGCTTGTTGCAGCCGCAGAAGAAGTTGGACTACACCGCGATTGCTCAGCGTGGCAGATCCCAGCATGGGAGAGAGGTGTGCGCAGGCGAGTAGCTTGGGCGGTATTCGTCCAGGACAAGTGGGGCGCCCTTGTGCACGGCCGCCCTTCGCATATACAGGTGAAGAATTGGGACGTCCTTCCCCTCCAACAATCCGACTTCCCGGAAGCACTCGACGACGATGACGACGAGCAGGGAAGCTCAGAAGTCGAAAGAGGTGTTCTAATCTTCATTTACATGACGACTTTGTCACAAATCTTATCTGACATCATCGAGGAACTCTTTACAGTGGAAGCAAGCAATCGGAACCACAGCACAGCTGAGTTGCTGAGTATCGTGAAGCCGATACAGCTTCGGCTGAAGGAATGGTACAGCTTACTTCCGCCATGCCTCGACCTTAGTGCTACTCGTTCGAAGAAGTTGTCGGCTACAGGTTTGTCAACTATAGCCCCATTCATTTGTGAACTATCTGACACGCTTAGGACAATTGTATCTGGCGTACTTGACTGTCGAGGTCACTCTCCACCGAGCAATCTTGGAATCTGAAGCGCAGCAACCGCTGAACGCCGAGCTAAGGCAGATTACGCGAGAGGCAGCAATAATGAGGTTTAAGTCTGTCATCGAGTTCCTTAAGCTGCTGCAGCCTCAGCACATGCAAGCCTTCTGGCATTTCGCGTCAGAACCCTCTCTGGCTATTATCACCACCTTCTCACTGGTCCTGCTCGCAACCAGCAGAGCTTCCGCAGAGTCTGCAGAGATCTACTCGCTCATTGTCGAATATAGATGGCTTCTGAATATCAATGGGCCAGGTGCCGCGTTTACGAAGACTGCAGTCGATATTCTCCAAGCGAACGCTGCATTCTTATCATCATTTCGATCCGGAGGTGCGCAGATTAGCGGGCGCAATGCCACCAGTGACCCTCACAACCGCCGCACCGATGGTCCAGCACGACCAGAACTTACACCCGAACGAATTCAGGAAACCATCGGGCTAGCTCCATTCAACCCAGAGCTGGGGGGAGCGACGCGAAGCGATAGCCCTTCATTGTCTGGTCTCGCGTTCACGCCCAGCGATCTGTGGTTTTAGAGCCACGAGTTCGACGGCATTGCCTAGACATGCGCGTCTACCCGGCGCTGCATGCCGACATGTCAGAAGCTACGGTCAAAGCATACCTTCAAACGGCAGTCTCTGAGCAATCACCGTTGGACTGTGGGCCGATGAAAGCTCCCGGAACGTTCGCGATATGGCAGATGCGGGGAAGCCACCGGGCAGCCCATGGGCAGGCCGCGGGCATTCCCCGGGCTCTCGCGATAAGCCTATGTCACGTGGGGAGGACATGTCCGGCGCGGCGATTGTTGTTCTATCCCGCGGCTCGAACGTGTCCTTGCTCTGCAATAACGCGATCTAAATTCGAAAGACATAACCATGGCTCTGCAAACGAGAGATCACGTTGCCATCAGCTGGATGCGCCGAATGTTGACCCTCTCCAGGGCACGAAGTACGACTTCGCAAGGGATCTCATCGGATATGGACGTCAGTCAATTAATCCGAGATGGCCAGGAAATGCGAAAATCGCAGTATCGTTTGTTATCAACTACGAGGAGGGCGCTGAAAGGTCATTGCTGAATGGCGACGGCCAAACTGAAAGTGTGCTTTGGGAGCAGCCGCACGTCCCAGAACGCATCGGCTCAAGAGACACAAAGATTGAAAGCGATTACGACTACGGCTCCCGAGTTGGGGTCTGGCGCCTCTTGAACATGTTCGAACACAACGGAATCTCAACGACAATCAATGCTGTTGGCCAAGCACTCGAAAAGAACTTGCCGTTGACACAGGCCCTTGTTGATGGTGGTCATGAGATTGCCAGTCACGGATATCGATGGGTGCCCTATCACAATATGACTCCCGAGGAGGAGAAGCTGTATATCCTGCGACAGATGTACTCTCTGAAGTCGACTACAGGATCCTACCCCGTGGGTTGGTTCGTTGGACGATGTTCGCCACACACGAAAGCCCTCATCCATGAAGCACACGAAGAGCTTGATGCGCCGCTTCTCTACGAGGCCGATTGCTTTTCGGACGACTTGCCGTACTGGACAGACGTGCCAGCAGAGCAAAATGCGACCAATCCGAAAGGTATGCTCATGTTGCCGTACAGCTACGACAACAACGACCTCAAGTTCCAGATTGCGCCCGGAAGCTGGGGCTCTTCGTCTGCGTTTCTGGAGTATCTTCAGAGCTCGTTCGATGTCCTCTTTGCCGAGGGCGTCCAGGGCATGCCAAAGATGATGACGATCGGTTTGCATTGTCGAATAAGTGGAAAGCCCGGCAGGTTTGCTGCTGTTGAGTCTTTTGTGCAGTATATCAAGCAGCGGCCTGACGTCTGGATCACGACAAGGAAAGACATCGCGCAGCATTGGCACAAGACATTTCCCTATGTCAGGAAGCACTCGACGCAAGGCGACAAATGCGCCGCAAGTGCGGGGCCGACCTCACTTCTCGGAGAAATGCAATTTCAGGCGAAAATATGATCTTAGATGCTATGCAAACAGAATCGCAGACGTATTGCACACGAGCGACGAGTGCACGTGCTGGAGAGCTGACAGCGATGCATCTGTATACCAGTAATACTCCTCATGTGATAGACAAAATTATTCTGCGGAAGGTCTGCCCTGCCTGAACGACGATCCCCGCATTTCGCTACCCCTTCCCCATCGAGTGGCCCCGGAAACTCAGATTGCTTATCGTGAATGTCCCGCGGGCTCTGCAGATAAGGATTCCGGGCGCCCACAGCGCCCTTGATTCTGGCCCCGATAGGGCACGATAACCTGTTGTGCGCCAGACGGTCAACAATAAATTCTGTATTTATGCGAGTAAACGCCTTCATGGCGAAGGGCTGTCGTTGCAGTGGCTACCAGTACCTAAGACATCACGCGGAGTAGACCTGGTCCACTGCGACACCTGAGCGAATAGCGACTCCTACACAGAACTTCCGTCACAATGCCGCAGCTTCGCAGGTTTGTGGAGAAGCACATTGTACTGCATCCCCATGCAGGTTCCTTCACTTCTGGCCCAGATTCAGCACGCTGGAGCAACAAGGACCTCGACCCTGTGCCCCAGGAGAAGAAGACGTGGGAATGGTGGCAGTAAGTCCCACGTCGACCCACCTGAAGCCCACGCTGATCATTACACACAGCGTTGGAGGCTTCTGGATAGCTGAAGGCTTCAATCCCGCACAGATGCAAGTCCCATCAAGTGCTGTCGCCCTCGGCCTGAATCCAGGTCTTGCGATGGTGGCGTGCTTGATCGGCAACCTGCTCGTCACTGGACCTGTCTGCGCGGTGGGCTGGCTGGGAAGCAAGGTTAGTATGGCTTTCCTGACGAGAGCTTGACGCTGATCTTCGGACGCAGTACTCGATTCCGTTTCCTGTCATAGCTCGGGCGTGAGTACATGCACACCTGTCACTTTGATGAAGGCTGACCACTTCAAGCTCTTATGGCATGATCGGCGCCTATTGGGCCATGGTAAGCGACTCCGCCTTGCCGATGCCTCATCGCTGACAGTACTAGATCATCCGTGGTATCTTCTGCGTCATCCTCTATGGCGTGCAGGCAACGCTCGGCGGAAACGCAGTCCGATGTATGCTCGAAGCAATCTGGCCGTCCTTCGCCCATTGGCATCTCGACAGCCTTCCCGAGAGCGCGAACATCACAGCACCGGATCTACTTTGCTTCTCGTTGTTCTGGATTGCCTCGTTCCCCTTCCTCTTTGTCTCAATGTCATCACTGCGCTGGGTCTTCGTGGTCAAGATTGCCATAATGCCGCTATTCTACGTTGCCCTCTTCACTTGGGCTCTGACCGCAGGGAATGGTGTCGGGCCCCTGTTCTCGATCCCCAACAAGATCACCAGCGGACAATCAATCGGCTACGTTTTCTGCAGCACAATTCTCGCCACGATTGGAGCAATGCCAGTAGGTAGTACATCGAGTTCCAAGACCGTTTGCTGAGCCATCCTAGCCTTTGCTGTCAACATGGCCGACATTACTCGCTACGCCAAGAACCCGCGCAGTTCGGCGATCGCCCAGGCTTTTGCGCTTCCGATATGCATCACAATGAGTAAGTCTTGTCGATCAGCCAGTGACGCGGCTAACATGCGCACAGTTGAACTGCTCGGAGGTTAGAGCATCCGCATGCCAAAGTTGAGCCTACTAACAGCGAACAGCAATCATGGCCGCTGCAGCACAGGTGGTTTATGGCGAAGTCCTCTGGAACCCGTTGACAATCATTCTTCTCTGGAACAATCGACCAGGAAAGTTCTTCTCCGGTCTGCTATTCGCATTTGCCACCATCGCAACAAGTAAGTTTCCAGTCCATGTTAGTGATTCGCGCTGACGGAGCAGATGTCACTGGCAACAGCATTCCTTTCGCGCACGATATAGCTGGGATCTTCCCGCGATACATGAATGTCCGGTATGCTACCCGCCCCAGCCCGATTCGAAGTGGTCATTGATGGTGAGGTAGCCGTGGTCAGGTTCTTTGCGCAGTCCTTGGCTTTGCTATGAATCCATGGACCATACAAGCACGAGCTTCTCGATTCTTCAACTTTGTTGGAGGGTACTCGATCTTTCTTGGTCCCACAGTCGGAGGTAGGGCACCCTTGTTGCGCGTTGAAGCCTAGACTTACAGCTGTAGTCATCCTGACCGACTACTTCATCGTCCGCAAAGCTCGGCCGTACGATATGCATCAATTATATCGCCCACACGGTCTATACTGGTACATGAAAGGTTGCAATATTCGTGCCTTGTCCGCGTGGCTCATTGGCGTCGTACCGTTGCTGCCCGGCCTAGTACACAACATCAACCCGAACATCAACGTGGGTCAAGGTATGGAGGACTTCTTCACGTTTGGATGGCTGGACGGGCTAGTAATTACATCGTAAGTATACCTGATCTTCCATCTCAGTCCTGCCAGTGGTTTGCTGACGATAGCTAACAGGATCACTTACTATTTGCTATGCCTGGCTTTTCCGGTCACAGTCGCGATGGAGAACGGATCGACGGTCATGGTTGTTGGGCCCGAAGACGAGGAGTCGGCTACGCGGAAAGATGATCTTATGCGGGACGAGAAGTGATTGACGATCGCACGCAGGATCGACTTCTACGTGTGCCCTGCTGTGAGGGGTCTGTGTATATTCTCGCTTACAGTCGATTCGGTCACCGAATGCAACGTCCTCCTCAAACTTTCAGCGTCGTTGGACTTGCCGTTGAGCCTATCACGTAATGCTGTGATTTACGGCACTTCTTGTAGGAGGATTGCTACGTAACATCTCCGCAAGCGGCTGCATGCTTGTGACAGCGCAATTCGGCGAAGATCGTGACGATACAGCCCAACGCGTCAGCCTTTCGCTTGGCGATCGTACGCTCGAGTGAGCCGTTACGTTTATTGGTGCGCTCGCCTTATGTGTCTTGCCAACTGGCTTATGATCGCTGACGTTCGACGAGCCGACGTCCTGAGTTGCATGGTCTCGTGCAGTCGCCCTTTCAAAGACCAGATAAGTGCCAATGTCATCATCAAGAATGAACATGAGCATTACAGCCCAGAGGATGCCAATAAAGTAGATAGGCACGAGAAGAATTCGTGAGCTGATATGCATATCGTGTACGAAAAGTAGCCAGGCACGGAATAGTCTATCGTGCCATATGCTGCCTAGAGAATGTCCGAGGAAACTCTGCTGGATGCTTTTTTCAAGAGCCGCGATATCCCAAAAGTAAATTAAGCGTTTCCAGGCTGGTCGGGTCCCTTTGGGAGCGTCGTGAGCGGGGCATCTGACTGAAGGGGCTCGTCGGACGATGATTTATGCCTTCCAAGTCTTTCGGCGTCTCGTGCTGAGTTCTTCCGCTGCTTGAAAGAAAAGAACTCCAGTAAACACGCAAGGACGAACGAGACAGCAGCAACAACGTACGCAATTACGTTATCATCGGCTAAGAGGCAGCCACTGTGTCATGTTAGTACCTCGATCAGGGCTGCAAGGGGCTCAGTGCTCTTACAGAATAGCATTGACCATTCCAGAGTAGATCAAGATGCGTCCAAGTAGCATGTGGGCGTAGCTGATGACGAATCTCCGACCGTTCTTCTGGAAGCGTCGATGGTGCCAAAGACCGCCAACAACCTGAGCGGCAAGTAATGCGACAATTATAATGCCAAACACCTGGTGAGCTTCATCAAAGCCGTCGTACTGGACACCGACAACACTGAGGGCAATAGCTATAGCCAGACCAGCGACAGAAGCGACTGTTGCGATGGACTGCAGAACAAAATGGACGCGGAAGGCGAATTTCCAACGCAGTCGCAGACCGATGACACCGAACGGGAAGACAATTACGAAGGCAAGACCAAGCAGGACGGCGTGGACGTAGACCAGGTCCTTGTAGTACTGCGCTTGAGACCTCACGGCGACATTGTAGGGCCCCGAAATGGCCGGTCCATCATTGGTATAGTGTGCTGTTTGTGTCATATCGGCGAAAAAGACGCCTAGAACGTCAGTAGAGCGCGAGCAATGCAGAGACTCGTTGGACTGACCATATGAGCTATGCTGTTCAATTTCGTCTCCTGCACCATCTCTGGTATGTTTCGCGTTATAACTGGCCCTTTTAACCTGAGAGTCGTTGTCACGGGTCTGTGGGCCGACAGCCCAGATCCAGGGCTGCTTAGAGGCATCGGATCTGGCTGACGAATATGGCTGTGTTTCCTGAAAAGACATTCGGATCTGAGCCGACATTTGACTGGCTTCGATTCGACTGCTGAGGACATCGACAATTGAATCAATCTCTTCCGGCTCGTCGTGGTCGTGAGCGGAGCGAACCGTGACCTGTACTTAACATCGCATTAGCGGAAAATGTAAAGGTGGGAATTCTCTGTGAGCCGTACCATGCGACCCAGCTGGCTGCATAAGAATCATGAACGACCCATCCATTTTATCGCCGGTCCCGACAGCAGCCCAATCGTAACGAGTAGGGGCCGTGATTGTGAGCAACAGATCGCTGCTATTTTGACTATCCAGTCCGAAGGCAACGCCGAATTGTTCAGATGCGCTGTAGAACTGTGTACAAGTTGCAGTAACAATAAGTGAACCTATACATGTCAACAACATCTCGTCTCCGTTCACTGAACGTACTCAAAGCCAAGACAAGTCTTGATACCAAGCGCGACCATTGTGCCATAATGGGTGGTCGATGTTGTGGATGAAGATGAGCACAGAATGGTCAACTCTCGACCTGCGCAGATGAATCTGTTGCGGAGCAAGCTCGAGGATTCAGACTTGTTGGCAGAAAGTTTGTTAGTAGAGCAGTCCTGATGCGTTTCATTTTGTTCTCTGGGCTGACTCTGTTCCACGTCAAGACACATGAATGCCACGAAGCCAGCAGATCGCTGTCGCATCATTCCCAGCCAAGTGGTGCCGGCCAATAACATCGTTGTTATACGTCAGCAGTAATGTCTGAGGCGCAGTCGTGATGCAGTTCACGCATTCAAGCATGATGTGGACACTGGAAAGTACCGTCACCTGGATAGATCTTGCCTTGGCCTGGGGACACTGAACGATGACAAGATCGCAGTGAGGCTTGCTGAAGCTTGTCATGGGCATTGAGGATACCGCGCAAAAGCTTGCTTGAGATACTCCATGGCATAAACCCGGATTCCTAGCTCAAGTTGACTGAGGATCGATGTTCCGAGAGGGAGATCAAAGTAAATCTGTCTTGATGACAATGTCCAGGCGCTAATTGGACAAGAGTCGCAAAATCTAGCTCGCGCCTCGTATTTCATCCTTGATTCATGCATGCCTGTCGATCATCCCGTGCTCCATAGAAAACTACTAGAGAATCGTCCAGCTCTCACCGGAGATTTCCGTTGACCGGGAAATTCGTGGTGGATGGCGTGAACCCTCCTACGTTAGGCGTCTTCCCAGATTTCCATACATGATCCCCATACCCCAATACAGATTGTCAATGCTACCACGCCACCACTGCTGAAAGTGTTTTTTCACTCGCATTCCAGACGGCTGTCTAGGCACATTCGGCTGGTATAGTCCTACGAGAGGACAGCCATGGAATGAGTCTTGCTTGTGGCGAGGCTTTCAACATGGCAAACCAATTATGAGCTGCCAGTTTTGGCCTACTGTAAACCACTGTGGACTTCACTGCGCCACAAATTTGGCACCTAAAACGTCATAGCGCAAAGTTTGTTGCAACGAAAACTGTCTGTCAGTGTCGATAAATTCTGCAACCATTGCCCGGATTCTGCAGCATCGCCGTCGCCTCTCTTACAGCCTGGCCCTGTGGTCTGCTCTGAATCAATGCTAGGCGTGAGGAAATGGCTTGCCTGAGTGCGATGATATGATGTACAGAGTACCAGCCTATGGGTCAACGGAATCAAGTCCGACTGACGCCAATAATCCATACCTTGAGTCTGATCAGTAACGGCATTCTCCTCTTGTCGTGCTCTTTGAGTTGAGGTTCGAGCGTTGCATTCCTTTCACTACATGTCATCTTGCATTGTTTTTGCGTAGGCGAATCGCTTCTTACTTTCCGGCCCTGCGTAACAAAGTCCTCGCTCTCGCCAGCTTCCTCGCAACCACCATAGTCCTGCAAACTTCTCTGTGCCACAGGATTGTGAGCCTTCCACGCTGCAACAGATAGATGGCTGTTGAGAAAGACGTTGTCCCAATACTGCTCGTCGCTATCTTTGGGCTGCGAAGGCGAATTTTCGAGCCCTGGTAGATCTTTATGGTATGACGCTGGGCGAAAGTGCTTCCCATAGGGCTTATGTCCGTTTGGTGGCATCGGTGATGACTAGCTGCTTACTTGTGAGGGCTTCATCCAATGACGACAAGTTTCTGAGAGCCAAGAGAAGCAAAGCCAACAGTCAGGGCGAACGGTACTGTCAAGCCATCAGCAAACCCGAGGACAAAGTCGTGAAGGTAGCGTGAGTGGGAGTTGTGTGGCTTAGGCATAATGGTTATATAATGTGGATGCTATTGCTTCGAGTTGGAGGATGGAAGGTAGTGGTGATCGGCGAACGAAGGCGGTACTCAACACGAAGTGAGCTCACTGGGTATATTTGTGATGCAATGTAGAGGCCCTTCAAACAGGTCGTGCATTACATTACCTACTGGGCAAAGCTTGCGATTGTCCCACACACGAGTTTGGACAGTGGCAACAGCCAGCCAGAACCTGGCAATGCTAAATCCCGATGGACTTGAAATGGTGACGCGGCCTAATGAATATTCTTGTTTCATCTGTGCTATCGTTCATACTGAGAAGACGCAGGTGTGACGTGCATGTTGTTGAGTGAGGGTCAGAACAGGAAAGCTGGATGACATTGCAAAGTTCTTGATTGGTAGGAAGCAGAAACGCCTCGTTTTGGATCCGTAGATGCGCCTTGCATGTTCTGAGCACGACAATTTTCGCAAGCGTGTTGGGATCCGGAGTAACATGCTTATCCGAAATAACATTCATGAGCGAGTCAGTTGCGATCTTGGAGAACGGGCGCGAAAGCGGTGCTGAGTCTCAGAAAGAAAATTTTGCAGACACATCCAAATATGAGTCTGAGAAAAACGAAGCCCACGCTCTTGTCATTCAGCCGCTTCATCGTGCTCGGCATAGCGACTCCGGTCTCTTATGCGGCTCCCGAACCACCAAAAGATCCAAGGTATAGGAGCTAACCCCGCCGCGATACTACCAAGCAGTGTCAGTGTCCACTTCACTGTCAGCGCCCGATAAATCGGTTCCGTGGCGATGACCATGCCGCCACTCGCAAGGTATCGCATGAAGGTTATCGCTGACAGAGCACTCGACGCACTGGTCCCGTATGAATCCAGTAGGTAGTGATACGTGGATGTGAAGAGCACCATCAATGCAAATCCGAAAAGACAGCAGCCTCCTAGCACGGAGTAATAGCTCACACCGGTTTGGTCAGTCCACCCAATCCAGAAAAGCGAAGCTGATAGCAAAGGTGAGGCAAGTAGGCTTGGAACTAGTCTCTGCTCCGGATGCCCAGCAGGTTTTTGTGCATAGACTGCGACAAGATAAGGTACCGCATACATGTAGGGCAAAGCGATAAGAATTCCTATAGCAACGGCAGTGAAACCGGTGTAACGTTGTCCAATGTCGAATCGATAGGTGTCTGTGAAAATGAAATCAAAGCCCTCCAGAAAGCCGAAGACCATGAGGTACAAGAAAGTCAGGTAGAGGCCGAATAGCACTGTCGTCAATTCGCGAGTAATAAAATACACGATGCGCCCAAGGTTAGACACAAGCTCGTCGGACAGGCTAGAGGAGTCGTCTTTTGGCGATGTGACGTCATTTCCCTGTCTTGTGTCCTGTGTTCGAGGAGCGGTCTTCCATCTGAAAAGTAGGGGCGCATAAGTCTCAGGAAGGAAGAATAATGCCAAGACGAAGGGTGGCGTAGCGATGAAAAGAGTGATCCAGTCGTCCCAAGACCAGCCCATGTTTTGCGTAATCCATCCACCCGCGATAGGTGCGACTATCGGGCCTAGAAGCGGCGAAAGCGCAAAAATAGGCCATATCAGTGATCTTGTTTCGGTCTCGAATAAGTCCGCTAGGCTACCTCCATATATAGACATGGTCGGAGCTGCCGATAATCCAGCAATGCCTCGAAAGACGACCTGGTCGCGGAAATTTGGTGCCAAGCCGAAGCCATCGTGAAAAGCAGGAAAATGGCAAGTGTCGCGAGGTAGGTTGCGAGTCTGCCAATGGTTTCACTGCAAGGACCCGCGATGAGCGCCCCGAATGCGATGCCAAAAAGGAAGATAGACGTCGCGACAGACTCTTTCACCTCCGACACATGGAATTGTCGCGCACTTGGTTCATGTGCTGTCGCGTCCACCGCCGATGCCCATCCGGTGACAAAGACCAGCGCCCAGATAGTCGTTGTATAGAATGACTTCCTCGCTGTTGACCATTGTCTCGGGTCAGAGACATCAAGATTCCCGACATCGCCTTCAGAGTCATCGACCGCTTGTTTGAGGATTCGGTGTTGCTTGACAGCCTCCATGGCATACCAGCAGAATCTGGAAGCGTGACTGACATTGCAGCATTTTATGTAGAATGGAGGCACTACTGACAACGATCTTGACTTCGTGACGTGACACATCGATAGTCTGCAGAGATGCAGCGAGAACCTTAATGGAGAGAGATGTCGTGTGCTCACCATCCGTATTGGGAAGGTAAAATGATCGACATTTTTGCAACATACTTCGCACACGCACGTCAACGAACTTTGTGTTGCGGAGAGTAGGCTCAAGGTCAGCAGAGTTCCGAGATCCATCATTGGACAGACATACACGTGAACACATTAATAGATACAAAGCTCCGTAGCGGAACCTTTGCAGTGGTCTTGGGCTGTATGTGATCGGCTAGGTAATCAAACGCAACAACAGAAAAGGGTGAACGGCGAAGCGGAGATCACATGATCCGACGAAACTCATCTAAATTCATTCTACAGAGAGTGACCTCGACATTCCGCGATACACCCCTTGCGCATCAAGTAGGGTGATCAACACCTATTAGCAGATACTATGTTGATCATCCTCGATCAGAGACTAGCCGCAGCATAGCCGCAGCAGGCAAATTACTCGACAGTCGATGCAAAAAAGTGTACACGATGTTTAGCAATTCATGTTAAGCCTACTTCTCGATGTCCTCCTGTGCGATCTGAACGATACCGAAGCCCTGTCGATCTTTGTGTAGCCTTCAAACCGTCACTTCCAGTCCCAGTCGTATGCATATTCGTCTCGCATTAGCCTGCCTGGTACATGCCCAGAGCCACAACATGCGGGTTCAACATGCTGGTGTTGAAAGGCGTCACGTACAAATCCAAGTCTGTCAGCAGCACCGCCATAGTTCCGTTGATGATACCGTCGTCGCCGTAGACATATCCCTCGGGTTGATAGGTAAAGCCAGAATTATTACCTGTCAGGGTGAGCGCCGAGTACGTCAGATTGAGCTGGTTACTCCACGCGACAAATTTGGGCGAGCCAGCATTCGTGGACGTAACGTAGCTGTTGTTTGGCCCAACTGCTTGTCCAGGAGCATCCCATTCGAATAGAATTTTCTTGCCCGGAAACGAAAGGGGCTCGGATTTGTTGTGCGCGACTGCTGGCTCACATGCGTAACCAGGTGGGCCGGTAAGATATTCGCAAGACGCGGAGTCGGGAATGGTGCTAAGGCTAGGGTCCGCAATTCTGTCGCCAACCGTTTCGTTGCCATTCTGTGAAGTGTCGTTCGGAGAGAATCGATTTATGTTGGCGTTATTCAGAATATGTAAGGTCGGGAAGTTCTGCCAGACAAGGCGAGTCTGGTTCTCGGGACAGTAGCTGATGTATGGTGCCAGCATGGTCCATGCCCACGACTGAGGCCATCCGTTCTCAAACCAGACATCCATGGGTGTCAGACCTGACATCTGTCGGAACACTTGCTGCTGGCGAGCCTCCGTGGCAATTGATTGTGCGAGAAGTTGACCAACCTCGCGGCTATCCAGGTGATTGATGAAGCCCCAAACACCACTCTCGCCGAAGCGGGTGAGTCTTTGCATGAAATCGACCCATTCACGTACTGTTGTGTACGGATAGTTATAGATGCATTCTTTTGGTGCTCTCTCACCAAGCATGTTTGTGAGTAGAGTCGCGTGGCCCGACTCCTGGTTGGCCATGAACTCGATAAGGCTTCGCGCTTCCGGCCCGAGGCCGGCAGCAGTAAATTCGGCGTCACTGAAGCGCGCGAGCCCATCGTGAAAGAGGTCCAATTCGATCCACTCCTGATAGAGGCCCAAAGCAATAGACTCGAAGTCGAAGTCACTCTCAACCATGTAGCGTGGCAAGGTGCCGTTAGTGCCTAGACCACCCGCCGGTGTGTAGGGTGCCGGCATAGGGTTCAAGGGCACGCCTTCGGAGTTATAATATGTGGCCGTTGGGTTTGGCGGTCCGGGTGCAATGGATGCGGCGAGAGTCTCTGGTCCATTGGCAGCGCCGGTGACCGTGGCTGTACCGGTGTATGGTCCATGGTAAGTCGCGCTAGTGTAGCCATTCTCGTAGACAACGACAGGATATCCGACAGTTGGAGTAGGCACCTGTGCTGAGATCTGTGAGTCTGGACCAAATGACTGCTCCTGTCGCTCGACGGGTGCTGCGCAAACGGCGCTGGCGAGGACAACAACGCTCAAAAAGCGTGCGTAAGACATCTTTCCAGGTCAGCTGCTGAATCAGTCATGCGTCAAGGGATCTGGGTCCTGTCTTGTACTTCCTTGTAGATGGTTCTGAAGTTTGATAGCTAGCATCAGTCACATAATCGTGACGTACAGGGACTAGTGATGGCGACCTCGTTGCAAGGCGTTTGGTACAGGCCTTCAGACGTGTCTTAAACCTACTGCAAGCACGAGTATCGTCGATCGGAGATGGATGAAATTTCGGCAGGGGCGTGTGCGGCGCAACCGCAGTAGCGGTCGTCATTCGAACATCACCTTAGTGCATGGATACGGTACCATGCCTTTTCCAGGTTTGCTTCGGCAGTGTCAAGAGCACCATCTCAGCGCGCAAGCGCGGTACCTGTCGTTTGGTCGGAAATATGTCCGTTAGGTGCCCACATGCTTGGCTCCCAGCTCAGAGCTTCAACAAAGCTTATGGGGGGAGTCATGCATCGCATCTTTGGTCCCATTGGCCACAAAGAAGCATCTGGGAAGACATCCTGGGAAGCTGACTGTTCGGCTCAAGCGAGTCGGCAATATGAGTTCCGGTAGATGTGGAGGACTTCGAACTTGCTTAGCTGTTAAGCTTGCCAGCCTCGTGATCGTCGCAGGCATCATTTTGAAGTGCGTTTTCGGATCATGCATGCGAAGAATATGCAGAAGCTGTGGGAGGTCAAGCTTTCCACTGCTGCAGTGATGTCTCTGGTTGAGCGGAAGACGACCGGAGCACGTCTTCGATCGGTATCGTCATGGACATATCCCCACAGGCTTTTCTGTTGCTCTCTCTAGATCTCAGGCGTGCCTCGTGAGTCGTGATGATGTCAACCTGTAGAATGCTTCAGGTGAGACAATTTGACCACAGGCCATGCTGTGTACGATGTAGAAGCAGTGTAGCAAATTGTGGAAACCTTGCCACAATATCGTTGGTGACGAAACCACAGAAGCATGCAGCAGTCATGAAGTGTTGTCCGGAAACTTACCTGTTGACCAAGGCTGCATGTTCGTGATGACATTCGCTGGAAGAGGCAGGTCAGTAATTTGATCTGGGTGGAAACGAGGTTGACGACATTGCTCGTATTTTAAGCTTTTATCGCAACGGAATTTCAATCCGTGCTAGCGTGCAGTGGGGCGGCTACCACCGAATCGTTACTGCAACGTGTGAGAGAGTTCTGCCTATTACCGCTTCGCAATCATCGCTTCGCGCAGAAGGAGTAGTCGCAGAGAATTGTATAACACTTTCAAGGCAATCAATGGCTCCGGCATTTCACGTATCCAACCCAGCCAAGAATAGATCAAGCGAGCCCTCCGGCGTCATTTCTCCAAGCCTTTCGCTCCTGCAGGCGAACTCGTCAATCGGGAACCACGACCGCACCTCCTCTTTGCGACCAGTAATGAAGTGCGCCAGCCCTTTTCCAGACAGCCAGCAATTGACCATGCCGAAGCCATTAAAGCCAGCCGCAATCCATTCGCCTCCGACATGAGGATCACAATCAGTCCGACCCGACACGTATTCAGGCAGACGATCCACCAGCGGTAGTCCATCACCTGTGCAGCCCATGATGCCCGTCCATTTACGGATGATCTGGGCGTGCTCGCCATCTTTGAAGGCTCGCCCTGCAGCGTTTTCCAGCCTATTTAGGCATTCGTGGCTGAGCTCGCCGTCATTTGAGCAGCCCAGATCCAGCTCCCTGTCTACCCCGTCGGGCACTTGAAGCAGGCCTCCGCCCCAGTACAGGCAGCCATCTGAGCCAGGTGATTGTGTCACATAGTCAAAGCCTCTCTCCCACACGGTACTCCAGGATCTCTCACCACCAAGGCGCGGAAAGCTCTTCGGTACAGATTGGACCGTCATCTGCCCTCTGAAGGGCCAGAGTTTGCCCCGGAGCGACGGCAGCAAATGCGCGGCGAAGCCATTGGTACAGTGCACGACATGCTTGGCGTCGATTGATCCTCTCGAGGTATGGACCGTGTAAGGCCGCTTGGGAGATGACGTTCTTGAAATCGATGTGACGGGCGTGTGTGTTTCCAGCGTGACCTGTCCTCCATCCAGCAGTCGTCCCATTACGGCACCGACAAATCGATACGGCCACGCTGCACCCTCGGGCCCGCGGACGGTACCTACAGCGTTGTCCGACAATCCCAGGCTTCTTAGTGTTGCCCGGTCTTCGATGGCTTCCCACTTGCCGACCTCTTCGGGGAAGTCTTGGAGGAAGTCGTGCAATCTCATCTTCGAGCCTTCCCATGCCTTCGCACTATACGAAGTGCTCAACGCCTTTGTGCGACGGACGAGACCCGCCTGCCCGGCCTGACCAAGCTCCGCAGCCTCACGACAGAACACATCGAGGTGGGCCATCCGGAACTTGATAATCTTCATCCCACTCTGCTTCCCAAACAGCTGTTTAAGATCGTGGTAATCAGCCCACGGCGAGGCCTTGATATGGCCTCCATTCCGACCAGTCGCACCAGAGATGGCTGAGCGCGCCTCCAGAATAACGATACGAAGGCCGGGCTCCAGCCGAAGTAGATGCAGGGCTGTGCTGACGGCAGTGATACCAGAGCCGATGAGCGCAACATCAGTATCTTTCGGGAGCGATGTCGACCGAACGTGCGCGAAGGAGTGCTCTGGATCTTGCCAGTACGACAATGTTGGGCTGAGGACCGGCAGCCCAGGATCACGAGCCATTCGCGCTGCAATGGTGGCCCTGGTCTGTACGACGGGCGCCGACTCTGTGGGCGTTGGGGCCAATGTCGCCGTCAGCTGGGATAGCCGTTGACGAGCTTGATGGGCGTTTTGGGCGGCCATGTTGGTTCAATGCTGACACTGTGAAGAAGTGAGTTGGAGGTTTCCCAGCAGCGTTGATATACCTTGACAAGTTAGCCGGCGCGGGTCCGGAGATGCGCGAGGCCAAACATTTCCAGAATCCCCCGCCGGTCTGCCAAAGTTGGAGTGAGCAAGCTAGATCCGTTTTGGCAGGTCCTGCCGTCGCCCATCACGTAAGCTTCCATTCGCTCGAGCCCCTACGCTTCTTCATTGCTTGTCCCGACCGTGTTTCAATTTGCGGGATCGCGTTCTACTCAGGCTGGCGTCACCAGAACCGCAAAAGGTGCTTCCGGAAGGCTTTGCCTCAAGGGCCGACCTGCACTCTCACGATCGCAGCATGCATTGTCCAGGGCGTCAGTCACACCATCGCATTGAGGCCATCCCACAACGTTTGATCGAAGTGACTCTGGTCAAGCCAGGAGAAGTCCAGAACGCCGAATTCGTCCATAATGCCGATGTGATCAACGTCAAGAGGCTCCGAAGCAGCGACTCTACTCTGGGACTGCTGCATCGTCTCCGTTGAGAGTATTTTGTCGACAATGTGTTCCAGAATCTCCCAGGCTCGCATGGCAAGAGCGTAATTGCCCTCTCCTGGAATATGAACCCACTTCAGATAGGAGATGAAGACACACAAATTTTGTTTGATCTTCGCATGCGACACGGCCTTGACGTTCAGCTGCAGCAATTCGAGAGCAAGAACGCCAGCGGCGGGTATGCCGTAAAGCACGACGCTCCATGCTATGCTCATGCCCGAATCAACTTCGTCTCTCGCGTTTCTCTGAGCTATTATCGCTTCGATGATTTGGTGAGCAAGAAGCACAACTTCGTTTGGATCATGAACTCGACGCACTAGCAATCGTTGCAGCATCTATGAATGTTAGCGAGGTTCGACCGGGCACCGCATGCACTAACAAACTCATTGTATATATGATCCAGGTACGAGTGCACCGCTGTGAACGAAGGCGGGTCATGTACGGCCTGACTTGGGTCATATTGAAGGCGCTTGGGGTAGGAGGCATACAAGGCCCTGCTGCGCTTGATGAGACTCCTGGCTCTGTCTTCCAGGTCGTCTTGCGGTATCCCGAGGCAGAGCTCCAGAACCTCCTCCCGAATCAATGCAGCCGCGACGTACATGGGACCGGAGGACGACCTTGTAGAAGTTGGACGTGTGGTATTCCAGCCAGCGTTATCAAGTTGCGAGAGCACCTGGGTAAGGTCCTCCCCTTCAAGAGCCAGCTCGGCGCTTTCCAGGTCTAGTGGGATGTTGATTTTGCAATATCGTTTCGAGATCCTGGGCGGCCGCCCAACAAAAGTCGACAGGACTTTGTCGCTTCCGTAAGCATATGCAAGTCCTCTTCTGCGCATCTCCTTGAGCCAAAAGGGCGCTGGCTTCGAGTCCTCGTGGAGTCCTTGCGCGAAAACCATAGTCGAGATATCGCCCAGTTTGCGCCAAACACTGTAGTCGGAATCTCCGAGTACCTGGCTCGCAAAGATACAATTATCGAGGCAAAGCCAAAAGCGAGATCGGTTGAGTGTCCGGCTTTGTGGTGGGTGCAAAAATCACTGGCAGCAAGTAGTCTGTACAACAGCTGCTGCTTAGCACTCTCCGTGCTTCCTACGAACTCCAGCGCATCCGTAGCGGCGCTGAGACCCATCAGACCCAGTCCACACGCAGTAAAATACAAGCCAATGAGTTCCCAGCGAAGCTCGTAGAATGAAATCAGATCCCTCATGCGCACGTCTGTCGGAAGGGATATGGGACATTTAGTATTGCGGTCGAGGGTCTCGCTGAGGTTCTCCCGAGCCTGGTTCGCCGTAATGTCGTATGTGTTGAGCATTGCCTTGATTGAGGCTTGAATGTCATCTAGCCAGGGAACCATCATACTGCAGCAGTCCTTCCCATGGCGGAGGACATCGATGAACTTATCGAGATGCTGTCGTTTGAGGAGTAGATCCATGACATTGCTGGTGGTACCATTGTCGCCACAGGGAGGACTCTGCCATTGCGCTGTAATTTGGTTGTGACGGCGGATACCGCCGCTTGCAAATGACTCCGCGACGTGACCGAGCGGTATGTAGTCTTTGTTGTCGCTGAACACGGCGTTGAACGCAGTCGGACCTAGAAACCCATCGTCCTTTGGGCCTGCTGCCGGAGAACTCGCATTCTGAGGGTCAGAAGCGGTCTCCTTCTCGACAGGTCTTTGAGCAGATGAGGTGAGCTTCAGTCTCTTAGTTGTGCGTACGTTGCCGGTTTGCGTTGGTGCACATTGATAGACGCACGACTCCGAAATGCCTTTTCGGACGCATCGCTCGCATGTGGGCTGCGCATGATTGCAGCGGTGCTTCACCCTCCGACAGGGCTCGCACGAGGCTTGCAAGCCGTTGCGCCTCTTGAGCGACCCATTTGACCACATTGAGGTCGAAGTTCGTTGACAAGAATCAAACAACTCTGACCCGGAAAGCTAACTCGGTTGTACGCGCTGTGGGTGACCTACGAGCGGGGCTCGCTCAGCTCGGCGGAGCTCGGCTATATCAGCGGAGCTCGGCCAGATTGCGCCATTGCACTCCTGCAGTGCACCTGTCGGAGTCTGATTTCTTACCTCATAGCCGCCGTCGTTGGACAACCAACCCCGACGATCACTCCGCCAGGAGATCGGAGAAGTTGAGTCACGTAATCGCATATCTTCAGTCGTCGAGCGCATTACCAGAGACGCAATGGCTCACCTCCGCACAATGATAGGTGCACCAGTGTGCTTGGAGCTTGTCATATTCCGGATCAAGCCATTGCAGTCTTATCCGCAAAAATCGATCACAGACCAATGATCTCCGTACTGGCGTATACTTTGACTTCAGGCACCACCGCTGTGTGTGGACACGATCGAAGGCTTCTGCATATGCTTGCCCTTCGGTTTGCTGACGCAGCATGAACGGCGCACGTTCGACCATGATCTGCATATGAAGGAATCATAAGGCAACCAGGTGGTGATGAATCTACTCCGCTGCGAGGGCCGCTATGCTTTGAGGCTGCTGACATCCGACGTATAAATGTTTTGTGAGTCACTGCTCAGGATGCCGCCTGGGATTCAAAACACGCAAGGAAGACTTCTTGAACAGACACTTCTGTCAAACACAATTACTCAAGAACTGAGCAGCTCCCCACATCCTCGTTGCCTCACCTCTTCCAAATATTGCAACCATGATGAAGAAAGATACCACCGCGGTTTCCATACGCACCACCAGTGACTCATCCTCCGAACAAGTCCTCCTCGGACAAGGCAAGAAGCAGTCCGTGTTCAAGAAAGTCGTTCAAGGTATGACCAAGCCATGCCATCTCGCCGCCAACTTCCAGACACTGACTATGGACAGCCATCAAGGACATCGAGCCTCCGGAGCCGGTGATACCAACGCACACGAACCGCAAATCGATGCCAAAGATGGGCTGGTAGCTTCGTTATGCTGGTCTTACCCAGCGAATGCGATCTCTCGGTCGTTTGGGCAGGACTCGTGGAACATCACCAGACGATCCTTTGCCAGCAGAGGTGTTTCTCAAGCACAAGACGATCTTTGGTTCATGAAATTGGTGCAGGGCTTGCCTGGAACAACAGCGTTGGCGTTCAGGTTGTGGGATTCGGGAGAGCTACCGAGTCGCTTGCCCGACTGCGCATACTCATCCTGCGCCGAAGTCTTGCGCTAACGGAATCATGTTTGGGTAATCAGCAATCAGCACCGGGTCTGACGGGAAGCCGGCCTTTGTAAGAGGCTGCGCAACCACAGCCGGAAGTCGGTGCAATAATAAAGCGTCCAGAACTTACCTTGTCCATTCCAGCGTGAGGGTGTCGCGCTGTCGTCAAGCCATTTCCGTGGACCTAACGACAGACGGGTCAGCACCACTCCCTCAAAGGAGTTGTCATCAAATTGCTCAATTGCTGTGTATCTGCTGTGCGAGGTTGCTCGCGGATCCCAACAGACACAAGTTCCATTCCTCATTCTCTTAGCCAACTATGCCTGGTCCGTGCTATCGAATGTTCACACTGCCGTTGGATTGACGCGACAGTACTTCAAAGACAGGTAGTCCTCACGTCCCGACTTCAGCGCTGTCCCAATCGCGGGTAGCATGTCATCCTCATCATCCATCCGCAGCGCAAATCCTTCTCCAAATTCATCCAGCCCCTCAATAATCCCAGTAATCAGCAGCGCGACCATCTCCCACCCAAAAGCCCGAGTCTCTTTCTGGTCTGCCGGACAGACCTTGGCAAAGGGCATGAATCCGAACCCCTCCTCGACGTTCTTGAGCTTGACAGGTGTCTTGGTGGACTCCTTGTGTGCAGCGACCGCCTGCTTCAACTCCACCCAGCGTTGTGGTCGAAATGCTTCAGGATCACACCCGCCAAGATTGATGTTGCGATGCATTTGCTCGAGATCTGCTTGCTTGCGTCCAGTTGGTTCTGGATACTGACGATAGATGCGACGTGTTGGCGGATACAGTCGGAAGACCTCTTTGATAACGTCGACTGTGCTGAGCTCGAAAACGTGGTCCGGTTGCTTCCAATGGATATGTTGTTGATCTTCGAAGAACCTCACAAGTAAGGCTTTCCACCCCCCATCTCAGCATCGTCCGTTTCTCTGCGCAGATTGATCTCAAGCAAGCCGCGGAACACGACACGCCACATAGTCTCGTAGGCTGGCAGGATGAAGTTCATCGGATTCTCTTTCGGATCGAGGGGATCTTGGCTAGTGATATCTTGCAGGAGCTCGTGCACGTCGGTTTGATCTTTCCAGAGAGGCAAATGCTCAGACTTGGACTGCAACCAGAGGTCGTTAATCTTCTTGGCAAGTGTGGTAACGGTGGCGGGCTCGGAGTAGTCGAATGCAGACTCAGGAAACAGATATCGCAGTGACACTTCGAGTGTGACGAATTGTGCAAGTTCGGCAAGTGGAATTTCGTCGGGACGGTGGTCTTCACGAATGCCGAGAGGCCTTCTTGTGTGATTCAAGGACAGTTTCTTCTCCACAGCCTCGTGAATGAAGAGAATCAGCTGAGACCAGTCGACATCACGGGTGCCGGGATCGTAGGACATGGCGTCTTGCATTTTCTGAACCGCATCCTTCCGGAAGCCAGTGTTGTATTTCACATCAGTGCTGGTGAAGATGTTGTGCACGCCGAAAGTGGCTCGCAGACGCTGGTTGGGAAAGGCGCGCGCTTCGACTCTTTCCTGAGATGGCAGGATTTTGCCTGTAATTGGGTCCTTGCGCTCGACAATGTGGATCTGCTGTTGAAGCTGCGTGTCTTGAGAGTCGCTGATTTGGTGCATGATATCCGCGACAGCGGCTGTCGGTTGAGGACGACTTGAGTATTTGACAAAAAGCCAGATTCCGCCGGCAAGCACCAACCCACCAGCCGCAGTAGAGTAGGCAGGACGCTTGCCCAGCGTGTCGGTGACCTTGGTTAGCAGTCCCATCTTTCGGACGGCTTGTGGCAGATGCTCAAGGATGAACGCAACGAGGCGGGGACATCTTCCAAGGCAGAAAAGAGAAACAACAGCATATAGTCATAGAGAGCTCACCTTGTTTGCTGCCAGATGTTGCTTGTCGTCAAGCGTCACACATTTTGTCCCAGCAATGATCATTGTGTCTCCCATGCATTGTGGCAAGCGCGCATACACAACGCTGATGCCATGCCGTGCAGAGGTGGGCTTGTGGTGCTGTTCACAACGACCAATGGAGTTTCGGTAGAACGGCTTGCCATGCTGTCTGAACTGAAGCAAAGAATGGCTTTGCTGCAAGGCCGGCGGCTTGTCGAGTTAGGAACAATGAGGGCACAAAGATGCTTTTCATGCAGAAGTCGATGCCGGAGCATCTCCGGTGAGGTGTCGAGCATGAGGTGATGGGCCTTGCATGAGTTCACGATGCGATGACCGCGTTTCGGGTAGCAACTGGAGGCCGGCCGAGCAATCAACGAAGCGACCAGTCGAGTGCACCCGAAGACCGACCGCCACGTAGTCGTAGCAGGCACTCGTTGGTAGATCAATCTCAGCTTCAGAAGAGGCTGTGCGGTTTGCGAACGATCAATATGTGCTGTGGCTGCAAGAGTGAACATAAACAGTACAAGTCGCGCTGGTGCAGGTGCCAGAGTATCTGACGTCATACTTCACTGTGACCTTTTTGGGAAAGTCCACGCTTTCTGACTAATCTTGCATACTGGCAACTGCTTACGAGCATCGAGGCGGTGGAATCTCACCACGAAGTACCTTGTAGTTGCGCCCTACGGCCGTGAAGGGTGATGATAAGTATGAATCTGTGTTCCTACTTTCGTCTACATCCCAGTCTCACACACACGACTGCGGACCACCCAATTCTAGTCCCTTGCTGCTGGCAAGTACTCGTCGCTCACCGCCATGTCCAGCACCGAGAGTAGCTCAGGTCCGTCTCCAGCACAAATTCATGGCCTGATCACAACCCACCTGCGCCAAGTGTGGAGCGAGCCTTCCTCGGCAAAGCGCAGGCCAATCTTCCCAGCCGTCTATCATCCTGATGTCATTGTTTATGAGCCCGATGGCAGAGTGCTGAAGGGCTTCGACCAAATGGACGAGACTGTCGAGGCATTGACTGGTAAGGGCGGACAATTCGAAGGCTGCCAACTTAGGGCCAGAGACATCAAAAGGAACGGAGACTTCGTTTGGGTCAGCTGGGATCTCGGTCCGCCCAAGGAAGAAGATGGCGAGGCAATCGAGGTCAAGGTGAGTCCGCGCGACCAAATCTGCACCGATCGATCCAGCGAATACCTGTCTGACCATTCGTACAGGCCACAGGCGCAGACGGGATATTGTTGGACGTCAACGACAAGGGCGAGGCGAAAATAAGGACCTTGTGGGTGATCATAGACGGGCTGAGCGATGTGAGACCCTGAATAAGGTTGTAAAGACCTTACCTGCTCAATGGCGGAGCCTGATGACTCCGAATCGCAGGCAAACGCGCTGACAATGTTGAAACACATTTCTCGTGCAGTCCTCAGGGGTCTGGTAATGCTTCGTAGGGTATGCCGTCACGGATCTCATGCCAACAAGCTGTTCCGCCTTGCTATCGATGTTGCATTGTCTGTAGGGCGCCCAGCTATCGAGTCGTCAGCCGGTCCTCGGCTTCATCGCAAGCAATCGGATCAGGAGCTCTGCCTGCAGCGATGAGGCAACTGCCGACCGTGTCGCATCATGATTTGAGCCCGATGATTGCATACCAGGCACATCTCTCAAGTGCCCGGCATTGCTGAACTGACAATCTGTGAGACTGCTTATTGCACCAGCAGAAGCAGAGCCCCGGCTCCAATAAGCATGCAGATCCATGAGGCACCAGATGTGGTCGATGCTGATGATTTGATCTGAGTGCCACAGCATGAGTCTACGTCGTAGGTAACGTTGTTCGCCTCCGCAGCTGCCGCGAGCGTCGAACCGTTGAAGTTGCCGTAGTTGAAATAGTCGACAAGGAGGAAGTTGGGCGGCCTTCCCCATTCAGACGTGCATTGATCGACCATCGTCTTGGCAGCACCGACGGAGGTGGTGTTTGCATTCGTGTTCTGTATCTCAACCAGATTGGGAACCAAGATATCGATGCCCAGGGCCGTATCATCGAATTGGATATTCAGATTGTGGTTGGCAAGATAAAGACGGTTCTGTGAGGTCTCACGTTCCTGGCCTGGCGGCCTCTGTACCGAACAAGGAAATGAGACATTGGTGGGCGAGAAGGGAGTCTGCCACTGGTACGACCACATGTCCAACAACCACGGAATCTTGTTCTGATTGGCGTCATATGCCAGGAACATCACAACACGCTTATTAGAGATGATCATCTCGGCAAGCGTGGGCCAACCATCGATGTCCATGGGCTGAGTTGGAGGAGTGTATACGTAGTCAAGGATTCCTGAATTGGTGACAGGTGCTGTGTAGTTGCCAGGATCAATAAAGTCTTCGTTGCCGAGAATGATTGTGATAACTTCGTATCGGTGAGTATCCAACCACGCTTTGACCTTGATGAGGTACTCTTCCAATGTGCCGGCGTTCAACTCTTGACAACTCGTGTGACAAAGCACGACCGTGTCGTTGACGTAGTGTGTCTCGCTTTGGATTCCACGGACCCCGTCATCCAGTTGAGTGATTACATCCAAGTCTTGATTACTTGCTCCGTTGTTCGGGATGTGGAAGGGGCTGTTATGCGCAACAACGTATGTAATATTGCTGTATTTTCGTCCACAGAACTCGGTATATCCATTACACTTGGCACTGTTTGTTGGGTCAGAAGAAGCACTCCCACTTGATGCAGTACCGACGATCGTGGTCTGAGTCTCGGAAGTGAGGGATTGTGATGAGGTTGGTCGTGTCGAGGAGGTGGCATTCTGCGTTGTCGAGTTGTAGCTGGACGATGCTGCTGTGAGAGTCGAGGTCGCCGCACTGTAGTCTCCATACGTTGCCCGACTCCCCGAGGGAATCTCAGTCAGTGCAACTTCGTAGCTCGACGATTCGTCATCTGCATTTGCGCAGAGGACGCTGCAAGGAACGAGGCAGCTCACGACTGCGAGTGCGGCGAGCGTTCGTAGGTGCATGGCTGCGGTCAAGCGTTGCTGGTGGCGAGCGCAAGTCCGGCGTGGCATGATGGGCGTCGACCTATGTACCTGACGGCTCGGCCGGCTACTGCGGGTTGTCTGTCGAGGTCAGTCTTCGAAAACGCATCTATGACATACCGATTGACGCGTCGAACTCTAAAAGAGCCGCCGGTAGCGTCGTGGGCTGACGACGCCGATCTCCCGGAAGATCAAGCTTTGTTGACGGAACTCCGGGAGGACTGCACCAAAGTGAACCGCGATGGAAGCAATAAGCCTGCATTCTGCAATATTGAGCTCCTCATTGCAACTCATCCGTGGCGGCGGCATCGGTCCTGGCAGCTCGGAAGCCCCTGCAGCCCAACGACATTGGGCGTTCCAAATAATGTGCAGGAACGCTTTGACTAAATGCGTTGTCTACCATCACGCAGGCGCGTGAGGCGAGGGGCTGGAGCCACGGACGGTAGCGACAGTGATAGCGACCGGCAACGACGCAGGATAATCGACAACATGGGAGATCTGAAGGCAGCGGAAGCCATTGCTACGTGCGGTTGCCAGTACAGCCCGGACCGCCGATTCCAGGCTTGGCGATCCACGAAAGTCCCAGGGAAGGACTTTGCTTCTGTGGGTTCTCACAAGGACAACTTCGTTGTGCATCAGGAGCACCATTGCCCGTCCGTACCTGAAGATCTTCTCCTCGGAGAATCGACTTCACAACAGAACGAAGCTAGTCTCCGCTCGGAATGTTCAACCTGCCTGGCATGCAGCCAAGACTTCTCATTTGGCTTAAAACTCGACCAATACGAGAAATCTTCTGGAAGCTGCACTGACGTCCACTCGAATGCGCCATCTCGGCTACAAGGAGCTGAAATAGACATGTACTTCTGCAGCCGTGTGAAGCTGCGCTTTGCTAACCTGTGATCTGTGAGTGGTAAGTCACTTTCTATTGTGAGCACCTCCATCTTAGTTTTTCTATCTTGTGGTGAAGGCGTTTTGGAGGAAGCTGAAATGGCTTCTGCGTCGTTGTCCTCAACAGCTTCGCCCGCCGATGTAGAGTGGCTTGTCGCTCGCTTTTCCTCATTGTGGTTCACGACGCTCCACAGCTGGGCAAGAACAAGCCAATGGAAGAAGAAAGACAGTTCCCCTGGCAGTGCCAATTCCAGTCCAGCATGGAGCGTACTCGGGTGTCCAGATATCCTATGGACAACGCAGATCATGGCTTTCAATAAGTACCTGGAATGGGTGCCTGCTGCTCGGCATCCTTGGGCATATACAACTTCACCCATACCGACCACATCGACAACATGTCCCGCTTTGACGCCACCCCATTGCGCAAGAGCAGTACTTACCACGTCCTGGCACAAGATGATATCGACACAAGCTACAACCCTCGTGCGGAGAAGTCGCCAGAGTCATCACCGCCCATGTCCTACTCGAGGCCGATACTGTCATCCGCCGCCTCCTACCAATCCTCTGTCACTCTGAATGAGAAACGACAATCCACTCGGTCGCTGAGTGAGATGCACCGACGGCGGCGGAAGCCACTCGTCGGTGATCGCTTCCTACAATCTGTACGGCGCCTGCCTCTCATCGTCAAGGCTGGTATTGTCGTTGTGCTTACAGGCACACCTTTCGGCATCTTCACTGGACTAGCTTTCACAAAATACTATAATGAGTGTATCGGCGACGACGAACTGGACATTCACTTCAACGATCTCGCCATCTATCTCGACATCGGGTGGGCGACATTGATGTTCCTTATTGCAATAGCGGAGGCGTCGCCCGCTTCTTCGGCTGGCTTTGCCGCTTGTCCAGCGGGACATCCAAGTATGCACAGCTCGCCCAGACTATGTGGTTCCGCACAACGATGATGCTGTGGATCGGTGCCATGCGCCTCGCAACGTGCAGACTCTGGCCCGTCAGCATGGAGAAAGGATATCACGCCAATTGGGCCTTTAACCTTCGAGTCCTGCTGGAGCTTCTCGCCGTCGCCGCCCTCATCCTACTTATACAGGGCTTCCTCGTACAGATCATCGCTGTCCAGTACGTACAAGGCTACATTGGACCCCGAAGCGATAATGCCATGAATGAACTCGACATCTTGAGACGGCTCAATCACCTTATCCGCAAGAGATCAATGCATGGTTCTAGATATATCGTCAAAGTCCTCCGCAAGGTCTTCATGGAAAGGACCGTGGATCTGTTCGATGCCATCCGCACAGGACACAGCAGCGACGCCGAAGTACGAGGCTTTGCGGCAATCCTTTGGACGACAGTCGCTGGCAATAAGTCCACTATCACCATGGTTGACATCTACGAGCGACTGGTTTCACTGAAGCGCGACCCGGAAGGCGCTGGGGAGCTGTTCGATCTGCTTGACCGCACAGGAGAGGGGAGAGTCAGTCGGGTGGAGTTCGAAGATCTCGTGGCCCAGACTGCGATGCAGCTGAGGAAGCGAGCCGCCGCCATGCATGGCATCAGTCGCCTTCTGCGGAAGCTTGAGATCATGTTTACGATCCTCGTTTGCGCCGCGATCCTTTTCGTATACAGTAAGTCTACAATGCCCTGCTACTCATACGCTTGCTGACGTATACATAGCTGTGTTCTTCAAAGACACCGCTATCAGTAAGCTAGGTACCTTATGGGGCGGAGTGGTTGGCATTGCCTTTGCTTTTGCCGCGCCTGTTGCTGAGCTCGTCATGTGCTGCGTATGGGTCTTTGCGCGACACTCGTACGATGTTGGCGACAGAGTCATAGTGATGGACAGATGTATGGAGGTCCGTTCGATCTACCTGACGCATACAAATTTCGAGGAGGTCGACAAGATGGGCAAGAAATGCTTGGTGCAGATCAGTCACACAAAAATGAGCGGAGAGCCGCTGGTGAATTTGACTCGAAGTGAGGATCCAATGGAGGAGTTCACTGCTGGACGTAGATCATCGGAAGAATATGTATGAAGTAGCCAGAAAGCACGTCTCGGCTTCATGCTCGTTTGCTGCGTAAACATACCAGCAAGATGAAGCTTTCGTACCTACGGCGCTGATGTGTCTGCCGCAAGCTGGCTACGAGCCGCACAGCGCTTGGGCTGGAAAACCAGATCCGATGACCATTTTCCGCCGCGGCAATCGGCCATCCTCATGCGATTTTTGGTGTACGATGATTCCACAATGACTTATGTCGCATCTGCACAACGACCATGCCGTAAGGTTTCGCAACAAGCCCCTAGCCGAGCACAAGAGAGGAACAGCCTGCAGCTGAGGCATGGGGTTACACGACGTCCACGGTAAGTCCGCTCATTTGGAGGCTGCGTTTTCGGCCACCCGGTGCCAAATTGCTCCGCGGCTTGAGTCGCTGCGATTACGCAATCTTGGGGCTACGCCTAAACTGGGTACAGGCTGACCAAGACGCGATACATACCATAGCTTTCATCAATACTGTGCATTTGTGATCAAGTCTGCACATCTGCCAGAACGCGGAAAGTGCTGTGCGAAACGCAATATGTGGCACGTTGCACGAGAGGTATAAGATGGAAGCCAAACCGCGTTGCTGGGGCGGGCTCCCAATAAGCCTTGAAACCCAGTTCAACACCCTAGTATAACATGGCACCGAAAACACAGAAGGCCCTCGAGGTACATGCTCTGAAGCAGCCTCTCGTGCTGGTCAATGATCGTACAGTCCTCGAGCCTGGATCGGGTCAAGTTCGCATCCAGGTCACCGTCGCTGGTATCAATCCGCACGACAACAAGTCGCGTGACATCGGCTTGTTCATCGGAGACAAGCTCCCAGCTGTCCTCACCAATGATGTTGTCGGGCGCGTTGAAAAGCTTGGGCCAGATGTCAGCAAGTTCAACGTAGGCGATCGCGTCGTGAGCCAAGCAGATTGGACCGAAGGCAGCCCCAGCAACGGTCTGCAGGAGTACGCCGTCCTCGAAGCCCAATTCGTCTCCAAGATTCCCGACAAGATCTCAGACGACGGAGCCGCGACCCTGCCTACCAACGCGCTCCCTGCTTTGGTCGCATTCTATGGACCCAAAGGCTTCCAGCTTCCTGCGCCATGGACCAACCCAGATCTGAAGAACGAATCCATTTTCATCATTGGAGGCGGCAGCAACTGTGGCCGCTTTGCCGTACAGCTTGCGGCTCTGGGCGGTCTCGGTACCATCGTTGTCTTGGGCGGCGACGAGACCGAGCTGAAGTCTTATGGTGCGACCGAGGTGCTCGACCGCACTGGGTCGCCTGAAGAAGTCGCTGCCCGGATATACAAAGTCTTCCCCAACGGCGTCAAGTACGTCTTCGACGCGATCAATCCGCCAGCAACACAGTACGTCGGCATTAACGCTCTGACCGAGTCGGGCGGCAAGTATGCACGACTTCTGCCATTAGGACCGCCCAGCCCAGAGCACATCAAGCGTACAGATTACGAGCTGGTCAATGTCTTTGGCAGCTCACATGCCGTACCAGATGTGAGCCGGGAGTTCTGGGCACGTCTGCCCGAGTATCTCGAAAGTGGAAAGACTCGTCCGACGGAGTATACCACGATTGAAGGATTGGATGTGGATGCAGTGAACAAAGTTTTGGACGATTACAGGGCGGGCAACAAGGTGACCAAGACACATGTTCACATTTCGTGAGGGCATGCAGGGTTCTGTGGCTGTCGACTTGGGCCGAACTTTGCTCCTAGATCAACCATGATCACATTCCTATCCCACCCTGCGGCCGGATGCGTGGCCTGAGACAACTTTTTCTGCGAGTAAGCGCCGTAATGTTGCCTTACGGTCATACTCTGTTTCGTGCACCTCCTGCATTGCGTCCTCGTCTTCGGTCCTTCACCCAAGAGATGAAGTGCACGAGACTGCTCGCCACGACAGCGACTCCTTTCACTAGTACAATATTCCAGAGCTTGCTGCATCTGCGCGCCCATTTGCCGCCACAATCGCACTCCTGTGTAAACTTTTGTGCCATTTATGCGAGATTGTTTGCGCGACTTGTCTCTTTGCTCCGACTAAGGCTAGCAATCTCGATCGAACCGCAGCAATGCTGCACGCCCGAGAGCAGTTCGGCGCTGCTCCAGTCGCAAGCTGCATCTCCCAAAGCTGCATCTGCCAAACGCACTGGCTCGAAGATTACTGATGATAACCATTAAACACAGGTCAAGCAGGAGGAATTCGACCAATCGACCAGTCTCGTGCTACCAGCGTAACATCCCCGCGGACGATCGAGAAATGGTGGCGCACGAGGCTGCCTGAGCTTTTGGTGCTTTGTGTTCTCAGAAACCCTGGGGAGCCGTGCCTAGAAGTGGTTTAGCTGAGGATCGAATGCCGGGGCTTGAGCCTGGAGCGGCCCATTTCTCCCGCTTCCCAGCCGGCAGAGCCGCCAACGAAAGCTTATAAGCACGTCTTTACGGTTCGTCGACTCTTTCTGGGACGACTCGACTTCAACTGTTGGCTTGAAAAGGCAATCATGCATTGTGCAGCATGCATGGCGCCCAAGTTCTTGTCACCGCTGCTTGCCTCAGTCAGCCCAAAAGGGTCTCGCTGCCTCGTGTCGACCCCTGCAAGTTTTGAGACCTCGCACACGTGGCTGCGATTGGAAGGCTAGAAATGCCACTCATGATTTCTCTGCCCGAACTAGGACATCAAGCTGAATTACTATGCCGCTTCCTCGTTAGTCGGGCCTCCGGCTTGCGATGGAGTGGTCCAAAGACAATGCCAGCATGGAGAGAATTGACGTGGACCAAACGCAGAGTACCTCTGATGATCACCGCCGTCGAAACGCCACGTGACGGTATTTGGGATTCGCCCAGCCATGATGATAAGTAGCTAATGCCAGCTTTGCCTCCGTGGTCGCTGGACACGTTCTACTTGACTCTTGGTGCCGCCACCCCAATAACAAGACAGAGCTTGATTGACAACATGAGTGAGGAGCGTTACCAGGTGCTTGTCACCATTCCCGAGACGTCGCACCATCTGGCAGAGGTCCTCCATCGTGGTCGGTACCACCTTCGCATTGGCGACTTTGACATCAGCAAAGAGCAGAAAGGTCGCCATGAGTATCACACCGCCAAGGATGTCAGACCCTTTAAGCTGTACTCGGAGGGCGATCCCATAGGTATGAGAGTACATGCCCTCCTCTTGCGGCAGAGCTAATGTCTGTAGTGACTTACAACGCCGACAGTAAGGCTTTCGAAGTCCGGGTGGAATTCTATCAGCCAAAGGTTGTGAAGGCTCAGTGGTGGATAAGTCACAGAGATCATAGTACGTTGTCTCCTTCGGTCGTTTGCGGCTGTTTTCTAACCTGTAGAATAGACAACAAGGTTGCAGAACTGCAGCCACTGAAACCGGGATGGGTCTACAATGTGAGCGAGAATCTCGACACTGACGTACCGGATGTCGAATATTATCCAGCTGCTTGGTTAGAACCTGGTCACACTGGTTTTGTGAACGATTTCATTGTGGAGCCAATAGTGCTCGAGAGTGATCCAGAGAAACCAGAGGAGAAGCCGGCAACTGATGATCTGGCTCCTCAAGAATCCTGGATCCCAGGAGCAGGTACCATCCACCCCTCTACAGTCGGCGACTACCGTAGTGTTGCCATCTGGTTCGACAACAAATCCCTGGATTCCGCTCGCGTCAAGACGGCCGACCAAAGTCGCCCAACCTATCTCAGACTCACTGAGCCCGATGAGAACGACACCTCGGAAGACTATGTTCAGTGGTTTGTGGCCCAGAAAGACGGCTCCAAGTTTATTAAACTTCAATTCTACGAGACGGGAGATTTTCAGGTTGTAAGTATCAACGAAGGGGATGTCAAAGCTGAAGCATTCCCCACGAGTGGCCGAATGGCATCCAAGGCTCGGGCACCGGCGGCGATGACCTCGAAGATGGCAGCAACCACGAACGGACTGGCCCCCAGACTGGCTGGGAAGTCCACATCGCTGCCAAATGGTCGTCTTAACGTTCGTGGCTTTCGAAACTGAAGCTTTAATGGCAGCTGTCGCTTTTCCCGAGCAATATCGCGCTGAGGCGACAAGTCAGTCACTGGGTGCTTTTGCCGTGGTCGGGTCACTGGTCTGGTTGGGCGCTCTTGTCTTACACATCATCCAGTAGTAGTGATTGGTTGGATGGGTCGATAATTGTTTCCCTCCGAAGGAGACAGGGCAGCAGGCCACTAGTGGCGACGTCGGACTGGCGCATTATAAGGTGTAATAGCCTGCCCTGCTTTGCATGTTTGCGAAAATCTGGACCACTATCAGCCGTTTGTCTTGCCTCTGACACGAAGTACATGCCACTGGTAGTTCTCCAAGCGCTGTGCCTCGCGTCCAGCTTCCAGCATTTGATCGTCCGTAGCCTGCTTGCAGTTTTGGGTCCGAAGTCAATTCGAGGGTTTGGTGGCTGGCTCAAAGTATATGAGATTCACCTTGCATTGTGGCTGCATTTGGCGCCAGATACATTTCAGCTCCTCCAAAGGCACTCGACAGCCATTTTGGGCATCGCTGCAGCACGTGGCCGTATTAGTTGAGAAGTCTAGATGTGTCGGTTCAGGTATCTGGCGCTGGGCCTGTCGATTATACAGTTGGTTTGCCCAATACTCAAAGTACGTGCCATTCGAGTTCTTTCCGAGTGCCTGCCGTACCAAGCACTGCTTGTTATAAGGTCGTCTAAATCCACTCGTGGAGTTCGTTCGCTGTCTCCGATTCATTTGGTCTTGCCAATCACTCTGTAGTGCTTGCGATCATGGCGAAGTCTGGATTGGGTCGCCAGACCTATACTATCGAGGTGAAAACGTCGGAGATCATGCAAGAAGTGCTCACCAACGCCGAGTACCATTTTCGCGTGGGAGATGCAAGCGGGACCGACGAAGCCGGCAAGTTCAGAGGCCCGGCGACACATAACATCGTTCATGAAAAGAAGGAATCAAAGGGTTGGTTTCCCGGGTCTTGTCAACAAGAACGCCGAGATTGATAGGATACAGTGCACGCCCACTCCACGATCCACGCGACTTTTGAGCTTGACGCGGTCCCTTCTCAACGGTGGTGGATGGGTTATATGACGAACATGGGTGCGTAGCCCTGTCCCGGCCCCGATCTGTTGGTACATGAGCTAATCGCAGCAGAATCGAAAGAGATCCTCGGTCAGAAGCGTATCAGCTTCGGACAGATCTATGCACTTACTGCGTCCGGCGTAGAAGTCAGGACGCCAGACTTTCAGTCAAGTTGGGTGCCGAAACGTGGATTCGGCTTCCAGAATCATATCAACGCAGCGCCTGTCCTCCTCCGGGAACCGTCGAACAGACACTGCGGCAATTTGACATCTCTGCCAGACTCGGCTGCTGTTCGTCCCTGGCAGCCGCTGTGGGTGCCCGGCGTGGGCCGCTTGGAGCCGCGGGTTCGACCGGTCAAGCGCAAGGTTGCAATGTGGTTTCAGAACAAATACAACACAGCGATGTTGTCGACTTCTGATCAGAGCTTGAAGTGGGAGGTGGAATGGGACGACTATGGTGAGGCCCATGACAGAGAGCTGACCGTATACTACTGGAGCAATGGCCAATTTCACGGGGAGGAGGAGCCGGCGCCCTTCTCGCAGGGCGGCTTTCAAGAGGTTGCTCCAAGCAAAGATCTCGTCCCCGAGTCCCAGAACAACGGCTTCGATCCAGCGAGCCACTTGCCGGATGAGGAGTACCAGAACACCGGGTTCGACCCAGATAATCAGCTACCGGATGATGACTATCAGAACACCGGATTCGATCCGGAGAATGAGATACCAGAGGACTCCCAGAATCAGGGATTCCAGCCAGACGACGGATTCGCCAACGAAGAAATCAACGAAAGTCCCGCAAAAGGTGCTAACGGGACTGCGCTGAAAGCGAAGAAAGCGCCACAAGCGCTTGGGACGCGATTGAAGGTTACCATGATGAATGGCGGTACTTGATGGTGGCAATGGACGTCGTTTCGGACATGGCGTTACTAGCACCTCACAGCGCCCGGAACTGAGCAGTCATACAAGGGATCAGAGCGTTAATAGTTGTAGGTATTTCATAGCCACAGCACTTCAAACTCCTCCAATGTTTCTATGTCGCGTTTTCGCAAAAGCGACTCGGAAGTGACGCGAGGCTCACGTGACCTGCCCACATCATACGTTGCCGCTTTACTTCGCCGCCCCAGCGCCCTCCCAATAACCATTCACGATGCGAGGCCTCGTAGCCTCCGATCATTACGGACAGTGCCACCCAAGATGCAGCCCACAATGCTCCCTGACGTTACTGCGCCATGCGGTGTACGAGATCCACGTCTGCCTCCAGGCATCTACGAGGGACCTAGGCATCCCACAACGCATACCACACATCGTATGAACCCTTGTACGCGTGGATGCATTGCCTAGAGGGCCATATCGTTCTCGGGCCTAAGAGGAGCTCACAGGTGGGGTCTGCTGAAGTGAAAGCCGCGGAGTGACTGAGTCGGACCCCAAGTCTCTTTCCAGGCAATATATTGCGTACATGGAATTTTTGTCCACAAATCTCCTCGAGATCGAGCAGAACACGCCCACGGGCACTTTGGCGGAGTGGTTAACGTATGTCATTCATCAGATCATAGGACGATTCTGACTTTGTTACAGGCGATGCCCTGCTAGTATGACCTTCATGGTCGAGTAGATGAGGCATTTCCTTCGGGAGCGCAGGTTCGAGTGAGTTATACCATCTCTGAAATTGTGGCCTCAAACTGACCTCCAATAGATCCTGCAGGTGTCGATGTCCTTGAACATCCATCATCTCAGATGGTGAATTTCCTTTTTGCATTTTTCACAGTATGGAGCTCTCCCAGGGTTGTGTGCGTGGCATGTTCGTCAGCCAAGGTGTCGGAGAACTTGAGCTTGGTCCAAGCGCACAGTCAGCTGGAAATGAAACGCCTCCCCGCAATGCGAAACCGGCGACTTGCCTTTTTGGACCTATCCCCACGTCCAGGAGTACTCCCTCGGCTCAGGCGGCCTTCATAACTGGGACTGCCAGATCTCAGTAGGGGCTACACAGTTCCTTCGAGGCAAGTTTGGCCCATCTCCCGCTGGGGAAACCATGGGGCGGCCTCCGATTCGGAGTTGCGTGGCTACGAAGCCCGGCGCATACCACGGAGCATAGCCATCATAATCATCCCACGAAGAATGATAAAGGATGGCTTTGCGCTCTAGTTCTCAGCAATCACGCCACATCTATAAACTGGCAGCGACGGAACCGCCCTCAACAAGTTCGACTTAACGCCAATACTTGACGGCGATTGGCAGTCATGACTGCAACCAACGGCAGAAATGGGACCAAGCCCCTCCCCAACATCGACATCAAAGCCGATGCCAAGAGGGTGTTCGAGGTCTTGACGAGAGGCGGCCTCGCCATCATTCCTGCGATATAGGCTACGCCATCATCGCCACGGAACCTGCAGCCCTGGAGCGAGCCTTCGTCACCAAACAACGGAAACCGCACAAACGCCACGCCATGGTCGGTTCTTATGCACTACATCAACGGCTTCACGAACTGCCCGAGCGTGAGGCTGGAATGGTCAAGCTACTATGCAACGACCTGGACATCCCGCTCGGAGTGATAGCGCCTCTAAGGATGGACGATCCAATCATCCAGAAGCTGGGACAGGAGACCTTGGCCCGGAGCTCAGTCGATGGCACGCTCGCGATGCTGGTCAATGGTGGCAAGCTGCAAGAGGAGATCTCACGACTCGCTACAGAAGCCGATTTACCTTTGATGGGATCGAGCGCCAACATGACCGGTAAAGGTACCAAGTCACTCGTGGAGGAGATCGAGCCGGAGATCATTGCAGCTGCAGACATCATCATCGATTACGGGAAGCGGAAGTACAGTGTCCCAAGGACGAGCACGACCATGATCAACTTCAAGAACATGGAGCTCATCCGATTCGGAGCGTGCTATGATGTGGTGAAGTACACGATGCAGAGATATTATGGGATTGAGTATCCCGAAGACCCCGGCAAGGAGGCTCTGTTCAGCGGTCATCGCGGTGAGCAAGCCAATCAGTACTAGGGCGGACTCTATCCTGGTCGAGGCATTGCCATCTGACCCAATCGAATTCGGAATCTCTTGAGGTTCTCCTTACCTCTGTGCAATGTTCCCCTTACACCGCCCGATGCAGGAACTACCCTATGCGATGCGCCAACATGAAGAACCATGACAATGACCAACTTCTCCTCATTCTGTCCGCTGCCGAAACTCCGCCCACGGCCCGTCCTTATCACTGACGAAGATGTCCCACATCTGGAACTCACTAACACAAGTTAGTATCATGTCACACGATTTGCACTTGCATCATGGACTCACCTGCTCCGCTCCCGCCCGGCGCCCATACCGGGTCTGCCCTCCCCAACAGTCTTCAACGTCCCTGCCGCAAGCCGCATGTCCCAGCCCCAAAGCAATCTTCCCAATGCCAAGCTCAGCTCCATATACGCCATCGGCTTTCCGATGCAACCCCTGCTCCCCAGACTGAAGGGATTGAACACGCTCTGCAGTCGTTCATTCTCTGCCTCGTCACACTCTCCATGTATCCACCGCTCAGGCTTGTACTCCCAAGGATTGGTCACGAAGTCCTGGTGATGATGCAGTGCGTAGATCGGGCAGCCAACGCCGACACCTTCGGGGATGTGCTGGCCCAGGACATCAATGCCACCGGCAAGCGTGGTTCGAGGCAGCAGGGCGCCAACAGGCGGTGACAGGCGAAGCGCCTCGTCAATGCAGGCACGCAGGTATTTGCACGAGGCAAGCGTGGCACCAGTCCTAATGTCGTTTTGGGAGGAGAAGTTCGACCGGATTTCGTGCTGTAGGCGGGCCAGTGTCGCCGGGTTATGGAGTAGGTAGAAGATGGTAGCGGTCAGTGTCGTCGAGGTGGTATCTGAACCAGCGACGATCAGGGTGTTGCTCTCACCCCAGAGTTCCTGCTTGGACAAACCGGAACCGGTTTCTGGGTCGACAGAGTGCAGCAGGTAGTAGAAAAAATCCTTGCGCTTGCTCTCCATGACGTTTGATGCGACTCTTTCGCCGACCTGCGCGCGACTGAATGCCAGATACTTGTTTCGGTCGAGGTTCAGCTTGCGGAAGATGATGCGGTCCAAGCCTGACTGGTGCAGCCAGGGATACGGGCCCATGGTGTTGTGGCGCTTCGCGGCCTGCATGAGAAGCTCTGGTGCGTCGCGATTGGAAATGCTTGACCCGTCCAGCATGCCAAACCCGCGCCCGAAGGCAAGATCGCCCATCACATCGAAGCCGAGCCAAGTGCTCCATTTGGAAATGTTCTTCGGGGCAGTCCACTGCTTGTCGGCTATGCTTTCTTCTGTGCTCGTTTTGCTACCAAAATGATCCGTCAAAGCGTTGATATAGCTCGAAACGTGTGTGAGAACGAATCTTCGACACCCTTAAGCGCGGCCTCGGAGAAAGCATGGCTCATCACCCGTCGCTTTCTGCCATGGGCCTTGATGTCAATGCAAGTATGAGTTGACACCACACCTGGAGCTGCAGGGAACGATGTGTAGAAATCTGACTTCCTGACATTTGCCTTGTGGCCGTAGATCGCCTTCAAGGCGGCCGGATGGTTGACAGAAAGCGTGTTGGGGCCATAGCGCACAAAATCGCCATATTGTTCATGCAGCCTCTGGAACAGCAGATGTTTGTCTCCTTTATACGCATGATACACGTCCCACCACGGTGTCAATTTCGCGAACAGTGGTCCTGGGTATTTTGATAGTGGATGGAAGAAGATTCGATGGACGGCAATGAACGCGACATAGCCCAAAACAATGAAGGCGGCAAGGATCAGGATATTGCTGCCGAGTCCGATCATCCGACTGGCCGTGTTGTGATTCCCCACGAAATCTTTCATGGCCGCCATCTTCGCTGATATTGGTGATATGTACCAGGAGATGCTCAATTACGTTCTACAAAGTACGTGTCGAATGCCTTTGTCTTATAAATTTATTTATTATTGGCGCTGGCATTGATGTAGGACACAGTCAGTGCGCTTCTTTCCGGATATTGGAAGACGAGAATATCCGGCGCGTCAGAACTTTGATGGGGAATGAAGCTGCCAATCAGAATCCTCCTTCAGTTTGTGCTGAGGCTCACGCCTCTACCAAAATCAAAAGAAGTGAACGCCGGTCGTGCTTACTATAGGACTGCTACACATTCGGCCACGAAGTAGGTGACCTTGCGGCATCTTTTGTGGAGAGCCTTGCGTGGTCTCCATGGTACGGTTCATTCGGTGGCACCCGCGCACGCAGCGCTGTCACGGATGGAAACAGCCACCACCGCAGTCTGCCCGAAGGAGTTATTGTTGCTTACGGTCTTGATCGCGAAAGGCTTCGATTGGCGATGGGACGTCACCGAAGGGTTCAGATAAGTTCATGTCGTCCTCAAGGGATATACACGTGTATCACTTCACGAATTGCCGCGACCCGTTGACTGCTGCCGAGCCGAGGTCGTACCTGACGCCGGATGACATTCATCATACCTACTTGATTGACATGATCACGGCATTCCTGCTCGGCTTTCACTAATGAGTGCGGTGCGATACTGCGGGAGAGGATGTGACTCGAAGCTCGACGTGCCTTGCATTGCGATCGCCATGTGAATTCGCACGGTACACTGCCATGCATCAGTTGTCTCGATGACAGAACTTGTCCCTTGTGCAAATATATTTGACCTGCTTTCGGGTCGTCAAACATGTGTTCGTGTCTCTGTTCGAGCTGAGTATCTCGTCAACGATTAGGGCCCTCCCGAGCGCCATGATTAAATCCCGCATTGGGCAGTAGTCTACTGCGGCATCGGTCACGTCGTCTACTATGGCATGATGCCAAATCTAACCACCACAATGCGTGGACGGCGTTCAGAGAATATGCCAAGCCTGCTCTTCAACGCGCCGGATGACTGGAGCATTTTTACGAAGTGCTACTGCCTACACACAAATTGGACATACAACGCAGTGAGACACCTTGTGTTTGACGCTTTTCCACAGAAAAGTTGGTAAAATAGACTTGGAGGATACAGATTAACAGGTTGATCATGGACTAGGTATTTCCGTCGAATTCACTCCTCGCCGCCAGCCGGAGCTGTTGGATTTGAGGATTCACCCTGCTCCACGAAACCCGCACGAGCATACAGCGCTGCACGACTTACCCTCTGAACCGACGGAGTAACAGACTGAGCTCGAATGTCCGAAGCCCTGCTGTTTGCGTGACCAGTACTCGGAGTTGTTCTGGTAGGTGGCATGGAGATTGAGAACACCCAGCCAGGGCCTGACCAATTGAAGATGAGACCTGGCATGATGTGCGCTGGTGTGTGACAACTCAGAATCGCTTCAGCTGGTCTGTTCTGCTACCATATATGCTTCGACACATCACCGTCGAAGTCTGAATGGAACAAGGGCCTTTGACTTGGCTTTGAACCAGTCGCTTGCGTGGACAAAGTGCGCCTGGTCAAGGCATTGTAGACGTGTCCACCTCTTTATCATTACTTTGGGATTTGCGGACAAAGGCCGCCCCGTGGTTGCCGACACAATTCAGGACCATTGTCTACCGACCAGTACAGTCGAGGCCGCCAGTGCTATCAAGTAACTCCTCGTCCCCACCATGTGAAGCTGCGGCATGAACTCCAATGAATAGAGCTTTCTCTTGAGGTCATTCACTCACCCCGAGTCAAGTTCCTGCTGGCGCGCACCGGCGGGCGAGTATTAGGGTATTGCGGGTCATCGGTCACCTGGGAACAATACTTTCGGCGGCGACTCAGTCCTTTTCTTGCGAGCATGCATTTGAGATCCTGGCTGAACGCAACAGCGAAGACGAGCTTGGAGCTTTCGGACATCTTGAATGTGGCAAACTCGTGCATGTTGAGACAGTGCTCAAGCGAGTTGGAGGCACGTACGCAGACAGGGCGAAGGCAGCGTGGCTTGCCCCTAATACTAGGTATTCAGCCTGCCATGAGGGCACTTAACGTTGACGAGGAAGACCTTGTATTCGTGTGCAAGTGCACCGCTCCTGCCAGAGGCGCAGGCAGAAGCGCATCTGATAGAATGTTGGATGAGGTACCAAAGTCCATATATTTTTCCAGCAGACTGGAGACGACTGTCGTTGGCCATCGCCGAAAATGCTTGTTTTGCAGTTGGTACACAGTAGTGGAGGACAAGACTTTCTGGGCTGCGATTTCGTCACGCTGGCTGCAGTTCCGAGGCCCCAATTTTACTGGTGAAACGCGCCAGGAGGGCTGAGCGGGCTTTCTCTTCCTTGGGACCTTGTCTTCTCCTTCCCCTTTTGTTTGCCTGGACGCGCTTCCAGTGATTCCCACATACCCTCACGCGACATCAACAACATGCCAAATTGTCACGAATGCAAGTCTCCCGGCTGGCTCTTAGTGCTGCGTACCTGCAATTCTCGATGAGGCATCTTCCCCCTCGAGCCTCTGCGAAGCTGCACGCGGCGAACAGCTCCGTACCTTTCGCTTACAGCTCCATGGCAACACAAATCTGCCAAACCCCTGATAACGGCTGATCATTGATTCGCGTGCCGGTCTACCAATCAGTGCTCCTCCATCAACTAATCCTCCATTAGATCCATTCCGTGCCACTAATGACACCTCCGGCACCAATGGTGGCTGCTAGGCAAGCACAGCGAGATTGTCTTGGATGGGCCGCCCCTTGGCTTGCCCCTGCCAACCGCGTTGTTTTCCTGCACGGCGAAGCTTGTACGATTGTGACGCTCCCGCTGTCAAGGGGGATCCTCGCAACCCTTGTACCGTCAGTGGCTGAAATGGACTCGCTGCACCCACCTGCAATTTGGGAACAGCATGGATACTCATGGCCCGCTGAGACAAAAGACCTCCCTTCCTCTCTCTCACCTTTTGTGTTGTTTTTGTCATCCGATCGTTCTGTGAGCGCAGTCATTCATTATTTGCACGTTCTTGCGTGCTGTCCATTCCTTTGAGCGTCACTTCGCGATTACACCTCACAGCCATGATACCAAAATCTACACTCTTGGCCCTGGCGGCTCTGCCCGCAACGCAGGCCACCTTCCTTACCTCCTGCTGGCCCGGATCAACACAACGATTGGACCCCCTGGTCTTTCCAGGCGAGGTCGCAAGTCACATTCACGATATCGTGGGAGGGAACGGTTTCAAACCAGTCATGTCATACGACGACACCCAGGCCGCAGACTGCACGACTTGTATGGTCACAAAGGACAAGTCGAACTACTGGGTCGCATCGATGTACCACAATGACGGATCTAACCTCACCCCGGTGCCGCAGCACGGCTCTGCATCCATTTACTACATGAACAACCCAACCCTCCTTGGGCCCGGCGAGACCATGGAGACCCTTCCCACCGGTCTCCGTATGCTCGCTGGGTTCGGCGACAAGCGTGCGGAGGGCCCGACGATGGAGGACGAGGCGATCAGATACAAGTGTCTGGACTACAGTAAAGATCCAACGCAAGACATCAAAGGCTTCCCAACTTATCCTTGCAAAGATGGCATTCGTGCCCAGGTCACATTCCCTTCATGCTGGAATGGAAAGGATCTGGATTCTGATGACCACAAAAGCCATATGGCGTACCCCAGTGCTGGCCCAGACTATGGTGGCTCATGCCCATCAAGCCATCCTCACCACGTCGTCACCGTCAAGATGGAGGTCATCTTTGCCACCAACAATTTTGCGTGGGGTGCAGATGGCAAAAACCCCTTTATCTGGTCCAATGGCGACAACACAGGTTGGGGCCTTCACGCCGATATGATCATGGGCTGGGACGCAGATGTCCTCAAGGCTGCTGTCGAGCAATGCATGATCCCTTCGGCGAGATCTACAACTGCGCACCCTTGGTTCCCTACCTGCCGCCTACCCGCCAGTACTTGGACCCCGGTACATGCAAACTGACCAACTGGGTCAACGAAGATGCGACTGCAATCGTCAATAAGCTTCCTGGCTGCAACAGCATCGGCGCCGTCGTCAAAGCACAGTGCCAGGATGGCGTTACGCTCAAGGGTGAATGGTCCAGCTTTGGCGGCAATTTCGTCAACAACACTGTCGACGCCGTTGCAAACGCTGTTGCAGGCGCCGCTCCAAGTGCTGCACCAGCCCAGTTCTACGACAAGCCATCAGATGCCGCTGCTCCTCCATCACCAGCAGCCGGCAACCCCCACGTCAAGACCGAAACAGTCTGGGTTACCACGACTGAAATCGTCCATGGCGTTGCACCTGCGACTCCCGCTCCAGCGGCGGGCGCGTGGGGAGATGCTGCCAAGCGCGACGAGCACGTGCACCGCCACGCTCACGCGCACGGCCGAAGATGGGCTTTCTAAGCATTTGCCATCTTTAGTTGAAGCATTTCAGTCCCCATGTCCGAGTCACTCTCGCAAATGCATAGCCTGGTCGCTGGTCGGTCTTTCGAATTTCTGTACGTGTGTTTATTCTGGCGGTTCTTGGTTTGGATGTGCAAGAAGAAGCAAGGTGCCATGTAAACAATTCAATCTTGTTGTTTGTGTGTAGATGGGGGTTTTGGTACGAGAAGAGACAAAGCAGATTATCATGTCAGGTTAAATGAATAGTGAAATGGCTCACCCTCCCAAGCAAGCAAGCAGGCACACATACCATTGTACATACTGGACACGAATGATGTGATGATCCAATCTGCAGAGGTCTTTGCTGTGTTGCTTTGTGAGTGTTGTCCGTACGGTTGAAGCATTATACCACAGTCCGGGTTTTCGTGTTCTTGATTTATGCTTCGTGCGATGCGGCATCGAGTGTTTCGAGCACAAGCCATGCAATCTCCACGCAACGGCTGTCGTTCTATTCTTGACGCTGGGGCTGATCGAGAATCGAGAAGCATATCGCCTAGATGCATAAATACGAGATGTGTACCTTTGAGGTGGCCGTTAGCCTGCAACGGCCCGAAGCCACGTTCTCCGGGGGCGCGCTCCGTTCATGACGTTGATGCCAGCACGCCCAGCAGTCATGACCTACTAGGTTTTCTCGTGTCGCTTCTGCGCTGCAGCTGCGTTTTCTGCAGGCTCTGTAGTTGTCGTGTTGTGCCTGTCGATCCGTGTCACTGTGAAATTGTTCGTCCGAGTGGTTTCATGCTTTCCAACATGTCTGTCGTTTCCGCACTGACTCTGGGCCTGTTTGCCGCGTCGACCAATGCGTTCCCAGCATCGAAACAAGCGCCTCTGTTCCCGCAAGATCACACCCAGAACTACAAGTTCGATCCTCTCCTACATCTACCAGGCACGTCACCGTACTTCGATGCCGTAGCTTCGGTCTCCGCCACGGTGCGCCAGACGGCTGCAAAGTCACCTCAGCGTCCTACCTCGTACGACACGGCGCCATATACGCGAACGATGACGAGTACGAAGAATACATCAAGCCCGTATTATGGAAGCTCGAGAAGCACAGAGGCGGCTTCACCGGCTCGATGGAGTTTCTGAACGACTGGCACTCGCCTATTCTCGAAGATCACCTCGAAGATATCACACCGTCAGGGAAGGAAGATGCGAAGAAAGTCGGCCAGCATCTCCTACAACTTTACCCTGACCTGGTTCCTACCACGAAGAGAATACTTGCAGACAAGAAGCCCAGAACATATGACACTGCGGCGGCGATGATGCAGGCTTTTCCGAAGCCAGAAGAAATTGAGATCGTCCGCATTACGCAAGATGTGAATGGAAGCATGGATTCGTTGATCCCACACAAGGCATGCCCAAAATTCAACAAGAAGCCTGGGAAGAAACAGATGGAGACATTCCTCGATTTGTATGGCAAGAAGGCCGCAAGGCGCCTAGCAAAAGACACCGCGTTCGAGCTGAAGCCGGAAGACATCCTGGGCCTGCAGTCCATCTGCGGCTACCAATCCGCGATCGAGGGCAAGCGGTCGCCGCTTTGCGGCCTCTTCACCGACGAGGAGTGGATGTCGTACGAATACGCCTGGGATTTGCGGTACGCATACATGGTTGGGCCACTCAATCCATTGTCGCCATATCTGGGTTTCCCATGGCTCGAATCTCAACTCGAGCTGCTGGACGATATACGCTCGGAGTCAGCGGTGCGCAAGGGTTGGCCCAAGGACCAAAACTTCTTCTTGAGCTTCACGCATCGAGAGGTCCCCCCCTTTGTCGCGACAGCCTTGGGGATCTTCAACTCTTCCTCGTCCGAGATCGAAGAGTTTCCCACTGACAGAATCAACTGGGTAAGAGCATGGAAGATGAGTGATCTGATCCCCTTCTTGGGCCATGTAGGCATGGAGAAGATCACTTGTGGTGGCGACGGCAGTGCAGGGGCCATGGAGGGCAACTTCATACGGTTTGTCGCGAACACCGCGCCCAGACCGATCCCACAGTGCCAGAGCGGACCAGGCGCAAGCTGTCCGTTTGATGAGTTCAAGTACATCATCGAGCAGGGCGCGAAGAAGTATAGCGATTTCCATGGGGTCTGCGGACCTAGTCCGAAGTCGGCCGAGGAGGAATTATAGCGGTTTGTTGCCTTGGATACGACATGATACCTCTTCGTGCTTCCTAAGCTGTATTTTCTGCTGTCAATAGAGGCGGAGCTACCGACTTCCCGGCTCGCCTCATGCTGCCCGTTAGACGGTGGTGATTGCGCGTCTCCATCTTGTCAAGAATCGCCTGTATAGACTTGATGTCCGCCTCGGTGCTGCCATCCTTCAGTTGCAATCGCGCCACCTGCAGGCCAAACACGAGCTGAGCAACGATGAACTTGGGCTCTTTGTCGATGGAGATAAACACCTGATGCAAGATCTGTCGCGCCAGATCTCGTCGGCGATCGAGTGGCGTGAAGCAGAGAAATCGTTGTATGATCTCATTGTTGGCGTCAACGATGGACCTGGGACACTTGGATAGAAGCTTCTCCGCAAAGTTCGCGAAGAGAAGATCCATAGCCGCAAGCGAGATGGAGAGATTTGGTGATTGAAGCGTTCGATCGTCTGGGTCATCTGTTCGCCGCCGAGTCAATTCATCGTTCAGCGCGCACAACGCCTCAAACGAGTCTCCCAAACGGATGAAGATCTCTTTGTAGTGTGGAAAGGCGGTGGACTCTGTTGTGTTGCAGATCTCATGAGCAGCAGTGTCGAACATATGGGCTAGATCAAAGCCATGGTCATACAGCCTTTGGTCGAAACCCTTCTCGACCCCAGCCCACGGCAAGGTGCGCCATTGTAGTTGACCGTAAAAGATCTGTGTGCTGGTCATGATGCTGACGATGAATGAATTCTGCCGCATCGACTCAAGAATTGCTCTTGCGAAAGGCTCATTGAACTCCTCCGGTCGACGCAGTTGCATGATTCGGCCGATGCCGTGAACTTGGTTAATCCAGGATTCCATCGTATCAGTAGTGCTCTCAAGCCCTTCAAAGAGTACCATGCACCGCGCAGCAGCGAGTACAGCGTCTGTCCTCGCAAGGGCTGCATCGTAGAGTGCTTGCTGCATGAGGGCCAAGCTGAGCCCATAGCAATGCTGTCCCTGACGAATGCACGCTACATCATCTCGGGAGCGCCCTGCCCTTGTGTATGCGATTGCAAGAAGGGCTTGGCGAAGGAGCTCTGTACCTGGGCGTGGACTGTGACCACTGATCTCGATGCATTTCTGCAGCCAGAGCGGCGTCTCCCGGATGGTTTGGCCACTGTTGGTGTAGCTGTCCCAGAATGAGGCAAGGATCTGATCCTCGTGAGTCCACTGAAGCGATACGCGAGATGTGGGTAATAAAAGAGTGTCGGTAGGTGTATACTTTGCCTCTTCGAAACGTTTGCGTTTCTGCAGCCCTGTCGGACCACGGTTGATGAATACAGGGTAAGAGTGGTAGCCTTCGCAGGTGCGACCGAGTCTTATGCAGCGATCACATGATGGCTTTGCTAGGTCGCACTGCTGGGGGAAAGTAGAATGATTAGTACTGCCGCCCGGTCGACATCTCCCACGTGCAGGGATTGGGTATGCCACTCACACGAACTTTACGCCTTCTGCACGTTATGCAGCCTTTTGACTTGCCTGGAATGCCAACCATGTTCTACAGTGGAAGAGCTCGCATGATGGCAACCTCTTCTGGAGGAATCTGGCTGGCTCATAAATGCGCCATCAGGTGTTGTATCTCTAACGACACGCCCGTCCACGCGAATTCACAACGTGAAAAGCATCGACTCCAGCCAAGCCTGATCGCATCGACGTGGCTCGTAGGACGCCGAACATGGCGCAGATCGCGTCAATATCGATCTGATGTTGATCTTATCGATCCTGCCGTTTTTGGGGTGGAAGATGCGAGATGTGGGGCGTCGTGCAGCCCTAGGCTTGCTGCTGTGTCTGCACCGTATACACGCCGTTGTACACCCCAGAGCTTTCAGAAGCATGCTCGTACTCCGTGTACGAACAATCTCTGCCTCCTGTGCGAGTGCGCCCTAAGGAATGATATCGAACGCTCACAAACTTATCAGAGGTGCAGGCGCGACTTCACGCGCGCGTCTGTCAGATCTGCGGTCAACACTGCGGGAAGCTGACCTCCTCGACGGCGCAATAGTTCGAGTGTCTTGCCACTTGAGTGCTAACAACGAAGCGCAGGTACACTGACTTGGCCTCTCGATCGCGATAGCAGCGCAGCGTCCTCCGCGTCGCCTATATCGAAGTAGCAATCGCAACATAGCAGAAGCGACATTGGCAGGCACGCTGACGTGACCGAAAATGACGTCATTGCATGAGGTGCTGCAGTGCGACTGCTGTCAAGGGCCCTATATCGGTGGGCTATCCACTCAACGTCCGTGCTAACGACCAGGTCGGCATCATGAGCAACGTGCTGGTAGTCGGCGGGACAAGAGGCCTCGGCGCAGCCCTCGTCCATCGTTACGCCAAGCAGAAGAACACCACTGTCTACGTAACGTCCCGAAAAGAGGCTCCAAAGGACTTCCCTTCAAACGTCAAGTGGATCACCGGCGTTGATCTCACACAGCCTACATGCGCGAAAACGATTGTGTCACAGCTCTCGGGCGTGGAACTGTCTCTGGTGTACATAACGGCTGGCATCTTCAAGCTTGAGTCATTCGAGAAGCCAGACTGGGATACAGAAGTCGCAACATATCTGACATCCGCTATCGCGCCCACATTCATCATATCGGCCCTCTGCAACAACGGGAACCTGATCAAAAAGGCCGACCCTCCAACGAAGATCATACTCCTCTCCAGCGAAGCTGGCTCGTTAGCCCTGCAGCAAGCCGGCGGTGGAGGCAACTATGCACACCATGCCTCGAAGTCCGCCCTCAACATGGTCGGCACTCAGCTTCGCTACGACCTTGAGCCTCATGGAATCGCGATCGGCATGGTGCATCCGAGCTTCATGCGAACGGAGATGACGAAGGGCGTAGGCTTCGATGTGGCATGGGATGAGAATGATGCTTTGACCCCAGAGCAGGCAGCGGACCTGGTGAGTTCGTGGACGGATGATGAATTCGGGATGGACAAGACCGGTCAGTTCTGGGCGCCGCGTGGGACTCGGGACATAGGCAGCTGGAAGGATGTCACGGGTAAGGACCACATCAAGGGCGCCGTACAGCTGCCGTGGTGAGGACAAAGGTGGCGGATTGGCGCACCGAGCTTACGTTTGCTCCTCACCATTCAAACAGCACGGCTTGCTGCGCGATGAATACGACCAAAAGATCATCCAATATGCTTTGAGCGTTTTCAGCATCACGTCGGCATTTCCTATTCGTCCGGCTGAAGAATTAGTCCCGAAGGAACCGTGCTCCAGGTTTCAATTCAGGCACAGGCGTCTCGCAACATAAGTTGGGAGGACTTCGTCCTGCATTACTACCGACGCGGACCATCATAACGCAAGACTCGAGGGTTTTGGACAAGTAAGAGCTGTCGAATTGACATTCGTCTCCTAGCTGTCCTACAACGTGCCTGGATTGAAAGTTCTCCCCAAGAATGCCCACCGAACGAGGAGCGATCCGTTGTACATTTGGACCGGACACACCTTCCATGCTCAGACCACGTGATCTCGCTCGATACGCATCCCAATGCGCTCGTTCAGTGCTTCTGCGCGACGTCCATCCTTCAGCTTATGAAGGACTTGCTTCTCGCTTGGCTGTGCTGAGTCAAGGTGTGGTCGAGTCCCACCCAATCACATCTCCGTAGCGGCTGAATAAGCCACACCATCCCTACATTTTCCCAATACGTGTTTTCCATATCGAGATGCATCTCACCACGTCCACGGCACTTATTCACGTGCACGTTCTGCAATGCTGCTGAAGGAGGACATGCTCATATTTTGCATTGACCAATTCCTGCTCAACAATCCTCACGAGTAATCCCTGGTGGTGCAATTGGATAGCATTCGTGCTGGTCACGCGCGAGATCCTGGTTCAAGTCCAGTGCTAGGGAGGATTGATGATTTCCTTTTTGGAGTTTTGGTGGGTTGGTGTGTGCAGGTGTCGCTTGCCAGCTACCTCCCCCGCTTGGGCGCCCTTTGTAAGCATGCCGAACGAACAGTGTTATCATTTGCGTTGCTGGGATTTTATTCCAACAATCAATCCCCGGTGGTGCAATAGTAGCATTCGTGCTGGTCGCGCGCGAGATCCCGGTGCAAGTCCGGTGCTGGGGACATGACTTCGTTTTTGGTGGATTTTTGCATGTGTTCATGCCCTAGCTGGCTTTGCTGGATCAGCACTCTTTGTAAGCCTTCCGGACGAAGGTTGATGATTTGTGTTGTCAAATTTCTGCTCAACAATACATCCCCGGTGGTGCAATAGTAGCATTCGTGCTGGTCGCGCGCGAGATCCCGGTGCAAGTCCGGTGCTGGGGAGATGATTTCGTTTTTGTTCTTCTGCAGCTGCGTCTGTTAGGTATCGTCTTGATAAGCCGCCAGCATGGTCAGCCAATACCCGTTGTTGGCACAGTATAATTACTGCACAGATAATATTCTCAACCAACAATTACCACCTATACTGTGTATCTCCGATGGTGTAATGGTTAGCATCCATGCTTGTCTCGCGTGGGGTCATCGTTCAAATCGATGTCGGGGAGATGCTCTTTTTGCTCTTGTGCTTATCAAGAACGCCCTGCGTGTGACTGTTCGACTCGTGGTTGTGCTCATACTTTTTGCTTTTCGCATCGCTGGCTGAATAGTTGATTGTGTGCTTCTCACCTGGACTCGGCCTGGGCATCCTTTCGAGTTCGTCTTGGTAATCACATCATAAGTGGCTGCCGATAGTAGTATGTACCCTTATAGGTCATAGCCATGTACATCGTCTTCGCCTTCGTGGTCCTCCTTCTGTAACCGTGCCGACACCTCTTCAGCTTTTCGCCAGACTCGCAATAGATTCTCGCCAGCGACTTTGCGAGCATCTTCATCGGAAACGCCCATAACAAGAAGTTCCGCTATGAGGTTCGGGTACTTATCGACACCCTCCAGCCCACGTGGAGTCAGATCGCCCATGCCATCAAAATCGCTTCCAAGTCCGACGTAGTCGTAGCCAATCTTCTCGCCGATGTACACAATGTGTCGTGCAACCTGATGTACAGTGTTATTCTTCTCGTCAAAATCTGGCAGCTGGGACGAATCGGCCGGCGGAGAGCACGAGATGAAACCTGGTGAGAAATTGACCATGACCAGACTCTTGGTCTCCTTGACGAGTTCGAGGATATCATCATGAACGTTGCGAGGATGTTGACAGAGCGTGAAAGCGGACGAATGGGAGTATATGACCGGTGCGGCGGAAGTGCCATTGCTCAGAACGGCCTTCTGCGTCCAATATGAGGTATGTGAGAGATCGACCAGCATTCCCAGACGGTTCATCTCAGTAATGACTTCTCTTCCGGCAGACGTGAGCCCACCGCGGTGGTATGGAGCAACGACGGTCTCATTGACGTTCCAGATCAAGGCAGCATCGGCGAAGGCGTTGTGGCAATTCCACGTGAGGGTGGCGGCTCGCACACCCAGTAAGTAATACAGACGAAGAGTCGAAAGCGGAGCTGACTGGGGAATCTGATGCAAGCCCTCAATGCTGATCGGTGACAGCATCGACTTTGACTTGTGGAATTGCTTCAGGGCGTCCTCCACGCCGGACCCGGCTGGGGTGAAGTCATCTGGATACTGGGCTTGGAGTCGGTGCAGGAGATCAATCTGTGACAGTGTATGCGCAACAGCTCCGGAGTACTCTGCGTCGGAAAAGTCATCGCTGGCATTCTCGGGACACACAACGAAGGCACTCCAGAAAGCGCCGCCTGCTCTGCCTTTCCGAAGTCGAGGCAGATCAACGTCTCCATAGAGCCCACCGTCTTCGAAGCCTTTCTTGAATGCGGAGTCATGGATCTTGTTCTTGTAGGCACCTCGAATCAGGATGGCGAGATCATTATGCCCATCAAACAAGGGCGTATCACGCAAGATGCGTTCTACGCGCTCCTCGATCTTGTTGTGGCCCGGTGGTGCCGGAGGGCGCGGTTGCATGTCGGTGGGACTGGTTGGACTGAGCATCAGCGCGATGAAGGCAAAGAATACGACAACGGTGAAGATGCCGGCAAGGCTACTGAGGGCCCGCTGGGCGACACTCTGACTTTCGACGTTGTCCTCGTCTTCGCTTGCGCTCTCGTATGCAGGCGGAGCATCCTGGCGCGGAGAGGCAAGGTGTGATGTATATGACTTGGTGCCGTAGCCAGATATTTCTGGGGCGGGCTCGTTTTGTGGGAGCAAGGGGTCAAGCTCGCGTGGCGCCATAACTTTGTTATATCTACAATATTATACACAGTAAGTACTTTGTTACAATCTCACCGCCAGGAAATCGATATCGTCAATGCCCAAGTATTCCCCACACCCGACCGCGGCTCGCTGGAGGTAAAGCTGCTATCTCCGGCTGCCGCAATTGGAGATCTCGAACTTTTTTCTGTACTGTGCAATGCATGTATGGTCCTGCCCTCCACTATCAACGACATCGCCGCAACCTCGACAGCAATCTACGAATACTTTCTCGCTGAGCTCTCAAGATGGGATCCGGCAAGAAAGAAGCGGCCCGCCGGGAACGGCAGGGCAAGACCGGCGACGGCATGGGCAACGTCAAGGTCAAGGGCGAGAACTTCTACCGCAGCGCCAAAAAGATCAAGACGCTCAATATGTTCAAAGATGGAAAGGCCCAGCACAATGCTGCAGGAAAGGTCACCAAAGCAGCCTCATATCAGTCAAGAGAAGTCCCCAAAGCGCGCGTCGAGCCCAACCGCAAATGGTTTGGAAACACCCGGGTCATTTCTCAAGGCGCACTCGACTCTTTTCGACAAGCTGTGGCCGAACGAGAGCAAGACCCCTACCAGGTCCTCCTCAAGACGAACAAGCTCCCCATGAGTCTCATCCGAGACGCCGAGAACACAAAGAATGGCATCAAGCAGCACAAAGCCAAGATCGCGGTCGAGCAGTCGCCCTTCGCAGACACATTCGGCCCCAAGTCACAGCGAAAGCGGGTCAAGCTCAGTGCGAGCGATGTCACTGCACTGGCCGACGAGACTGTCAAGATGGAGGACAACTACCTCGAACGCCTCGAAGAGAGCCGCTACTTAGCTGGCCAGACGGCTGAACAGATGCAGGCAGACGGCGAGCTGACCACCGCGAGAGAGCCGATCTTCTCAAAAGGCCAGTCGAAGCGCATCTGGAACGAGTTGTACAAGGTCATCGACTCGTCTGACGTCGTCATCCACGTTCTCGACGCACGAGACCCCGAAGGCACACGCTGTCGAAGCGTTGAGAAGTACATCAAGGAAGAGGCGCCACACAAACACCTGGTTTTCGTGCTGAACAAGTGCGATCTGGTGCCGACTACGATTGCTGTAAGCAGACTCTCCCCTTCTCGCTCTTCTGCTTCTCCACTGCTAAGTCAAGGCTCCTTTCCTGCTCTTTTGCAACTTCCCATGAAAGTCGCCTGTTACAGCTTTGGTAAATCGACCGGGCTCGGTATCCTCGTGATGCTTTTCGATGTCTTTCATTCTGAAAGGCCATCTCTTGAGCCATGGCGTGTCCCATTTGAGTTGAAGTCCCCTCCGACCTTGTCGTCAATTTCCAGATTGGACTTCTTAGTAATGTTTCACACATCTCTGACGCTTTTAATAGGCTCAATGGGTCCGTCTGTTGTCGAAGGACTATCCCACTCTGGCCTTCCACGCCTCACTCACCAACTCCTTCGGCAAAGGATCACTCATTACGCTACTCCGCCAATTCTCCGTCCTACATTCGAACCGCAAGCAAATCCAAGTCGGCTTCATTGGCTACCCAAATACCGGCAAGTCATCGATCATCAACACTCTGCGCAAGAAACGAGTCTGCACAGTCGCACCAATACCAGGCGAAACCAAAGTCTGGCAGTACATCACTCTGATGAAACGAATCTATCTCATTGACTGTCCCGGTGTGGTACCGCCAGGTCAAGGAGACACCGAGCAAGACATCCTTCTGCGCGGGGTAGTCCGTGTTGAGAACGTTGAGCATCCGGCCCAGTATGTCGAAGCTGTACTACGGCGAACGCAGACGAAGCACATTGAACGAACTTATGACTTGAAGCATTCCGAATATAATGACGACCCAATCGAATTTCTCAGCATTCTGGCACGCAAAGGAGGACGTCTGTTGAAAGGCGGTGAGCCTGATGTTGACGGCGTGGCCAAAATGGTCTTAAATGACTTTCTGCGGGGCAAGATACCCTGGTTCACGCCTCCGCCAAAGAAAGATGGTCAAGCAGCCGTGGCCGCGGAAGAAGGTGCCACCGGTCCTGCTTTAGAGGGCGATGTCGTTTCCGGGAGGAAAGGGCAACTTGGTGAGATGGGTACCAAAGCCAAAGTCGACAGCGGAACGTCGATCACGGAAGAGACGGATCGTGCACCGTCAGAGGCGTCTGTCAGCTCGGACGGCGGCTTGGAGAACGACTTCGAGGCTTTCTCTGATGAAAGTGACGAGCCTTCTGATGACGGCAGTGAAGATGATGGAGCCGACGGTGCTCCCTTGGACTCATAGAGACCGTGCAGGGAATCGAATGTCACCTGCTCAAGAAAGGACTCGTCTGATAGTAAGGCGCTTCGCTTTGAGCAGATCTGGACGGGGTCAGTCGAAGAGCACTCCAGGTTGTCCAAACGACGTCTTGCTTCAGAAGACCTGCCCAAGTTGGCGCAAGGAGAATGGCCAGCGATTCGGGCGACAGAGGTGCCTCTCAAGGTATAGTGATCATGGCGCTTGCACAAGGCTACCTTCGTGCATAGTGCGTAACTACGAAATCACATATGTCCCTCACAAAAAGGTGTGAACCTCTACTGAACGAGCGTCAGCGGTGGCTCTATCTCCTGCTCCCCTGCTCCCTGGTCTCATTCTATCTCCGGGCAGCCTTGAGCTCAGTTTGAGGTCTAAAGCTGTGATAAAGGTTGGGGTCAGGAGAATCTGTAAGCTCCGAAGGTCACAGATCAGTCATCACACGAGGCAGGAGTTCTTCCAACAGTGGGCGCTAACCCAAAACCAGATTAGTCGATGATCGCCCGAGCTCCACCCTTATGATGTCCCCTGCATTGTCTATCCTTCTATCCTCTCGCACCGCGTGAAGACCGACTGTACGCCGGGCATGATTAGAAAGTCTTGAGAGCCTCAAATGTCCGATGCTCCCACTACTGTGGGCAGACAGAGCGCCGAGGGTATGTCCTGCACAGTCATGAGCGCGTTCCCAACCCTTATCAGCAGTCGTCACGCCGGCCAAGCACCTGCAATGTATACTGACCACGCGACGCAGACTGACAGCGCTACAATGCGGTCGGTAGATCATATGGCCGCGGCATCCACCTCAACATCACAGGCGCGTCTGCCGATCAGCCTTAAGTGTCTCGCCATCGCAAGCGACTTCGAGCGCAAGCTTCCGCTATACTTCACGCTACGCCAAGAGGTACGCTGGTCATGCCCTTTGGTCCGAATTTTAGCACAATTTTGACACCACGCATTTTGCTTCCCTAATACCGGACATCCGACGCCGTCCTCTCGGCGTACAATACATCGGCTGACCATTTGCATCCAGCTTCTCACCAATCCCTCACCAGCCAACTGCCCAGACTCAACGACCTCGCTCCTGCTCCGCCTCCCATACGACGTCCTCCACCTCATCTTCCACAGCATCGCCCACGCGCCCTCCCAGATCTGCTTCCTCCTAACTTGCAAGACCCTGCTGCTGACACTCTCCCCGTCACCACTCCCTTCGTCCACCGCCAACACTAGCAGCACCCTCGACAGCGCCGGGCCAAATCCATTGCCGCTGACGCTCTCCACGATCTCGCCAAAGTACGCAGGCCACCTCCCCACCCGCGTATTCGACGTCCCCTGCCTTCTGCGACAGCTTTCGCCAACGGTTCCATCACATCTGCGGCTGTGCGCGCATTGTCTGACGCACAGGCCGTTCGGCCCGCCAAGCGACACCGAGTACTGGCCGCTCGTGCAGGGATGCGGTGACGTGGCGAACTTTTGGGTAAGGAAGACGGGTTGGGAGTTCTTTGGGGGTGGATGGAATAAGGTTGTGCATGATATTTGTCCGTATGTGTTTACCCTTCTCTCGATCTCGTGGTTTTTATCGTCATCGAATCCATCCGCAGACTGTATCTGCTGCCCGCAAATGACTAACATCAGTGGGAGCGTGACGCTGATGTGACCGTTTCCATAGGCACTGCCACGGAACATGCTCGCTTTCGGACTTTGGCGATTGTCATGGTTGCAGTGCGTTGGGGAGGCTGGGAGATGTGGATTGGGGACGTGTCGGGCAGAAGTGGGGAAAGAGGAAGGAGGAAGAGATGCGGAATGGGAGGTTTGCTACTTGAGAGCAGGAGTATCGAAGAGGAGCGCCTTGGCTGTGTAAGCTGTGATAAGAAGTTGTGAGCATTCTCTATAACTCATCACCTCAAGGGGCACGGATCCTGGCAGCGCCTTCCCTGGCCAGAGAGTCTGCACCGAACCTTTTCTACTGACTGAGGCTCGAGTGAGGCGCATTCGATATCGCCTAGTGAAACAGCGCATTAACATCAGACCTGCAGTGCCCTCTCTGACCCAGAAATCCATCGATAGGCTGACGTGGCTAAAATACCCAGTACTTCGTTATAGCCTGCCATGCCTCGACTCTGCATATCGCGCATGAGCTAAGCTCTTACCGGCGTCACTCCTCATCATTGTCCTCAGCACAATACCGACTCCTCGCCCTGATCTTCTCGCCCCAGAACCACAAGATCACAATCGCTCCAGACCCAACAGCCAAGAACGCCCCAGCCAGCACAGTGCATCCCCAGCCGAAGCCCAGCCTCTTCTCATCAAACAAGTACGGCGCGAAAAGCGGGAAGAACGCGCCCGCCATACTCCTCGTGACCAAATTGGTGCTCACTGCACTTGCGCCGTAGCGGGTGTAGACGTCGATCGTGTACACGCTTACAGATGCCGAACAAGTGTACCCGCCCGCGGCAAAGACCACTGCTCCGAGGTTGGGCACGATCCAGTGGGTGTGTGCCTCGCCGGCCCAGCCCCATATCAGGAGACCCAGTGGCATGAGCGCAGTCCCGAGGATGAGCGTCGGCAGGCGGAACTCGGGCTTTCCTTGTCCCTGATTGCGGGCGGTGAGGAGAGTATAGACGCGATCGCCGACGGAGCCGGCGATGTTGACGCCTAGAATGAACCGATGGCGCAGGAGATGTAGTTCAGTGACGCGATGGTGGAGGATTGGTGGTAGATCCTATTCCATAGCAGAGGGTAGGCGAAGAGGAAGAGGAACATGATTCCGTAGAGCATTGCCATGTAGAGGGCGAGGAGTTGGACGATGGGTTGGGTTAGCAGCATGCGGAGGGGTCGTTGGAGGTTGGTGCGCATGAGGGCGATGAAGTGGAGTTGGGGGTCCTTTTGAGGGTGGGGGTGGTGGTGACAGTTGTTCACTGCCGGTATTGGTCAGCCTGAAGCAGAAATTCGAGGGATTCTCGGGTGATACTGGAGGGGAAGTTGAACTCGATGCCAGACACTAGTCAACCAGCCACCAGGAGAACTTCAGAGATGGCTCAGAGAAACATGAAGCACGTCGCCGAGGACTTTGAAGGCGGCGCGAGACTGAAATCAGAACACATGTTTCTGACAATGGATCGAGACCGTCTCCTGGTCGACTGGTGGTTTAGGCTCACGAAAAGCGGATAGACTTACATGGGTGGACGATTTTCAGGGCATCGTTCAATGTCATTGCGTTGTTGGTGGTGGGGTTGTGTTGCTTCTTGAGCCACTTTCGCTCGATGCGTGGGACGAAGGTCTCCTGGAGGAAGAGGAATGCGGTTATGAGTACGGTAGCGGCGGCAGCGCTCGTGGCCCAGAAGACCCACCTCCAATCGGCGCCCTGGGCGATGAAAGCTCCCAGGATGGGTCCCAGGGCGGGCCCCAGAAGAGGTGCGGCCATGAACACTGCGAATGCTCTGCCTCTTTCTTCGACTGCCCAAAGCTCACCGATGATGCCTCCCGCGAGGCATCAGCGACACATGCGCCGAAGCCGCTGAGGGCTCGAAATGCAAGCAGCTGATCGATTGCACGCACGCCGCCACCGGCAGTATTCCAGACGATGAAGAATGTAGAGCCACCGAGTAGGACTGGTCGCCGGCCGTACACCTCAGAGAGGGGTGCGAGGATCAGAGGTCCAAGACCAATACCGATCAGAATGAGTGAGTTGGTCAAGTACCATTGAGATGAGTGGGTCATGGAGAGGGTTTTCGTGATGGGTTCCTCGCACGGCGTGAGCATGGTCTCGGTCAACGGCTGGATGAACGCGAATGCGCTGACGAGGAGTGTTGCTAGCCATTTCCGTGTTTTGGGCCAGAATAGCGGGCGGAGTGGGAAGTCTTCTGGGAGTCGTAGAGGCGTGAGTGTTTCGGGGTTTGAGAACTGCTGCACAGATTGAGATCAGTCCTGTAACATCAAGTGGGGAGCGCTGATAGGTGGCATGCTGCGACAGAAAGTACTGGGCATTTTTCCTACAGTGTCCTCCCTGACCAGAAAATGCGCAGTGTATCAATCTGTCGCACTGAAGCTCCAGTGAGGCTCATCTCAAGCCACCGAGTCGATCTGCGCAACAGTGCAAGGACCTCAGCGCCCTCCCTGGCCGAGGAACCATGATGAGCACCATTTATTGCTCGAGAACGCAAGGCTGTGGACCGGGGAAAATGCCCAGTACTCAAAGTCACAGCTTGGGTGGGTGAAAGATGGGCTTACCGGCTCAGCAAAGTGTCCCCCAATGTCGACTCTTGACAATGCGATACTCTCCGTGATCGAAGCAGTAGCTGCCATCGGTGTCAATCTCACCGCTGACCCAGTCTCGAGCTCCGCCGGACCCATAGTCTCCTTCATTTTGGGTGTTCGCGGCAGGCGAAGGAGATGGGGGCAAAGCCAACGATGAAAGGCAATCACAGCTGCAACGCAGAGCAGAAAGTAGCGATCGGAAGCCCCTGTACTTATCTGTCCCTTACCACTGCTCTCGGAAGTCCTGAAGCTGACATGTCGCCATGCTCTCGCTTCTTGGAATGGGCGCCTTATAATGGATATCCACTTGATAGCTTCATCAATGGCAAATGCGGGTTAAGTGGCATCAGAGCCCACCACGAAGTACTACGCTGGGGCCGCTGGGGCAGTTGCGGCCAGGAGCAGCGGTTTGGGTTGGCAGAAACCCGTCTTTGCGGAAGGGAAGCATGTGTAGGGTAGGAGGCGCACAGCACGGACGAAGAATTAATTCACTGAGCACATCATCTCGGCCACGAGAGCCGCAGAGGGACTGGTCGTCCATGTAAGAAGATGGTGGCATCGCTTCGGGCTCGTTTGGCGGACTAAGCAATGTGGATTGTTCGTGCTTCAAGTTGAAGATAGTCTATGAAGGATGAAAGTACAAAGTGACTCAGCGATTCGAGGCCGGAGCACGGGCTTGGCGTAGGCGGCGTTCGGAGTCTTTACGAGCACGCCGGCGCCCCGAGCCGCCGCAGTTCATCCGCGTTCCAGAAACGCTAGTAGCAGGTAGCAGTTGCAGATCACCGCAGGTGCCAGCAATAAGCGCAGGCTCAATGGAGCAGTGGGCTCAAATGTTCTCGCCGCCATAGAATGGCTCCAGCACTGCCCTGACGAACGCAATGGACGCGTCAGTGCACTCGCATCCGTCATTCTAACCCGTTCATTCTAACCCGGAGCACAGGACTCGAAGCTCACTGCGGCGGAATGCTCTGGCAAAGCTCGCATCTCTGTCCCTTTGTACGCAGGACACCGCCTCCAAGGACACGACAGTCCGTCGAATCGAGCAACGTCTGCCCGCAGTCAGTCCTAAGAGCAATGGCTACTTCGACGGCGTCCTTCGAGCGCTGTCCCCGACTTCTCGACCACCTCTGAGCATTCGAGAACTCGATGCCCTACTCGCACTGTGCTCGACTGCAGGCCAGGTAATTGAAGAATCTGACGCCACAAGGCTGGTCTCGCGGATAGCTGGATACCTCCCCGAGGCGCATACGCAGACCTTCGAACGAAGCCCGTACCTGCCAGACCTCAGGCCGACACCATGGACTGTTCTTACAAGCGAGGTGACATCAGCGCTGCTGAAGCTAGGAGAACGACATCCATCACTCAACGTGACTGTCTTCGAGACCATACAGGCATATATCAGCAATTGGTCCTCCTCAGCGAGCAATCTTGCTAGCGAGAGCCAGGTTGCTTCGGATGCAGATCTCGAGTCAGAGGCGCTAGACATTGTGACTCTGACCGTCTCCTTCAGTGGCTTCCTGGCTGTTGTCGCCGAGCACGATGGTTCCTGGGATCCGTCTCAGCGAGCAGCTTTGGTTAGATCGGTCAAGGACGCAGTCACGGACGATTACCTGATTGCGGTGGAAAAAGCAGCTTCAGCTATACGGCATTCGACCTCGGACGACATCACGACAAGAGACTGGAAGAAGTATCTCAAGCGATACGCTGCAAGCGGCAATCCAGTCGGAGCGATGTTGCTACAAAAGGGCTTCATCCACCTGCTGCTATCCTGCACAAGTCGCCTCGGACACAGACAGGACAAGGACTCGACGGCACTCATCCGACAGTATCTTCGAGAGCCCCACGCGGACTACTCTCAACACGCCGACGTATCAGACGACATGATCGAGTATCTCGTTGAGCTCATCACCGAGCAAATGAGAGTTCTCGAGGACGGCTCGGACTATCTGCAACTCAGTTCTTCGTGGCAACAACGTCTGGCTTTCTCCGTCAAAGCTTCGTCAATCGAGTCCTATCTGCACTGTATGGTCGTTGACGAAGACATCGCCGATGCTGAGGTTCTGCTCGGCTGGCTGGAGGACACCCTGTCGAACTCGATTCAGATGGCCGACAAGGCGTTGGCGGATATCACCCTGAAGGGACTTGCCATCGTCTCGCAGTACATGTCAGAGTCCGCACCAAACATTGTTCGAAGCCTGCTCAAGTTTCTCGTCCAGAGTACATCGATGCCAGAGGCTGTCGCTTCCGCTTCTGAGAGCCTCTCTTGCGTACTTCGCACGCTGTCCCAGGACGCCATCATCACCACTCTCTACTCACTTGGCAACATCTTGAGCTCCCAGTCCACCGCCGACAAGCATCATACCGCGCTCTCTCCATCACCAGATGCTACTGTACAGAATGGTTCGCTGGGATCTCGCAACAAGAGACATACTGCAAGCGTCATCTCTCTATCTATGAGTGGCGACGAAGAGACTTCTGCAATCTGTGGCAATGTATCGTACACAATCGTGGAGATAGCAACAAGTTGCAAAGACAGCAAGATCACAGCTCTTGCACAGACAATGATGCTCCAAAAGATTGGACGAATCAGCGTGGGTGTGGACGCACGAATCGTCGAAGAAAGTGCAAAGCTTGCTCCGCATGGCCGGGAGAATGAGTTCAGATCCTTACTCCGGCTGCATTCTCGAATGCATTCAGAAGCCGTGCAACAAAATAACACCATCATATTCGAGGCAGTCCGCAAAGCCCGTCAATATCTTGCCACCCATATCGATACCAACTCGTCCTTGTTCAGGATCTATGCGTACCAGCTCCTTGAACGCATTGTGAGCAAAGGTGATGTCCACGAAAACGAGTTCAAGCATTCGGCGGAAGTGGAGCAGGCTGCACAAGAGATTGGACCTTTGCTCAACCCTCTAGCGATACTTGCCGTCCGTCGAGCAAGTGCTCAGACTACGAGCACTCTAGCGAAGACGCCGAGATGGCTGCAATGGTACGGGACGCATGGTTCAACATTGCTGTCCACGGCATTACACTGCAGTCGAGACTCGGCCAGCAGTACTACCAAGAGCTGCGTCTCCTTGCCAAGCATTCGCTGCCTTTGGTTGATCAAGAGCGGCTGGAGCTTCTGGAATCCGATGTCGAGCTAAGCAGCATTCTGCGAAGGGGCATGAGCGATCATCATACCAGCGACCAGCGAAACGCCCTGGCTGCAGTTCTGGGCGAAGGTAAGGGCGATTTTCGCAGTCTATCATATCAAAAAGTTGTGTTCCTGAACGCTGTCTACTTGGTCGAGAGTCTGCGGGCGACGTCCGGGCAGTGTTCAGAGATACTCCAGTACTTTGCAGATCCGACACTCCAGTCCAGCAACATGGGCAAATGCTTGACTTCGGTCGCCGCAAGCGTAGTTGCCAGGTACACCCAAAAGATCGTGCCTGGCGCAGACCACATCTTTAGCGCGGCGTTTGTCTCAAGACAGCTTGTCCGATTCTTCAGCGGCTGTTGCCATCGAAGCCAGAAGTTGCAGCAGGTTGCGAGAGCAGCAGCTCACCAAATCATTGAATGTGCTCCATCGGCGCTCATTCAGAAGGCTGCGCTATTCGGCTTATTGGAGCTGCTCACATTGATGTGGTCCAGCTGCCTCGATGAAGACATTGACGAGTACACCTGGAAGTCAACACTTACCTCCAAGCGTGGCAAGATCACTGTCAATCTGTCGGATGACTACGCCTTTCGAAAGACAACGCTCAACCTTTTGTACAGCGACGCCCGCAGGTGGGTCGAGCTCGCACAGTCAATATCGCCTCTGGATGTCAAAGGGCTTTTGCAAACATACTTGTCAGAGTTCGACGATACCGGGGCGTATGGACATGTCTCCCTGGGAAGGTCATTCGCTCTGGAGATGGGGTCAGCCATCCCACCAATGGATCAACGTCTTGCAGCAATAGACCGAAAGGGCGAGTTTGTTGATGTCAATGTCGCTTCCGACTTTGTTGCTCAATACACAACTCGGCAGGAATACCGCTTTGCGGGCATTCCGGACCATGCACCAAGCCGAGTGAGACAGAGCATCGCAGGAATGAGAGATGGTGCTCCGTCAGCAAGCAGATCAGTGGTGGATGTGGCCAGAGACGCAGAAGACTTCTTGGCTCAAATTCGGGAAGGCCACATTTCCAATCCACCTATCTCCTCGTTCAAAGAGATCCTAAGGCGCGCAGCGGCTGTTCTGTGTACCAGCAAACGATCACAGACTGCGATTGTTCATCATCTGGTCAGCATCCCATTCGAGATTCTCAGCAAGGACTCGATCAAGCTCGGCATCTCGCTGTGGCTGGGCGTGATTCATGAAAATCCGCGCATGGAGTCTCGCATCCTTACTGAAGTTGCGCAAGCCTGGGAGAGAACTATCGACCGCAAAGTGGGCATCTTCAGTGCGACCTTCCAGCACCCAGACCCATTCTACCAGAAGGAGGAGTTCGCACCGAGCGACAAGGCGACCCTGCAATACATGGTGCAGCTTGCTCAAACCACGATTTCGCCTCACCTTAGATTGATTCACTTCTTCCAGAGTCATTTCAACGCAATCAGACTCGGCAGCGATAACACACAGCGGACTTTCATACGCGTAATGGTCAAGACATTGAACGCGCTGCTGACGATTAAAGGACACCCACTACTTCGGGAGCTTCACTTCCAGGTCATTAACTTCGCTCTTCACCTTCTGCGATTCAGCACATGTTTCAGCAAGCTGTCACTTTGGAGCTTCAAGGATCTGGTCATATCTGTGGCACTATCATGGTTCCGAAGTCCGCCTGCATGGTCCTTTGGCGGCAATCGCCTCCAGATGAAGGCTGAGCTCCAGATCTTGCAACATGTACAGTCGTTGCTTCAACAGACTCGGAATATCGGAAAAAGCACTTCACCCAACAGGAGAGATGCCAAACCGCGCATCGCACTGCTTGAAGCTTTACTCGGCAGCGAGATATCGAGGCTCAGTGTTTGGCTGTTCCCTCGAAAACACGAGTCCCATCATTCGTACCAGCATTCGCCATCGCTAGATACAAGCGCCGCACGCACAGCTTGGAACGAGGACCCTGCTCTGGCTATACAGCTCCTGAACCGGTTCTCGAACGAGAATTTGCACCGCGACATCCGCTTCCTCCTTCTGAACTTCCCCGATAAGGCCGTTGGCGATCCTTATGCTCTCGAACTTATGCTGGAAGACAAACTACCAAGTGATGTCAAGTTTCAGCTCAAATACCTGCTGTACTGGGCTCCAGTGAATCCGATCAGAGCTGTTACATACTTCATGCCAGCTTTTGGCAACCACCCACTCATCCTCCAGTACGCAATGCGCGCGCTCGAAAGCCACTCGGTGGACATCACCTTCTTCTACGTTCCGCAAATCGTGCAGTGTCTCCGCTATGACGCACTCGGCTACGTGGCACGCTACATCAATGAGACCGGCAAATTCTCACAGCTATTCGCACATCAAATCATCTGGAACATCAAAGCGAATGCGTACAAAGACGACGATGCGACCATTCCAGACGCTATCAAGCCGACACTCGACGAAGTGATGGAAAAGCTGATCGGCAGCTTCACTGGCGAGGACAAGCAGTTCTACGAGCGGGAGTTTGCTTTCTTCAACGAAGTCACCGACGTGTCAGGCAAGCTCAAGCCATTCATCAAGAAGTCCAAGCCGGAGAAGAAACAAAAGATTGAGGAGGAGCTCCGCAAGATCAAGGTCGATGTTGGAGTTTACCTACCTTGCAATCCCGAAGGTGTTGTGGTTGGCATTGACCGCAAGTCCGGCAAGCCGCTACAATCACACGCCAAGGCTCCCTACATGGCTACGTTCCGCATCCGCAAGCAGCGACATTTGCTACCTGGCGATACGGTCGTGGACGAAAGACCTCGTTCACCCAAAGAATCTCGACCGAATCATGAGAGAAGCTCGTCGGCGATGTCGGCGGTGTCGAATCGAGATCCCAATACGTACGAGGAATGGCAATCTGCTATCTTCAAGGTCGGCGACGACTGTCGCCAAGACATCCTCGCCCTGCAAATGATCGCAGCTTTCCGGGGCATCTTCAACTCTGTCGGCCTAGACGTGTATGTCTACCCGTACCAAGTCATTGCCACCGCGCCCGGCTGCGGTGTGATCGAGGTGCTGCCTAACTCCATCTCTCGAGACATGTTGGGCCGCGAAGCAGTCAATGGCCTGCATGACTACTTCATCACGAAATATGGCGGCGAGCACTCAATTCGATACCAAGAAGCGCGCAACGAATTCGTGAAGAGCATGGCTGCATATTCGGTCATCAGCTACTTGATGCAATTCAAGGATCGGCACAATGGCAACATCATGCTTGACGACAAGGGGCACATCCTCCATATCGATTTCGGCTTCTGCTTCGACATCTCCCCAGGCGGAGTTCGCTTTGAGCGAGCACCATTCAAACTAACTTCGGAGATGATGGCCGTCCTTGGAGGCGACGAATCGGCTCAGTCATATCGGTGGTTTGAGGAGCTCACCATCAAAGCGTTCTTGTGCAGTCGACAGTACTGCAGCAAATTGTGCGATATCGTAGGTCTGATGCTGGACTCTGGACTGCCGTGCTTCAAGCCGGAGACGATGAAGAATTTCAGGGATAGGTTTGTGCTGGAGAAGAATGAGAGGGATGCGGCGAGCTTCATGTTGGGTTGTATCAAGAAGAGTGAGGCGAATGTTAGCACGAAGGTGTATGATGAGTTCCAGCTGTTGACGAATGGAATTCCGTACTAATCAAATGGCTGAACGAACAGAAGCCTGCAGAAAGACAGGGTTGCAGGTGTTGTGGCATTAGTGGTAGTAATAGCGAGAATTGATACCCATTTTGTATAGCCGAAGTGTCAACCCAGGCGGACTTGCCATGGCCGACCTTGAGGCCTCAGTCGTCGGTTGGACCACGTATTGCCTCTCGGATCATGCCATCAAACCTCCAAACTCCCGTTGTCACACCCACAACGCGGCTACCGAGTGCTCAGCGCTTCACTAGTCCGATGCTGGCCAAAATATTCATAACGAATCCCCACGCCTGAGGCAGTAACCGCATCGGCTCCAGCAACAGCGGTACCACCACGACGAAGATCAACACGCCTTGGTTTTCGTCAGTCGGTGCTGTCGATAGACATGGCCGTGGCATGGGCGAGAAATTGCAACTCACCAACAACGATCATGCTGACAGGTGACTTCTGCACCTCCTTCTTCTTGTAGGACGATTCGGGCTTGCCCATGCGCTTCTCATTGACTTGCGCGTATTTCGCGTTTGCGCGGCGTTGTTGTGGTGTTTGAGCCTGCCGGAGATGTGAGTGTCGAGAACGGCAGAAAGGGGGCTTTGCGTACCATGATGTGCGGGCTTGACGGGGATGGATGTATTCTGCCGATGAGCTCGTAGCAGGCTTATGGCGTCTGTGGTTGGTACGTACAACGTGCACGTTACTTGGATGAGTCAAAGCTTGTGCGATCAACGAAGGTAACAAGAAGTGATGCCCCTTCATTCGAAGCATTCAGGATACGTGGTCTTGAAGTCGATGCCAAGCCGATGTCCTTTGGGGAACTTCCCGCTTCAGCTTCACGCATTCAATGTTCCTCGCTTTCCTCCACACACCGCAGCACCACGACAGACATCGCACTTCGAGGATCAAGATCAGCTACCCGCGCTATCTACATACAACATACCATGCACATGAGGATCTAAACACACAGTCGACTGCCTCCTCCCGCTCCCCACCGCGCGCACTCTGCGCCGCAACCTTACCCACCATGACCACCGAACAGACCCCCGGGCCATCACCATTCTCCAACCCCAAAGACGCCCTCTCCCTTGCACGAAAAGCGCCCTCCGTACTCTCCAAGACCTCGTCGATAGCCACCACTTTCCCCTTGACACTCCTCAGCGCCCCCGAATCGCCAGAGCTATGGATGGAAGTAGCCTCCCTCTTCTACGCCTGCCTGCGCACCGGCGACGACAAATCCGCGCACCTCTGCCTCGAGAAGCTCACACAACGGTTTGGCGAGGACAACGATCGCGTCATGGGCATGCGCGGTCTCTACCAGGAAGCCGTGGCGCAGAATGAGGACGAGCTAAGGAAGATATTGGCGGAGTATAACAAGATATTGGTTGAAAGCCCGGTGAATATACCGATTATGAAGCGGAGGATAGCGCTGGTTAAGAGTCTGGGGAGGGAGGGCGAGGCGATTAATGCGCTGACGGACTTTTGAAATTTCCGACGGATGTTGAGGCGTGGTGTGAGCTGGCGGAGCTGTATCTGGGGCAGGGGATGGGGCAGCAGGCGGTATTTTGTCTGGAGGAGGCGGTGGTGGCGGTGCCGAATGCGTGGAATTTGCATGCGAGGTTGGGGGAGTTGGAGTATATGGTTGCGATTGCGGCGGCTGGGGAGGGGACGTCGGAGGCAAGCCAGCAGGGGTTGGGGAGGGCGGTGCAGAGGTTTTCGAGGAGTATTGAGCTTTGCGATGATTATTTGAGGGGGTATTATGGGTTGAAGTTTGCGGTGGGGAGGTTGTTGGCGACGGGGAAGCAGAGCAAGACCGAGGTCATTGCGAAGGAGAAGTTGCAGAGACTCGATCGATTGGCTACGGACAAGTTGAAGGCGATTGTTCAGGCACGGCATTCGCAGGTGGGAGAGAAGGATGAGGCGGAGATCATGCTGCGCAGGCGTTGTTGGACAAGACGAGTTCGTGAGAAGAACAGCCCTAGAAGGCGAAGATGGGCGCTGCTCAAGCTCTGCCGGTGAAGACAACTACATTCGAAGGACGAGGCGGACATCATTTGCTGGGGCAAAAACATCAATCGACGTGACATCCGATTCACTCCTCGGAGAGGTCGCCCAGCTACTTTTTCAAAGCAGCAGTCTCACTCGCCTTTCCCGACACTCCCGCCGCTTCTTCGTCCAGACCTGGCACGATTGAGTCTTCCTCATCACTCTCGGCGCTCATGCAGTTGAAGAAGACAATCTTCGGAAGGTGCGAGGTACGTGTGTGCGGCTCTATTGCTAGCCAGCACAACCCTAGCACCAGTACTGCAGCTACCTCGTTACCACGGCTCGGCCCGTAGTGGCAGATCAGGACCAGGACCGGTCAACTACATCCAGGGCAGTATCGGCTGAACTTGATCATCTGATCTCGCAGAACCGGTATTGGGTAGCAAGGGATCATTTTACTGGACCGCGAGATGTGATGCGCCCCGTTACAGTGCATAAGGCGGCATTGGGCATTAATCGAGTTGAGTCTGGTCTTACGCCCATCTGACGTGGCATGTTTTCAAAGGCGAGTCACTCCGCCAGCATGACATCGCTGCTGCACGCTACCGTCAGCAACCCGGAGACTGGCTCTCAGAGAAGCACAGCATGCAGACATCGGCTTCTCTGAGGCGGGCACTGTTATCATGGCCAGATTTGCGCTGGCAAGAGCGCTGGCAAGAGCACGTACAGCCCACCGCATGGTCCATCCCAAGTTCTCGTGCTTCGGCTTGGGCACGACGATCTTCAAGATGTAGATATAGACATTAATCATGAATGTCCAGCGCTATGGATAAATGAGCGATACACTTTGCACGTACAAGTCCACCCAAATCCAGGCCCAATAATTTCAGACAACACGATTCATTTCGTTCAATGAAAACGACCGTCACAAACATTAGCACAGCCAGATGTCAGAACTCGCTTCAACAGTCCAACCACGATCCCGACAACGCAAAAGCAAAAGCAGGCGACCGCCGCGGTGTATCGTCTGCACTTATTGGACAACTCATACATTGTGTCGCGTCTGTACAACCCGGGCGTCCCTCAGCAACGATTCCTGCTCGCACACCCGCGCCTACACCCAAGCGTTGAGATGCTGTTCTTAGGACCCCTGACTTCATATTGAGTCATTGATATCAGACATACGCCAACCTGCTCTTGTTGCTCAACTGTGTTTGAACGACTTCAATCTCATTCTCTGCGACTTCACCGTACGACTGTGCACTCTACCGTCCGTGTTCCAGCTTTCGGATCTCGTGGTTCGCAGCATCCCTTCCGAGGAAGTCATACACGAACTACCTGTTCACGTGGGCCGCACGTTGACAGAATCAGAACATTGAGTGGTCAGCGACTCAAAAGCCAGGCCATCACCATCGTACTACGCGCCAGCATCTTTCGCTGCCGCGATTGAAGCCAAAGAAGTTGCTGTGAAGGAAAGAGTGACCTGACCGACCCCACCATCGATTGGGCATCAACTTTTTTTCGTCCTCCTTCTGGTTCCGAGCCCATCCTTTGCGACGCAGCTTGGACCACCATCAACAATTCTGATTGACAACATCACTTCTCGAGAGTGTCTTTTGGACTTGCAACTTTCCCACGTTCTGTATCTATTATTGTTAGCTCAATCCTCGGCTTCTTGAGAAAGAGCAGTTGTTGTTGGATCACTTCCCCGCAATTCGGACGGCAACACAGATCGATCACAGGGCTCGCCTCGACCCGATCCTTGCCTCCAACTCTGTTCTACTCACCGATTGTTTACCGTCCTGATCGGTCACCCTGTTGACTGGGACCTCAGGCCCCAGTGTCCCTTTCGACTTGTCACCGACGACGCACTCGACATCATCGACGGTCGAACTGGAGCGATTGTCCCGCGACAGTGTTGATTGGAAGCACAGCATCTATACACCCGCGCTACCATCCGCCTTTGTTGATGCCACACAGATCTGATTCTGATCTGATCCATGGGGTAAGTCCAACCTCATAACTTCGCTATGGCCCTCTGACGCCCGTACAGTGCAGCAGGCGACGACCGCGCTCCGAGTCGACCACCATCCGCCGCATCACGTAAACGTGAAGTCGATATACACGACGACGAGCCCATCCCAGTCCACCATCCCGACTCACCAACGTACTCGCTCCGATCAACCCACCCGCCGCCCAGCCATAGCGGCTCCTCCTCGCATCACGGCGACGTGGACAGAAGCTACATCAAGATCTCTCTAAGAGACCCTATACACACTCAAGATCCTGTCCACCTCCACTACCCCAACGAGGACCCTCACGATGGCGATCGCATAGACCGTGACCGACACGACCAGATCTCCCGCATACACTCCAGCGACCGAGGTGGCTCACGGCACACCTCCCGCGGCCACTCCATACGGCGCATACACTCTGAACAAGACGCGCCGCGAGACATCCCTCGCTCGAGGGCACCAGAACATCCTAGATCACCCACGGAGAGCGGCGACTCCGCAGAAGACTTCTTGCACGCGCGCCCTGGTCCTCGTCCGATGGCGAGGCCCCAATCATACTACGACGACCGTGGCTACCAGCACTCCGGCTCATCTGGCTCAGGGTATGCCCAGCAGTTGGTACATTCGCAGCCTGGACCGCCACATCACTATCAACAATATCCGCCGCCAATGCAGGGTCCGCCGGCTCCCGTGCCATACCCGGCGCACTACCCTCCGTACGGGCATCACCCAGGCTCTCAAGTGAGCTCTCCGTACGTACACTCGCCTTACGCCCCACAAAGTATGGTTCCGTCGCAGTACGGCGCACCATCATACTTCCCTCCACAGCCTCAGATGCCATACGGCCAGCCATACGCTCACCACAGTATGCACCGCAATACTACCCTCCGCATATGCCCATGCAAATGCCACCATACGTTGACCAATACCGGGTCCAATCTCCTGGCCATGGGCCGCCACCACATGCATCTGCTTCCGACTCCGCAAAGGACAATGTGACGCAGGAAGAGCTTCTGAAACGGATCGATGCGCTCATGAAGGAAAAATCTGAGGAGAAGAAGCAGCCAGATGATATGATCTCGAAGGAAGAGGCGCTTCGACAGGCGATGGAGCAGGTGAGAGCCGAGAAGGCGAAGGCGGCGGCTGCGGAGGCTGCGGCGGCTGCGGAACAGTCGAGGATTCGGGAAGAAGCCAGACAAGAAGCGATCAGGCAGTCGAGGCGGAGAAGCAGCGGCTTGCAGACCAGGCAGATCGCGAGCAACGAATTCGCAAAGAAGCAGCCGACGCCGCTCTCAAAGCAGCGGAGAAAGAAGCGGCCGAGAAAGCCGAGCGTGCAGCTGCGGAGGCGAAGATCGCTGCAGACGCTGCGGAAAAGGCGAAGACGGCTGCTGAGAAGGAGGCGGCGGAAAAGGCAGCAGAAAAGGAGGCGGAAGCGAAGAAGGCGAAGGAAGAGGCGGACGCGAAGTTGAAAGAGGCAGAGGAGAAGGCTGCAAAGGCTACGGCTGATGCAGAGGCGGCGGAGAAGAAGGCGGAGGAGTTGAAGCCCGCAGAGAAGAAGGCGCCAGTGAGGTTTCGGGACGCGATAAATCGGAGCTATAACTTTCCCTGGGAGAGGTGCTACAAGTGGAGGGTAAGTGATGTTCCCAAACCCAAATACAATCATCACTACATCCGGACCAGGGCGCTAACGGTGTGAGCAGGACATGGAGTCCCTAATCAACCAAGCCTTTGCACACGTCGACCATCTCTCCGAATGGGTGCACCTCGGCCACTACGACCTGTTGGGTCCCGATGGCGAAATCATCATGCCACAATATTGGCGTGAGACGGTGCAGCCGGACATGCAGATCACTATGATGATGTGGCCGCTTCCGGATAAGAAGGATGATGATGATATTGTCTTGCCGATGGATGGAGATGGGATCTTGAGTCTGGACGATATTCTAAATCCGGGCGACGGAGATGGCGGGAGGAAGAAGAAAAAGAAGGACAAGGACAAGCATAGGGATAAGGAGAAGGAGGAGGATAAGAGCGAGAAGAAGGAGAAGAAGAGGCAGAGTAAAGCGCCGACTGGGATCGCGGCGTGGATGATTGGTGGGACTTCTGGGAAGAGGACGCTGAAGAAGTGATTGACGAGATGGTCTCCGGATGCTCCTGGCATCGGAGGATTTCTGAGGTTTGTGCGTTGGTTCAACTTGGATATTGGCTTAGCGGGCGCAACGATTGATGAGCGAGCATATGCATCGGATGATGATGGAGTGGCAAGGTCTGCATAGCGTATGTTGCTTGGGACTGTTTGATGAGCTACGACTTATGAGATGCAGCTACGGCTTTTCGATAGGATCTTTGAGAGCAGGAAGAGACATCATAGACGACGCAATAATCCTGTCCGTCTTTTCCCCAGTCTTCACGATGTTCACAACCAAGCGATAGTCAAAGAGCTTCGGAATATAAATGCGTTGTGCTACAGTAAAGTGTCTGGCGTATTTTCCTTGAGAACATGACCTTGAATTCTCTGACAATGGCGCCGACATCAACTCCAGCCGTGGACACCCATTGCTACTATACTAAAACTGGTACATTAAGGGTCACTTCTATTGACGTTGAAGTGTAAACAGAAGTGGCGGCTCATCCATGTTTGTGAAGTGATCTTGTGGCGGTTGAGGATACACTAGCCACAGAGTGCGCCTTGGCACTGTGGCTGCGTAATGGATCTGGCGGATCCTCGCTGACTGCATCTTGATCTTTACTACTGCCTTGTTTTCGAGATTGAAAGTGTTCCGTATTGGCGGACATCGTAGACGAATTTCAGTCGCAAACATCCTCCGAGGTAGAGCGTGTTGGTCGTTTGAAGTGTGTGGACATCAATGAAGTCGGCATCAAGGCAGGAAATCACTCACCCATCAACAGGCGAGCTTCGCGTGACCCTCCCTAGGAAGCCGGCCGATGGTCTCGAGTATTGAGCGGCACAGACGAACGAGTTCCACAAGGCGCATAGGCAGTCCTCCATCAGCAGCTGAGATTTCGGGCTCCGTTAGCCGGGCAATCAGCACAGACGCGGTCCGATGGGTTGAAGAGTAACTCTCTCAGCCATGGCGTTCTCTTCGACACCCGAGTCTGCCAAGTCGATGAAGGTGCTCATTAACGACTACCCGCATCGCACTATCGCAATCGCCACAGACACCCATGCACTTATCTTCAGGCACACGCACGATGGCAATCGGAATCCCAGCGCAACAAGTCTGTCGCTCAATTCTACAACCTCTGGCAGGTCGCCTCCGAGATGCATGGCCGAGTTCGGCGAGCTTTCCAACTTCGACCTTACTGAGCACCGAAACGTTGCTGCTGCTCGAGGCACGCTGGGTGTGATCACGCTGAACAACGATGTCTTCTTGTGTGTGGTAACAGGATCTGTCGAGGTTGCTTCACTCCGGCCGGGTGAAACAATACAGCGGATCTACGGTGTCGAGTTCTTCTGCCTCAACAGAAGTGACTACGATCATAGCCACGGCGGACATGTTCCAAACCCACTCCCTGGCCGCGAATTCGATTCCGGTGAGTTCGACTATGGCAGTGGTGCCGACAACGGCGAGACATTCGCCGAGCATCCCTTCCATGCGCTTCAGAAGCTTCTTAGCGGAGGCAACTTCTACTACAGTGTTGACTTTGACCTCACGAGACGATTGCAGGATCGTGCCAACGATGCTAGCCTCGACATTGCTACACTAGACGACTCGTTGCTTTGGAATTCGTATATGATCAACCCATTACTGGAGTTCAGGAACCGTCTAACACATCATGAAAGAGAAAAGCTCGACGGATCACGAATTCTCACATCTGTCATTCGAGGATTCGCAAGGACACTGACTGTGCCGCCTTCCTCAACACCGATTCGTCGCAAGCTGTCAAACATGCCTGCTTCCATTACAGTCATATCCCGGCTGTCATCAAGAAGAGCTGGTACACGATTCAACTCTCGTGGTATCGATGACAACGGCAATGTCGCCAACTTCGTCGAGACAGAGACTATCTTCTGGTCACCCACCGGCTTATGCTTCTCATACGTACAAGTCCGTGGTTCTGTGCCACTCTTCTGGGAGTCCTCTTCGACTTTAATCCCTGGGCAGCAAAAGATTCAGATCACACGCTCACCGGAAGCAACACAGCCAAGCTTCGACAAGCACTTCTCCGGCCTCGAGGCAAACTACGGCGCCATCCACATCGTGAACCTGCTTAGCAACTCCAAGGCAGGCGAAGCAGACCTCACAGCTCGGTATCGGGAGCACGTCAAGCGAAGTCCACTCCGGAGACACGACCCAAATGAGGAAGAAGATCATGATATGCTCCGGGTTACCGAGTTCGACTTCCACGAGTACGCAAAAGGAGCCGCTGGATATGATGTAGCGCGTGCGCTGCGTCCCTTCATCGATCTCAGCGCCGAATCATTCGTCTACTTTTTGTCTGAAGATATCGAAGAATGGACAACGAGCAACGGAAAGCCGAAGAAGTTTGCACGCTCGGCCGTCATAATGCAGCAGAATGGTGTCTTTCGTGTCAACTGCCTCGACTGCCTCGATCGGACCAACCTCGTGCAAGGAATGCTGTCGAAGCTGTCACTTGAGCTTTTTCTCTCTCATCGCGCTGAGAAGGCGAACGGTGACTTCTGGATGCGCCATGATACGCTTTGGGCAGACAATGGAGATGCACTGAGCAAGATCTATGCAGGTACCGGTGCCCTCAAGAGCAGCTTCACGAGACATGGCAAGATGAGCCTCGGTGGCGCGCTGGCAGACGTGAGGAAGTCAGCTACTCGCTTATATGTCAATCACTTCGAAGACAAAGGCCGGCAGAACACTGTTGACCTCTTGCTCGGACGTCTTGTCGGCCAGTCCTCAGTAGACCTGTTCGACCCCGTCAACGACTGGGTCGTGCATGAACTCGGCAAGCGACGGATCGAGTTCGAGTCGTGCTCGGCTGTCAAGGTCTTTGTTGGCACCTTCAACCTCAACGGCAAGACCGGTGGCACTAGGGAAGATCTATCAGCTTGGCTCAGATCCGCACCCGGCTTCGATCTCGTTGTCGTGGGCTTCCAGGAGATCGTCGACTTGTCGCCACAACAAATCATGAGCACAGATCCGAATCGTCGTATGGTATGGGAATCCGCCGTGCGCACCTGCTTGAACGGGAGCAACTCAGAGAAGCAACAAGCTCCTGGAGAAGATGAATATGTCCTGCTGAGAAGTGGTCAACTGGTCGGTGCAGCACTGCTGATATTTGTCAAAGCTCCATTGCTGGCCCGGATCAGCAACGTCGAAGGTGCGATCAAGAAGACCGGCATGTCCGGTATCGCAGGCAACAAAGGCGCAGTCGCCATCCGCATGGAGATTGACTCAACTTCCGTGTGCTTCGTCACCGCCCATCTGGCTGCTGGCTTCGGCAATTACGACGAGCGAAACCGTGATTACCACACCATCACCTCCGGTCTACACTTCCAGCGCGATCGACGCATCGAAGACCACGAGGTGATAGTATGGGCAGGCGACTTTAACTACCGCGTCGGCTTGTCCCATGACTCTGCAAGCGGACTTGTGCAGCAGGCGATGACGGGCAACACGAAGCACCGCGAAGATGCGTTAGGACGTCTGTATGAGAACGACCAGCTGAACATCCAGATGGTGGCGGGTAACTGCTTTGACTTTTACCGTGAAGGACGAATCGCTTTTCTGCCAACGTACAAGTACGACATTGGCAAGGATGAGTATGACAGCAGCGAGAAAGCCCGAATACCGGCGTGGACGGACCGTGTCCTCTGGAAAGTCAATCATCAGCATAGCATGAGCGGCGGTGGAGGCGAGGATCTCAGCACGCAGGTGAAGCAGCTGAAGTACGACTCCGTGCAGAGTATTCGTGTTTCTGATCATCGGCCGGTGTATGCGATCTTCGAGATGAGTGTGCGTGTCGTGGATGAGGCAAAAAAAGATGCCTTGACAAGGAAACTGTACCAGAAGCGGGCGAGAGAGGTCAAAACTGCCGCCAACATGGCCACCGAGGGCGAGGACGACGACAGCGACGACCTGAGCTCCGATATCGAAGACACAGTCGGGTATGAAGCGATCGAAGCAGGTCTGCCTCCAGCGAGCTCAGACAAAAGGAAGTGGTGGCTGGACAATAATCGAACAGTGAGGGCTGACATCAAGCCTCCTGCTAAGGACAGCATGCTCAATCCACAGCGAAAGAGTAATCCATGGTCAAGTGCGGCTACTGGAGCAGAAGACGACGACTGGATTCAGGTCGAGAAGCCGAGCACGACATCGAACGGGAATGGCGCCGCCAAGGTCAAGCCCGAACCACCACCACCTCGGAACACAAGCAACGCTGCGCAGTTTCGCAGTGGAGATGCACGCGTGGCCTCAAGCAGTCCGGCTTCCCAGCAGCAAGCGAAGCAGAGGATGCTACCGCCAGCGTGGGAAGGTGAACGCTTCGTTTCGTCCTCTACCGCAACCGACGGGCCCGCACCAGCGCTGCCAGCTCGCGTCACCTCGAATGGCACAGGCTTGCTTCGCTCGGCATCAACAGCAACCAAGACACCACCTCCACAGCCACCTGTACCGCGTAATAGCACACCAACGCCGTTCTCGCGACAAGACCGTACTGCTTCCATTGCATCTACGACGTCATCTGCTTCCTACGCGACCCCGCCGTCCACTTCGGCTGGCCCAACGTCGAATGCTTCGGGTGTGCTTAAGCGGCCGCCGCCCAAGCCGACCAAGCCATCCGTGCTCGCTGCGACTTCGGCAGAAGGGTCCGCGTCTAACAGTAGAACTGTGTCCGCGTCGTCCACGGGTACGGTCTTGACGAAGCCTATTCTGGGCGCAAATGTGCCCTTAACAGATAGCAGCAGGTCGAGCAGTGTCGCCAGCAACAGCAACGGCGCACTCAGAAAGCCTGTGCCTCCCTTGCCACCACAACCGTCCTCGAGCAGCTCAGCACAGCGTCAGCCTTCGACTCAGCTGCCGGCTGTGAGCGAGAACGAGGGCAACAGCGACAGGCCTCCTCCGCCTTTGCCCAGGCGGACTGGGACAGGGCCGTTGCCGACTCTTGATACCGGCACGTCCAATCGCCCGCAGATCGGACTTGATGGCACGCGGGAGACTACCAGCGGGCCTCCTGTGGCAAAGCCATTGGTCAAGCAGCGTAAGGGCAGCTACAACAATAACAACAACATGTCGAGCCCGATCTCTCCGATTGGGTTTGCGTCGACGGGGGAGTACTTTGCGGCGCAGACCGGATCTCGGTCTGGCTCGAATGGCACCCCATTCTCGCCGCCAGTCTTGCCGGCCAGAAGCAGCGCGGTTAAGCGTGGGGGTAATGGTGTGGGTTTGATGGATCAGGACGAAAGTGAGGGGTTGAAGGAGTGGGAGGTTCTGACTCCACGAGCACACAAGTGAGGAGGCGAGAGGTCAGGGAAACAATCAAGGTGTGCTCCGTAGAAGTTGGATCAAAACAACAGTCTATGAGGATCGACCGGCGGTGGGCTCTAGAGTCTCGCTCGCGAAGAATTGGCACGGATCGTCAACCGACCGGCAATGTGTCCCCCTAGCTACGAACATAGAGCCACGCTGCCTTCCACCAAACGACCAGGCAACAAATGCCCTGCATCATCTCTCATTGAGACCACCTCACCTCACCGCCGGATCCGCACCCGCATCCCTTGACTCCCCGGCACGAACCCCGGCGTCACGAAATCCGCATACATGGCCACATCCTCCCTGCTTGTCTCATACAGCTCCAGCGTCGGCCCCTGCTTGCCTGCTCGTGCCTCATCATACAGATCATACTTCCTAAACACCCCCGCCACAAACACCTTCATCTCCTCCCACGCCAGATTAATCCCAATACACTGCCTCCCGCCCTTTCCAAAACTAAAGAGGTACTTCTGCAGTCCCGGGTCATCGATGTAGCGTTGTGGGCGGAACACGTCTGGGTCGTTACCATAGATTTCGGGGCAGCGGTTGAGAAGCGGGGCGGTCATGCCCATCGCCGTGCCCCTTGGAATGGTAATTTGTCGTTTGCTGTCGTCGGGATAGGTGTACACCAACGTCTCGTCCGGACAGACGCGGTCTTGGCGGAGGACGACGCCGGGGTGCATTCGCAGCCCTTCTTGGATAATAGCGTTCAGGAGTGGCAACTTGTCGAGTTTCGCCGGGTCGATTGCTGTGTCTGCTTCCGGGATCACGGCTTTCAATTCGTCTCGGAGGCGATTGAGGAGGTTGCGGTCGGCGAGGACTTCGTACATGATTGCCGCGAGGGTTGCAGCGAGGGTGTCAGTGCCGGCGATGAGGAGGATGCCGGCTTCCTGGGCGATGCGTGCGTCCGATTTCTCGGATTCGGGGATGGAGCTGGCTAGGATTTCGTGGAAGATGCTGCTGCGGGAGGAGTCCTTGGTGGTGGGAGGGGGGTTTTGGGAGTGTTTGACTTGCTTGATTTGGGCGTAGATCCACTGGATTGGGGTCAATTTCAGTTTGGAGGTCTTTTTGGGGCTGGAAGGCGTGGTTTGGGGCGGCTGCTTACTGAGATGAACTCGACGAAGGAGCCCATGCGCGGGTTCATTATTCTCATGATGGACGGGGGGATGAGGTAGAGTAGTTTCGCGAGCCAGTACATGTGGGGGCCTAGATGAGAGACGCGACCGGGGATCATCATGTCGAAGAACGCGGCGTTGCAGTCTTCGATGTCCAGACAGGGTGTGGTACCGCCGCCGAGGGCATAGCTTTGTATCACATCTTTCGTTGCGGCGCGCAGTGGTAAGTTCATTTGAATGGGTTGTCCAGCCGCTGCCCAGCCGTCCATGCGCCGCAGGAGATTAAGCATGGTCTTATTGACCACATTGGAGAGTCCTCGTACGCTCTGCTGGGAGAAGTATGGGCTCAGCACAGCTCGGCGACTGCGATGGAGGTCGTGGTCTTGAGTTCCGAGGATTGAATATGGGGCCTGGAATGATTTGAGGTTGGTCTCGTATCTTTCCCGCCGATGCCTTGGATCCTGTGAATATAGCGTGCCGACGAAGTTGTGGTCGTTGATGTGGAGACTGTCGGGTCTTATCCGGACGATAGGTCCTAGGTGTTGTCAGTGCTCCAGAGTGCTCCAGACGTTGGTTTGGCTCATTATGCGCTACCATATTTCTTGTGCATTTCCGCAATGACCTTAACGTACTGTCCACCACGAATGAGGTCGTGATAGCCGGCATACCAGGTCGTGAGAGCTGTTCACATTCTGTGTCAGCTCCTCTGTGCTGTCGACGGCCCGTGATGTGCGCAGATAGTTGAGACGGCATGAACAGACCTGCAATTTTGGGCCCAGGAATGTGTGCGATTGGGCTGAAGTAGAGACGATAGATCGCAACAGCAATGACATAGGACAGACCCGCTGCGACGATCAGACGTCGATCGAGCTGAGACGCCCAGCTGTACAGCGTTTCAGTGCGTATTGCCATTGTCCCAGCCCGTTTTCATGCAGAGGGCGTTGTGCTGTGCAACAGATCAGTCAAACATGGAGCGGGCGTTTGGCGGCATCAAGGATATGATTTTGCACGGTCGGTGCCGCATCAGCGATCTCGCACAAGGGAATGACCTGCCATATGTACCTGTGCCGAAAGCGCTTGGGCTAGATCAGGCCGGCTGTCTTTCGCGACATGGGTAGTGGATGTAGGGAAGTGTATCATATCAGGTAGAACCGCAGATGCGCGCTTGCATCCCTCGAAAGCTGCGTCTCAATGTGACATAGAACCCGGGATCGACACAGCAACCGGAACCAGAGCGTATGCGCAGGGACGCAAATGTGGTAAGCCGCTTGCTCATGCCTTGGAGGTTCCATGCCAGCAAAGGCAAAAGCTCGCAGCGACCGCCTTTTGCGGCCAAGGTGCATCGCGGCCTCATCCTTGAGTAAAGTGTTTTGGTTAAAGCCCTACGGATATGGAGTAATCGTATGGGTGTAGTCGTACATGATATGTGATCACTCCCAGGGGCCTCCCTCACACCTTCAGATATCTCCGAACAAGATACGAAGCTTCGATGGCAGCTTGGATCTCGTGTGCAACGTGCCGCCTCAGCAACGATGCTCAACATTCAGCGCCGCAGAGTCGTAAAGCGTTGGTTGTGTAGGCATTTGAAAGATAAAACATGTGACGACAGGAGCGAACCGATCGCCTGATCAGAACGCGTGGGTGATTCCCCAGAGTCGGCTTCATAGGAATGCCAAGGCCTGCGGTGAACTTCAATTGATTTGACAAGCACGCAACATAATGCGACTGCAACAAACTCCCCCTGAGCCACCTCCCGCGCCCCGACCCTGCCTTCTCTACAGCCGATAGGGAGCGCCTGCGGCGCGACCAGGGACTACCCCGCCCACCGTCCGCTGAGAAAGGTTGGTTTGAGATTCGATGACAACTTGTCTGTCCTCCAGATGCCCACTGATATGGAGGCCGGAAAACCCCCGCAAGCATCCAACCAGATTCATGCACATGGCAGGAACGCATGATGAGGCTCTGGCTATGGATGATTCTGTTCAATTTGAGTCTACAGTATATATACAACACCCACACCCCAGACAACAAGAGATCTCTCCTGCTCTCCATATCCTCACACAGAGCCCACCTCATCCCTCAACCCAGAAGGGGTAGACTGAAGAAGCCTCAGTTCAAAACCTTCCCAGCCAAAGCATTCCCACTCTCCTTGGTCTTCGTCTTCTTCAGCCCTTTGCCTGCTTGAATCTCGCCCAGCAGACCACCGATATTCGGCGGTCCGCCTCCTCCTCCTCCTCCTGCCGCTGGCGGTGGTGGTGGTGGAGGAGCTGCTGGCGCGCCCATTCCCGGCATAGGCGGTGGTGGAGGCGCGCCGGAATCTGGCATCGGTGGTGGTGGAGGTGGCATTGATGGCGCACCACTTCCAGAGTCTGGCATTGGTGGTGGAGGAGGTGGTGGCAGAGAAGGGGCACTTGACTCATCCTTGAACGCCACAGGCGAGCCCAGACCACCGTTCACTGGCGTCGACGGCTTGCTGTCCATGGCACTCAACGGCCTTGGTGGCGCCATAGTCCCGAACAGGATCGACGCGAGGTGTTTCGCAGAGCCGGCGGTCGGGCCGCCGCCTTCACCGTTCTCGCCGTCATCGCTGTCATTCTCGGCGTCGGAGCCGGCAGCAGACCAGTCGTCTTCTTCGAGGCGACGGCGGGACGCGGCGCCGCCTGTCATTGTGGGGACAATAGGTTGTGCTGGTGGAGGTTTCGCGGCTTCGGCTTGAGCCATGCGGTGGAAGGGGTTTGTCGAGGGAAGGGAATTTGAGGTTGACGCTGCGGATGGTGAGAACGGTTGGGTTTGTGGGACTGGTGGTGGGGAGAAGGCTGGTTTAGCCGCTTCGTTCGATTGTGATGCTGCGCGCTTGAAGTATGGGTTTCGCGACTCTTCAGCTACGGGGCCTGGGCTGGAGACGGGTGTGGCTTCGTGTGCGCTTTCGCTCGACGAGGGCGGTGGGATCGGAGGTGGTGCGCCTGCGGGTGCGACCGAGCGAGCGCTGCTGCTGAGTGTTTGGCTGCTTGCTGGAGTCGGCTGCTCATCATCGTCGTCGTCGGACGAGTCGTCTAGGCTTTCGAGCTGGCGTTGTAATTCGAGCTCACGCTGGCGAGCAGCTTCGATTTCGGCTTTGCGTTGAGCAAGTTTGGCTTCTTTGTCCTTGGCTTCTTTCTCAGCAGCCTTCTTCCGCTGCTTCTCTTCAGCTTTCTTGATCTTGCCCTGGCGGACTTGCTCTTCGAGTGCTTTGAGGCGGTCTTCGGCTGCACGACGCTCTTTCTCGACATCGTCTTCTGCGGCCCTTGCTTCGGATCTAGAGAATTGTTAATGGTCATTCGATGTTGCAGTATGCTGGTCACTTACTCCAGACGCTTTCGCTCTGCTTCAGATGCTTCTTGCTCAGCACGAATCTCACGAGCTGCTTCCTCTTCTGCCTTGGCCTTGGCTGACTGCTCTGGCGCGCCAGGCCTGCCTAGATCGTTGCTCTCCTGCCTGACCTTTCTCGAAACTGGCGGCGGAGGCGGTCCCTTCTTGGAAGCCTTTGGGCTCGCCGCTGGCGAAGGCGCTGGAGCGACACCTTCGTTAGCCAACCTCGCCTGCCTCTCCTGTTCGCGCTTAGCATCTTCAGCTTCGGCTTGCTTGATACGGTCCTCGCGTTCTTTCTTCTCACGCTCTGCCCGAGCAGCAGGGGACTCGCTGGCATCGCCAGCAGGCTTGAGACCCGCCGCTGCCATGCGGTCTTGGATGCGCTTGAGGGCCTTCTCTTTGGCCGCAGCCACTCGATCCTGCGTTGAGAAGCTGGCTGTTGATGCAGTCTGGCTTGGTGGTGCCGGGCGAGCTGCTGCGTGATCGCCATTGGTAGGCCGGGCCTCGTCTCTAGCCACGGAGGACTGACTTGGTGTTGAGGTAGCTGATGGACGAGACCGCTCTTCCTGACGGACCTTGGCAGTTCTGCTGCTGCGCTGCAGGTCAAAGATGAGTTCTTTGATCTCGTCCTCGACTCCTAGGCCTTCTTCCCATCTGCGCTTCTCGTGTTCAGAGGTAGCGGTTTCTCCTTCCACCTTCAGGCCTTCTTCAAGCCCAGTAGCAAAGTCTCTGACGCTCTCTTCCACATCTTGCGTCATGCCCTCGTTACGCTTCTGCTCGGCGCGAATATTTGACTGCTCTGCCTCGAGTCGTTGTTGAGACGCGCTTCATCATTGGCAGCAGGCGCGGGTCGGCCAGCAAGTTCGGCTGCTCTTGCTTGCATTCTGGCTCTCGCTCGAGCTTTGATGCGGTCTGCTTCTGTGACCTGACCGCCGGGACCAGTTCCGGCAATCGCGCTGCCAGGATTTGCCTTGGCATCCTTGAGGCGGAAGAGCTGCAATTTGGTGTCTGCAATGCTCTTTTCCACAGCTCGGACTTGTGATGCCAACGCTGGCACACGATCTTGATACCGCTGGAGCTCACGGCGCATCGATCGACGCTCGGCTGCAGACTCGGACCCACCAAAAGCTGCGTTTGGATGCGTGGCAATGTCGTCTGCCAGGCGACGAATCTGGCGGAAGAGGTCCTCGGCCTCACGCTTGTCCCGTCTATCCATCGCATCATCGTCATCTGCAGCATTCTCATCGCGGAAATCCGTCGCGTCCAACAGGATCTTTGTTTCACGAATCTTCTTTCGTATTTGGTCAGCACTCATATCGTCGTAAGCGCTTCCGGCGTCCGAGGAAGGTGCAGGAGATGGTGTTCGTCCGCCTCCGCCGATACGTCTCCGAGCACTAGACCTGTAGCCGATTGCCTCGTCATTGTTGCGGAAGACAGTGGCATCTTTGCGACCAGCAGATGGTGAACTGGCACCGCCTCGAAAAGTGTGCTCTTTCAAATAGCTGACGCCGGTTCGCTGAGGCTGTAGAAATGCGCCGGATTGCTTACGAGCGTCGGCGTCTCTGGCCAAAGAGCTCTTTACCTTGTCGATCGAGCTGTTAAAGTTGCGTGTCGAAGGGGGAATCAGCTCGGGCGGAAGACGTGCTGGCACTGGATAGCCGTTCAGTTTGCGATACATCAAATGCATGGCGACCGCGAACTCATCCATGTCAAGGCGGCCTTTGTTGTTTGGATCGGCAAGGTTCCATATGGTCTCCAGATCAGATCGGTCAAGACCACTCTGCCCCATCAGCTCGATGGCTACATCGCCTGTGATGTGACCTCTGTTGAACCCGTCCCACGCTCTGAACAGCTCATCGTAGATCCGCTTCTCATCTTTGGTGATAGCCCACGGAACTTTAGCAGAGCCTGCCAGACCTTGGGTAGTAAATCCGCCCTCTCGACCGGCTTGTGGCATCAGTCTATTCTTGAGCGCATCTATGTTCGGCAGTCCAGTGGAAGGCGCGTTGACGAAACCCCATTGACCCGGAATGCCTGTCGGCTGTGCTTGTAGAGGACCGGTTGATTGCGGCGAGCTTTGGAAGCCTGTCGGCATTGGTGGCATTGGCGGTCTTGGACCACTGTACCCGGTCGCTTGTGGATTCGTCTGGAAGCCTGTCTGCTGTGGCTGCATCTGCTGCTGATTCTGGAAGCCTTGCTGTTGCGGCGGAAAGCCGGTCGCTTGGGGTTGCAGACCAGGCTGAAATCCCGTCGCTTGATTGTAGAAGCCAGTCGGCTGTGAAGTCAATTGTGTGAGCAGCTGGGTATTGGACGGCTGCTGAGGTGTAGGCTGCTGAGGAGCAGGAGGTGAGACGGCATTCTGACGTAGAGGAGCATCGAAGTTGGGAGCGTTCGATCGCGGAGGAGCCCTCGGGGCAGCATCGTCTGGTATGCCGAAGGAGATGATGTCGACCATGCTAGAGACTTCATTCTTGACCTTCTCTGGCAGACTGGGAGGCAGCTCCTTGCCAGTCAGTCGCAAGTTGCACAAGTACATGGCCAATGCGAACTCCGGGAAGAGCAGCTGGCCAGACTTTGTGGTATCTGACAGAACCCATATCTGCGAGAGAGCACTGCCGGGCAGCTTCGATCGCATCAGGAGATCTCTTGCCTTGTCACCAGAGATAGCTTGCTCTGAGCCAGCGGCGGACTTGAACAGCTGCTCGAACTTGGCCTGGTCAGTGGCGGTGATGAAGGACAATCGAACATTGGGTATCTTGGCCGAGCTCTTATTATCTTTCGCGTGCGGCGGGGGTGCGGAGGAGGAAGCGAACGATTGAGCTACGGCAGCGCTGGTCTGCTGGGGAGCAAGAGGCTGTGGCTGTTGGAAAGACTGCTGCTGCTGGAGCGGCGGTGGCTGCTGAGCCTGACCATAGCCTGTTGGCTGGGGTTGAAAGCCAGTTGGTTGAGGTTGCTGGAATGACTGCGCTTGGTTCTGAGGAGGATAGCCTGTAGCTTGAGGTTGCATCTGCGGTTGCTGGAAGTTCTGCTGCTGTCCATAGCCCTGGAAACCGGTCTGCTGTTGTTGCAGACCAGGCCCGCCAAAGCCGGTAGGTTGAGGCGCGAATGGCGATTGACCACTGCCTGCCTGGAATTGCGAGTTGAAGGATGGGTTCTGACCAAAGCCACCGGCGCCGGGGCGAGCGCTGTTGGCGCCGCCCATAAACGAATTCGACTGACTGTACATGGCGCCAAACAAGGACTATGCAAATCAGAACGCGAGACTGGTCATGAAAGCATGGAATGGATGGAAAATGAAGCTCAGAAAGATGGATCTGGAATCACTCGAGCACATCTCGAACTGTGACGCGGCGGGCCGGGGCTGATGCAAGCAGCCTTGGCATCATATCCAGTACCGCCTACATCTACATACCTGGGTAGTTGAACGTCCCACGCAATTATTTATCTCTACGATCGGGTCAGAGCATATCTCTCGGATGGCTTCGTACTGTGAAGGGCGTGGTCATTGCATTATCTTGATGCAGCTCGACTACGCTAAGTAGCTATCACCGATCCGCCCATTGTCCGCTAGTTGTACACGGGTATCTGAAAGCATTTTCCCTTGTAACTCCGAGCTGATGCCATGTAACCTCGACATGACCGCTAATGGACATTCGTGAAAATGTCACCGTCCAAGCGTCTGCCAATCGAAAGATGTGGCTGCTATGAGTGAGCCAATTCGCTATCTGGCCAGGGAGGCCGCTGTGGCGATTTTTGCGAAAATTGTCATCCCAGCGCCCACCATATTATGCAGCTCAAGCGCCATTGACCGGACCCTGAGCCTCCTGACTCATCTTGGTGAGGTTGTACGACTTCCTGAAGCGATCCAGGAACGTCTGAAGCTCTTTGATCGACTCGTCAATGGCAGTGCGGAAGGCATCGACAGGCTTGAGATCGGAATCAGGGTTGCACTGAATGCGGATGATGACGCGGTTGTCGAGAGGATGAGGACACTGAGAAGTCTCTGTCAGCGGCCGTGATGGTAGTTGGGTGCTATCCATACCTTGTAGGCAGCGAAGGTGACTTCCGGCATCTTGAGAAGGGCTTCGCGGATCAGGTTACCCATGGTGTGGTCTTCGGCACGGATGATGAACTCTTCGGTGTTGGCAGTACCTGGTTCGCGTCAGTATTGAAGACGTGCAATGATGAATGAGATGCTTACGGGTATCGACCTTGCGCTCGATCTTCTTCTCACCAGGCTTGAGAGTCCAGAACTCGTGTCTAACAAGCATCCATTAGCAGCTGTGCCGGTATGCGCAAAAACAAAACAGATACAAGAAGCCACGGTCGCAGCGTGGTAGTCCAGTGTATCCAAAAGTAGGCGATTGCGTGCGATTGGTGTCCGGTCAGGTCTGCGTCGACAATCACGACTCCAGCAGCAATGTCCACGTACCGGTCCGGACGGTCGACATGGAGCTGACCTTGCCCGCCGCGCATGTCGGCCGAGTTATGAAACGGCGTCTTGGACGGATGAGCGGGCCACTTGCGTGTGGTATCGCCGCCGCGATGAATCGGGTCACTATCAGGCATCTTGGGTTGTTGACTGTCGTGCGATGTAGTTGTGTGTCGAGTCAATGACGGTGTGATCGCGTGGAGGTGCGCTCAGAAAATAATCGTGTTTGGTGTGAGGGTTTGAATAGCAGCGCAGTTGCCACCTTTCAAATTGCCAAGACCACGTTTTTCCGAGCGACCATGGCAACCTCCTTTCAAGTTCATCAACTTGGCATCGACATACCTCGCTTTCATGTTCGTTCCATTGAAGGTGCATCCAGAATTTAGCTCCGAAGTCGTGTTCCTGTCGCCTGGATTGCGGTTCGAATTATCGACCGGCGCACCATCGGTGGTCCCTTCCAGAGATGGTGGTGACATCCTTATCGGCGGCCTCGAAGATGCCAGCGATTTTGCGACACACAACAGCAGCAGGTACTGAGAAATACAGAGACAACATACCGGTCTGGAGCGTTCATCTTGATTTATAGATGCAACTTCTGTCTGAAGGTAACACGCCCAGCGTCCAACAAAGGATTCCGCCCTCCAGAAAGATCCAAGATACCTTCCAAAGGCGTCCCTGATCAGCCAAAGACCAGTAGAGATTCCAAGAGGATGAACAGGATAGCGTGAGAAGATGCAGGATACAAGAAGCGATGAAGAGCGATGAAGGAAGTTCACAAAGACAACTTTGGCCGTTTGATGCCATTCTGCGCTATACGCTTTTTGGACAGGTGCCACAGTGGCAATGATTCACGCCTGTGACTGGTCACAGTCATCTCTTCACTACTGCGCTCACCACCTCAAACTTCACTTGGCTGTGTCATCTGAACCGACCGGCTTCGAGCTGGCCCTCGGGCCGTCGTGGGATCAATTGTCACGACGTCCGCGGAGGTCTTCACACAATGTCAGAGCTTCGGAAACGCCACGACCGGTAAGTCTTGATAAATTTAAGGGAGTCCCGCGGCGCCATCCCGAGCCTAGAGAACAGCCCACGAGACCGAAAGCATAACTTCGATGATCTGCCCGACCTCAGAACGTCAATTATGGGTTCCCTTCCAGTGATTCTGTATGTCTGAGTACACATTTGTGTCATTTCGTGATGGCGCTACGGAAGGACTACCCATGGCTCACACCCGCCGCCCCGGCAGTAATATCCAGCCCCATGATGAAAATATGCATGTCAAAACTCACAGTTGAAACCACCCTCGCCGGCGGACTTGCCTTCCTAGCAGCAGGCTTCGACGTCTCAAATCTCGCCAAAGACCTCGCCGAGTGCGCAGAGCTCTTCCAAAAAGCAAGCTTCACTCTATCCGACAACAATAGCCTCCCAATCGGCGTCGGCTTCCAGAACTGGGGCGCCGACCTTCAAGTCACTTTGAAAGCACTACAACAGCATCCCGTCGCAGCGGTATGGTTCTTCGGGCCCAAGAAGCTCAAAGACTACGCCAAGTGGACAGAATCCATCCGCGAGATCAGCAACAACAAAACAAAAATCTGGATCCAAGTCGGCACCGTCGCCGAAGCGCTCGAAGTAGTCCGCCTCTGCAGACCGGACGTCCTCGTCGTTCAAGGCGCAGACTCGGGCGGCCATGGTCTCCGTCAACGCGCCGGCATTATCACCTTACTCCCAGAAATCGCCGATGCTCTGCGCCGGAAAGGCATTCACATCCCCCTCGTAGCCGCCGGCGGGATCATCGACGGGCGTGGAGCCGCTGCTGCGCTGAGCTTGGGGGCGGATGGAGTGGCGCTTGGCACTCGCTTGCTAGCTTGCTCTGACGCAGTATCCCGGAAGGCTACAGAGACGAGATCCTTCGTGTAGTCGATGGCGGAGTGGCGACCGCACCGTCAACGATCTACGACAAGGCGAGGGGGATCACGGGCTGGCCAGAAACGTATGTTGGTCGAGGCGTCACCAATAAGACCTACCACGACGCTGCACGTGGACGGAATGAGAACGTGATCAAGGCGTTGCACGACGAAGCGCTGGAAAAAAGTGGTGGCACCAAGGGTTGGGGCCCGAGAGGGAGGCTGACGACTTACGCGGGCACGGGTGTTGGACTTGTCCGCGAAGTGAAGTCAGCGAGGGAAATCGTGCAAGAGATCCAGAGGGATGCAAGCTACATACTTGGCAGACGGGCGGCGGACTACGACGCCACGAGAGGTAGACCATCTGGCGATGGCCTGAGGAGTAAGCTGTAAGAAGCGGCAACACAACATTTCGAGTAGTCGAATGCAAAGTTTTTCCTCGTCTCTCCATGAACCGGGGCTGAACGATTGTCCAATCTGGAGCTCATTACAGAGCATAGAGCTGACACTTCCGTCAACACAATAGATGTTCCTCTTCCAGCACGCGAGGCCAAAGCATGAGGGCCAACTCCGTAGCGTGTGAACAAGCCATCGACCTGTTTGAAGCCAGCGAATTGTAATTCTCCCAGTATGAGCCGGCAATGCATCTTCGTTCATGCGCCACATTCTGGCTCTCACTCAGGCGACAGACGAGGTGGCAGACATACGGCCGACAATCAAGCCACTTCTACAGGGTTTCCTTGCACTCACAGCCTGATCCACAGTGCCAGATGCTCCCCACGTCCCCATCCCACGCATTACGCAACCGCAACAACACATCCCTTCCCTATAGGGAGCGCCTGCGGCGCGACCTGCTCGCTGCGCTCGCCTGAGGTGGTGGTGAGTCGGTGGCCGCTTCGCGGCCACCTCCTTCCCACCACCTCCCCCACCCACCGTCCCCTCTTTAGCGGCGGCTCGCATAACCACATTCGGAACAGGTGCAGCAAGTGGCATCAAGCGAAACGTGTTCGACACGTTCAAACGTCGTGGCGGTGCACAGTTCATCACCGCTCATTTTGCAGCGATCGCCAGTAGCGCAGAGGTTGTTGTGGCTCAGTCTCCTGTGATCGACTGTGCTTCGCGACTTGCGCCACAAGTCCACCAACGATGCGTGATGGGAGCATGAAGTCATCGCGTTCAAAACATCTGCTTTGGGTTTGGTGCTGGCTCGGACGCACGCTCAGCTGTGGCTTCCACATTGGACAGGGCTAGGGCATTTCATTATTGATGAAGAACAATGGATTGAGATCCATTGTCAGTGATGCGTGATGCAATGAAAGGAGATTGATTGAGGATCGAAATCGCTGTGAAGCTTTCAAGTTGTGTCAGAGGTTCTTGCTTGGCACGGGACTTTCCGAGAGGAGCAGCAATACAAGTAACAGCGACAATACTTCGAGATCTCAGGCTTGATCGATGAAGATACGCATCGTGATCAGGTTGGCATTGTGAATCTCGTGAGGCATACATGCCGATGAACGATGGTCTAGTTTACCACGAGGATCAATTGAATGAGCATGCGGAGCAGGACTCCGGACACGAACGAAGTTTGTCGAAGCATTGTATGAGCACCCTGCGTGTATCTGCTCTGACCGGATCTTCCTGACCTTAGCAAGGCATAGGCTGTATGCTCTGGCCGTGGACGTGGATCTGAGTCCCTGCAGAGTTCTGGCCGTCCTTTGCCCTCTCGGAGACGCTCCTCAGTGACTTTGAGCAGCCAGCAGCTGCACGCTTTGGTCTTGATATTTGCCTGACTCTTACTTAGACTGGGACCTCGTCCACACAATTCGACTCTGCTCCGTCTTGGTATTACATCGTTGCCCACAGCAAGCTCCAACATCATCCAGAAATGATCTCAGGTACCGCGAAATTGTGCCAGGTCTGCTGCCGAGCCACCGTTGCTGATTCAGCCACTAGAAGAACAGATATGCCACCAGGAAGCTGAACAAGCACAGACCAGCAACAATTTGTAGAGGCACTCCGCTATCCTGTGACTGCTGAACGACGGTCTGGACTTTCTGTTGAGCCTCCTGAACCTTGCGCTGTCTCACAGCCGGGTCCTTGAGTTCTTGTGTGAGTCTTGCAATCTCTCTCTGCGCAGCAGCAAGCTGAGCTTTCACATCCTCGGTGCTGCTAGGTAAAGCATTGGAGATAGCAGCAGCGGCGCCAGCGAGACCGGTAGCTTCGGCGGCAGATCGAGTGCTCTCACCCATGGTTGACTTCTCGGTGGGAGCTGGCGAGCCGAATTGTGGTGAGGGCGACTGCGCGGAGTAAGAGGGCGGCTTCTCGTCTGACTCGCTGATACCGTTGGTGGTGGCGCCAGGCGCAAGGAAGTTCACGCGGATCTTCTTCTCTTGGATTTTGCTCTTTGCTGTCTTCTCGATATTCGACCACAGGGCTGTAACGGACTCATCCGAGGTATGGGAGCCCTCAATATCGACGGACTGGACAAGGAACTTGTCGCGGCATTTGTAGTCGAGAGGAGGCTCGTCCTTCATCGCTTGGAGGAGGACTGGCACTTGTCAGATTGCGTGACGTACAGATTTGAAACACTGACCTTGGACTTCGACATTGCTATTCGGCTGAATCAAACCGGAGTTTGGTCGTACACAGTACCTGATAAGGGTCAGTGGAAGATCAGTCACGTACGGAGATGTACATACTGTTTGGGAGCAGTAGTCTTGACCTAGATCAATGTTAGCTGGATCCCGTATATGGCATATGCGGTCGTACCTTGAATGCGACAGTCGAATCACCATGGTTTGTCAGCTTGAGCGTTTCGGTCACTTCGCGATCAAATGGTCCTGTGTTCTGTCAGTGACTGACTAGACGGTGCCCTGCTGGGACTGACTCTTGAAACCGAGCTCGGAAGGCTGAAGTTCGACCGCCATTGCGAACGCAGAGATTGGTAGAGTAAGGGACAGGCCGGATAAGATGACGCTGTGTATATGAAAGCGCTGGTTTGCTCTTCAGGTAAGAGTCAGACAGCAGATGCAATGATGTGCAGGGGAGAGACAGTCGAGTCCAAGGCTGTTGTGTGTGCCGGTAAAGACTTTGGGATATCAAGATGAATGGTCAATATTTGGATGTCGCAGGAGTTGGTAGGAGAGCGATGATCCATCTCCAACCTCCCCAGGCCTGCTCAGACCAGTGACGGAGTGTTTCTTGGCTGATGGGCAGAGTCCAGCCACGTATCACGTGAGCGTCATCACTCACCGCCACAGTGTGGGGAGACGGACGCCACAATTACAAGTGTCTCCAACATGAAGTGAAGTGACCTGCAATGATGCCACCAGACAAGCAAGGCAACAGACACCATCCATACCCATTCTGTATCACTACCTGTCGTCAAAGCACCTGTCTCCCACAACTCTCATTATCGTTCTCTGATCATCTTGCTGTCCCCACACTACCACCTAAGTCTCGATTCCATTCACGATGGCGACCACGTCAGATCACGACCAATTAATCAGCATGGGCTTCGACCCAGAGAAGAGCAAGATGGCCCTAAAAGCGTCAGGTGGCTGTGAGTACCCGTGATTCTCATACGGAATGTTACTGACTATGTCAAGTGGCCGACGCAATAGACTGGCTGGACAAGAACGCCGACAAGTCAATCGAAGATCTGAAGGCCGAGGAGACCACGGCCGCCGAAGCCAAAGCACAAGAAGCTGCCGATCAAGCACGAAGTCTGGTCTGCAACGAATGTGGGAAGCGATTCCGTGGCACCGCAGAAGCCGAGTATCACGCCTCCAAGACCGAACATCAAGACTTCTCAGAGTCAACAGAAGAGATCAAGCCACTTACCGAGGAAGAGAAGAAGGCAAAGTTGGCTGAGCTGAGGGAGCGAATGGCTGCAAAGAAAGCTATTCAGTCCGAGAAAGACAAGGAAGACGCCAAGCGGAACGAGCAGATTTCTAGAAAGAAGACCAAAGAATCAGAAGACATCAAAGAGCAGCTGCGGGTCAAGGAGCAGATCAAGGACGCCGAGAAGAAGCGGAAAGAGAAGCAGGACGACATCGATGCAAAAAAGAAGATCAAGGCCCAGATTGCTGCAGACAAGGAAGAGCGTCGATTGAAAGCAGAGCGCGACAAGGCTGCCCGCGCAGGACAAGCTCTGCCCTCACAGCAAGAGACGACGACCGCTACACCCGCAGCTACGACGTCGAAGCCCGCCTCAGAGTACACAGAAAGCCGTATGCGGTTTCAGACAGAAAGCGGCAATATCATGAAGACCTACCCAGTCGAGACCACTTTGTTCGAGGTCGCCCAAGCCATCGGAGATGAGATAGGCCGGGACGTCGAAAGCTTCACCCAGAACTTCCCAAGAAAGGTCTTCGGCAAGGACTTCTTCGATCAGACCCTGAAGGAGCTGAAGCTGGTGCCAAGTGCGAGCTTGATTGTCAAGTAGGTCTTGCCAGCTTCTTGCAGTCGTCGCCCTCTCTACAACCGATGCGCATCAATCGCCGCCAGGTCGCGGCGCTTTCGCTTCCTCAAACGCGAGCTGCACAGTCGATGAGCACCGTGCCAGGACGCAGCAGACTTAATACATGAGCTGACAACCACCCAAGCGTGTACCCTCTACCGTGGTAGACACATCCCAAATGGGTAATGGCTCCAGGATCACTTGTGGCGGTGCCAGCGAGCCAACAGGGTTGGCTATCTACAGCTTGCGGCCTCGCGATGTGGATCGCATGACTGGCTCAGGCCGCAGGTCTCCCATAAGAGCCGCGTCTTCGACGATGGCCCTTGGATGCATCGGACACATCTCCAAAGGCGTTCTCGAGCGCTAAAGCGATTGCTCAATCCAAGAGTGTTCGGAGTCGGAGCTAGATGATCAAGACCAGAAGACAATGAAGATCTGACGAGTAACGAATAAAAAATAGCCAGAGTGACTACTTACTCACTTCTCCTTTTGGCCCCAATGTCTCCTCCTTACTACTCTCTTTGGAGAAGCTTCGCCTGCTACGGTGATTAAATATGCGCCGTACATTAGCCTTACAGCAACATTCATTGTAGTCCATGTCATCCGACTGCCATGGACAAAACCTCCTTACCGTGATAGTGATAATGATGCCCATCGAACACCCACCTCGAGCCTGGGCATGTCGGGGAAAGCAACCTTGGAACTCATCCAGCCCGGATCGACACTCACCGCTCGTGTAGCTCCAACTTCGGAGCCTTTTGCACGGGCTTCTAGAACTTCGCCATCGTATCTATCTAACTATACTCATCTTGATCGTGCCGCACTACCTACCATAAACAACCTGGTTTCCGCGGTAGGGCTGATCAATATGGGGGCGAAAAGCTCACATTTGCCATCAATGAGGAGAAGGACTCTGATTTCGAGGACGAAACATTCTGCCTGCCCACGGCAACAAAAATCTCGTCCTTTTGAAAGCGGCCGCGTTTCAGGCACGTCTCCACGACACGAGCAGCATTGCCTTCTAGGTGGGTGTAGCTCCAGGCCGGCCAAGGCCCTCCCATGCCATCTCCCGTTCCTCTGATCATTCAAGCTACAGTAACCGCGGTATAGACTGTACATGCGTTGACTGATTCCCGCTCTGTTGCCATTCATCGATTATCGTCTCCCAAAATCAACTTCTTCGGAACCGTGTTCTCATTCGATATATACAAGGGAATGCAAGCAACGACAACTTCTGGAATTGGTCAGCATCATCCACAAGACAGCCCATCAACCCGTGTTCTCGTTCAATCCCATCATCTCTACCCACCGGATACCCACCACCATTCGCGACAAAGCCAGTTCTCAGCGGAGCCTCCAAGCACTCCCGCGGCGCGATACCCGAGAAGATGACTTCCGCCAAACGATGACCTCGTTCACCTCGTGTCGGATTATGAAATCACGATGCGCTCCACCGACAAGACCCGCGTCCGTCGCTTCACGCCCAAAACCCGCACCGGCTGTCTGACCTGCAAACGCCGCCGCGTGAAATGCGACGAGCGGAAACCCACCTGCGCCGCGTGCGAGAAGGTCAAGACCAAGTGCGAGGGCTATGCCGTGCTCAAGACTTGGCTATTCGAGCCCAGCAACTCAAAGGATGGGAGCCATAGTGGCGGCTCGGCATCGCCTTCGACTAGCGACCTGGGTCAGGGTGGAGGCGATGGCGGAGGCATGCTGGTGCAGTCGGCGAACCGGAAGAACAGCGACACGGGCGAGCCGCTGTACGTGCTCGAGCCGATCCTCTTCCCGAGCTTATTCAACAACACCGGCGAGCCCGCCGTCATCATGGACGCATACCTCGACCTCTCAAGCGACACACCCATGGCATGGGACACAAGCCTATACCGGACACGATCACTCAAGTCCGGCCCAGTAGTCGACCACAACGGCGCCCTGAAACTCCACAACCAACCTCTCGACCCAACACCCCTCCGCCACCAAAGCCACCTCGCCTTAGCAACCAGCATGCTCGCCCTCGCCCTCCCCCACCGCTTCCCCCACAGCCTGTACCTCAAATACATGTCGAGCACCGTCTCCGAAATCCGCAAGCAAATCAACCACTCAACCTTCAGCATGCAAGACCTCATCTCCGGCATCTCCCAAACCCTCCTCGCCTGCGTCCTGCAAGGCGACACCGACTCCATCATCGCCCACCTCCGCGCCGCCTTTGGCCTCGTCAAATCCCTCGGCGGCATCGACAAGATCGACCCCAACATCGCGGCGGTGCTCCGCTACTCCGACTTCCACTTCGCGCTAGAGTCCCTCCTCGCACCCGTCTTCCCCCTCGTCGTCGACCTCCGCGCCCAGTACGAAGGCAGTCTCAGCGCCCTCACCAACAACACCCTCATGCCTCTGGCCGAGGAGACAATGTCGCACGCAAAATCCCTCCCGCCGGTCATCGAGCTCGTGATAAGACGCTTCGCCAACGCCGTCCTCGCTCTCGCCCAAGCTGTCGCGAGCACCGCTGACGCCGCCCTCTCCTACCAGGAACTCAACTGGATGGCTTCGCACGCCGCTGGCTCCCTCCACATTTTGCTAGGCGTCTACCCCTCCGCTCTGGCAACCGAAGTCCCCTTCCGCCAGCAAACACCCATCTACGAGTCCTACACCATCCTGCTCATCCTCTGGCTGCAGCTGCTCATGTGCACCGCCAACGAAACCCTCTCCGCCGTCTCCATCAGATTATCGTGCCTGACGGTGCGAAACCACGAGTTCCGCGAGGAGCAGCGCTGCACGTACGCCTCAGAGCGGATTGACGAGGGGCTGATGCGGTGGAATCAGGCGGTCAGGGAGGCGAAGTTGGCGAGGGAGAGCCCGCCGGGGGATTGGGAGGCGAAAATGGTCAGTATCGTTGAAGAAATGGAACTCGATCTTCCTGTGAGGCTAGGGCCGTTAATGCGGGGGTTGTTGGAGAGTACGGCGGAGATCAGGCACTTGTCGAGGGTGGGCAGGCCGGTGTTTGTGAGTGCGATGGAAGAGAACGATGATGTGAGGGTGGTTAGTGGCTATGAGGAGAGGTTGAATGAGAGCGATAACGAAGATAGGGCTGGGATTGAGAATGAGGAGGTGCGAGTGAGGACTGTCATGGGTGGCGGCGTAACGGCAGGACAGATCGTCGAAGACGAGGAAGAATTGCCAATGCCTGGCATGGGCTGCGGTGGACAGAACGGCTGGTAATCTTTGCCCCCAGTCCGCAAAATAAGAAAGGAGCGGCGGTATCGGCGCTTTCTGAGCAGTATCCCCCTCTCTTGAAGGGGCGGAATGTAGCAAGAGGGTGAAGTGGAAGCGTCAGTGACAGCGTCACGAATTCGCAAGGCAAAGGAGACGCAGGTCTTCATATAATGCCTCCCATCAAACCCATTGATGGTGTTTAAGCGGAACGAACACAGCAATGAACAATCTTGTTTGTCTACTCAAGAAGTGCACCCGAGCCATATGCTTGTTATTGTTTGCTGTCGAATAATCAGGGGTCGTGTCAGAGAGCCCTCGCTCAACCTAGTGCAGAGCAGACTGCGAAGCGAAGCCCGCTCAGAGCAGTTGTGCAATTGCCGTTTTGGGTGGACTCGCCGGAACGTGGGATGAAAGGGTGAAGTTATGATGCCGTGATCGACCACACAGTCTGTCGGACTCGCTACATACCCAGAAGTGGTAGTGAGACCGCCAACATTATGGAAAGTGCATAGAGATAGACGCCGGTTGACTTAGACATTTCCAGCATGGGAGTCTCGCAGATGGCACTGATGAAGATGAGGTAACTGGCAAATATATTCGCAAAGGACGGACTACAGTAAACCTTTCGATAGCAACACAGGGGCATTTCCAATCCCGAAGTACACTCCTCCGGGTCTCAATTCGGTCACAGAGTGCGGTTATCATAACGTCTGGAGGCTCGAGTCCAATCAATGCAGTGAGAATACTCAGCAACAGCATGGACGAATGGACCCCGGTTGACAAACAATTCTCTTGGCATGACGCGTGTTACTGAAGCGCATGCCTTCCAGTTTAATGAGTTCGAATAGCGCCGGTTCCTCCTTGAGGCCAACCTCAACGAATCCTTATTTAGAGGCTACGGGCGCTGGCCACTCAAGGAAGATGGTGATGCTCAGGCTCAGGTTTCATCGAGAATGGAGGAAGTTCTCGGACCAGATGTGAGACGACGCCTCCGGTCTCGGTACCCTCCCCGCTCCCACCCCTCAGCCCGGACCGCGCTCTTTAGATCGTGCCTGCCAAGCTGAAACCCGTCAATGTCCTGCCTTCGACAGCAGATGGTCCCTTTGCATCCCTTCGAATTGTCGCAAGTCCTTCAAATTGTACGCCTTCCAGTCTCGTTCAGTGGTGGCCTGATGGTTGCGAGGACCCTGATGGTGACGTCTGGCGCAATTGCACCCAGGCATGCATTTATGTTCTGCGAAATAGCTGTCAACGGTATTGCGACTCAATTATCCTTTCTTTCCTGCACATAGACAGTGACTACTCGACGTCCACGTCTTACCAGCAGCGACAGTGCCGCCCGCGCGCACAATCCGCCTCTACATCTACTGCCACAGCCATCACCCTGGAAGTTTGTACAGCCATGGGCGACGATAAAAATACGCCTGGATCTTACGAAGACTTCCTCCACAAAGTCTACACCGCCACCAGCCCAGCCGAATCCCAAAAGCTCTACGACGAATGGGCCTCCCAATACGACGCCCACCTCTCTGGCTCAGGCTACACCAGCCCACGCATCACCGTCGACGCCGTAGTCAATCACCTTGACCGCTCGCCTCTAACCACCCAACGCCTGGCCGGTAAACTCACCATCCTCGACGCAGGCTGCGGCACGGGTCAGGTCGGCGTCTGCTTCCAGGAAGCCGCCAAATCAGGGAAGTTGGACGGTCTTGACCTACAAATCGACGGCAACGACCTCAGCCCCGGCATGCTCAAAGTCGCACGCGCGAGCGGGGCCTACCGAGAATTGAATGAGGCAGACCTCAGCAAACCCCTAACCACCATTCCCGACGAAACATACGACATCATAACCTGCGTCGGCACCCTCACCAAAGGCCACGTCGGCCCGCAGATCCTCAAATCATTCATCCGCATCGCCAAACGCGGCTGGGGACTCATCGGAGTCACGGTCGTCGAGGAGATCTGGGAGAGTGGTGGTTACGCGAGCTTGATCGTGGAAGAGGAGAAGTACGGGCGGGTGGAAATTATGCGGAATGAACGGTTTGCGGTGTGGAGCGGGGACGAGGAGAAGCAGAGTGGACGGGTGGTGGTATTGAGGAGGAAGTACTTGGCGCAGGAGATTGCTCATGCTGGGATTGGAGCATAGCTTGAAAGCAACGGAACGAGAGCGAGATCACAAATGACATCTGATGGTTTAATGGTACGGCGTCGTACCGTCTGGCGTTGTGTTCTTGTATGTGTAAAGACATCTATAGCAATATGATAACTCCCGTTGCGTCAGCCATCTTGTCCTCGTATGCATGTATTAGCCCTTGTGCAAACCGATCCTGCCGTAAATACAGTACAGCCAAATCCTTACAAGATCCCAAGTCTATCCCAGCCAAATTTGTAGCGCCACATTCCTCATGATTACCAAGTGGTGTCCGTCCTGTCTGTCCTTGTACCCATTGCTTTCCTTCTTGCGAGCATCACAACTTTCGCGAGGTCGACTACCAAGCAAAAGTCATCAACCCGGATTCAGCGCCAACGGCAGCAAGAAATGGCTGATGATCAGACTCGCCATCGGAATCACCGCCTCCAATTGCTTGATATCCCACGAGTGCGGCACCAGATCCGTCGCACCCAGGATGACCATGCCCGCGGTGCAGACGATGCAGAAGGTGAAGCTGAACCAGAAGTTCTTCAGGGTCCGGGGTACTTCGATGAAGAAGTTTGTGAATTCGAGCGTTTTGGCGGTGGCGCCCCATGTCATGTTGATCTCGAACTGGAGGGCAACGTTAGTGGAAAGAAGGTAGGGAAGAGGAGAGGAGACTTACCATATGAGCAAGCAGCGCCTCGGAAACGTGGATAGAGATACCTCCCAAGAAGATGAACAGCAGGAACAGCCATTTGAAGTTCTCGATCAACGCACTCATGAACGCCTTCTCCCCATTGCGATAGCGAAGCACAGCGAGCGCAACATTACCGAGACCATTGAATACAATGACCAGCGTGATCCAGATGTTCCACGAGTTAACGTAGTACTTGTCGATATACCCCTTGTACCAGCCGATGATGATGTAGTTGACCACGGTCATGATCCAGGCGGCGCCAATGGCGTAGTACGTGCCGATGTAGGAGATGATGTTCACTTTGGATGCTACGGGCATGTTGGAGCCCAGGAAGCGGCGGAAGAGGGGAGTGAAGGGTCCGCGGACAAACCAGAATCGGATGGGGTGGAACATGAGTTCGTTGCAGCCGTAGGCGTACTTTTGCCAGCGGGCGAGCTCGTCGTAGACGGTGAGGGAGACACCTTCTTGGAAGCCGTCGTTGGCCCAGGCTGCTAGGCGGGTGATGTAGCCTTTGATCTGGAGGCGGAGGGCCATGTCGAAGTCTTCAGACACGTGGGACTCGGACCAGAATTTGATGTGGCCGTCCTCGATCTCGGCGACGTCTTGCAGGGCGGACCAGCGGAGGATGGCGTTGTGGCCGACGAAGGGGGCGACGTCGCCGTTAGAGACACCGTAGCGGATGGCGGAGTAGACGAGGTTGGTGAAGAAGGTGATGCCCTTTTCGAAGTAGGAAGTGGTGACGTTCATGACGCCGGAGCTGAATTGCAGAATGGCGACTTCGGGGGAGATCTCGAGCTCACTGACGGCGTCGAGCAGGCAGTCGACAGGGACCCGGGTATCGGAGTCGATGATGAGGATGTAGTCTCCAATGCGGACGTTGCCGTCAGCCCAGGCGATTTCGCCGCCTTCTTTGACAACTTCGTCAAGAGCCCAAGCCGTGGCCTCGGCTTCGTCAGTTGAGGTCCAGTGATCGCCACGCTCGAGTTCCAGGAGCTTGTCTTCGAGCTTGCAGGAGATGTCCATGGCGAAGTTCATGTTGGAGGCTTTCTTGAATTTACCCTTGCGGAAGAAGCCGTTTACGCCATGTCCTGGGCGTGCAACCCAGCCGATGTTGTTGTCTGCGTAGAAGCCGATGCGTTGCTCGCGTTCTTCGTCGGAAATGAGCTGGAGACCGTCGTCGTTGACGAAGATGTTGGCACTGCCACCCTGGAGTTCGTATGTGGAGATGGCTTTCTTGATCGAGACGATAGTGGGCTGAATGACTTCCTCCAGTGACTCCTTGTACACAGGGCATTGAATAGTAACGTGAGGCAGATTGCGAGTGAGTCGAGGGACGGTCTTCGCGGAGTAGTGCTTGCTGTTGATGTTCATCTGTGCGATGGGACCGATGATCTCGGCGATGTTGGTGACAAGCACGTTGAAGAAGAACATGCCGAAGAACATCCAGACGGGTGTGAGGGCAAGGAAGGCGAATCGAATGTAGGGCGAACCTTGCTGTGTGGCGGCACCGCTGTCAATCAGAAGCTCGATTACGAGTTGGCGGAGACCGAGACCAAGAGTAGCGATAATACATGCTAGTGAGATGGAGACAAGCACTGTGTTGATGAAGATAGTGGGGCGAGGTTTGATGCCTTCGTTCTCGACGTCAATCTCAGAATCGTCGCTGCCGACTTCCTTCTCGTTGAGGGCGAGGTCAATTTTGGAGTTGAAGCGCGAGCCACGCTTAGCCTCCTCGAAGGGATTGCTGTTCCATAGCAGCTGCATCAGCTCCCATTCGATTGTCTTGGCTCGTGACAACATGTTCACGGCGTCATCGTCCCATACGATCAGTAATGACTCTGAGGCGACCACGGCGGCGAACTGATGTGTTCTTGCAGTGGCAAGGGTTTCGATGTTCTTGCTGATCTGGACAGCGAGGCCATTGAGAAGTGGTAGTTCTGTCGAGTTGGGGAAGTTGTCGAGGTATGACTTTATGACTGGAGAGTAGATGGTCATGGCGGATTGCACGTTCAGTGATCGTAATGAATCAGCAAGAGGTGTATCGATCATCTCCGGTGGGTGACTGAGGTAGGTCTCGCGGGTCACTCGGAGCATGACACCCTCGTGCGATCCGCACTTTTCTGACCGCCAGCCATTGTTCGACTGTTGCTGGAAGAGATAATTGATCATGACTTGGTTCTTGACGAGGCCGATAGCTGATTGCCTCTCCTTCCACTGCTCTCTCGCAGTGTCCGGTGAGACTGATCTTGATCCATTGTTACTGGTTGCTGCTGAGCCGAAAGGGTTGGTTCCAAGACCTCCAGCGTTGGGATATGGGAACATTCCTGAGCCCATTGAGGTCGTATGGCTGTGCTGTGGGCCGACAGGACCGACAGTCTCTGCTGGTGTGCCATGTTCCTGCTTCTTGCCAATCTTCTCCAACTTGAAGAAGCCCATAGCTGCTCACGAGTCTTCAGTATTAGTTCGGTATATTAGTTGAACGAGTGTAGTTTTGTAGAACGAGTGTGGTAAGCGAGTGACAAGACGCAAAAGCGAGTGGACGTGAGAAGCCGAAGGACCAAAGTGTTGGACCTTGCAGCTCTCACCAGAAAACGACTGAACGAGAGTGGTGGTGTAGTAAGTGGGATCACAAGAGAGACACCCAGCTGTCGAGGGTGTTTTAGATGAACCGAGCCTAGCCGGCGAAAGGACTGGACTCCTCGGGATCGACTCTCTAGACGCGATTGTCACGTCGGTCAGTAACAACGTGGCACACAAATGATGGTCCCGCTCCAAGCGCCATTTACCAAAGTCAACTCCTTCAACCGTGCAAGTCAATCGGAGGCCATAGCCGTCAGCACAGCCCCATCGAAAAGGCCGTATGCCCGTGAGTGATGAAGGCCCGCTGGTGATCAATAGTCTGAAATCTGGATGCATGCTGAGATACGCTGTGGGTCCGCTGTCAGACACAGCGCTTCAGAGCAGCATGAGCAGGAAGTGATCCATGCTGTCTCGCCTTGTGGCGGTGTTCGACAAGGCAACGGGTGGGAGTGATATTGACAGGGATGTGTATTGCCTAGAGAAATTAGATGAAACAGAGTTTGTACTGCTTCCACCCGGTAAAAGCGTGAGTTTTTGCGGATATGGGATAACGATGAACCCCAGCCGAGCGCTAAAGGGGAGACTAGGTAGGCGAAGAACTGCTTGAGGTAGTCCCGATATCAGGACCCTGGGCTGGCCATTGTTACCGCATTCTTGGCAGATAACCAGAATGTCACCATGGGAAAGGCGAGTGCACGTGGGTGGGATTGTGACTGGCGCCATGAGACATTACAACAGAATGCGTGTCCGGCAGCATCTCGGACCACGGCCCGTGTGGTGCTCCATTGTTCGGCGACTTGACGTGAGCCAGCTCTGACGCACTTTCGTTTGCAGAGTTTGGTGCGTGATCTGTAATGCGTGAGAATTCATTGTAATTCAACCAGCGCTCTTTCCAGATGCGTAGTATGAGCGAGGAGGCGTCTGACACAGCTCGTCTGTTGATGCAAAGCGACAGTGGCTGACGCCCATGTTTGTTGTGGTTGAGGCATCAAGCGAAGTGGGAAAGCAAGTCGTGCGGTCAGGAGAAGGACACGCGCTAAATCACGGCAGCTAAGCTGCTTTGGTTCGCACAAAAGCGGCATGCCGTCTTTTCGAGATTTCATCCCTGTCCGCTCGAGGGACTCGAACAATTGTGGCTCTGTGATCACAATCGATTGGCGTGCCTGGATGTCAAAGCCGGTGGGTACGAGATAACCAGGCGAGGGGTAAGCTTTTGCTGCTAGCACTAGGGGGCGATTGGGTTTTCGCTATGACTACAGGCTGATTGCCACGGTCGTTCTCAGACTCCCATTCCGGAACAATTCTTCAGCCCGCTCTTCTTTGGGGATCTGCTTTCGCGCAAGATGCATGCTGGACGTCTAGAAAGCAGGGGTCCGTTAATTACATCAAATTCGCTTTTTATTGATGATGGGGCGTAGTAGACATCATTTAGTTTTTTACGTGACTGCGTTAATAACACGCTAATCTAATCTGGAAAAAGGCTTACTCAGTGGTATTGCTGTCCAGAAAATTTTCGCCAGGGCCTTCGGCCCTGACTGAACTCAGTCACATGCCTAGGGTTAGGGTGTTGCTGTCAGCTATAATAAATTACGCATAATTATCATTTTGAAAATGACACATCATGATATCACGTAGTTGACCGGACCCCTGCTAGAAAGAGGAGATGACCAAAGCTTGCCCGGATGCAATCATTGAACGCATTTACATATACAGAAGTCGTGAAACTCTGACAGCTGCTGCTGGCGGCCTCGCCGACTAGAGTTGAAGGTGCATCGATTCATGCTGATCGAGCGAACGCGATCGAGAGTCGTGCGTCTCGACAAAAGTCCACGAGACAGGAGAATTATTCATTTGACAGCTGACGAACGCGGATCCCTAGGGTTCGGGCCTGCCACCGTAGTCGATGGCGTAGAAGCACTGTCCCTAGGCTGTGAACAAGCGACGCTGTCGTTGGCAGCTAGGTATCGTGTTTGTGCTCGTGCACACAGCACATTGTATGATGTCCGCAAAATGCGATTTGCGATCTAAGCCTGTCTATCTAACGTCCCTGTATACCCGTTTCCATGCATTATCCTGTACATTGATTTTTCGTATATACCAGCCGTTTCGACGCCAAAGTTGTCCCATTAGCAAGTCGTCCTCAGAATATGCAATCAGCATCCCTTGTACCCTGCCTGCTGCCACATCTTGACGCTCTTGATTCTGAACTCGCCATTCTCTTCCCAGGTGGGCAGCCACTGATCACGAGCCTTCCAGAAGTCGAGCTTCGATGTCGGGCTGGCATCAACCCAAGGTTTGCCCTGTAGGCCGTCCTGAAACCAACCATTCGTGCCTCCAACAGCCACATTGAGAATGAGATAGAACGACTGATCGAACGGCGTAGAAGGGTTGCCGGTCTGGCTCCAGGGATCCACGATCATGGTGCCGTTCGCATCGGAGCTGTCGAAGTGACCTGAAATATTTAGCTTTGCATTTGCCAACTGTCAAGAGGTACATACCCTTCGGCCACATTGGACCATCGAATGGAACATAGAGAGCCTGGAGCAATCTGTTGTCGACATACGTGAAGAGGTACTTCTCCGACCATTCAAGGCCGAAAGTGTGGTATGTTTTGGCGAAGGTTGTGTGCAGGGCAGTACGCTTGATAAAGGTTCTGTACCAAGAATCAAGTCCGACGTTGGGTCCCCAGTGAAGCGCGCTGCTCATAATATCGTTGCCGCCCAGCTGATACGTGTAGTTGTTGCCGCGAGACTCCATTATATCAATCTCACCGCTTGCCTGATGACATTAGTTAGACGCGGACGAGTAGACTGAGAGATGATTGACGTACCGGCCATGCGCCGTATTTGTCTTCGACTGGCATCATCCAAATGGCGGGCCAAAGCCAGTCACCTTCAGGAATCGCTGCAGTGACCTCGACTCGTCCGTATTGAATGGACATGCCCTTCTTGGTGTTGATTCTCGCAGACTTTGCGGGATTGACGATGGTACCATTTGTGGTGTTGGTCACGGCGTGACAGTCCTTCCACTGATCCGAGGTACATATACCCTGCTTCTGGAGGTCGATCACGGTATTTTCGTTGATCAGTTTTTCATCCTGAAGAGTTGGCTTGATGATCAGTTCTCCATCGCGAATGAAGACGTTCTCGTCTGAGTCAGTGGTTTGGGCGAAGTCCCCATTACTGCAAACGTCAGTTCCACCAGTCCCGAAGTACTCGTGGGATAACGCACCCGAATCCGCCGACTTGGACTTCCTTCGTCCAGATATTCGGATCGAGTTGACCACCGTTTGTGAAGTCGACATCATATACCGAACAGTACTTGTTGTTCGTGACAGTTCCGAGACCTTGCCAAACTTCAAGGCCGACCAGCGCGATACCCACAGCAACACCAATCAAGGGGAACTATCCGGCCGTCAGTGATCATGAATGCAACATGTCTTATAGCCTTACGATCGTGTGCCATTTCTTCTTCGGATCCTTGACCTCTGTCCAGGGCTTCGATATCGTTGATGGATCCCTTATCCTTCTTGACTTGAAGTAGGTCTTTCCCTTCGAGGCCGGTAGTTGAAATGCAGTTGTCGATGCTCGCAGCAGTGATCCAGGTGTTCGCGCGCCCCCTGGTGTTCCCGGTATCGACCCTGGCGTAGCGAACGGATTTCTGTTTGAGATACTCGCAGGCGACTTGGGCGCTCCGAACGGGAAGCTGTCCGCTGTTGGCGTTGTCAAGGTAGGCAGATCAGATGTTGCCGGCTTCTCTGACGGCTCTTCTTTCTTGCTTCTCCAGCCCATGATTGCTGGCGACGACTGTCCTGGTCAACGGTAGTAATGGTGTCGGAGCGAGCAATTTGGAGATAGCAGTCCAAGAGGTCGGAGTGATGTTGTCGATTATGACATAGGGATGATGAGCGACAGTCCTGATACCTAACGAATCACGAAAGTCCTCTGGCGGCGGGCTTGACAAGGTCTGGATAGTGGTATCAATATCACTGGAACTGACACCGTGCAGTGCGGCTGATCTGACCGAGCAAGCGATGCAAAGGCCCGACGTGCGATCTGTGTGTCCCTCCTGCCAGAGTGGCTGCTTCTCGCCAGCGTCTGAGGTTCAACTGAAAGGAGTGTTTGAAGTTGGTGGCATGGAATTGACTTTCGGTGGCTGTTCCGGCAAGCGATGGAAGGTTTACAGGGGCCGATGGAGCTATTGAAGCTGCAAACGCTTGGCTTCCAAATTGTCCATGTTGGAATTGCGCACTCCCTCGCCTGGGGACTTCCAAGGCCACTCCAGACCAGGAGTAATGCATGTCGGTGGGACTCAAAAGGTACAATCTTATCAAACAGCGTCCTGAGGAGATCTCCTGGAGCAGTGTTGCGATAAGTCTCAAACATTTTGCCGCTCCCCTGTTGATACTCGAGTTCATATGGCGCTTACAACGCTCCTGTCCGGGATGCATGCTCGCATAAGGTACGCACATACTGTACAGGTAACCGTTCCCACATAAAATGTTGGAAACCTGCAGGCACGGCCCCTTTTCCGAAGAGTGTCGGACTTGCACTGAAGCGCAAAGTCTTATCGTCATCCATGTTAGCGATGGCATCTTAGCATAGCTACTCGCGAGCATTGTGTGCGTCCTTCGCGGGAAGCATTGCACATTCGGCAACTCATGTCAGCAGTCGGTAAGAGTTCTGTATACGGACCTCCTCCAGAGAATGTCTATAGGGCAGAAATCGAAGACGGCGGGGGGTAAGATGATTGCGAGCGAAAGCTCCAGGGACAAGCCTCCTGTTCCTGACTAGACCACATTCGATTAGATGCACGAGCCTGGGTTTTCGCCTGTGCGGAGCTCGCTTGTGGCGGTGGCTTCTCGCTGCTTTTGCACGGATGCGATACGTAGCTTGGCACAAAAGTTGGAGCTCAATCTCAACCTCACCTGTCCCGCTCGACAACGACTCCGCTACGCAACCGTTTGTTGTCAGGTCGACCTCGCTTTGCTAGGCATGTGCAATCAAGAAACGTCTCACCCGTGGATACAGTGTGATAGCAGTATCTGCCAGAGGACCGTCACCTTCCATCGCATCGCCAATTCCTCACGACTCGGCGCGTGCTGTACGCTCAGCGGCGCTGATCTCAATATCAGTGGCCAGAACCTTTCTGGGCGTTCCTCAAACTTTCGCTACTTCCGAACGCTGTCCATGTGGTCTGCCTTCTTGGATCCCGCCCATCTCGCGAACCCCGGCTCCTGCGCTATTTTGCCTGCTTCTTCCCGCACTAGACCCTTCCAATTCTTCGTACTTATGCTTAGCCAATCTCCACATGGCCCTCCTCAGCGCTTTCAGCCCGGCACATTCTCACGTACTAGGCAGTCTCTCATTTCTCGGTTTCATTTGAAGGGTATAGCACACCTGTCTGTGATGTTCTGGGGTGTCCAGCTGGCTCGATTTGGCCCTGGCTTGGCCGAATCTCGATCCCGAACACGAACGCGACCCAACACAATGCGCAGCCACGGAACGTCCAGCCGCGTATGCCATGTGTCTGACAGGCACACCTACGTTGCGCCTGACGCGGAGTGTTGCGCACACTTACCTGAATTGGTGGTGGGCTCTCGCGAAGACTTTGATATCTTCCATCGAGGCTGCAACTCTTTTCCGTTGTCTCTACATGTGTTTGTGCTTGCTTGGTCGCTGACCGCAGTCTCTCGTTAACTTCGCTGTTCTTTACTAATTTTGTGTGCCATCATGGCCACGTTCACTCGTTTCTTCATAGGCGCTGTCCTGCTGATCCAAGCTGGGATCGCAGAAGCAGGACTACATACTGGACATGGCCACCTCCATGGACGAGATCTAAACCTCTTCAGCAAGCGAGCTGCACAAGTTAATCCCACACTACCGGGAAACTGGACTTATAAATCATGCATGACCGATAATGTCAACAGCAGAGCACTATACGCGAAGGCTACCACGAGTGCAGACATGACCGAGACGAAATGTGTCAACTTTTGCGACAGTAATGGATATGCATATGGTATGTCAGCAGCAATTATATCCCGGACGGTACTGACATGATTGCAGCGGGTGTCGAGTACAGCCAAGAATGCTACTGCGGAAACGTCATATCTGTGTCCGGGAAAGCTGCTCCCGAGACCGACTGCAATATGGCATGCGCCGGTAGCGACTATGAGCTCTGCGGTGGCCCTAGTCGCCTCAATGTGTTCCACAACGGCAACCAGAAGATCGCCGCCCAAGGGCCTGCAACTAATGCTGGACCTCAAGGTTGGGGCTTCATGGGCTGCTACACCGACTCTGTCGCAGCCCGAACTCTCACGACCGGCGGTCAATCGGCTGGTGGTGGCGCAGTCCTGACGGTGGCCCTGTGTACCCAAGCTTGCGACCAGCAAGGATACAACATCAGCGGCGTGGAATACAGCGGCGAGTGCTATTGCGGAACCGGCTTCTCGAATGGTGGCAAACTGGCGCCTGATGGACTGACAGGCTGCAACATGGTCTGCAACGGCAACTCCAGCGAGTACTGTGGAGGACCCGATCGTCTTAATGTCTACGGCAAGGGTGTCCGAAGCACAATCGCACCAAACTGGGCTCTTGCAGGTTGCTACACCGACAACGTAAACTCACGGACCCTGACACATGGCGTGCCAGTCTTGGGAGGCGCTGCGAACATGAGCAACCCCAACTGCCAGAACGCTTGCTATGCAGCTGGCTATACCATCGCCGGAACCGAGTACTCAGGCGAATGCTATTGCGATAACGCACCAGCAAACGGTGGCGGTCTTGCTCCAGATGGCAATGCTCAATGCAACATGGCATGTAACGGAGATCCCACGGACGTCTGTGGTGGTCCAGACAGATTGACAGTGTGGAACTATATTGGTGGCACACCTCCTACCACAACCAATCCCGGCAACCCGAACCCTCCAGTCAACAACGATCCACCACCCAACAATCCCACGTTCGTTCCGAGCATGCCCACCGACGTGCCGCCTGGATGGCGATATAATGGGTGCTATGTCGACAATGCGTACGGACGCATCCTCTACCAGCAGCCAGATCAAGTCAATTTAACAGTCGAATCCTGCATCAGTACATGTGTAGCACTCGGAAAGCCCATCGCTGGTATGGAGTACAGCACACAGTGCTTCTGCGGCGATTACGTCTTGAACGGAGGCGCGCTCGCTTCATCCGACTCTCAGTGCGGCATGACTTGTGGGGGTAACAAGACTCAGGCCTGTGGTGGACCAGATCGCATGAGTGTCTGGTCGAATATCACATTCAACACCTACCCGCCACCGAAGCCTCAGACAACCGGCCTACCTGGCAACTTCCAGTACATGGGGTGTTTGACCGACATCCCACAACCTCGCGTACTACCATACGAAGTCATGTTCTACCAAACGAACCTTACAGTGCCCATGTGTTTGAAGCGATGCTCCGACTATGGCTTCAGTGCGGGTGCAGTCGAGTACGGAAACCAATGCTACTGCGGCGACGACAGCGATCGGGTCAGCGGGGTGTGCCATACCTGGCCGAGACGTCATGCAATACAGCTTGCATCGGTGATCCCACAGCCATGTGCGGTGGTGCTGGTGCCATGAACTACTACGTCTGGAACAACTTGAACACGTGGAACAATGCTACGGGCGACGCTGCTGGCCAATACAAGTACCTGGTTCCCGGCGTGGTAGTACCTTTGATCACCACAGCGGGCCGCAACGGCAAGGTCACATTCGTCGAGAAGTACGGTACCGGACCCGCCAACTCCAGTGGCGCCTACGAGCTTGATCTCTCTCTGGTCGACAAGTTTGACCAGGCCTGGCGCGAGCTCGATGGCCTCAAGACCGATGTCTTCTGCTCCGCAGGACTCACGCTCCCTGACAAGAAGGCTCGTCAGATCAATATTGGTGGTTGGTCAGCCAGCTCCCTCTTCGGCGTGCGTTTCTTCACCCCAGATGGGTCACCAGGTGTTCCTGGTGTTGACGGCTTCTCTGAAAACGTGGCGGAGGTCGGTCTGCAGATCGGCCGCTGGTATCCCTCGGTCATGCAGATGGTCAACGGCTCCATTCTCGTCCTTGGTGGTGAGGATGGCTCCAACGGTCCACCAGTGCCCTATCTGGAGGTGATCCCAAAACCAGCCGGCGGTGGCTTGCAGTACTGTGATTGGCTGCAGAAGACCGATCCCTGGAACCTGTACCCGTTCATGGCCGTCCTTCCCTCTGGTGGCATCTTTGTCCTCTACTACAACCAGGCGCTGATCATGGACGAAAGCAGCCTTGTCGCCACCAAGTATCTGCCTGCCGTACCAGGCGCTGTCAACGACAACGGCGCAGGTCGCACCTACCCGCTCGAAGGCTCGATGATGCTGTTGCCACAAAGCGCACCCTACACAGATCCTCTCACGGTCCTCGCCTGCGGTGGGTCCACGCAATATGCAGGCATCGCACTAGACAACTGCGTCACCCTACAACCAGAAGTTCCCGGCGCCCAGTGGACGATCGAGCGCATGCCCTCCAAGCGCGTCATCCCGTCTATGGTTGCTCTTCCGGACGGCACATACCTCATCATGAACGGCGCCCACCAAGGTGTCGCAGGATTCGGACTCGCCACCGATCCCAACCACAACGCCGTCCTGTACGACCCCTCCAAGCCCAAAAACCAGCGCATGACATCCCTGGCAAGCACGACGATCGACCGCCTGTACCACAACGAAGCCATCCTCCTCGAAGACGGCCGCGTCCTCGTCAGCGGCTCCGACCCCGAAGACACCCGCTTCGAGCAAGAGTACCGCGTTGAGGTCTTCATCCCACCTTACCTGCACGCTCTCAACGAGCCCAACGTCATCAATACCAGCCAGCCGTTGGGTCCCAATGTGACAATGCCAAGCCACGCGAACAACTTCACCTCTCCCTTCGCAGTCCCTGCTTCCACTGCAGCCCATACGCGAACTCAACCAGCTCTTCCAACTCCACCAATGCGGCGGCAGTCAATAACACTGCCTGCTCCGTCACCAAACGTCCCGTCTTCACACTCAACACCCAAGGCCTCTCGGACCCCGACGAGGACATCTCCTACGGCTTCGGCGCCCAGATCAAAGTCACCATGTGGTGCGGCACACCCGCCAAGTTCTCCCTCATGGGCGCCGTCTCGTCCACGCACGGAAACTCGATGGGTCAGAGGACTATCTTCCCTGCGTTCAGCTGCAGTGGGAACCAGTGCACGATCACGACGCCGCCTAATGGTCATGTCACGGGCGGACCGAATTGGTTCATGTTGTTTGCATTGGATGCGAATAATGTGCCTAGTTTCGCGAGCTGGCTGCGGATTGGGACGGATCTGGCGAACTTTGGGCAATGGCCGAATTTCTCGGATTTCCCGCTGCCTGGTCCTGGTAAGTAGGGGAGAGAGGGGGAAGGCGCATGTTCGAGGATAGATTGCATCTGATAGATTAAAAGGCTGCCGGCTTCTCGTCGCTAGGTGCTCACTTGGTGGGAATGATTCCTTGGGATGTTCAAACTGCATTTTTGGTCAGCTCGTGGTATTTATAGCGTAATGAAAGAGACAATCCATCGTGTTGGCTAAGCTTTTGGCCTACCGCGGTGCCGCTCATCCAAGGTCGAGTGCGTGATTCTATCACAATAGTAGCCAGCGGCACTATCCACCACATCATCCATACTGTTTCTCTCTTCTCCACACACCTTGTTCACACGCAGTTCTCTGCTGCCTTGGACCTCCATCTCAGCAATCCTCAGAGCCCAACCCAGCGCCTACCGCACCTCCGCTGAGGCTTGCGCTTGAGCTTTCTGCTTTGAAATATGCTATATTGGCACGATCAGCCCTTGAAGTGGAGCGCGAAATAACTGCCAGTCCCCACATCATCACGTCCGGAACACGGCTTGATGTCCGGGACAGTCAACAACAGCATCTGTGCCGCAGAGATGCTCATCCAGGTCTAGACCTCCTTTGGCCTTGTTCGGCGATGTACAGTCCTGGCCACCCTGTCGGAAGATATGTCTGCCCCGATCTCCTGTCGTAGCGGGGCTCAAATAGAGCTTCGATCGGTGGGTCGTCCCCCGGACGCGCAAATAGGAGATCGTCAAGGCCTCGCAAGTTCCACGTTTCCGAACGTCCAGGCAAGACGAGAGATCCCTCCTTGGTGCTAATCGAGACAATGGAGTCCTGTGCGTCACCGACCACACCCTTTTTGAAGTTGTAATCCTTTTTGAATTCGTCATACCGTACATGAGGGCGCAGAACTGCAATTGTCTGGATTGCCAATGACGTTATTTCACTAGGATCTGCAGTAATTCTCGACCATGGCATGTGGTCTGCAATGGGATCCACATTATCCGAGTCCCCAGGGTCGTCTTGAGGTCTGATAGTGAGGCCGACGTCTTCAGCCGCACTTTCCAGAAGATCGCCCAGCTTTGGCAGTAGAGGGCGCACAGCGTTCCACATCTCTGAGCCCACCTCGTGACTTGACCGCGCACAGATAAGCAGCCTCCGCATTTTTCTACGACAGGACGCATGATTCACGTACAAGGATCCCAGGGTGAAAAACAGTGGATTTAAGCCTTGAATCATACCCGCCGACTGGAAGTGGCCCAAGCAGAAAATGTGCGTAATGATCAGCATCACCTCAATGAACCATCTTTGTGGACGTCTGTGACTTTCGAGAACGTGAGTATCGCGCAGGCTGCCACTGAGTTGATGTTCTGCGAACCCGATCAATGGGTGCTGGGCTCTTTCCTCGGGGCCAGCGATCTCCACGGTGTGAACGAGTCGATGTTCTGCGGGTTCGATCAATGGTTGCTGTGCTCTTTCTTCAGGGAGGGCGATCTCCTCATTGTGACCTGAATCATACGAGGGAGTTTCTGCTGTGTCTAATGACGGATATATATCGTCTTCAGGAGATGCTGCATGTCGGAGCCCGCGGGTCGCTGGCCGTCATCGTTCCGACGATATGAATCTGATGGCTAGGCTCAGCCGGGAAGTTAGCACTCTGATCGTAGGTTGCAGTCCGTCGTGGTGTGAACGAAGATGGCTCCTGTCCAGCAGTCGTGCCTTGTAGGACTCTAGGAGGGCTCTTCTGTGTTGCATCGTCAGAAGACTCCTCAAGGCGATTCGCACTTCCGACGGACGTCGCCTTGCGGCAGCGCAACTGGATGAGGTGCCTTTTGAGGTCGTGCGGACGGATAAAGTTCCTTGAGCACCGGCTGCAAGGATGTAGCTTCGTTGCTGATTGCTGTTTATGTCTACGGAACATGTGTTCCTGCAGTCTGCTTGGTCGTTGGAATTGATCTTCGCACCCAAAGGGACAGATGTGCTGAGGCGCCATGGCTTTTCGCTGCCGGCCTCACAGAAGGACATTTTTGGAGCGTCGATGCAAGCACCGCAAGGCCAGGCAGTCTCACCGGGGCATGGCTTTATAGCAGTCGCTAGCGGCCACTGTACAGCCGGTTTCAGCCTGACGATGTGAGATGGCCTTGGCATCTCTACCGAGCTTTACGACCAATAGCAACGAGGTGAGTTGCCACCCAGGCTTGGCCCTGCCGGTACGCCAAGAATACGATGCCTTTGGGGTCGCGATAGCTCAGAGGCTTCGTGTTCGTAGTGTACCGGCAGACGGACACAGCCCTGCGCGCATCGGAGATGTGGGTCCCTGCAAAAGGTTTCCTGCATCGACAGACATGTACCGGTCTCCGGTACGCTGAATTTTGCATCTTTCATGGGCTGTGTGGGCAGTGGCGAAGAATGCTCACCATCTCCCACGACAGCGAATTCAGGCTAGGGCGTACCGCAATTGCAGTCAACCTTTACGATTGGCCAGGCACTTCATTTCACTTGCCGCCGGGTCAGACAACCGATGTGTACCGGCAGGTAGACAGCAGCGTACCAGCGACGCTTGCGGCAACGCACCAGCGACAGGATATTTGGCCGAGCCCATAGTCGGACTGATATGGACTATATATGCTGCCACCTGCACCGATCCGCCAGTGACCAGAACTCTTCGATAAGTTGCACTCAGTATCCTGCTCACAATTAAGCGCTCTGCTTGCAACCTCGACAGATCAACACCGAGTAGAGTCGGCACAGCCGTCATGACCGAAGAGGTCTTCTGGACAATCATCTTCGGAATCGCAGCGACGGTCATCGGCGTCATCACTGTGTGGCAGAATGCTCGGCTCATCGGCTTCCGAGCTGACAGTGAGTCCCTCGGTCAATCGAAACGACAGTACTGACCGCCGAGGCAGATCAGAACGGCACTGGCCCGAGAGATTGGTACGGACACTGACGCCGGTGGCAGAGTCGGCGCACTCAAGGGCGACAAAATAGAACGGTCGATTGTCGTCGTCTAGAATCCGAAGCGGAGCTTGTTATGCTCCACGGAGGGTCGAGCACACAACAGCAGAAGCACGGTAGTCCATAGAATCCAGCCACTGTACCCTCGTTAGTAAAAACAAGCATACAAAGACTCACTTCGCTTCTGCTTTCGACATCCGCATGAAACGTGCTTCGCTAGCACGGCTCGCAGTGTACAAAAGCTCTTGGGCTACTGACAGCCAGATTCCTAGCTCTGGCAGTTCGAGACCATAGCGACTTCGCCACCCCAGATTGCGGCCAGCAACATCAACGCATCAAACGCTTCGATTGCAAAGCTGACCATCGCGCCACTGCTTCGTGACAGCTCATCGACGCGTGAGTCGTGCTGGCACGTCTGTAGGAGCTTGCAATGACATCTGTTGACGCCATACTGAGCTTTCGGTACATCGTACCCTGGTATCAACAGACCCGATGGGTTACTCCGAGAACATGGATTCGCCTTCGACGTGGGTATTGGGTTCGGAGATGAGTGAGGACCTGAAAGCTCGAATGCGAAGAGAAGTTTGCGGAGAGCTACGGCGGACCGCAGTGTACTCACCTGTCACACGAGTTGCTCATTTCTGTCCCCATGCGCGATGTTCACAGATTTGACGCCTTGCTGGAGGCGTGACTTGGTTCAAACTGTGGCATAAGTGACTGGAGATTCTAGGAGGCTGTGCTAGAGGAATGGACTTTCTATTTCTACAGCTGTTGCATATGCAGGGTATCAGCATCGTTCCTTGCGGATAGTTCGATCTATAGCCTGTATTCTGCCTCCAATTTCTCCGGGCCTTCGCTGTTTTCTCTGCTTCTTGCCATGGTGGGCTTCCCGTAGTCGGAAGTCACCAAGCTCCTTCGTGCCAGCGCTGGCTTTGCAACGGATGTGGGTGAACGCCTGACTGTGTGTGTCCGGATCAGGGAGGGTGCGGGAGGTCTGAATCGTTTTCGCTGACCAGACCAGCAAGTTTGAGAAGAGCCTCACTCGAGCGTCAGATTGAGTCGGGGAAATGGTGCATCAAGGTCGTCGATTTGCTCGCCAGGGAGGACGCTGAAGGTCAGAATTTGTTCCACGAAGTGGCATCGCCTACAATTTTGCTTCCACTTCCTCAAAGTCCTTCAGATCGACGACCGGCACAGGGCCACGGCTGATCTCCAGACCGGCCTTCCATCTCACGACATCATTGATGACCACGGGAGCTGCAACATCGACTTGAGGCGTATTCTGGCCATTGACCTGTTCTTCGCCCTCCTGGGCGGCCGCTGGCGTGATTTTGAGAGCCATGAAGACCTGAGGAATTGCTTCCTCAAGCTGTGTTGACAATTGCTCAATTTGCAGTTCCCCGGCAGAGGCCTCCCTAGCTGCTGAGATGATGGACGCGGTTACGGCGGCTTTGTCTGTGATGTCAAGCTTCTCGAAAGCCGCGCTCAGGCGGACTTCGTCGGGTGTGACATTCGCGCTCTGCAACAACTGACCAGCCACCTCGACCAATTGGTTTCTCTGGTCCGCCGTATCCGGCGCCGGCTCCTCACTCGCGTCTTTCTTGGCCTCAAGGTGAATGGCCAATTTAGCCCGTCGGGGGGACTCTGGGGCGAGGTATTGAGTATAGAACTTGATGACGTCTTTCTTGGTGAGTTTGCGGATAGCTTCGACGTCCTGGTCGACCTGGAAGAAGGAGAAGTGCTCTGAGTTGATATACGTCCACAGTCGGCCCGTCTCTGAGTCCAGGTTCTTGAGTTTCTCCAGTCGTTTGGTGATCAAGCTGCGCTTGTGGCCCTCAAAGTCCTCCTGGCTCATTTCCTCGATGTAGCCGCGCATCTTGAGCAGAAAGGCGTCGCACCGTGTCTCTAAATACTCTGGGTTGCGTTCGGACTGTATGAGAATGCGGTAGCCCATCATCGTCGCGGCTGCACGTGTGCCGGACCAGACGACGTACCCAAGCTGTTCCTTGGTACGTAGTTGGTCGAAGCCGGGCTCTTCGGTGATCTGGCTGAAGAGCTGTAGCTTAGCGCGTAGTTCCTGGTCCATGACGCCGCCGACTTGGATGTAGTACTCAATGCCATGGTTGACGTTCTCTGGATCGGCTAGCTTTGTTCTGTAGACGGCGTTCGAGCCTTCTGGTAAGATCATGTTGCGGCGCAGCGCCCACTGTGAGGAAGGGAGAATGCGAGGGCGTAGCGTTGAATCGACGAGGGAGCCGAGCTTCTTGGCTTCGTCCTTGTAAAGATTGCCGTGGGCAAGGATCTCGATATGTGCTTGATTGATGAGTTGAGGGGCGAATGACTTAAGGTCCTCCAGGGTGATATGTGGCAGTTCCTCGGCATACTGATGTGTCATCCACGCTTTCTCATTCAATAACCACCGGGTGTACTCCCCGACGATGTGGTAAGGCTGTTGAAAGTCCCAATTCTTGAACTGCCGGGTCTTGCGTTCCTTGATGATGTCGAATCGATCTTGTCGCAATTCAAGATCACGGATCGTCGTCAAGATTTTCTCCAGGAGGACGCTGAGCTTGTCATTGTAGCCATGGACCAGCACATTCATGCCATATGGATCTGCAACTACATTGTACACTAGACCCGATATTTCTGCGTCGTAGGAATAAGACGTCAGGGCGTCCTTCACGAGGCTTGTGAAAAGAGAAGTCTTGACGTAGTTGGCCGGTGTAGCGTATGTCAGGCCGTTGCGGAGGAGAATGTTGACGTTCGCTTTCGGCACCCAAAACGAGTCATCTTTCTTCCACCACAAGCGCATCTTGTCGTCGTTTCGTAGCAGCTTGGGCGTCTTGACTGGCTCGTTCACGTCCACCTTCTCGACATCTAGCCGCGTTGGGATGAACTCGTTTTTGTGTGGTAGATGCAAGTCTGCAGGCCGCTCACTGGATGAAGCTGCCAATGCCTTTCGGAATTCGTCGTGGACCTCGACCGGGAATTTCTGCACCTTATAGTCCGTGCCATACCACCGTTCTTTCTCATTCCAGTCTCCAGGGAAGTCCTGAGCAACAATCATAAGCCGGAAGTTGTCGTCCTTCAGGAATTGCATGGCATTGACGATAGCCTTCGGATCGAACTTTCGGAACTTGCTGATGCCGCTCAATAGCCACTCTCTCGGCAAGGGTTTCTGCATAATACTGCTTGTGCCACTTGTGAAACGACTGGCGGGCGACTTTTGTCGGAATCGGAAGTCGACCTCCGCCATGTTCTTCATCTCTTCATGCATCCAGTCGACCGGCGGATCTTGCTTCATCATGCTGACGTACTGGAACACGATCTTGACCACGTCTCGATACTTCTCTAGACCTTCGGGCGTTAAGCTGATCTCGATCTCGAAGAATGCTGATCCTGGGCAGACAGTGTGATAGCCAGCAGACAGGCTGTTGGCAAGTCCTTTGTCCTTGAGGTATGCCAGGATGCTGCCCGGGCCCTCGTGACCGATCAGATGGCTAATGTACCGAGCAGGCTGTGTCTCATACATGTCCTCCTCGTCTTGCCACGGAAAGCTGATCTCGAGAGACCGCGACTCCATGACCGGCTTCGCGAAGATCTCGGTTGATAGCTCTTCCTTTGAAAGTGGCCGCTGATCGTCCCATCGGTTCTCTGGCAGATCTTTGTTCTTGACGCCCGAAAACAGTTCGACGACCCACTCCTCCAACTCGTCCAGCGACTCCCGGCCCAACACAACCAGCTTCATGCGGTTGGCGCTGTAATGCTTCTCGTAGAACCTTATGAACTCATCTCGGATCTTGACTCCTCGCTTCTCAGGGTCCTCCTTCAAGGTCTTCAAGTTACCAGTAGAGAAGTGGTGATACGGGTGTTTGGGATTGGACAATGACTTGGCCAGTTGAGACAGCCTCCACATATCATTCTGTAGGTTCTTCTTATTTTCGGAGTCCACCGCCCGCATCTCTCGGTCTAGGGTGTTCTCGAGGAAAAGCGGCTCGACGAAGAACTGCGCAAATCGATCGAGCGCGCCGTAAAGAGGACCTTTCGCTGCACCGTTCGTGACGCCATTCGTGTGGGTGCCATTTGTTGTCTGTTGGCCCTCGTTCACTGCGGCGCACTCGAAGAAGTAGTTGGTCTGTGTGGCGGCGGTGTAGGCATTCGAGTAGCCTGAATTGGAGGAGAGATATGAGCTGTACTCGTTTTCGACTGGATACTGTGATAGATTAGCATAGAGTCCTCCCTGCGCCTGTGCTGCTGTCCTACCTTCTTAGTGCCCATGAAAAGCAAATGCTCTACGGCGTGAGCCATTCCAGGCATATCCTCCTCATCGCTGAAGTTGCCGACATTGACATTGAGAGCTGCACTGGCCTTATCGGTCTTGTTGTCGTGGACCAGCAGGGCTTCCAGCTTATTTGACAGCTCTACCACTCGATACTCTCGATCATCTGTTTCAGGCTTCTCGAGTCGGTCGGCTATTCTCCGTACGGGTTGCATGACTGTAGCGAATCGTCTGGATGTTGCAAAGCACTGCGATAGTGGTGTATACGGCGCAGCAGCTCTCAAGAGCGGTCTCAGGGTGTTCGGATGTTCTTGTGCCAGAAGAGACAGTCTGTGGCAAGGGATTGACCACGATGGTGTGAGGAAGCGAAGGAGCCGCATATATCACAGAAAGAGGTAGATCTCAGAGGGCAGTGAACGCGTGATGACTGTGCCTAGAGACGGCAAAGAGGCAAGGCTGCGACTGTGGCGAGGAATTAGTGATTATGCCTGCCGCCTGCCGTTGTACTCGTGAAGGCAGTAGCGGATATCGAGAGGTTGGCCGTGTCAGGTGCTGTCAATAAGTGAGGACCTGACGATGCTGGGGCGGCCTCTGTCGAAGCGATCGAATTCTCCAACCGGAGCCATTCCATGTCAATGACGCCAAGATCCGCTCCACTGTCTTGCCTCCCCGGCATTGTCTAAATCTATAACTCTACTATCATGGTTTTCTTGTCTGCCGTTCTCAGAAAGGAGGCTGGTCACAGTCAGAGAAAGCTTCGGCGACATACAGGATCGCTTCGTGGCTACAAGCTAACAGTAATATCCGTGATGATCTGTACCACGTCTCGCGACTGGCGGTCCTCCGCATCCCCATCCCCGTGTCCCCGCCTGCGATGCTTGGCTGTCCGTGCTATCCCTGTGCTTCAACGAGAAGTTGGACCCGAACAGTGGACGCACTCCACAGGCATTGCACTCTCGTGACCCTAGCTGCCTGTGCCCTGGGTCCCATGACGCACGGGTTCTTACTCTGATCAACCCCGGCTATCATCAGAAAAGGCAGCGACCGCATCCACTGCAGCGTCCCCGGCAAGCACGTTGAGTCGCGTCCCTAAATTGCTATCGCCTAGTCCAGCTCGAATGTGGTCCCGGTCATCTGCTCAAGCAGACCCCAGACCCTGCTTGCCGCGGGTTTCGCATCCTCGAGCAGCTGATAGTTGGCAACCTGGCAATCATCCAAGTACGAGCCCGACCGTGCCTCCAACGACGGGTCCAACGCAGCACGCAGCTGGGTCGCGCATCCTTCTTGCAGGCTCTTGCGCACAGGCGGGACGAAATCTGCATTTTCCTTTTTCGCTGCCGCAAAAGCCGCCTGGCGCATCTCCTCGGTGATGTATCGCTGCAGAGGTGACTTGATCGAGCCAGGATTAAGAGCAAAGACCGATATGCCATGAGATTTTACTTTGGCGGAGAGCTCGGACGTGAAGAGGTTGAGTGCGGCTTTGGAAGTGCTGTATGCAGCGATCGGACTGTAAGTTGTGCCGTTGCCGTAGGTGAGGTCGTCCAGCGCTGCGAGAACATACTCGGCGTTGCGCACCGAGGCTGAGCTGCTGACACTGACGATGCGATGCTTGATGAGATTGGCCTTGAGCAAGAGGTAGGTGAACAACGCAGGACCGACAGCATTTGTGGCGAACTGTGTCTCGACGTTGTCGACTGATAAGGCATATGGGCATGCCATGATGCCAGCATTGTTGATCAAGACGTCGACCTGAACATCAAGGTCTTGGACGGACTGCGCGGCCGATTTGATAGAAGCTTGACTACTGAGGTCGAGCTGCAGGAACACTGTCTTTACGCCAGACGCTTCGACTCGGTCAATGACTGGTTGAAGGCTGCTTATGTTGCGACCCGCCAGGATCAGTAGACGAGGGCTGGCCTTCGCTAGGGAATACGCTGTCTCTGCTCCAATGCCGTCCACAGAGCAGCCAGTAATGAGGACTGTGGCATTGTTATTTTGTGCATGTGGAACTTGCTCCAGAACTTACAGGTTCGGTCTTTGACTTGGTCTTGGAATGCTTCGACGATCTCGTCGCCGGTCGTGTTGAACCCGAAATGTGCCATGGTCGCTAGAAGTGCTTTGAGTGCAGGAATGCACGACCTGTGGACAGATCAACGCTCTTTTGTATCATGTTGTTTCGCCCGCGGATTCAGCCGGCGTCAATCATGGCCGATTTCGAGAACCCTCGGTGTCGAGGCATTGGCTGGCTGATGTAATGGCCTTATGCAAGGCAACGGACTTGTTGTGTGAGGCAACCTCTAAACTCCGATCACTGCCAGGTCAGGTCAGCCACGCACACCGGGCTGGTCGTCCGCTGGCACAGTTGGGCCAGCGCGGTGAATTCAGAGGCAGATAAAGAAAACTGGTTCAATAGACTCGCCGTTCAGCAAGGAAGGCCTTCTACATTGCGTGATGAAACAAGCATAGGCGAATATATTCGCAAGCGACACAGACAAATCCGCGGGGAGTGCCTGAAACGGGTCAGACCTCCTGGACCATCCTACGGTAAGTCGATGTGCGATCGCATCGAGTACGGCTGCGTTGATAATCATCATGGATGTGATGGAGAAGTGATGAGAGCATGGCATCGAAACGCGTGTTGGTGAGGTGGGAAGACGAAGGCCGTGTAACCGGTTAACAAGAGACTCTTCGAGGCGGAGATTGTAGCAAAATCTCCGGGTGACAGCGTGGCCCTTGGTTTTCCTGCCACCATGAATTTCTGCCGCCTTCTCCAATCTCAGCCGGAACCTGGAGCAGATTGCAACCTGGCTCTCCCAATCTCTTCTTCACACAAATTCCTACATCACTGCCTCAGATCTCAGATCTCAGATCAATCCTTCCTGCAGCGTACAGAGACTTAGGACCGTCACCGGAGCCCGTTACCCGACTATCCTTCAAGATGCCGTCCATCTCACCGCAGATGTAGGTAGCAATCCAGTACTGCTCGTGCGCATGCAAAAGCTAACTTGTCCGACAGCACCAACCTGGCGATCATACTTGGTATGATGCAGGTGTCGAAGAGAATCCCGTTCGAAGATCCTCAGGTCTTGATGGGTGTCCGCGCCCTGTACATCGTGTCAAATCTGATCATCTTCGGCCTCTACTACTATATCAGCATGAAGATCAAGTCCAAGCGAGGTACGTTTGCTTGCTACAGAAGCAGTCTTGTTCTAATGTTCACAGAACTTACCACCCTCAAATATGTCGAGCCGGCCCAGATGGGATCTGGCGAGGACCCGAAGCTTGTCACGACCACAATCCAAGAGTACGATAGCCAGCAGGTAGCCGCGCAATATAAGCAACAACTCATGGGCGTCGCGATGATGGGCTTCATGCACATCTACCTGAAGTACACCAACCCGTTGGTCATCCAATCGATCATTCCTCTCAAGAGCGCCTTCGAGAGCAACCTAGTCAAGGTTCACATTTTTGGCAAGCCTGCTGTGGGTGAGCTCAAGCGACCATGGAAGGCATCCGGTGGCATGATGGGCATGGGCGGCAACACCGGTCCGGTCACCGACAAGGCATCCATTGAGGCGGCTGAGCGTGCTGGACGAGGTGGTGCAAAGGAAGAATAGATTTGGACAAGCATCAAAGATGTCAAATATTCCACAGAATACTAATCTGCTACATGGATAGAAAAAATGATCAGGGCCCGCCTCAGGGGCGCAGATGAACATGTGATCAGTTGTCGTTGCGTCGCCATCTCGTCGAACAAAGGTACCGTGCTTCGATCCATTATTACCGCCGCAGTCCTTTCGTTAATTTCCACCACCTTGGCCATTTCTCTGTCGGCAGCAACGGCACCCCGGGCGGAATAACGATTCACAGAAAGCAATGCCGCTTTGCCAGAGTGGTTGGTTCGCTATGATTGGTTCGGTGTGATTGTTGAGCAGCAGAACCCTGAGCGATTATCCAAGCAGGTGCAGCCTCAATCAGCACAGTACCATTGCTGGTGAATTGGTCGAAGCGGGCTGACTTGAAGCCTCTGTGTATAAGTAACTGTACACTCGTCCATCGATCCACGACAACGACCACATCTCAATTGTGAAACACACATCGGCCACTTACCGACTGCTCCTACTTATTATCGTGCGCGAATACTCCTTGTTCTTGCCAAGCCACTGGTTTCTGTGGACGGAAGCTGCCCCTCCCTGCCCGCAAAGACTCGCCTGCGATTTCTCTGGCGTCAACAAGTCCACGGAGCTTCAGATTGAACTTGCCCCACCATAATTTTGTTCTGCTGCTATCCAGCACTGACTACCTGATATCCCTATCCGATCCGACAACTACAAAAGCCATTCGGATACCTCAGATATCGACTGAGCTTTTCTTCTGATCTATTCAATCTCATTCAAACAGCACTTCAACTCGTGAGTCCTGACCCCGCAGCTCTACCATTCGAGTCCCCCGTCACGAAACTGCGCGTGCTCCTTCGACGTGTAGCAGCTGCTAATCTGCAACAGTACCACTAGCACTACTTTCAATATGGTCACCAAGGTTGGAATCAACGGCTTCGGTCGTATTGGCCGTATCGTAAGTCGATTGTGCCCGTCCTGTCGCCGTGGCCGCGGACGCTAATAAACATCCCACACAGGTCTACCGCAATGCGTGAGTCTAGTCAGTGCTGTCCATGACCCAGTCCTAACCCAGCCAGTGTCGAGCACGATGACGTCCAGGTTGTTGCCGTCAACGATCCCTTCATCGAGCCCAAATATGCTGTAAGAACCTCGCCTCAACAAAAGCAGACAACCACTGACCCAGCCAGGCATACATGCTGAAGTACGATTCCACACACGGTCGCTTCAAGGGCACCATTGAGGTCGCTGAAGATGGCCTCACCGTCAACGGCAAGAAGGTCGTATTCTACTCCAAGAGAGACCCAGCAGAGATCCCATGGTCAGAGACTGGCGCAGACTACGTCGTTGAGTCGACCGGTGTCTTCACCACAACCGAGGGCGCGTCCAAGCACTTGAAGGGTGGCGCAAAGAAGGTTGTCATCTCAGCTCCATCCGCTGATGCACCTATGTTCGTCATGGGCGTCAACAACACAGAGTACAAGACCGATATTCCCGTTATCTCAAACGCCTCCTGCACCACCAACTGCCTGGCTCCCCTCGCCAAGGTCATCAACGACAAGTTCGGCATGAAGGAGGGTCTCATGACCACCATCCACTCATACACTGCCACACAGAAGACCGTCGACGGCCCCTCAGGCAAGGATTGGCGTGGTGGACGTACCGCTGCTCAGAACATCATCCCATCGAGCACCGGTGCCGCAAAGGCTGTCGGCAAGGTCATTCCTTCCCTCAATGGCAAGCTCACTGGCATGTCGATGCGTGTGCCCACCTCAAACGTCTCCGTTGTCGATCTTACCTGCGTGCTTGAGAAGCCCGCCAGCTACGATACCATCAAGAAGGCCATCAAGGAGGCATCCGAGGGCGAGCTTAAGGGTATGCTCTTGCTTATTGCTGCTACATTTGAACTATTACTGACAAACCTAGGCATTCTCGCGTACTCCGAGGACGACCTCGTCTCCACCGATCTGATGGGCGACAACCACTCCTCCATCTTCGATGCAAAGGCTGGTATCTCCCTCAACGACAACTTCGTCAAGCTTGTTTCCTGGTACGACAACGAGTGGGGTTACTCACGACGTGTGCTCGATCTTCTCGGTATGTGTCATCTCGGGTGTTTTCGGAACGAATTGCTAACAGCTTCATAGCATACATCGCCAAGGTTGACGCTGGCAAGTAAGTGTGGAGTGAAGCAACAAGATTCTGACTTGCAAAGGAGAATTGCGGAAACGGAAACGGTCTTCATCGGATGAGGGCCGCCCTGGGCTGTCGACGACGACCAGGAATCCGAATGCCTAGCACAGTATTACTAGCAGGCCACCAGCGCCTTCCTGAATGAATAAGAGGCATACGATCTAAGTTTCCAAGCTTGATCTATCATCATCTACGCGTGCTTTGTGATTCTGACAAGGTCTGTTGCAGCTTAGAAAACGCAACGCAGACGCTTTGGCAGTGAATAACAGGATCCTGTTTAGACTTGCTTAGGTAACCCGTCAAAAGTCCGGGTTAATATGGAGCTCTTGGCGCGATCTGCGTGTACCGTACCTCGAATCCTCGATTGTTCTCCAATTCAACCGCGACCATTCACCACGAACTAACGTGCTTGTATACGGACAATAGCCCCCCCTGAGATCATACGAATCACGCTCATCATCTCGACGTTGATCTTAACTTCTTCAGCCTCCTAACTCTCACCCGGCGTCCGGCTCACAGAGTGACCAATTTCTGCGCGACGAGCGGCTAAACACGTAGCCTCGACAGTGGTCACGCTTTGCCTCCCTGCTTAATTCCCTTTGTATTCTGGACTTCAACTCTGTCTGCTTGCTTGAGCAAACAACTTTCTTTAGCCTCCTCCGGCATCAAGCACCGCCGCCAACATGGAGAGGCGCACTTCGCCGCGGCTTGATTCGCCAATGCCAGATGCTGCGTCTCTCTTGATACCCTCTTCATACGACAACGAGCTCTTCGCAACAAGCCAAACGCATCTGGGTTACAGACATCCTATGTCAAGCACTGATGCATCTACCGATGAGGAAGACGGCTATGACTCCGAATTTCCAGACACCATCTCCTCATCGATAGAAGACATGCCAATCGAAGAAGGAATGAAAGGGCTGGTTATTGCGCCCAAGCCGACGGGCGTTTGCTATGACGAACGCATGCGCTATCACTCCGAGGTCTCTGCTACCACTGGCGATAATGTTCACCCCGAAGATCCCCGAAGAATCTACTACATTTACCGAGAGCTAGTGGAGGCTGGCCTTGTTGAAAACACACCCGAAGTCTTCGCCAACCCTCCACTGAAGCACATCCCTTTGCGTGAAGTCACACGCGCGGAGGTCGAGCTCGTCCACGAAGTCGAACCAAGGAATCATTGGGACTTCGTAGAGTCTACCTCAGCCATGTCAGATGATGCGCTGATTGATCTCTCTGAGAACCCCGGAATGGACTCCATCTACTTTAATCAACTGTCCTTCTTAAGCGGCAAATTGTCTGCTGGAGGAGCGATCGAGACGTGCAAAGCCGTATTTGAACGGAAGGTCAAGAATGCTATCGCTGTGATTCGGCCGCCGGGTCATCATGCGGAGGTCAACAAGACGATGGGTTTCTGCCTTTTCAACAACTGCTGCATTGCAAGCCGCGTATGTCAGAAAGACTACGGGCAGGACTGTCGACGAATACTGATCGTGGATTGGGACGTCCATCACGGCAATGGCTGCCAGAAGGCATTCTACAAGGACCCGAACATTCTCTACATCTCTCTTCACGTCCACATGAATGGTGGCTTCTATCCCTCTGGAGATGGTGGTGCTATGGACAAGTGTGGAGAAGGCCCTGGTCTCGGCAAGAATGTCAATATCCCGTGGCCAAACAAGGGTATGGGCGATGCTGACTACATGTACGCATTTCAGCACGTCGTGATGCCAATCGCTACAGAATTCGAACCAGATCTTGTGGTTGTGGCTGCTGGCTTTGACGCTGCTGCCGGAGATGAGCTGGGTGGCTGTTTCGTGTCACCAGCATGCTACGCACACATGACACACATGCTCATGAGACTAGCAAATGGAAAGGTAGCTGTCTGTCTCGAGGGTGGCTACAACTTTAAGGCCATCTCAAAGTCAGCATTAGCGGTCACCAAAACTCTCATGGGCGAGCCACCTGATCGAATCGACGCAACACAACCAACGCCGAGTGCTGTGGAAACTGTTGAGCAGGTGCGGCATATCCAGTCCAAGTACTGGACGTGCTTGAATCCACGAGATCCGCCATACGACCTGACCGAAGGTACACCGCTATCAGGTGAGACTGGGACGGCCCTTGATCCCATCATATTTGACTGATTGTTTCAGACATCCTCCGCATGGCCCAAAAGGCCGAATTGTACGAGAAGTACCAGATGAACACGCTCAAGATCCTCCGAGACAGCGTCTCGAGATCGTTTGACAATCAAGTACTGGCGACGTAAGTCTCCCGTTGTATCCTCTTCCTTCCCGCTGACCTGCCCCGTAGTCCTCACTGGGAAGATAAACGAACCCTCCTCGTCATCTTCCACGACCCTCCCGATCTCCTCGTACCTGGCGGCCGCACCTCGAACCTTACCCCGCCTCACCTCACTCGCGTCAAGGACGGCGTCACCTCCTACATCAGATGGGCAGTCAGTCAAGACTTCGGTGTTATCGATGTCAACGTCCCAGAATACATCACACCAGCAGAGCCCACCGAAGGCTCAATAGAAGAACAGTACCGCTACTCCTCCACCTCGACTGACCACGCCCGTGTCGAGGGTGAGAAGCTCGCCAACTACATGTACACCAACTACATATACCCCAACGACCATGCGAACGTGATCCTCGTCGGCGTAGGCAATGCCTTTCATGCCGTTGCCAAACTCCTTTCCGAGACCGAAGACATACAAGAACACATCACTGGCGTCCTCGCATTCATCGCGCAGAACCCCGTACGACCAGTCGGCAGCACATCCAATCAGTGGCTGTTAGGATGGTACAAAGCAAACAGTCTAGTGTTTGTGACCGAGGAGCACAGTCTATGGAAGAAGGAAGGCAAGATCAGCAAGCGGTATGGTGGGATCAAGCCCTCGAGGGGAGGTGGAGCGAACGAGATCATGATTGTGAATCGAGAGGAGGCGTTTGAGTGGATGGCGGAGAAGGTCAGGGATCCGGAGGAGACGGAGGACGAGATGGAGGATGATGCCGATGGTAGACCGGGTGTTGAGAGGACCGAGGTGACGTTGAACCCGAGTATGGCTGCAACGATGGAAGCAGATGCAATGGCGACAGTCGAGTCTGGCATGGGTACCTACGGCTCTGGATAGCTTTCAAGGTTCTGGGGAACATGGGCCCGAACGACATGGTACCCGAGCATGCGTCATGGCCGGGCGTTGCACTCTCATTCTGTGCATTGTTGGATGGATACACGAATGAAACGCATCGGCGCCCATTGCTCCTGCAATTCAACCGGGAACAACCCGCAGGTGTGTAGGAGCGACAGTTCGAGCATCACAGGTGGCAGTTGCGGTCAGGTAAAGAAATGCGGAAAGAGCACCTATCTCCCGAACTTCACGATTCACAGCTCTCTCAATTATTCGAATTACCCTACAGGCTCATCAGTAAGAGGGTCAGTTCATCTTGAAATCACCTCGTACCACCATATCGGCAGCCGTCAGATATGGTACTAGTGGAGACGCAGCGCCGTTGAGTTTGTTCAGCTCAGCTCCAGGCAACGAGCGTTCCTCAAGCGGCCTGAGCTTCGTCTTATTTCTTCTCGCTGCCGCTCGAATACATCATCGATCGAACATCACATTCGTCACATCCAGCGACAGCGCTGGGCCGAAAAATCAGCCACGACGGCTCGCTTGCCTATCTGAGCCAACCAGTATCTTCGGCGTCATCCTGTCCGGTCACTTACGCCCAGTACTGATGAATATGGCAGCCCATCACGCAGTGTCGAGCACGACACCTCTACTTCCACAGCCCACGCTTATGGGGATACCGTCCGAGTTACGTATCAGAATCCTCGAGTTTTTTCTTCCGACAAGCCCACAAGCGCACCAGACCCTTTTTAACGAGGTTCGCTCACGCGAGTTACAAACCCGAAGACCACCCAGGCTGTCAGTTGATGTGCTTGATCGCGACTATGGCATTGAAGTCGCTGACTATCGACCTCTAGCAATCCTCCAAGCCTGTCGACGGGTTCGTCATGAAGGTCAGGATCTGCTGAACAAACATACCCCATCGATTGTTCATGCTGCAACGTTCCGCGGTTCCTTACGCACGATCCTGCGTAGCGGCAACATCAACGTTCGCAACGCTCAGGAGCTGCACGTTGTCTTGGGGACTGTAAACACCGGATTGGACCGACTCGCACGAAAGATAAAGGCGAACATAATAATGGCCAGGCGCTTGTGCGTTCATCGGCAGGACATCTCCATTCATTGCCCTCAGCGAGGGATCACCTTTGCGGAATTCTGGGCGACTCTTTGGGGCACTGACCCGCGAGCACGGGTGCAGCTCTTCAACAAGATCATCGTTCCAAACTACAGAACCCCGTTCGGCAGCTCGGCGATGCTATTGAATGCCCCGCAGGTGCTTCGGCACGGGCTCACCCCGAATCGCTGCGATTGCAAGCTTCGCTTCCGGCTAAAAGTCCATAAGACCCCGTATCCGTATGTGAGCAGTGAGTCGGCACGTGTGGTAAGCTTCCCAACTTTGTCAAGACGCCGTCGAACACTGACACGAGGCAGTATGTTGAGGTTGATTGCGGTACGCTGCAATTTGCTCTGCAGCACGAAGAACGGCGGCTTGTTGTGGACATGTCTATCTCCGCGAGACTGGCGCAAGCGCTGGATGACTACAAGCCTCCACCAGAGGAGGTAGTACAAGATTGAATCGATAACGTCAAGAGAAGTGCGGTCATTGCGGGTTGGTGGACGGATAATGACGGGATTTGAAGGTGAAGTCTTGCGGACGTCGATGACCCTCAACGTTCGATATATATTCCACCAGACGTTCATCATCCTGCATTGACGAATGAACAGTGCTATGTCGCTGCCTCGCTGGTCCTGGAGAGCACTGCTCGAGCTCCTATTTCGTTGATTATCCTGGGGCTCGTTCTGATCGTTCCTGACGCAGCCTGGATTGTGCTCGAACCCCAGACATGAAAGTGAATAGGCCGAGCACCACCGGACGTGTCCCATCACAGTTTCGTCTTTGTCGGAGATGATTGCTCTCTTTTGCCATGATAATGCCACGGCTCCTCTTTTGGCTTGGTCTGCATCCATCGATCCATACCGTAGCTGTTGACGGCTTTGCTCTCTTTGGTGGGAACAGCTTGTTGTGGTGTTTTTGTTTTGACGGATTTTTTCTCCGGCATGACGTGTTTCAGCCAGACGTTCCTGACAAGGATGTCAGCACTGGCGGCAGTGGGGGATCGCCGTGGCACGAACTTTGGTAGTTCGAGATGAACTTTGGTTTCTCACAAGACCTTGTTGTCTCAACACTATTGCTTCATGTCAAGCACGCACTGTCTACGGTTGGGACGAATATGAGATGAGCTGACTCTGCTAGGTACCTAGACCTGACACATTTGCGCTTTATATACAGTTGGGGCATCTGCCACTCAAGGTCTGAGGAAGCCCATGGTCATGACCATCGCGAACGCCTACGGCCAGAGCGAAGCCCACGTCCCAGAACCGCGAGTCTCGCCGCCGATTTGGTTAAGACTGTCACCGTCTCAAGCAGGAATCTCGAACAGAGATCCACCTGGCCAATCAGCTATGTCTCATCTACGCAGAACGACGATCTCGCCTCGCTACCAACTTGAAGCGAAGCCCGGGGCGTTCTCCATGGGCGGGTGGAGCCTTCCGGGGCCCGGATCAACGGTGCCGCCAAAATCTGATCACCGCCAACCTCGGGACCTGCAGCCTTCCATCTGACAAGTTGTGATTGAAACATCTCGTGCAACATTTCTGTGAGGCTCAAGTTGCTGTTTAGCATCTACGAAGCGGCTGAACTAGCAGCTTATTGTACTTACTTACATTCCATTGCCAGGCACCACTTTTAATCGCCCGTATCGATCGCTATGGCGTCAGCAGCCGCAGGACCACGGGCCATGATCCAATTTCCGAAACCCCTAATGAATCTGCATCCACTTTCGACAGTTGTGTGACAGTGAATGGAATCCCACGGCATAGCTCACCATGTTGACCTTCACCTCCAGGCCCTCAGCCTCAGCATGGCCCATATCCTACCTCAATCGTTGGTAAAGCTCTGCTATCATCCGATCTGCACAAGTTCCCAATCCTGCTCACCCGACGGAAGTGGCTTTCGCGTGCCTGCCTACCGTATGTATTTTGCAGACGGGACATCACGGTCGTGCGGCAGCTACGATGTACTATAATCACGAGGGTCTCAGACAGCTGGAGACCGCGCCTCTTTTTGAACCACGCATTCTGAAATTTATCGACGTCTTCGCTGGCCGAGTAGACCTCGAAGAACTTTGCGACTACTTCCAGAATCGAACAAGGGATCAGGTACTTCAGGACCATGCGCGGCGTCAGCGAGAATGTGGGTTTCTCCCTTTACGCCAGACTACGCTGACACATATGATCTAGCGCGACCTTTGACTGATTCATGTCGCTCATCGATCGGAACTATACTGTCTTGGGTCTCCTCCAACTCGAATACATCAATCATCAGTGCCACATCAGGATCTTCAGCTGCAGGAAGCAGGCATCTGTCCAACAGCGTCCACGATGAGGGCCTTCGTGACCGTTCTTCCTTGATGAGCAGTCCTCAGCCTGCCGACCAGCCTTCGCACAATAGCCAGTATTATGCATCTCCTACGCCTTCAACATATCCAAGCACAGCGGCTGCCAACGCCAGGCCCTTGGTCTGTGTAAGGTGCGCGACGCCATGTCCGAGCAGGGATGCACTGTCGAAGCATCGCAGGCGGTTCTGTGAGCGAGTGGAACTATATTATTGTCCCAGCTGCCCGGAGTCGTTTGCCCGCCCAGATACCCTTAAGAGCCACTTTGTACGCTACCATGGGCAACAGTGTGGCACATGTCCAGCGATTGCACAGGCCACGTGTACACTTCATCTCGGCCAGGTCGATACCAACTCGAATGCTGTAAGAAAGCCTCTTCGCTCAAAAAAGGCTTGGGGATGCCCCATCTGCGTGGGTATCTGCTTCAGGTCGTGGGACGCATGGCACGAACATGAGTCGATGCACTACAAGGACATAGAATGGCGTGTTGACAACAGAAGAACGACGATGCGCATCAGAGGCTGGTCCAGCGATACTTTGATCTTCTCGCTACTCACCAGCCTCGGTGATGTCGCCCACCATTATGATTGGCAGGGATATACGTGGCCAAGGGAGGGAAAGCTTTACGATCAGCTTATAGACGCGCTTGAACGCTACACCCTGCCAAGCGAGCCTGGAGAAGCCGGAAGGAGCGCAATTGTGGACTACGTCCGCAACATAGGGTCATATTCGTCAACCAATTCACTGCCGAGGAATCCATTTGAACACCACGCCCCTGCTATCTTACCGAGCAATGACAACGCTGACCCTTCGGGGAGATACTCAACTCCCTCGAATATCCGACCCATGCGCATGGCCCCTAACATTTCAATGCCCAATCGCCGAGCTGCACCAGCGGCCTCATCGGAGGTCCAGAGTACGCAGCTGCCGCAGCAGCATCTTTTCACAGATGTCGTGCGAGCCACTCGTGATGAACTTCATCCGAAGAGAATGAGGAGCAGATCTGAAGCCGACCGCGCACGTTCTCAACTACACTCGCACCAGACACTGCCCCCTGTGCCGACCATGCCTTTTCAGTACTTGCAGCAACAAAGAGCTCCCCACCCACAGCCCGGCATGCCATCTGATGATCCGTTCCACGCCGGGTACTCGATGGCCACTGCCGGTTTGAGCTCAGAACACGCACAACACCCGTCTCACGATTCCCATGACCCAACCCTTGAACAACATGATACCCATCAGCACGGACAAACACTGCACAGCGAATTGTCGGTGAATCCCCATCTCCAAGATTATCCCAGCAATTTTGTCGATCTCGACTCGAGCCCAGATGCGTCACCAATGCAAGAGGACACCAACGACTTCGACAAAGAATTCATGGCATATGAGAATGCCAACCGTACCTAACGCGGCTGTGTCTGGACTTGCTACAACGATTGTTTACATAATGTAATGAAAGAAAAAGAATAGAGGCATGCGGCAGCCCCTGACGAATACACGCTGACCTAGTGAGGGGACGCGTTCACGAATTGAGTAAGGAAAGACCACTTCCAGTCCTTGTTATAGCCCAGCTTGTAGGTGGTCGAATTGTTCGAGAGCGAATACTCTTCGTATTTCAACCTTGAAGGCCGTGATTCCCGCCGTGATTCCCAGAACGTTCTTCTTCGGCAGTCAACCACTTTACTCGAGCCCTTGCGATCTGAGGAAGCCGACCAAACACTGCACCTCTCCTCAATGCCCCCTCCTCGTCATGCTCAGCCCGGGCAAGGCGCCGGACTCCAGTAGCTGCTCATCGCATGCGCCTGGCCACTCATTGTCACACACTCCCCGACTTTGAGCGCGTTGACGCCGCCCATGCAGCCCTGCCAGACGTGCGGCGCGGCGCACGCTTGGTTGCCGTAGAGGGTGCCTTGCTGCATGCTGCCGCTGTTGGCTTTGAGGCGGAAGGAGGCGAAGCCGGGGTTTACATATGCTGTGTGGGCGAGTCAGTATGAGTGGGATGCTGGAAGGAGGAGGAGGGGTGCTCACCGCAGGAGTCGTCCCAGACGTTGCGTTCGCCGAGAGATGCGCCGCCGCAGTTGGCTTCGGGAAACATCTCGGCGACGAAGGCGAATGCTAGGGGGGCGGTGAGGAGGAGAGGGGTGAGGATGAGGGTGCTGATGAACTTCATCGTGGAGTTCGGTGGTGAATGATTGATTGCGTTGCTGGTGCTGAACCTTTGTCTGATGGTGCTGTCGGCAAGATTGTGATAGATGACGATAATATGATGGGCTCAGAGGTAGTGTTATATACCTGCGGGCTGCGTTTCATTAGGACTGTCCGGTCATGACTTTGCGCTGCCCAAAGGTCAGGGGCTGAAGCTGCCTGTCCGTACACAAGATCGATCGGGCATTCTGTGCGATGTCATACATCATGATCTGCTGCCTTGCTTGCACCGCTGAGAAGTCTCTGCCCGCGATTCAATAGGTCGCTACGTAGTGTTTGACAATCGATCCTTCTGCTGCGCATTACCGGGACCTCTGTCAGTGCTCCAGTCTTGGTCGCCTTGTGCTACGCCGATTGCCGTCATGCTGAATAGTACGCGCGACGTTCGCAATGCGGTTGCAATGAAGCAGTCTCGTCCCCAAATAGACCACATATCAAAATTGAGGACATCCGAGATTCGGGCGTTGATTCGTGGAGAGGAGAGTTTCCGCCCCTTCCATCGCTGTCTCACATCCATTCCTCTAGCCTACCTTCTTGGCGCACGTTCGTCTTGCCAGTGGCGGAAGCGTCGCTGGAGTGTATATTGCAGGATTTGGGGTCAGGTCCGCCTTCTGGCATGATGGCACTTGGTAAAGGCAGCCGACGATGTCTAGATTAGCGAGCATGAGCGCCTTGGGCGATGGCATTCCGTCGATCATGGTACTACCTCAGACCGTGATGGAGTGGAAGTCACAGGTCCTCGCTGTGATCGTCTTGGCTTGGGGCCAAGCTGAGCGGACCTCGCTCTGCATACCGAAACATCGCTTCGACCTCGGGGGACTGGCGCAGGGTGCGGCGAGCCTGTTTCAGCGGGACTCATCACGTCATAGTACGGCATGCGCCAGACAGAGGTTGATGCAAGTTTCCTTGAGCTCGCGGAAGTTGGCGCATCCAGTGCTCGGCTGGGGACATGCATGCATCGATGGATCGAGGGATCACACACTCGAAAAGCGTGCAAGGACAGGAGAAGTGAGCAGCGGAAAGAGATCGGTGGCTTGCGTTTTACAGATGGGCGTGCTGCTCCCCGCCGTAGTTCCGAGTTCGTCGCCTACACTTTCTATTCCAGGCTTAGATCCATACCCGCAAGGCAACCACGGTCAGAGCTCAACCCCCGGCCTAAGCTACCCAATATTCGAGAGTGCGAAAACCACAAGCACACCTTCGGCCTCTTGCATCGGCCTCTCATTGCGTAGCTGCCATGTCCTGTGGGCGCAAAATGACTGCTGACGACCATACTGTCCCCGGGTTGCTGTGCCATCGAAAGAGGCAGGTCTCTCCGAGAACTGGCCTGCGGAGGTGAGCGCCTTTCCCCAGAAGATGCCGTGTCTTTCGTCACCGGGCCGGACATGACCTATATTTGCCCTTTCCAATCGTCCACTACCTCGTCGCCCATGTCGTGCTTGAACCAAAGGACTGCATCTCGATCACCATTGCCAGATAGCCCAACATGCCGCCCCTCACGGAAGAACGCACAGCCGCCATCACCAAAGCCGTCAACGACAATTTCGATGCCCAGCTCAAATACACTCAGAAGCTCGTGCAATTCGGCGGCCAGCGCGGCGAGGAGGCCTCCGTCCAGGACTTTGTGTTCCAGCAATATGCCGACCGCGGCTTCGATCCAGTCAAGTTCGCCATGGTGGAGGACGAACTGAAGCAGCACATTGGCGCGGGCAGGTTTTCGGCTACGCATTCGAAAGCGCCGGTTGTGGTGGGTGTGCATAAACCGAAAGGGCAAGCGAAGGGCAAGTCCTTGATTCTGAATGGACATATTGATGTGGTGCCGTTGGGCCCGGTGGATATGTGGACGCATGACCCGTATTCGGGGCGGATTGAGGGGGATAGGCTGTATGGACGTGGGGCGGGGGATATGCGTGCTGGGTGTGCGGCGAATGTGTTTGCGTTGGACGCGTTGAAGAAGTGTGGGCTGCAGCCGGCGAGTGAGGTTATTTTGCAGAGCGTGGTCGAGGAGGAGAGTACAGGGAACGGGACCCTGATGGCGCACTTGAAGGGGTATAGGGCGGATGCAGCATTGATTCCGGAGCCAATGCAAGGGCAGTTGGTGAGGGCAAATGTGGGGGTGCTGTGGTTCCAAATTGAGGTCAGAGGGAAGCCGGTGCATGTGCGGGCAATGAGTACGGGAACAAACGCGATTGATAGCGCATGGCGGGTGGTGGGAAAGTTGCGAGAGTTGGAAGAGGAATGGAATCAACGGCACGTGAGTGCCAGGTTCTTCGAGGAGGAGAAGCATCCATTGAGTGAGTTCCGAACTCTTCCCACCCTCTTCTCAAACAAATTACTGACAGGCTCGAGACCTCAACGTTGCGATCGTGAACGCAGGCGACTGGGCTTCATCCGTCCCCGCCTGGTGCCGCATCGACTGCCGCATCGCCATTGTTCCCGGCGTCACGGCCAAAGACGCAGCCGCCGAGATCGAGAAATGTGTTTTCGACTACGCCAAGTCGGATGCCTACCTGTCGCAGAACATGCCAACCATCACCTGGAACGGCTTCTTCTCGGAAGGCTACGTCCTGGAGCCTGGCTCGGATGCGGAAAGCGTGCTGCGCAAAGCGCACAAGACGGCGACAGGGGAGGAGTTGACGACACAGACCTCGACGGCGTATATCGATGCGCGGGTGCATAGTCTGTATGACAAGGTGCCGGCAATGGTGTACGGGCCGGTAGCGGGTGATATTCATGGGTTCGACGAATGGGTTAGCATTGAGAGTGTGAGGAGTGTTACGGTAGCGATGGCGCTGTTTATCGCCGAGTGGTGTGGTGTGGAGGAGGTCTAGACGGAGATGAGACATAGCCATGCCTCATCTTGTCTTCCAGTCGAACGCCCTCTCCCAAGCTGCCCCGACTCTGTAGATCATCTCCTCCTGAAACATGCCTCCCACAATTTGCATACCAACAGGCAACATGACACGCTCATCGTCCTCCGCTGGCAGGAATCCGACCGGCAAGCTCATTGCCGGATGTCCACTCGCATTGAAACATACCGTGTTGACGGCAACACCTCGACTTTTGCCCATTTGCTCCGCGGGCCCTGCATGGGGTTCAGCATGCCGATTCGCCACATATGGCGTCGTCGGCGTGATAAGCACGTCAACTTGCTCCAGAGCAGCATCGTACTCATCCTTGAGCCGGCGATATAGGTTCATGGCTTTGCCGTAGAGGGTCGGATGCCGGTTCCATACATGCAAGCCTGCTATCAGGCTGAATTTCGATGTGGAGAACATCTTGTCGAATTTGTCTTGAGTCAGTGGGTGCATTCTTTCTGTGAGCCCCGTCAGGTAAAGACCTCGCCGACCGCAGGCTTTGCCGAGATAGGCTTGTTGGGAAGCTGTTGGGCGCAAAGCACAGTTTACGATGTGCCCGGCTTGCGTGTGTAACGGTATACTGACCGAGACCACCTCTGCGCCGAGCGTTTCGAACAGGTCTGCAGCCTCGCAGACTTTCTGCTTCACGCGTGGGTCAATGACTGAGAACTCGAAGCCTTCGCGTAGGATGCCGATCTTGAGCCCATGAACACCTTTGTTCAACGATGCTGAGTAGTTTGGTACATGCCTGGGGAGTGGCGCAGCAAATTGCCTATCATCAATATCATCTCGTCCAGCGATCGCTTGGAGCACTTTGGCATTCAGAGCGACGGTCTTTGTCATGGGCCCAGCTGTATCGTGCACCGGATCATGCGTCATGACACCCGTCCATGGTACAAGACCCCAAGTCGGCTTCATGCTACTATACCACAGTAGCTGGCAGGAAACCTGATCGAGCCACCTTGATCACCACCTATGCCTGCGTCAACAACGCCGGCACCAACTAGGTGTCCGCACCCGCTCGACGAGCCGCCTGTCGTATAGCCTGCGGCATATGGGTTCTCTACTGGTCCTGTTGCCGCTGAGAAGGATGACGCACAGAGTGATAGATTTTCGCAAACTGCTTTGCCCTCGATCGCAGCCCCAGCTTCCAACAGGCGTGTGACGACCGTAGCGTCTGTATCGGGAACGTAGTCCTCAAACATGTTTGTGCCGACGAGCATAGGCACATTCTTGACAGCAATGTTGTCCTTGAGTGCGACTGTAACACCTGACAGTGGCAGATCATCACCCCTGTCACCCTCGATCCTGGCCTTCCACGCCCATGCGTTGCCCGAGTTGTGTTCTGGTGATGGCCTATGCACGTTCCGACGTGGATACCGGGCCAAGTCCACTGCTGGAACGTAGTCGGACAGTGCCTCGACAGCGTCAATGGATTCTTGCACGGAGGCAATGAGATCGTGCCATTCTGGGACATCACTGTCTGGTAGGCTGAGATTCAATGACGAGACGATATCAACAACATCCTGCTCTGTGATCTTGGCTTTGTTGACTTCTGATGCTGTTGTCAAGGTTGCCATGACGCCGATCACGAGTGCCAGAGCACGGACAATGTTGTCGCTGTTGTGATTCCAGTGACCTAAGGCGGCAGACTAGGTTGGTGAAGACCTTGGGCGAGACGTTCCTTCACACCCTTCTCGCATAACGAGTGCCATCTCGCATCGACGGAAAGCCATGCGCCTTCCTTGATCTGCTATATCGCAGGGCGTTCGTTGTATTGTTGTTGCATGCGAAATGTGTCACAAACCTTGAAGATAGAGATAAGGTCTCAATTCGCCAGGTGCGCGCTTCTCCGAGCGCCAAGGCCGTCTTGTCCATCGTCGTTCAGTGTGATATCTGTGTCAGCAATAATGGTACTGCCAACGCGAGGACGCGTTTCAAACACCATGGCGTCCGGATCAGACTCTTCGACCTCGGAGTCGAGCTCGCATTCGTCAGAGAAACGGCTGCGGATAGTTGCGTTGGAAGCTCAATTTGGAGCTATCCCAGACTTCGACATCTGCAATGGCGACTACGAGATCATCGTGTATGATTCGACGCCCAGGAACTCGGAGGCTGTACTCAAGGAACGCTTGCGGGATGCAGACGTGGCGATCATTACCACAATACCGATGAACAGCGCAACACTGTCTCGAGAAGTGACACCGAACCTGCGTGCCATCATGATCATGGCCGCAGGAACTGATCATGTTGACCTGGAGACGTGTAGGAAGCGCGGCATACGCGTGCTCAACTGCCCCAGCGCAAACAGTGAGACAGTCGCAGAGCACGCCGTCGCCTTATACTTTGCGATTCGTCGCCGAGTCGTTCAGACTCACCAATTGACTGTACAGGACTCGTGGGCGGCGCAGAAAACACTCCTGGGAGTCTTAAAAGACAACAATGGCCGACCACCGGTAGGCTTGAGTCAGGAGAGGGTAGGGATAATTGGATATGGGCGTCTTGGTAAGTGCCGTTCATCTCGTTTGCGTGCCAGCACAGCTGACTTTTGTAGGTCAGCATATCGCTAAACTGTGTAGTGCTTTGGGCATGACCGTCAGCATTTCAGATCGCAAAGGGGCGGCTGTTGAACGACAGGACATGTCTGCCATTCGGGATGGGCGATCGCATAAACCCGAAAGGGTGCAGCGATCAAGCTTCGCAGATACACTGACACAATCCACCGTGCTCTTCATTTGTGTGCCACGCAACACAGCAACACTCAACATGGTTGCCTCGATGGAGTTAGCTCAGATGGCGTCGCAAGCTCTAGTCGTCAATGTCAGTCGTGGTGGGATCGTGAATGAGACAGATCTTCTGCAAGCACTGAAAGCACGACAGATTGCTGGAGCGGCGACGGACGTCTTCATAGAAGAGCCTGCGTGTGCGGGAAATTCTGTGTTGATCAAGGCACTAGCTCAAGAACAAGCTCGTGATCAGGCTGCCTCGTCAATCCCACTGGTGGTGACGCCTCACACAGCATGGTACAGCCAGTCGACCATGTCTAATCTGACTGAAAGTGTCAAGGAAAATCTTGAAGGATGGTGGCGGGATGCATGTCCGCAAGAGAATATTGTCCTTTGACATGTTGTCACGGGCGGCTCGTGCATCATCAGCGGAGCAGTGCTGGTCTGGATGGATGGGACGTAGTTGCCTCCAAGTTCATGAAACTTCCTGTGCACTTCAGCAGCAACGCGTGACGTCACGCGTCAGAGCTTGGCTTCTTAGAAATCAAGACCTAGGCATCGATTTCGAGATTCTTTCGTGGTTCTCGCTTTCATAACCCGAACCGACTGTGTTTACTTGCCTCCTCGACTCATGCCTCCAATCCGTCGATCTGTGGGAGCGCGCCTGCGACTGCTGAGTATCTGAGGCCTAGTGCGACTGCTCTTGATCCTGCTGACACGCTGGAGTAAGAGAATTTGTAGGTAAAGTAGCCTCTCCGATCAGTCACGGAAGAATCCATTGCTTCGCAGAAAGGGTACACACGATACCAGCCGGTGTGCGAGGCGGTGTCCAACATGACTCGAGCCAGGCGGAGCGTTGCCGCAGAGTCGGAGCTCAGCGCACATGCAGATAAAGTGGGCCGAGCCTTGGAATTTCCCTTGTTCCTGACCCGTAACGCGTACACCCTGCAGGACCCTGCCAGGTGAGGTCTTGCCGCCTGACGCTGCAACTCATGCTATCAAGCATGGAACATCGAGTTTCGCACCGGCCCAGCGTCGGCTCTGTTGCGACATAACCTTGCGGGCGAAACCTTTGTGCGATGCCTGTTGACTATTGTACAGCCAACCCAGGGCCCGCGCGAGACTTACAGCTGTTGACCTTACCTGTACCCAACAGGTCTGACATTCGTACAGCATGGCGACGATTACTGCGACGATTCAGCACGTGTCCGTCACCGGATCAAAGAGTGATCATCCCAGCGGTGACCCAAGTCTGGCATTCCCGGACGACGATCAAACACTCCCACCAGTGTTCACAGACAAGTTTGCTGAACGAAAGCATTTGAAACATCGTCTTGCACTTGCATTCCGGATCTTCGGTAAACATGGTTTCGGCGAAGGGGTTGCTGGTCATGTCACGCTGCGCGATCCTGTAGACCCGCACGCTTTTTGGGTCAATCCTTTCGGACTGGATTTTTCGCTGATCACGGATGACGACCTCATCTTGGTGAACTCCGAGGGCAAGGTCATCGACGGTGGCAGGAATAGGTTGCTGAATTACGCGGCTTTCGCCATACATTCCGAGATTCACGAGGCTCGGCCTGATGTTCACTGCGCAGCGCATTCGCACAGTCTGTGGGGACGTGCATTCTGTGCCACTGGTCGTGAACTACAGATGCTCTCGCAGGACGCATGTGTGTTCTACAAGGACCATGCGCTGTATCGGACATTCGCCGGCGTAGTCCTGGACTCAGATGAGGGCAAGCACATTGCCCAAGCCTTGGGCAACAAGAAGGCTCTGATCTTGGCCAATCACGGCCTTCTGACGGCCGGTAACACCATTGAAGAGGTTGTCGCGTGGTTCATCCTTCTGGAGAAGCTATGCCACAACCAATTGGTTGCTGATGCAAGCACGCAAGGGACGGGCTGCCCGCTTGTGGAGATAGCACGGCAGAGGCCCAGAGTACCTGGGAAGCGTTAGGTCACAGTAAGGCTGGGTACTTCATGGGTCTACCACAGTTTCAGAGAGCTGAGAGGGACGAGTTCGGCGAAAGGACGTACTTGGGCAAGGGCATCGAGGCATTGTAGAGTTTTAACCACGGTCATGTAGCGTGATCAAAAAACGTCTTTTGAACACAGTTTTGCTATCGCAACACTAGAGATCACCTCTCAAGACGATGATCAGACCTGAGACATCGAGTTGACAAATTCTAATTCAAGCTCTGCGTGACACAGAAGTCTTGATACACCATACCACAGATCCATTCCACGACCGGTTCGTAGAGCAGCATTTTGCTTTGCGCACCCTTCATAGCTCCCAGCATGGCCACCCAATTGAGACACTCGTGACCGCCGTGACCGGCCTCTTCCTCCACTTCCTCGTACGTGAGCTTTTTCATCCACTCCGCATCTCCAGCAGAGTAACGGTCCATGAACATACGATCCCAGTCCCAATTGACCAGGGGATGCTTTGAGTTGAGGGGATATTCGTTCTTCTTCGCCATCTCGACCTCGTAGTCGTCGAAGTCTACGAAAAGCTTCGGATCTTCCTTCAAGTATGCCTTGCCTTCCGTCTGGAACCGCTTGATACGTTGCAGAAACGGGTCGGCAGGTGGGTCTCCTGCTTGTGCGGGACTCCAGTATGGCGGCCAATGTGACAGACCACCTGTGCACATGAAGGCAACCTTCGTATCTGCAGGGAATGCAGTCTCAACACCTTGACGCACAGCCTCGCCGAGTGTATAGGCTCGCTTATACGGAATGAGAGGTGGCGTGAATACATTGATGAAGATAGGGATAAGTGGCACGCCCGCCAGCGATTGTTCGACCCCCATCAGCTTCCAGGGCATGAGCAGGTTGTTTCCGTACTCGCAGGGTCCCGCGCGAGCTACGTCGAAGCCTTGCTCCACGAGACTGCCGAGAAGTTTCTCAGCCAGCTCTGGTGCTCCGGGAAAGACGGTCTTCTTGTCGATTCGGAGTGTTTCCATCCACTGATCTGCAGGACCAACGTGTTCGTCCGCAATGCCCATGACCACGGATGGACAAAGATTGCGATAGAAATTCTCAAAGTGGTCATCGAGGAAAGCCACGATCACATCAGGTCGTGACGACTCGAGGGAGATGCCGAGCGATCGTGTTGCGTCTTCAGTACGTTGGCGGACCTCAGGGTCGGCAGTCTCTGGGAAGGCAAGCGCTCCGGGGGCGTGGGACAATCCAACCGCGGCCACGACTTTACCCATTGCTGAAGATTCGCTGATGTCTGTAGATGGTACTGAGGAATATCTGAGGACCAATGTGAAGGCAGTCAAGATGTCTCTTTGATATCTGAATGCAAGACAACGTCGGCTGGATGATCGAGCTTTGGCTGAAGGTATCAGGGTAGGTTAGCCTTGGTGCACGATATGATATGCCATAACGTTTGTCGAGATTATTTCACTACGTCTGGACCCTGGACCCCGATAGCTTCAAGCGACACAGCGTTGCGAAGCCACACCGTGCACCATACGGCTATCGATCGCTAGTACTTGGTCCGCTACTGGCTGAGTACCTCAACCACTTAGGGTCGGCGGGGTGGGGGTGGAACGGCAGGTGGAGATCAAGGAAAAAGGCGTAGTCCGCAGCTGCTGTTCATGGTGGTGCGCTTTTCTCCATGTCGTATTGTGGCACTGATTGCTTCCGCATCGCCATGGGACATGTGGTCTCAGCTAGGTGTTTCGACTGCAACGGTGTGACTGCATGTAGCAGTCAAGCCGAGCCAATGCAATACTCAGTACCATGTGCTACGGTGTGCATTCGCGATGTGGCATGTTGGCATCTAACCCCAAATAACACGTCTGCTTCAAATTATTAGAGGATCGCAAATGCAAATTGCGAACCGCAGTGCTTTTGCAACTCACAATGGCGCAGTGCAAGAGCGTCCTGGTATTTGGTGCCACAGGACTCGTTGGCACTCATATCATGCGCCATTTGCTGGCCAAGAAAGCCAGATTCGACCGCATTGCCGTGTTCACATCTCGCAACACCGTCGAAACAAAATCCGAGGTGGTTGCCCAGCTGAAGGCGGAAGGTGTGGAGGTGATATGCGGCGAACTCACCAACGCCGACGATGTCAAGCACGCATATGAAGGTACGCTTAACCTCTTGAGATCTGCTGAAGAAGTTCAAGGTCTGACGCGGCAAGCACATGAGCAGGCATCGACACTGTAGTTTCGGCCGTGGGTAGGAACATGATCGAACGGCAGATCGAGTTGATACGGTTGGCGGATGAGGCGACTAGCGTCTCCTGGTTCTTTCCGTCCGAGTATGGCACAGACATCGAATTTAGCTCAAAGTCAGCCCATGAAGTGCCGCACCAGAAGAAGCTCAAAGTCCGTGCTGCAATCCGAGGCTGTCAAAACCTTGACTACTCGTTCCTCGTGACAGGGCCTTACGGCGATGGGGATCCAGGTTTGTATTTCAGCTCAAATACTGGTGCGGAAGAAGCCGGCAGCTTCGATGCGACTGCACGAGAAGCTGTTCTGTTGGGGGATGGTAACGTCCCCATCAGCTTCACGACAATGAACGAGTATGTTGTCCACGACCACACATGAAAGTACACCACGCTAATGTGGTCACTCTTTCCTGCAGTGTGGGGAAGTTTCTGGTACTCGCCTTGCTCCATCCAGCGGCGAGTCGTAACAAAGTCCTCAAGGTGAACTCTTTCACCACGACAGATCATGAGATCCTTGCCGAGTTCGAGGCTCAGACTGGTGGGACATCGTGGAGAACGAGGTACACGAGTATCGACAAGCTCAAAGACCTGGAAGCCGCTGCATGGACGGCCTCGAACCCCTTAGCGACCCTGTTCACCCTGAGGAGGATCTGGGCGGAAGGAGGCACTTTGTATAGGCAGCGAGACAACCACAACATCGACGCTGAACATGTGGTCGACACTTTGGCGGACGCTGTGGCCGCTGCGATCCTTGTTCAAGCGCAAGGCGAGAAGGAAGTCAAAAGGAAATTGACCTAAACATCCTCGACGACGGACGATGCGCCGATTGTGCTCCGTGTGAGACCAGCGGCGATATAGCCTAGGTTGATCCGCAGTCTTCTTCCGATGACCTGATCGGAGAGCCGTCTGAATGTATCCCGCATGCCTTCCATGCCTGGCCACTTCTCTGCACAAAATGCGAGGAGCATCAGGCATGAGTTGGAGATCCGGAGAACGTCGTCTAAATGGATATGAGATGTCTCCTCGACGAATTCAGGACATGCTTCATCGATGACTGACTGAAATACCATGTCGTCATCCATGGAGAGTATGCAATATGCCAAGATCATCATGCTGGCGGTGAAGATGTAGTGCGCGGACATGAAAGTGATTGGATAGCTGCCAAGAATCGTTTTGCGATGCGCCATCAGAATTTCCTCATATGTCTCTATCAAGCAGGTAGCAGATTTGAAAATTTCAGCGGGCACATTAAAGACAGTCTGTGCTACTTCTGGTTGACTCTGCTTGGTGGTGTTTTTGTGAGCCAGGGCTTCGAGAACCAGTGGTTGAAAGACGAATAGAACTGTCGAGTGAAACGCCACAGTACATGTTAGTGAGGCGACCGTGGTAGAGGTAGATAGGTCAGATCTGCTCCGGCGGTACCAGTCTAGTATTGGCCGGAGCTTGTCCTGATACCAGGACAGAGGGCGTTGACCATGTACGTGCTCGGCCAAGTACATGTCCGAGAAGATAGACGATCGGAGGTAGACCAATTGGTAATGGTGACGCGTCTGCACGAGTGTATGCACCTCTACGTCGTGAACCGACTGCGGAAGGCTCAAAATGATGGGGAGCTCTGTCGAGATCATTGACTCGGGGAGATCTGAAGGTCTTCCGAAAAGCTGACCAATAATTCTCTCGATTGAATATAGGCTCCAGAAAGTATACTTTTGCTGCTCCTGCTGAGCCAAGGGCATCGTGATGTCAGGTTCTCTGTGGAAGCCAAGTTCCAGGCAAAGACGACAAGCGTAATCGAGTAGTTTCCAGATGTCTCCCTTGCGTGGGCGGAGAAGACAGTAGATAATCAGAAGCATGAGTGCCTGGAGTGAGTCAATAGAGACTTCCGAAGTGACCTTTGCGACACATTTGACTGCGCCAGCAACAGTGGATTAGCCTTCTGATCACAGTCTTTGACCCGGACAATCAAAGAGATTTGGTGACATGAAGCATGTACAAGACGCCCAGGACGACTACTCACCAGCTTCTAAGTAGCAACCATGATCGCAAGCGATGCGACTGGCATCGTGTCGCGATCGACTAGCACTTGCGATTGCTGCGATGATCTTTATTCGAAAATAGCGGTGGGCTGTTTGACCCTCCAAAGTCTCGGGGTCAGCCGCCCTTGATTCCGTGTCCCAGTACGCCTCAAGGTCGGAGCGAATAGCTACTGCGTCCAGAAAAGGGTACAATGGATGAATGGATGCCATGAACAAGTCCAGCGACTTCTCGACCATATCCTTTGTGACGATGCAGTTGCAGCTTCCGTGGAAGTCGCTATGCTCCATATCGATGGTACTTGCACGTTGAGGAGTTTTCAGACCGTACGCAGAATCGCCGCTTACCCGCGCTGCAGTAGCGACCGTGAGTGCGAAGACGGAGCTGGCACCAAAATACCTCAGATCCGATCCTTGCGGCGTGTTGACCGGATAGTGGGTGCCGTGGCAAATACGATGTGGTTCCTGCGCCGAGTCCCTTTCTGCAAGGCTTGGAGTACTATGATTCGTCTGCGTTCCTGTGTTGAGCACGTCTGACAGAGGAGCTGCCTCTGGAAAACCTGGAGCAGGCACTGACTCGGAGATGACTTGTGATGCGCTTTTCGTCGCCTTCTGTTCCTTGAGCCGATGCAGCGTCTTCAGTAGTGATTGAATGTAGCTGAGTGTGTCAGTGACCCTCTTGGGATGGAACGATCTGTCCTACCTTCGCGGCAATACTTGCTCTACGTTGTGGTCATAGAACAAGCACTCAATCCCAAGCCTTTTGCAGCGACTGCATGCCGGCAAGTTTGTGTCGCATCTGCGTCGACCCTTTTTGCACTTCTGGCAGCTCGGCAACATCTTCAACGCAGCGGCAAGAGAATCGAAATCATGGACGGCGTCGGCAGATGTCTCGTCGCCCGGCTCCGGCTGGTCCAGGCCATCATCAGCGTTGGTCATGGCGCCAAGGGCGACACTGATCGCCATCAGTCGAGAAGTGTCTCGATACTACTCAATGCAATGTACTGCAACGTTGTAGACGACATCTGATCGTATCGCCGCTCGGACAAAACGATAGCAACACCACCGCCTGGAGATGGAATGGGCTCGATGTCGGAGGAGTTTTGAACAGAACTTAAAACCCCGAACCTCAGAAATCTTGGCACTCTTATCACTAGCTTCGAGTAAGGTGCATTGCAATGCATTGGCTCGACAAACAGATTCCCGCAGACGAGCGAAGCCGACAGTGCATTAACTTCATTCTACTGAAGTGCGTTGATAGAGTCTTGTTAATCATTGTAATACCGGATCTACGGAGCGACATGTGGAGCTGTGGGCAGTGCTACTTGATCTAGATCCATACCTTCCCAGCTAAACTGGTCGGTGCCGTCGAAAGCTTCTAGGAACCAATCATCCGTCATCAGGTTGTCCATGTCCATGTCGAAATCGAAGTCGGGCATGCGAGTCGCGGCTGCTCCGGCAAAGAGGCTGTCCAGGGTCGTCGTTCGTGGCAATAAGAAGTTGTTCAGTTCTGAGTCTAGCTCGGTCGGATAAACGAGAGACGCTGCTGGCACTTTCCGAATGACAGCTGTCAGCAATGGAGCTAGCAAGTTCTCAAAACTAGCCGCGAAGTTGGAGATTTCGGTCCAGCCATGCGCAGATATCGCCAACAGGTTCGTGGTGAAGGACTTCATCATGTCGAAGATCTCTGCCGGAGCATGAGCACCGACGATGCTGTCGTAGGCGTGTCGCAAGGCAAAGACGGCAGTCATCGCTGTCTCAGCAGTCTGATGGGATGTGAGCCACATCCTCCGAAGTACCCCACTGCCAATCTGTTCCCGGTGAAAGACTGCCAATCTGCATGCTGCCTCGAACGCCGCAATCAGGCTTCCACTTACCGGCATCGGAACCCGGGGAGACGGACGGTGAAGGCGAAGTAAACAGTACTGTCGTGCGAAATCTGACTGCGAGTCTGATTGAACTTCGTTGTGGTACAGTCGATCGATCGCTTGCTCCATGGATATAATCCAATCTGGCCAACTTTGAGCAATAGGCTTGCCCTGGAAGTGCACTTCAACCAACTCGGACTGTATGCGATTGTACTTAATGAGCTGAATAGCATCTCTGGACACCTTGTAGTCAACGGAAGAGCCTTCGGCATTCCTGCTTTGCATGTCGCAGCAGCTTGGATAGATAGTGTTGATACTCAAGTCAGGGATAGACATGGGTAGCTGTAAAGCAGGTGAAATGGTGCGATCCATCGAGTCTGATGTTGCAAGCAAGTCAGCGTGTGGCTATGCAAAGTATTCATGGTTCAGTCACAGTGACAGAGTGCGACGAGACCATGCCTGCGTGCTGCTTGCTCGGGCAATGCATCATAGATGTGAACAAGATTCGTGGGAACTCACATGCCATCCAAAATATCCGCCGCCTCTTTTCTATGGCTCGGACGTCTTGGCTCTGATGACCGATGATCTCGCGGTGCATGCCCAGGTCTATACATGACCGCATCGCGGCCCCGGCGAGAATCCAGATGTTGCCGCAATTAGGATTGATTTCGGCATAGAGTAGCATCAGTAAATTCGCCTGGATTCCAGCTAATTCGTTTGGAAATAGAGATGGAGCAGACAAATGTGCGCAGCCCTCACGAAAGAGAATCTCCGAGAAGGCGATACACCTGGACTCATGCTGACTCTTCGCGCATCCCAAAGTGGAGGAGATAGCCAGTACGATATAGATCACCAGAAAGTCGAATGATGGCTGTACGCATTCGGCGGATCTGCCAGCCTCTGATTTGCGTAATTTGGCAAGTACGGCGTTAAGGTGGTCCGTGATCTCTGTTGCAAGTAGGATAGCATCTGTGGCACCACATGCCGCACAAACTTGCGCGTAAGAGCGTTGATGACATTGTCTGGTAAGGTCAACAGAGTCGAGCATTCCACGCGATTGCTGTCGACAGAGACTGACACGACCCCACGACGACCTTCTGGACTTGTGCCTGATATTGCTGGGAGGACGGAGGAGGGGGTCAGACCCATGCGCACTCGAGATACCAGATCCGTTAAGCTGGGATCAATTGGTGTGGTGGCCCCGACAATGGCAGATATGGCCGGGCTGTTGATGAACTCAGCCTCTGGTCCACCATCTCTGCCCAGCACTTGAGCTGTCCTTAGAGTATTGGTCCGTACTGAGTCTGTGGTCGCATGTACAGGAGAGGTAGACGGCAGCGATGGTTGTGCGTCAGTTGAGAGCTCAATCTCAAGCTTGGCGATTGCGGACTCAAGAAACTGAACGACGCTTCGAGGCACGTCAATGTCCTGGTTGGCGTTGCTGAAGCCAGCACAAGTGGCTTTCGCCGCACTGCATTGGCCACATACTGGAATGACTCTGTCGCACTATTCTGTAAGCTTGGCTTGCAGGCCAATCTGGAGGATGTCATACTTTGATCTTACGTTTCCGGCACCGTGCGCACGACAAAACCCTCCTCGGACAGCTGGGAGCGTCCCTAGCCATGACAACCTGCCTTTACTGCAGAGCTGCTTCTACTAGCGCAGATACGTGAAGATGCGCCATGTTCCGCCGTGCTGCAATCGTGCGTCCGAATTCATTAACGGGACGCTGGGGCTCGGCGCCCGGCGCATTATTCAGGGCTGGTGGACACGTTCGCTGTAGCCTCCTCGATCACAGCTCCACATCGTGCTTGAGGAGACTACTCGACCTGCGAACATCGTGGGATGCGCCTTCGTGAAAGCAGCTGGAGTGTTTTGAGATAAGACAGTGGGGCTTGTTTTGACGGAGTCGGAGTCGACCGCAGGCTTGGCACAGGCAGCAGAGCCGGTGGAGTTGAACGCCGTAAGGGTCCGGCTTTGGCTCTTCGACCTTGCGACACCCACCAGCAAGGGCTCGAGCAGTCTCGGCGCCACCATGTGCGATAGTTCCGGAATGCAGGTGGAACTCGATAGCATTCTGCGAGACTAGACAGCCGAAGCACTAGTCGTTTGAACAAGTCAATGTGTTTTTCTGGGCGGTGTACAGCGCAGCAAGCGCCTTTGGCAGCTCCAGGTCCGCACATTATGCCATTCGAAGCCAAAGAAATGTGCTTCATTGTACCAGGTCGGACGTCGGGCCAGCGAGGCTTGGCAGAGGTCTCACTGGATTCGAATATCTCGAGCCCAGCAGGTAGATATTGACCTGGAGCATTGCTTGCCAGTGCCGAAAGCAACGACAACATGGGCTTTACGAACGCTAGAATCGCCATCATTGGCGGCGGCCTGGGAGGCATGGCATTCGCCAATGCTGCCGTCCATGTAGGGCTTACCAATATCGATGTCTACGAATCCGCACCACAATTCACAGAAGTCGGCGCTGGTGTTAATATCACCAGGAATGCAAATCGAATACTGGACGCTTACGGGCTCAAGCAGGCGATGCTGTGGAAATCCTCCAGAGATCCGCCATGCTATATGGAGTATCGGCACCAGAAGACCGGCGAGGTTATGGGGCAGATAGACGAATTCGGGCAACCATCGTCAAGACAGATTCATCGCGCCCATCTACTTGATGTCCTCAAAGAACGTCTTCCCTCTTCAATCCTACACACGGGAAAGCGTTTGCGCTCGATAGAGTACACAGGCTCTGAGTATATATTGAGCTTCGAAGATGGCTCCGTCAGCACAGCAACGATCATCATTGGCTGTGATGGCATCAAGTCGGTGGTCAGGCAGCACCTAGGCATAGGAGACTCCCCAAATTACTCGGGACAGGTGGTCTACAGAGGCTACGTGCGCTACGAGGACCTCTCACCGGAGGTTGCAGCTGTGTACCGGAAGACAGTGATCTTCCGTGGCCACCGGAAGCATATCTTGACGCTGCCAATAGGCAACGATGAGTCTCGTACTTCCAGAATCGGCGTTATTGGCTTCGCGAGCGAGCCTCTCAGCGAATGGAAGTCCGAAAGCTGGATGGCTACCGCTCCTATAGACAGTCTACACGAGCACGTCAGAGACTGGGCTTCACCAATTCAGGAGCTCATACAGGGATTGCGGAAGAATCACACGGATGGCAGAATGTTGAAGCAGGCGTTGTACGTCCGCGATCCAGTCGACAAGTGGTTCCACGTCGAAGAGTCGAATCCGGCGCATGGCATTGTCCTCGTGGGCGACAGCGTTCACTCAACTCTGCCACATCAAGGTATGTTTATGATCACCCTGCTTCCAGTGCTGGTAGGTCTGAAAGCTGACTGTGTTGATAGGCCAAGGGACTTGTATGGCTATCGAGTCTGGCATCGCTTTGGCTACCATTCTTCGTAACTGGGGCTCGGATGACCTTGCCTCGAGCTTCCAACTCTACAAGGACATTCGCAAACCACGCACCGATAAGGTCACCCAGACGAGTTACGAAGCAGGACTGTTGGCATCTGCAGACCTGCCTGAGTCTTTTACTGAGACATTCCGACCAGAGTTGTTGAAAGAGCGAATGAGATGGATCATGGAAGGCGACGTTCTAGCCGAGGTTTATCGGAGAGGTGCGCCTTTCTTTGCTAAGCAGCAGGCTGCACCTGCCGTGGGTGAGGCGAAGGTGCAGGTGCAAGCTAGTTTGTGATATCGCATAGTTACTAGTGTTTAGTGGCAGCCTCCAACCCGTGCGCTCCAGCAGTCTACCTAGGTAAAATGATATCTTGTTGGGTCGTCTCTGTATTGGCAGTGATGCCCACCTGTAATTGTCACGCCTGTCTGACCAATGAAGCTGTTGGTTCAAGCGACCAGCGGTTTCTCCAACTCATGTTGCAGGGGGCGCGGCCTCTGGAAGAATCGCCCCGAGCGCCTGGAGCACCATTTTCCAGGGGCGGGGTTTACTCCGGGTTCAAGTTCGAAAAACGCTCCTGACTTAAGGTTGTCCACGGTGCCAACAAACGTCCAGCTCTAGGGCTGTACCTGTACCTATGCATCTGTAACCGGCAATGTTACCTCGGGATATCTGTGAGAAGCTTATGGTCAACATGATTTTTATTGACTGAAAACATCTATGTTTGTATATGAGAGCTCGAGCTCTGCGACGGTGGCTATGAGGGAAGCATCCTAATTCCATGTGCCACGCATGAGTCAAACCTCCCCGAGAGTAATGAAATTTTCCGTGTCCGCCGACTCTTTGAACCCACGTCTTGCGTGAACGCGTGTCCATGTCCCACAACACAGCAGCTGTTGTCTGCTTGACTCAAACACCTGATACCACTTTCTCTGAGGCATCGGCCGACTTGTGGTCAGCATTGTCAGAGTCTTTGGTATACTCTCGACTGACACCATCCATATACTCAAGTGTCTCCTCGCCTGTGATTCCGGTGCCTATCGGCTCGACTTCGTGCCAGGTGGTAGCATTGCCGCCGGGAACGGGCGACAGGAGACAGAGTCCCCAGTACGCAACAGCACCCAGGAAAACCCCGAGCGGGAATCCAAAATAGCCGAGATATTGACCGCCCTTGCTGACACTTTTGACGCCACAAGTGTGCAAGAACCCTGGAATGGCTGGTATCATGCCAATGATGTAGGCTAGGTAGCCACGCCAGTTGAAGCCGAATTTGAAGTAGTACAGACCACCTTCGCGCGAGTTGAATAGTGAAGGAAGATCGATATAGCCTTTTCGCACCAGGAAGTAATCTCCGATGATGACGCCGCAGATCGAGGCGATGAAGATAGAGTATGCGGAGAGATACGAGGTGAACGAGAATGAGCTTTTGGTCAAGTTCCATGGCGTGATCGCGAAGCCGAGAACCAGGGCAATGATCATGCCTCGACGAATGCTGATATATCTGGCGAGGACAGACATGTTAGAATCCGACAATAGGCACGATGGTGCGGACGACTGACCTTGGAGCTAGCGCAGCCGCATCGTTGCCGGACTGTATGAGATTTGCGACAATGACCGTAACAATCTGCGCGAACGAGAAGCCGGCAGCAATGAAGAAGACACCCGCGCGATTAGCCGACGAGTAGTCTGCAAGATATGCAGCCAGAATTCCCATTGGGTCCCAGTTGATCTGATGAGGCGTTAGCTCCTCTCTTGAAGCGACTGATAGCAGTGTCGATTGACGTACCTTTCCAGTCGATGTAGTGATTGCAGAGGCGGATGTGATCATGATACCGAAGAAGGCGATAAATCCAAAGGATACCGTGAACCCGATGAGTTGAGTCCACAGAGCATCAATTGGTCGCCGAGCATAACGACTGAGATCCGCGTTGTTGGCGACGAAAGTCACAACATTGGCAGCTTGAATGAATAGCTGCTGAATGAAAACCTGGGACGGGCATCAGCTACCGTACGCGAAAATGGTGGAGCGAACAACCCAGCCGTGGGATTTGCCCTTCGGTATTTGAGCACCCTGCTTGACAATGTTGCCAACGCCACCAGCTCTTCCGAGGGACCTGGCAGGTGTCAGTGTATCCATGTTGCGAGCCAGGGTAGAGGGGCCTACCAGCCAAAGAAGGCCAACAGGCAAATGGTCGTTACGACAGATTTGACATATATGACCTTCCGGAATTTGTGGACGGGCACGAAAGTGCAACCCATCAGGATAACCCAAGCAATCACGAAGCCGATGAGTCGACCACCCGTCATGGACACATCACTGGGGAAGGGGTTGTTGACTTTGGAGATCCCTTTGGTCCAGGAAAGAATCATGGTATAGACGCAATTGCCGCTGAGATCTGATTCAGTCGAGGCACCAGTGTCAAGAGCTGTGTACTCACGTCTGCACCATCTGCACACCACACCAGATGATGGTCATAGCTTCACGGTTGAACACCGGCCAGTATGCTCCGAAGACGCCGAAGCTGGACCGGGCCAGGACTGGGAATGGGACATGATAGACGGCACCACCACGACCGGTCATGATCATTGGAATGCCTGCGATCAAATGCCCAAGTATGACACAGATCCATGCTTCCCACCACGACAACCCGTTGGTCACCCCAGTTGCTGCGACGGTCCATGAGGTCACACTGAAACATTCGCCAAACCAGAAGAGAGAGTCTTCTATCATTAGCATGGAGCAGAGAGACGGCGAGGACACGACTGACAGGTCCACTTTGTCCAGGTGCGATTCTCGGGCGGCACTGGTAACAGGTCGTGGTTAACAAGTAGCGAATGCTCTTCGCTGATACCTTCCCTGTCGACCTCCAGTTTGCGGAGTATGGAAGATGCACCCATTTTCGGTGGTCCAAGCACACAAGTAATCGCAGCAGATAGTAACGTAACAGAGTGTGAATAAAAATACCGTCAATGTGGAGGCCTTCACTGACTTTGTATATAGGCTCTCTTCATCTTCATCACGACCGAGGTGAGGCTTCGCAGGCGAGCGGAGCCAGACTGTAGTCTAGGCGGCCTGGACTCCAAGACGGCTTTTAGCGCACTAGCATTGTCCATCGATAGCAACTTGAATCTATCGAGTGGTTGATAGTAGAGTCCTGCGACAAGTTGGTCTTTGAGGCGACAAGATGATAACTTCAAAGAGTCGGAGTTGACTCGGAAGTTGATAACAAAAAGCTTGGTGTTGTTGAGGTGTCGTGGAGAATGATTGGGGTAGTTGTCTTATCGGGAGGCACCTAAAGTTTGGTCTAGAGACCCTATTGTCAGGGTTGTAAGGTCGTCGCTTTAGCCCGCACTGCGCTTATCAGCGCCCATGGTCCGAGCGGCTGTGTTGCAAGTCAGCGCAGGATAATGCAGCCCTCGCGGGCATGATGCCGAGAGTCCGAAAGGACAATGCCCCGCCACTAATGCTGCAGCAATGTGCCGCAACGCTCGAAGCAGAATTGGGATTTCATTGCCGATGGCCAAAGTGATCCTTTCATACTAAAATACCAAGCTGGAGTCCAACATGGGCGGTTTGAGAAGCAAAAAATAATCAGGATTCCGAACAGACGAACAGACCTCTGCCACTATCATGGGTTCACTCGGCATAGAAGAGCTTCCACAGACTGGAACAGAGTTTCCTTTCCCCATTGTGTCCTTCGAGCCGTTTCTAAGTGGTGGTGAAGCTGGGCGTCAAACCGTAGCAGCCAAGCTGTACGATGCATTCCACAACTTTGGCTGGGTATACCTCAAGGACTTTGGCATCTCTGAAGCCGAGATCGAGCAGATGTTCGCAAGGGTAGGCTCCCCAATTGTCGATGCGTGGCTGCTCAGCTTGAGCTGACAATTGTTGGTGCGCAGAGTGCACAATTCCATGGCCAACCACTTGAGCAGAAATTGAAGTACAAGCTCAACGATCCGTCAGTTAGTCAAGGATACACTGCCGACGGAGCAGAATCGAGCGATCCACATGGCGGACGTAGTCACAAGGAGTGCTACGAGCATCGCCGAGTCAATAAGCTTGCTCCTGCCGCAGGTGATCTTGACGACTGGACAGCCTGGGCCGACGACTTTTACAACGTGAGTCGTGCACGAGTGCCGCGTCTTTCCACTGATCATTGATTGTCGCAGAAATTGATTATCCTCGCCGGTCATGTCCGTGATGCATTGGCGATGGTCCTGGGCCTTGAGCCAGAAGCATTCCAAGCACAGCTGAAGCAATTGGACGGACAGTTGCGATTGCTGAACTATATGGGCGTACCACGGAAGGTGCTAGAGGAGGGTCGAAACTTTCGTATTAATCCTCACTGCGACTATGGCCTCTTCACACTCTTGTTCCAGGACCAGATCGGAGGTCTCGAAGTCGACAGATTCCACGACGGGAAATTCGTAGCGGCGACGCCTATTCCTGGCACATGCGTCATCAATGTTGCAGATTTACTGCAACGGCTCTCCAATGATCGGCTAAGATCGACAAGGCACCGTGTCGTCGCGCCGCAGATGACGAAAGAGATGTCGGACGCCATTGGGCCTGACGGCGTGTTGCCAGCCCGCAAGTCAACAGCGTTCTTCGTCCATCCAGCTCGTGACACCTTGATAACTCCCATGGTGGAAGAAGGCGAGAATGGTCCTCATTATGACCCGGTGGCGGCAGGCTGTTGGAGAGACGCAATCACCGCGAAGAATTATCGCCTTCCAATTCCCATGGCCACACCAGAGCAGGTACAGGCGGCCAAATGCGTTGAGATGCGGTACATGATGGCGGCGAATATCGAGAAGAAGCCACGCGTGATCTGAGCAGGCTGCGAAGCGGGGTCCACATACAAAATACCACTATGCGATAGGCAATCTGAAGATTGATAGCGCGCTTCGTGTGATGCCTCAGAGTCGGGCGCATAAGTCTGCAAGAGCTTTCATTGTGGGCAACGCCGGAGCACCTCGAGGTCAGGCTACCGTAGCTTCGTTGACGTGTTCGTTCGCGGCTACGCCCATGCTCGATTGGTACTGCTGTCGGATTCCATGACTTGAAGAGCAACAGTGGCCAAGGTCACTTCTCGCAAAGACCTGCCTCTTTCGACGGCACAGTCATCCGCGACCGTACGTTCGCCTTCTTTCGCTTGTGCTTGCACTACGTGCCGGTCATGCGGAGACACATCGGCGCAGGAGCCTGAAGTGTGCTTGTGGTGTTCGTGCTTGCATGTGTTGGGCAGCTTCGTCAAGAGATCGAGCTCCAACTGTGGTTGCCTTACAGGCGTCGATCTAAGCCTGGAGCAGAAAGTGTAGGCGATTTGGGTCGCCTATTTTGCTGCCTTCTTCTCCAATTCGACTCCCCACCTTTCTCCTGAGACCCTGAATTTGAATCGCTGTGTCCCTCACCGAAATTTCGTTGACAACTGCACGGCGTTGCTGTTTCTTTCATAGACATCGTAGCTCACATGACGAGATCTTGAGCTGCGACCTCCATCTGTTGTCTCATTGCCGCAATCATGCAACAACGACAGCGACCGAAGCTGTCGTAGCCACTCCACGAATCTCGACCGCAGCCAACGACCCTCCAGCGAAAGCACTACCAGAAGATAAGTTCTTCTGGACCTACACAGAAGAGCCACACCGAACACGGCGGCAGGCCATCATCAAGTCGCACCGCGATGTACTCCAGCTATGTGGTCCCGAGCCGCTCACTAAATACGTTGTGCTGGCCGTGGTCGCGCTACAGATCAGCTGCGCTGTCCTCCTGAAGGATACACCGATCGTGTCATGGCCATTCTTCTTGACGGCATACATCGTTGGGGCGACGGCGAACCAGAATCTGTTCCTCGCCATCCATGAAATATCACACAACCTCGCCTTTCGAACACCTATCTACAACAGACTGCTCGCCATTTTCGCGAACCTCCCGATCGGAATTCCATACTCGGCAGGCTTCAGACAGTATCATCTGACACACCACAAGTCACTTGGCGTCGATGGCCTAGACACCGATCTTCCGACCGCGTTTGAAGCCGTCTTTCTCGACTCGGTTGCAGGCAAAGCATTTTTCGCCACGTTCCAGCTCCTCTTCTACGCCATCCGGCCCATGTTCATCTTCAAGATACCATTTGGACCGATCCACTTCCTCAATATTGCCGTCCAGGTCGTCTTCGACGCCATAGTCATCCGCTATCTTGGTGGGCACGCCTTGTCGTACTTCATCCTCAGCAGCTTCCTCGCCGGCTCGCTCCACCCATGTGCAGCACACTTCATCTCCGAGCACTACGTTTTCGAGCGATCACAAGTAAAAGGAGCAAAGATGCCACGAGATGTGCCAATACCAGAGACGTTCTCATACTATGGACCCTTGAATGTCCTTACATACAATGTGGGCTACCACAACGAGCATCACGACTTTCCTGCGGTGCCCTGGACGCGGTTGCCGAGGTTGTACGAGATAGCTAAGGAGTTCTACGAGCCGCTGCCGTATCATAAGAGCTGGCCGTATGTCATCTGGCAATTTATACTGGACAAGGAGGTGGGCATGTGGTGCAGGGTGAAGCGAGCAGAAGGTGGGCGATTAGTGGGTGCGTGGAAGGAGAGCGAGGTTCAAAGCTAGAAGCGGGCACCTCGATCTGAACATAGGTTACGATAGAACAATCCTGGATACTTTCTGGACGGTACTGACGACGTTCTGCGTGTCCTCTTGTTTCGTGGTGGGAGTCTGTTCTGGGAAGGCACGCGACGCGTCGTCTGCAACGCGACTTTCCTCGCACCTAAAAACAATTTTCCTCTCGCCTACCCATGACTATCCATTTTGCTTTGAACAGATTCGATCACACAGCTCAGACACTATGTCGTCATGGACTCGCGGCAGCACTGCCAGTCGAGGCAGGTTCGCAGGTCGCGGATCTGGACGTGGGCACGGACGAGGTGCAGGACGGACGAGCCAACGCGGCCGACCTTCGAAGAGCAGCTCTCGGCAGTCTCGAGCACCCTCTGTCGTCAGTCGTCCAGCGAGTCACTGGCAAAGCGGCTCCGGATCAAGACGTGCATCTCCGCCAGCACGACGAGCTACCTCCGAACTACCTCGAGCGCGATGGGATCATGCAGCCACGCCTCAACAAGCAACGAGACCGACCGATGAAGACTTTCCGGACGAGACTGCAGATGTGATCATCATGGCTGTTGACTGCAAAGATCATGGGACGATTGGATGTGCATATTATGTGGCCAAAGAAGAGCGGCTGTTCTGCATGCAGGACGTTCCAAAGGGAAGTCGGGAGATCGTCGACAGGCGTATGTGGTGCTGAACAGGAGTCTGGTTCCGATCAAGCTGACCGTCACAGTGAAGCTCGACATCCAGCCGACTCTGCTTCTCCTCTCGACTCGCATCGACTCCAAGCTGGACCTTACTGCCATCCCTGCAGACGATGGTACGACCACGTCCGCCTTTCGACGCCCAGCTGATGAGAGCAGACACACGCACCACCCATACCGCTGGCCATGAGACTGAGCTTCGCCCAAACCCCGACTTCAGCTACGAAGATGCACAGATGAAGCTGGCCAACCTCAATCTGGGCCACACAGAACAGAGCATTCGCTTTCTGGTACCAGGCGAGAACGAGAATGTCAACGAGCATACAAGAGCAGACGAGATCGGTCTCACTGATCGACCAGGTAACCTCATGCAGATTTCTGCTTCTCTCGATCTCGACAGTCAGGTCAGCATCGGCTGTATGGGTGCTGCGATCGGATGCCTCCAGCGGAAAAGAGCTTCGGAATACTTGCCCAACGATGCCGATGCCTCGAACGTGTACAAGATTGCGAGTGTTGACTTGTTTGCCTTCCACAATACCATGTCGGTGCACCCCACGAGCCCGGAGCTCTCGCTAACTTGAGCAGGTTCGTCAATGCAGACACGTTGTCCGCCCTGCAGATCATCATGCCCGAGACGCATCCGAACGTCTTCAATCAAGGCCCAGGCACCACCGGATCCAAGGAGTCGCTCTCAGTCTACGGCCTGTTCCACAGCTATGCTCGTACACCTCAAGGCAAAGCACGCCTGCGACAGCTCTTCCTACGCCCTTCCCTGGACAAGGAGGAGATCAACGGGCGTCTCGACTTCGTCTCAATCCTCACTCGACCGGACAATCACACCGCCCTCGATCGACTGAGCAAGAGCCTAAGCAAAATCAAGAATCTGCGCTCAACAATGGCTATGCTTCGACGCGGCATCGAGGCAGGCACCAAGTACAGCAGCTTCAAGAGCGGCGTCTGGTCCACACTGCTCGAGTTCTGCTACTACGCTATCGATATTGTCGATGCTCTGCATGAGGTCGCCGGGGCCGAGCGACTGCTCATCTGCAGTCAAGTCACCGAGACCCTCGACAAGTTCCGCCTCAAGCAGGTCGGTCGTCACATCTACGAAGTCGTCGACCTCGAGCTGTCACAGGAGCAGCATCGTACTGTCGTCAAGCGAGGAGTCGACGAAAACCTTGATCAGATAAAGGATGTCTACGACGGCATGGACGAGTTGCTGTCGCAGGTGGCGGTCGATATCGCGCGAGGCATGCCGCAGGACCTGGACTGCCGCATCAACGTTATCTTCTTTCCCCAGCTAGGCTTCCACATCACAGTACCTCTTAACGAGCTCACCATGCAGCCGGTGTGGGACGGCGACGGCTTGTGGGAGCGAATGTTCACTACCCAAAACACCGCATACTTCAAGGAAGATAAGACACGCCTGATGGACCAGGAGATTGGTGATCTGTGGGCCAACATCTGCGACATCGAGATTGAGCTTGTCTACGATCTGGCTCAGCGCGTACTCGAGGATCAGCAGCTGATGCTTGCATCGTCAGACGTCCTCGGCGAGCTGGACTGTCTCCTCGCGCTCGCTCACGGAGCCGTCGCTCACCAGCTTGTCCGGCCGCGAATCGTGGATGACAATGTCATCTCGGTCACGGGTGGCAGACACATTCTGCAAGAAATGGTTGTTCCCAGCTACGTGCCCAACAATGCTTCTCTCCGCGGCGGGGACTGCGACAACGACGAATATCGCACGCTACCAACCATGACAGTCCTGACTGGGCCCAACTACTCCGGCAAGTCCATCTACCAGAACTCGGTCGCCATCATCGCGTACATGGCCCAAGTCGGCAGTTTTGTACCTGCGGAGCGTGCCACATTGGGCATCACAGACAAGATCCTAACCCGCATCTCCACTACCGAGACGGTCAGCAAGACGCATTCGGCATTCATGATCGATCTACAACAGGCCGGTCTGGGGCTCAACTCTTGCACCAACCGCAGTCTGATCATCATCGACGAGTTCGGCAAAGGCACCGACACGGCAGACGGTGCTGGTCTCATGGCTGGCGTGCTGCAGTATCTCCTCGAGCTGGATCTTGCTGCGCCAAAAGTGCTCGCTGCAACGCACTTCCACGAGGTGTTCGAGCTGGGATTGTTCGGAGACGATGAGCCGAACCTGAAGCATGCGCACATGGAAGTCCGGGTTGACAAGCGCGACGACACAACAACTCTTACCTCGTACTTGACCACCAGCAATGGTAAGCAACCTGCCCAGTCCACCCGCAGCACGACTAGCAACAATAACTTCGAGCCGGCCGAACGCGTCACCTACCTCTATCAGCTCGACCCAGGCCGCTCAACGCTCAGCTACGGCGCGCAGTGTGCGGCCATGAATGGCATTCCGGGCCCAGTCATCGAGCGAGCCGTGGAGCTGGGCCAATGTCTTGCTCGAGGGCAGGACTTGGTCAGTATGTGCTCGCGCCTATCACGGCAGGAGACAGAGGACCTGAAGGTGGCAGAGCGGACGGCGAGGCGGTTCCTGGCGGAGGACTTTGAGGTTGACTTCGTCGATGAGGAGGGTGTGAACGATGTGCTGGATGCGATATTGGGAGAAATCGATGGGAAGCTCGGTGGAAACGTTGGCCAAGAGGACAGGAGGAGTGTTGATGAACTGGACAGTGACGCTGTTACAGTAACTGAGTACAGCACGACGAATTAGATTGATCCGGGCTGCTGCGGATCGAGCGAAGTCTCCTTACTGGCGAACAGCAGGAGAGCACGGCATGGGAGGTATGAAATCTCGTTCAGTATTATGAGTCAACGTACCCTGAGTGTGCCTGGCGGCCAAGTAAATATATTCACGCTATCCCGAGGAGCGCCCAAAAAACGATTTTTTCCTACTTCTCACAGCCCCAGTCGCGATATCGGCTAGTGATTGACACTCTGTCTGCAATGCCATGAGCATCAGACCTTGAACAATGTAGCTCCAGAGGGCATGGTTCCACGTGCGCGATACCTACTATTCAAGAGAAACCGGATGACTGGTCTCTTGGCGGCTCAGCCTTGTCGCCAAACACAGCCTCGTTGGACACGACTGACGGTCTTCAAGGGAGTTCATCACGCGAAATCAACTTTGCCGCGATGTATGCGGCGGCGCGCATCGGATGACAGCTGACGCTTTGGCTCGCCAGACTTCTGGACATGCGTTCGCACAAATGCGATTGGAACATGTCTCGAACCTGGCATTGAGACCCTTGCGACTGCTTGGACTGCGTCCGAAGAGCCGCTCTGCACGAGAACCGCTGGTACCGAGCATCGAACCGAGAGCGTGCATCGCTACAGGACTGAACCGATCAACATCATTCACTTCCGCTTCTACCACCACTGTCCATAGCGTGCACGGCAGGTGTCAAAGTCATCTCTGCCAGTTGACGCGCCAGATGTTGTGGGAAAGCAGGAGCGAGCGATGATTGGCCGCCGAAGCTCCACGCCGATAACGTGCTTGCTTTCGAGAATGTCGACTTCGCGTCTGCCGCTGCGACCGCAGCATGGTCTCGCTTCACCTGTCCGTCGCCCGCCGGCTTTTCGCAAATGCGGGGCTCGCTTGCTCAAGGCCTTTACGACGGCCTTCCTGACAGTCACAGGTCTTGGAAAGGCGTCCGCCGTGAGTCTTCGACGCGACTACTCTTCGGTGCAAATCTGTGGTCGCCAACGCATGACGGAAAGGGCTACCAGGACCCTTAGCGGCCCGAAGCACGTGGCGCCCTGCGTGGCATCTGGCTCAGTGGCACTAATAATTTTCAGCCCTTCTTCGCTGGACCGTCGCGCTCCCTACCGTTGGCAATATGCCCGAGTCGGCGTCGTCGAAAGTATCCCTCTCGCATGTTGACGAATCACTTTGGAAATCTGGAAGAATTGAATTGGTGTGTATGAAGTACGTGGTAGGTCAGAGTCTGTCTTATCGCTTCTCTCGACGAATTGACACTAGCACCATGATGCAACGTCCCCTCCCCATCACGCCATCCACCTTCGCGCACCTGAATCTCAGCATCTATGCTCGTGTCAAGCTTGTCTGGACCTCTTTTTGAGAAGTCTTGACATGCTTGTGTCGCGATGGTTGTTCTCGGCAATTTATGGGCTTGAAAAGCGATCGATCTAGCCCATCACGCAAGATACTCAGAGACTGTCGGTACGGATCTAGCAAGCGACCACCCCTGTCCTCGCTGCTGAAATTTCGAGCACCGGAGCTCTGGTACATGTATATATAAGCCTCCCTTGGTATATGTCAAGCATTATCTCGGTAGATTCTTAGCTATTTTCAAGCTTCCAGGGTTGGCAGCAATCGGTCACAATGGCTACCAAGGAAGGCCTCATCGAAGCGTTTCCTACCAGCTCCCCTACTGCCAAACCGCAACGCCGTCAAAAGTGGTACCACCTCTTCGGCAAAGATGTGAGCCATGTCTCTGTCGATGAAGGCTACGAGGTGGGCTCGGAGACCTCTTCCCTGGACGAGGGTGTTGTCGATAACCACCACAACATATGGGAAGCTCCCGAAGCACACGACATCTACAAGTTCGTGGATGGATTTGAGGGTGCCCACCGATTTGATGCTACGGCCAAGTGGACAGTGGAAGAAGAGAAGAAGTTGATCAGGAGGGTATGTTCGATCTCCATTTGGCGGAACAGCTACTGATCTTGCAAAAAGCTCGACTGGCGAGTTGCTCTTCCAGCATGCATCATGTTCTTCGCCCTCCAACTAGACCGCGGCAACATCACCCAGGCACTTTCCGATAACATGCTCAGTAAGTCGGCAGCTGACCTTTCTGACATATACTGATTCCCATGCAGAGGACCTCGGCCTGAACACCGATGACTACAACAACGGCATGACTATCTTCTACTGCTCCTTCTTGTTCGCCGAATTGCCGTCCCAGGTGATTGGCAAGAAGCTCGGACCCGATGTCTGGATTCCGATACAAATGGTCCTGTGGAGCGTTGTTGCCATGTCGCAAGCCGCCCTCCACGGAAGAACCAGCTTCTTCATTTGTCGGTGGCTTTTGGGAATGCTCGAGGGTGGTGAGTAGCATGCCATCTCTCCCACACGATTCACTGACCAGTCCAGGCTTCATTCCTGATACCATCCTATATCTGTCCTACTTTTACAAGAACTCCGAGCTTCCACGCCGTCTGAGCTGGTTCTGGACTTCCTACCAGAGCACCCAGATCGTTGGCGCGTTCCTCGCCTACGGCATTCTCCACCTCCGAGGCCACAGCGGTCTGCATGAGGGCTGGCGGTATCTGTTCCTCATTGAAGGCGCCCTCACCGCCACCATAGGTATCCTGACCTTCTTGTACCTGCCGCCCTCGCCCACACAAACCGCACGAGTCGGCTGGAAGGGCCTACTGCGCCCGAAATCAGGCTGGTTCAACGAGCGCGAAGAAGTCATCATGGTCACACGTGTCATCCGCGACGATCCTGGCAAGGCTACGATGCACAACCGACAGGGCTTGAGCTTGACTCTCCTGTGGGAAGCTCTGACAGACTACGATATGTGGCCAATCTATCTCATTGGGCTTTCCTGGACAATCCCCAACACCCCGCCGATGGCATATATCACGCTTACCTGCAAGGCTCTCGGCTTCGACACGTTCGAGACCAACCTGCTCACCATCCCCGCCTATACCCTCTTCATCATACAGCTTCTCTTCTGGACGTGGGTGTCGGAGAAGATCAACCAGCGCATCCTCCTCGGCATCGTGGGCCAGTTCTGGTCCCTACCATTGCTCATCGCCCTGGTCACCCTCCCACCCGTATTCGCCGGCTCCAACTGGTCCAAATGGGTACTCTCAACCCTCCTAGTCGGCTATCCCTACATCCACGCCATCCTCGTAGCCCTCACCTCTCGCAATGCGGGCTCGGTTCGTACACGCACAGTCGGCTCTTCGCTGTACAACATGGCCGTACAGCTCTCCAATATCTTCTCCTCCCAGATCTACAGACAGAACGACAAGCCGTACTACTACACCGGCAACAAGGCCCTGTTGGGGGTTCTGGCGTGGAATGTCTGCGTGTTCGTCTTTGCGAAGGTGTACTATGTCACGAAGAACAACAAGCGGGATAAGATTTGGGGTGGGATGAGTCGGGAGGAGAGGGTGCATTATTTGAAGACGACGGAGGATAAGGGGAATAAGAGGCTGGACTTTAGATTTGGTTCTTAGACCATACCACAGACCACTGGGGATGAGCGTTGCTGTGTTACGGCAGAGACAATCCTGGCTCCTGCCAGGGCCGTGAACTTTAGAATAAGCAATGTCAAACTCGGCTATCTCTGCCATCTAAGTTCGTTACGCCTGATCATTCAAGTGTAGAGGACACGCTAGGAAGACACAAAAGGGCATATTCCTCGAATCCGTGACATCGGGACAGACGATAATGGAGGATGCTGTGTTGCAACACTTTGTACCCAAATTGCGTGATTTCGGCCCTTCCAGTCCACACTCGGGACCTCATTGCGTGCTTCAGCTGCCTTGCGATTACTGCATCATCTAGAAGCCCGAATCATACTATGGGGTCCGATGAGGGGAGTTTCGAACCGATGCTCGATGGCGTGATAGTTCGTGCTACCGGGTAGTCTGCATTGTCTGGACTCTGAACCAGTACATGACTCACGGCATCAGTTGCTACCGTACATATACTTCTGTCATCGACAAACTGAGCTACCTGTGAGCCTGTCTGCAGAATCAGCACCAAATCTCGCTGCCCAGTACATCACAACATCATGGCCCCAATCGCCATTTCTCCAGAAGAGGACGTCCACAAGAACGGCAGCGACGCTTCCACCAAGCATCGAAATGCCAAGCCACTCAAGAAGAGCGGTGCTCTGGATGGCACCTTCAAGTTTGAGGACGTTACCCCAGCGATCGGCAGAGAGTACCCAACGACCAACATCGTGGATGACTTGCTGAACAGCTCCGACGCCGACGCGTTGCTTCGGGATCTCGCTATCACCAGTAAGTTCATTCCACTCACCGTCTCCAAGCCACAGAAACCAGCAAAGCTGACAGCTGTGTCTAACCTCAAGTCTCCGAGCGCGGCGTCGTCTTCTTCCGCAAACAAACAAACCTAACCAACGACCTCCAGAAGCAATTCATCCTCCGCTTGGGCGAGCTCTCCGGCCGTCCCAGCACCTCTACTCTGCACATCCACCCCATGCTCAACAGCACCAACGAGTTCGGCGTCCCGGACAACGAAATTAGCACTATTTCGTCGCTCGCTCGGAAGAAATTCTTCGTCCCTGACGCGCCACGGGACAACCGCAAGTACGACGCTGCCGCGTGGCACAGCGATATCCAATTCGAGCCCAACCCAGCGGACTACACGAGTCTGCGCCTAACCCAGCTGCCGGCTACGGGCGGCGATACGCTCTGGGCGTCCGGTTACGACATCTTCGACCGCTTCAGCAAGCCCTACCAGAAATTCCTCGAGGGCCTAACCGCGACGTTCGTGGGCGATGGGTTCCTCAAAGCCGAAGCATCAGGCAAGGCGAAGCTGTACAAAGAAGCGCGAGGCTCGCCGGCGAATGTAGGCGGGGAGTTGAGCGCTGTGCATCCGTTGGTGAGGACGAATCCGGTGACGGGTTGGAAGAGTTTGTTTGCGATTGGGAATTTTCCGAAGTATATTAATGAGTTGAATGCGGAGGAGAGTGAGGAGTTGTTGAAGAGGTTTAGGGGGTTGGTTGTTGAGAATCATGATTTGCAGGTTAGGTTTAAGTGGCGGGATGAGAATGATATTGGTGAGTCGTCCCCATTGCTTGTGTGGCTGCGGTTAGAGAGGTGTGAGAGGCGCTTACTGACTGTCGAGCAGCGATTTGGGATAATCGCAGTGTGTTCCACGCCGCCACGTTCGACTATGACGGGCTAGGGGATCGCTTTGGGAATCGCGTTGTTGGGATCGGCGAGAGGCCGTACCTTGATCCGAACAGTATCACGAAGGCGGAAGCGCTGGGTCACGAACGAAGCGAGGTCAGTGGCACGAACGTGTTGTGAGGTTGGCTTGCATGGACCGCGTTTCGACTAGTTCACAATGTGAAGAACCCTCCACACGAGTCCGGAAGTGTTGCAACATCAGGGTCCGACAGCATCTAGGAGTGCATATTCGCCTTGTGTAAAAAGCATGGAGATCTGAATGCGTGGATCCGGAAGCAAGAACGACTTTCAATGGTGTTGATGAACACAGAAACCTAGCCGCGGAAGCAGCCGCTCTCTGCCCGCGCGACGTCAGTATTCTTCCAGATACGTTTCTTGACTTAACGTGACGGCATCAACGCAACACGTCGTAATTGATCCAAGTATTACTGTTGTGCCGCGCCGCTGCTTCCGCAATGCGTTGATTGCGATCTGCTTGCATAAGTATTCCTGAAGTACTGGTCTTAAATTTCAGAAACCCCCGAGTCAACGTGCTTCCGCTCCGCCTCCCCACAGTGATCCACTACGCAACGAGCATGACCGAATCCAATCGCGGCACTCCACAGCGCCTCTATCGCTTCAGCCTCTACGTCAAGAAGCGCGACGACATGACTGATGAGGAGTTTGGAAAGCATTGGAGCACGAGTCACCCGCCACTCGTGCAGGAGTGGATGGTCAAGTATGGGATCGTGAAGTACGTCCAGGTGGGTAGTTCGTGAATAGCACGTGCGTGGGAAATTAGGCGCTGCTGTACTGTGCTCACTGTCGAGGCGCGGCGGCCACTGGGGTCTTACCGAAACAGCGAGCAGCTGAGCTGATTCGACGTGGGACGTAGTACCACACGCCGTCATTCATAAAGGACGAAACAGTTGAGACCTGGGAAGAGCTCAAGGACCTGGAGATGCAGCAGTGGGATGGCGTCGTTGAGATCACGGTGCGGCGCATCAAGGACTTTGTCAATGCGAGGAAGGATAAGTACTATCTTGGGACGGTGATTCCGGACGAGGAGTACGTCAGACCCTCCTGCTCCGCTCCCTTTCCTTGCCCTCTCAGACGTGGTTCCGACTTGCGCGATGCAGGCAGCGGAGTCCACAC